CGCCGCTCTCGATGAGCATTCCCACAGTGGCCTCATGCCCCAGGCTCGAGGCGGCTACAATCGCACTGCCAAAGAGGCCCCCGCGCGCATTGATATTAGCGCCGCCATCTATCAACTTGCGGATAATAGCCTCGTGCTTTCCGAGACAGGCAGCCACAAGAGCATTACCATAATCTCCGCCCTGTGCGTTCACATCCGCGCCGCGCTGGATGAGTATATCCATAATGATCGTTTCTCCTGTACACGCGGCAGCTGCGAGCGCAGTGCCAGACTGACCGCCTTGCGCATTGACATCAGCGCCGCTATCTATTAGCGTCCGGACAACAGCCTCTTGTCCGTCCAGACAAGCAGCCATGAGAGCACTATCAGCATTTCCGCCTTGCAAATTCACATCCGCGCCAGCCTGGATGAGCATGTGAACAATGGACCCGTGTCCTTGAGACGAAGCAGCCACAAGTGCAGTGGGAATGCTGCCAGTCATGATGCGATCATCAGAATAAAGGTCGTGTACGAAGGGGACAGGCGCGTTTACATCGGCGCCATACTCGAGTAACATCTGCACAATTGCTTCGTGTCCCGCGATGGAAGCGGCCTGCAGAGCGTTGCCGTAATAGCCGCCCTGCTCGTTCACTCTGGCGCCGTATTCGAGTAGCACCTTCACAGTATCTAGATGCCCTTGGTACGAAGCGGCCTGCAGAGCAGTGCCAAAATAGCCAGATCTGCTGTTGACGTCTGCCTCAGTCATCAGCAGTAATTGATGGACGGAATTCGGCAAGCCGGCGTGCGATGCGTAGTACAACGGGCTTACTACGTCCTTGCCATGATATTCTTCAATATATCTTTCAGGATGATCAAGTGAAAAAAGCTGATAAATTTGCCTGAATTTGTCTTGACAGGCGTAAACTTCCCAGACTGTGGCAAGGACGTCGTGGTTAGATGACGGACATGTTTCCACAACAGACGCATAATGTGACCAGTACTGCGCTGAATACCGGGCAAAGGGGTATAGTTCTCCTACTCTGTCCGGTACCACGGAGGGTTCCAAGGAGAGCAAGTATGACACACAAAGCTCAACCAACGCAGCTGCCGCGGTTCTCTTGTTGAGCTGCTCTCCCATGCTTGGTTTCAATCGATCCGACAGCAGATATTCCTTGACTGAAAAATGTGCCAGTGCAATCTCAGTTACATCAAGTCGTTTAGATTTGCTATATCTCACAGTGAGTGTAACCAGGCCTGCGCAGTACTGCACTATTTCCTGTGGCACCGGCATTCGATTGGCAGGGTCAAAGCGTGCTTCACTTGCTGGCTCAACTGCCAGCGCGTCTACAGCCTCGTCAAGACGGAGGGGTCGCTCAGAATAGACCAGAAGGTGCAGCAAGCGTACTGCACGAGACTTGTGTTCAGGATATAGTCGCTTCAGGATTCTCGCATACGTCTCGTCCAATGTTGGCGGGAGTGATGCGAGAGCCCTGCGCAGCTCGTCAAGGCTTAGGCATTTCTCTATCGTCTCAAACTGGCAATAGACCCATCGAAACCTTACAGAATCAGAAAAAAAGTAATATAATGATTTTTACGAGGGCAGCAAAAGAAAAAAAAAAAAAAAACAACTTACATTCCCTTCGCACCATCTCTCAATGTTGTCGCTATCAACCTCTGGACATCTGGCTTTGCTTGCCACCGCTTGATCTGTTGTACTTGGGTCTCGATATAGGCATTGATGTCGTGCGCCACCAGGTTCGATTGAAGCGAAATCATTTCTTCGGCGCATGCCCATGTTTCAATGCATGATTGAATATCATGCACAGGTCGGCTGGTAACAAGAAGGTGGATATTCGTCAACGAACCTCTCAGCTTTTGTATCCACGGCATGATTCCGCCGACAGCGTTTTGACTTCGTGTCTCACATTCGTCAAGCCCATCTAGAACCAGCCAGACCTCGCCGCATTCTTGCATCATGGCTTGAAGAATTTCTTGTAGCGCATCTTCGCTGGGCTGTCCTCCAGCCTTCTGATACGGAGCGTAGAATGAGTTTAGCAATCCTTGGGCGGGCGTGCACTTGCGGTACAGCTGGTCTATCAGCGAGCGTACCGCTTTCTCAGTCGACCTTTTTTCCACGTCGGCGAAGTTGAAATAAAAGTACACAAGATTTGGAGAGGTTTCTTCGTCGTCACATAGGTCTGTCATGGCAGTAGAGCTGAGAACCGTCTTGCCACAGCCTGGTATCCCGTACAGCCATAGAAAAGAATTCCTAGCTGTTTTCCATAACTGATACTGTTCGCTGAGCAGTAACCATTGGCCGGTTCCTGGCTGGTGTAGCTGTCGTGCCTTGTTCAGGTTTGTTGAAGGGTCTGGCGCGGAAATCCAGTTTGTTATCTTGTCTAAATGACTCGAGGTATGTAGGCTCTGAACGCTCGCCTGAACTACATCCAGAATCCTGTTAGCTATGACTTTTCTATGTTCTATGTAATAGTAGAATTGTCAGTCACCGAAAGTTAAAAGACGTACCATGTTCTACTTGCTTGCTGAGCTCTTTCTCCGCCTCCAACTTGTTTGCTGGGATCCTTCTTAGAAGATCCTTGGCATATGCGGCTGCAGTCATTGCTGCGTAGCCTTGCCACTTCTTGTTCTTATGTGTATCGGCATAGTTGCATATACCGCAGATGACTAGGCATGGAAAGTGGTTATTTAGCCCGCCGGCCTCCATCTCAAAGCAGAGAATGTCTCTTTCATTCGCATATTGGTCTCGAAGCTCGGCATTCTTCATCAGCTGGTTTGCCGAGGCGATTAAGCCATAATGCACCGTCGGGTCATCATCGTCGTCTTGGTCTCGAGCCACGCGTTGTACCATCAAGGCTTCATCGGTGCCACAGCTGGTCATACACCCACCTTCGCTCACAGGGTGAACAACATGAGAGTGATATAATCTGTCTGTTGCTGCGTCAGGGCGATTGAATTCTCTCCTTAGCCTTTTATTCTCTGCTAAGCGGGTCCGAATATCATTCTGGATGTCATGGCCATTGATCTTGTATGCCGATCTTAGCCCACTGACAGCGGTGAGTAGCACAGGTGGAGGAGGGGCCAAACAGCGTGTGACGTGGAACGGCTGATCTTGTATCTCTTTGCCAAAGTCGTATTGTAACACGCTTCCTAATCCATTTTGCGGTACACTCACGACGACATCCCCAAGCCGAATGTCATGCTTGGCGTTTGGCGCGCCACCGCCAATACCAACCATGAGTCCGATACGTACGTTAATAAAGGAATGAAGCATGTCGCGAGCCACCGTAGCAGCAGCCGCCGTGCCGTATTCCCCGCCAGGCAGTACGGCGATGACGGTATTGTGTTTCCCGATACGGCCCAGTGTGTAATCATTGTTATCGTTGGTGGCGACCGACTCGGGCGGTGCGTGCTTCTCGTCAAGAAAAACTTGAGCCGCGACATATTCTGTTTCCAGGGCGCAAATCCAGCCAACGACGTAAGCTTTGTTTGAGAGTTTACGTCGCTCATGGTCGTCTTGATCAACGGGGTCGTCTATAAGGGCTCTTTTCCCCATGATGATTTCAAGCTCGCTTTTCAGCAGGAGATAAACGCTCGGTGAGGACGCTCAAGTCAACCTCATGTAGCAGTGTGCACGTACTTGTCCGAGGCGTGGTACTGAATATTTTTGAGAAGCATCTCCCGCCCTAAGCTCAATACATTGGTCCGCAAGCACATGCGCTGCGATATTTTGCCATTGGTCAAGTCGAAGATGGGATAGAAAGATGCAGAACGAAGCAGAGAGAAATGTAGGCTGAAGCCGTGCTGACGAGTTGTCGACCAAGCTGCGTGACAATTGAGATACTTGGACAGCAGCCACTCCCACGTGACGCCGGGGGAGCGAATCAGAAAATAAAAGCTAGGATGGCGACGGATGGCGACGGATGGATTGCAAACGCTGTCTACATGATGCTTGCAGGAGCTGAACACCCCCGCCCCAGCATCCGAAAGTAGTTCCAATGCAGCCCTTTCAATCTCTGCCGTGTTCTTGAAGGCGTGCGTCCCAGCATCCCACGATAGTTACCCTCCAAGTAGCCCATCTACGTTGGGAAACTTTCCCATGGTGAAGTTACTATTCACATCCTCTTCGGACCGCCGCGTCTCCCTATCCGGATCTCCATGTCGTGGAGGGGGATATTGCTAGCACGCAGGTCGCGCTATGTGCGATGCCATGGCTGTGAATGTACGACACGGCCACAATGGTCTGCAGCAACCATTCCCGATGGAGGGCCGGTGTGATTTCTTCGGGGCTGGGGGGCGACCAAGGACTGCAGGCTCCTGACGTTGGCGTGCTGAAAGAGGAGAGCGGTCGAAAACGCGGCGTACCAGCCAAGATGTCTGCACCGTCAACGCTGATGCTTCTCGAGGCTGGAGAAGAGGACGCACTTGACAATACGGGATTGCAAGCTCAGTCTCTTCGAGTATTTTGCGCTCTACGGCGTAGTGCGCCTCGACACTTGCTCGTGTCTGGATGGCCTGGTCGCGCGCAATCCGGACGGGCGCTTTCAGGAGCACGCCGGGCCGTACAGTGAAGAATATGGCCGTCGAGTCGGGGAACAGGGCGAGGAAGCCATGCGGCGCGACGCGTCGCGGAGGGCGGGACAGCGGCGCGGCGACGATTATCGACGTGGCCGAAGGCGCGAGGATGCCAAAATTGGGTAGATTGATCACGAGCAGGGAATACCTCCGCACTAAGCTGGGGCGCACGCTCCAGAATCGCCTCGAGTCAGACTGACTTGCTTCCATGGAGGACATAGCACTACCCGAAACCATAAAAGTGCAGGCACGTCACTGACGGCTCTACTTTTGCTGTCCGCCGCTCACGAGCGCACACTCTCATGTCCAAAGGGTCCGTTCAAGTCGCCGAGGTATCGGTACACGCCCCTCCTTCTTTCTTTTTCACCTCCGCTACCTGTGTTCATCAGGTCATGTCTGTCACGTCCCGGCAGCTTGGGCAGCAAGTCGCATTAATATGCAGGGGCGGTGGGCTGACGGGTCGCAGCGCACTGGCGAAGACAAAATGCAGCTAGGGGGACAAAGAAAGTGGTCTGAGGAATAAAAGGCAATAAGAAAGAGTGAGAAATGAAAATGTCGTCTCCGCAGGTTCTGGAACCCTGCCATAGGCATCCCATATCATGCGGAGTGCTCTGTTTAGAAAGGAACGGCCCGCTGCCACTACAACTTTGCTACTTTAGGGTTCCAATCAAGTTCAACTTGCTCCTTGGTGACAGGTGGTTCCGAAGTGACGCTACAAGACCATGTCATTGTCTTTCCTTCTTCCCGGTAAATTGGTACGGACAAGTCTCTGCCGGGGTAGAAAGCATGGTGAAGTCATAATGGCGGCGTAAAAGTCACTGCAATGCAAAGCACCGAGTTGCCTTTTCGTTTCTTTTTCCCCCTCCTCTTGAGGAGCTGAACAGCCCTTGTAGCGCAGTAGTTGTTTACACCGCTCGGCCTAACACTAACAACGGACCCGACCCGGTGGCATGGGCGAGGACCCCCCACCCGAAGAAAGGCAAAATGACAGTTTCGGTGCAGAAAAAGCGCAAAGCAATATCGTGCCAGGTTGTGGATACGCCAGCGTGGCATAAATACGCAATACTCCGTACTGTACCAGGTGCTTGGGTGTGGAGGGCCGACAGGTGCCATGCATGTGGCTGACTGAATAAGGCTTTCTGTTAGCAGTACGAATTCCGCATCCCGATTTTTAGCACTTCGTTTATCTTGTTCGAGTTTGCGCGCCTTGGTATATCGGATCGATACATGACACGGATCTAGCAGAAGCGGTAGTCACAGAAACTTCTCTCTTTGGAGGCAATCGTCAGATTCCCCAAAGTCGCCGACATCTCGAGCAACTAAGCAACCACGGCGTGCAAACAATTGTGCGCCGCTTATTGCTGGTTAGTTGGCGAAAAGGCGGCAATGAGTTCTTTCCGCCGCATGGCAAGCAAGCCCTTGCCGGAGCTTCGTCGGCAGGCCCCAGGGTCCTGGAAAGCATCCATCTGCAAGCCACTTGTGCCAAGACTTTGTAGTCTGCTGGTAGTGCCACAGACGGCAGAGACTTGGCTTGAATTTGCTTTAGTAGGAAAGCACTGTGTCGATCCTTGTGCTCTTTCTTCCGTTGTACGACGTGAGTACAACTTGAGGCCGGAGGCCCTCTGTCACAGACTGCGCCTCGTGTGGCTGCATACTGGTGCGTACAAGGTATGTTAGTCTTCAATGATCAAGTTATCTAGGCCACCAACCGTTGAGAAGAAAAACATATACGAAGTCAGGGTGTGATGTTGAGTGAGACCCAGTCCAGTGGCGGCCAACCAGACATGCTGCCAGAATTGCATCTGCGGGCGCAACATCATACCGCCCATCCATCTCAAATGGGCGGCAGTCTCTTCAAACGCAGCAACAGTGGTTGAGTGGCTCGTGAAATCGTTGTACGTAACTACACAAGCACACCACTGCTCGAGAGAAAGCATGCGAGTAAGACAGAACGCTCGGGAGAGTCCTTGCTCGGCTGTATGCCCTAGTTGCCTAGCTAGTACTTCCAGCTGCATGAGTACCACCACGTGAACCACCAGTCTACAGCCGTATAAAACATCATGTGCAAGAGGACATGTCAGTATGTTGTGACAGCAGTAAAGGATTTCGCTCCGTGCGCTGGAGACATTCAATTCTGATCGGGCGAGATGTTGTGGCAGGTTTGAGGTACCGCTGACGGGGTTTGCCAAAATGCGAGTCGGCGAGCCAGATTGTTCTGGCCAGTCAAGAACGTCGGCCCTGGTTCCGAGTCACATTGCAGCCGTATCTGTGAGGCTGGGTCCGAATGCGCCAGGCGAGCATGGCGAGGTAATTGATGAAGCTGGCCTGACTTGAATTAGCAATCAGCATGAGCCTTTGACAGGCCAGTAGGAGCGCACGAGCCACACAGCCCGAAGGTTTGGAACTCAGGACATTGCTCGACCGGCATTCCAATCATTGGTTTGGAAATACACCAATCTGTGGCAAAAAGTCAAGCAAAAGCCCGAACCGCTCAGCAGCGGGGGGCAGTCCGTGGTGGAGACGGCTGCGGCAACGCGGTCGGAACGGGGGCGCTGAAGCGCTGGTACAGTAAATACATCGTACGCCATCTTTTCGTCTCGAGTTCTTTCGCTCATGGATAAGAAATAGTAGGCAAAGCGTCTGTGACGCAGGGAGCATAGCTCGCTTGGCAACTTGGCTACTGTGCATGCTTCTTTATTTGGTCCTGCAGCTTCAGCGTCACTTTTGATGCTGCGAAAAGTATAATCCACTGTATAACATACAGGCCGCCACAGCGTACGAATACTGAGCAGTGCCGTCAGCGAGATTTGAAAACAGACTGGTTGCGTCCCCTCTGAGCGAGGTAAGTAGTAACTAATTATGATAATTAGTTGGCTAGCGAGATAGGGCCTGTCGTGGACGTGGACCGCAGCAACCGATCTGGGCGCGCTGCATACATATTTGGTGTCAACGTGCTTGCGTGTCAAATGTCTTGCTTAGCCAGTTGCAAGTTTTGAAGGCGGAAATAATCGACGATTGTTGTTTGTGTTGGGTTTCTGGGCGTGATAGCCAATGCTGGAGTCGGAGGCGTCTCCGAGATTGGCTTTCCACTGTTGCAGGCATGTTCAAATGATGGCAAGACGTGCTATATTTAGCTCGGCAAGTCCAACATTGACTGAGTACTCCGTAGTTGTTTGGTTGACCGGGGGGTCTTTGATAAAGTTGCTTTAGGGGTTTAATCGTGTGATTGTTTCTCGAGCCCCCTACTCCTGGTGAATCGGAGAGATTGGGAGAGTGGTAGGAACGAGGGACAGAGAGCTGAGTTTCCTTTCGGTTGCGTGCTTGTTTTTTGTGTGGCGCGGGCATTGCTGCCGTGACGGCAGTGCCAGGGTCATCCCAACGCAGTGGTTCAGCTGCTTGAACAAGAATGTCGAATGTGCAGGGCTGGGGCAGTGAACTGCAGCTAGAATCGAGATGGTGGGACGCATGGAGGGGCGAGGAGGGGCGAGGAGGGGCTAGGAACGAGGAGCGAGGAGCAAGGGGCGGCAAGTTTCCACTGAGGCTGTTGAGGGAGCAGCAAGGAAGAAGTAATACTGAGTAGAAAATGAAGAACAAGGCCGTTGTCTCCAAGAACGGTGTCAGGCTGCAAGACAGACCAGAGGTGGCGTGGACAACGACGGCAAGCTGGGCAACGCAAGAGCGACGGGCTGGACCGAGTGGTGTGTAGACTATCTTCGCTGGGCGTAGGGCCTTGGCTCGAGTAGGCAGGCGATGGATGATGACTGGCCGGTGAGGGGCGGGAGGAGAAAATATGACGAGGCGAGAGTATGAGGGGTGTTTTCTGGAGCGACCCAGGAACCTGGAAACGGGAAGGATGATGGTGATGTATGATGGATGGATGGAAGAAGAGGAGGAGGGGTGTGTGGGAAGCGGAATGTGGGAGGACCAAATTATCAAGTTGGCGGAGATGGTGGGCGAGAGGTCTTTTCGTTGACATTTGCCCGCTTTATTAGCATCATTTTATACCTACCTAGGTACCTAGGTAGGTTTTTTATAGCAGGCGCTTGCCCCATTACAGGCCGTCTAATGTCCTTTAGCGGCCGTGTTATAGCGGACATTGCTCTGATTTCCACTGTATTTGCTGCCCGTTTGCCCTATCTGCCACTGCCGTCGCTGCCTGCTTTTATTCCAATTATTCATCCTATCTTCATCTTGTGGCTGCTGGTCCGTTGCAGCCCTCGCTTCGTACTTGATAACCATGTTACCCTGATTATGCTAAACATCGCTTGTACGGGCCGGGTTGTACTCGCCCAAGAACCTTTCCTGCAATACCTTAAGTCTACTACTCTGTACGCCCTCATCACCCTCTTGCGTCACTTCCAACCGTCTACACCACACATCCATCATACATGAACATATTATCCCCCATTATTCAACGCCTCCTTCCGTGCCGCATCTCGCTTCCCACTGCTATCCCAGTCATTAATTGCATCCACACTATCTCGTTCTCCATGCTCGTGCCTCTCCTCTCACCCCCTCAATTTCCTACCAAGCATACTCCGTACACCCCCTTGCTTTCAGCCACTTCCATCCACAACCTTGATACAGTACTCCGTATCCTTGATCCCTACCTCTACATCACAGATCAGTTTGTTGCTGCACACCCAAACTCCCAAACTCGGTTTCCATCCTCCACCGATAACCGATACAATTAGTTTTAGCGCCGGACCATCTCTCGCCCCCCAGCATTGCTTCCTTGGTCAGCTTTTCCTTTCATCATCTCTCCTCCACCCGCCTCCCTGTAACTTCTTCAACTCCTGCCTCGACTGTCATGCCAGCTTTCCCTCCTCATAATATAGCCAATTCCGTCTTGGCCCAATATTAAACAAAGTTCCTCACCATAATCACCCACAAATTCTTTACAGACTCGCTACACGCAGCTTACGTCCCTCCCTCCCCCCCTCCCTCCCTCAACTACGCACACTGTGCTACACACCTTCAGCGCTGCATCGTCGCCAGTACAGCACGGAACCTCAAGAGCCCGTCGTCATTCCCCCACACTAACATCAGCCTCCGCGCTATAAACTTCTCGCATCGCCGACTATCAACTTTGAATCCTCAAATACGTCTACTTCCATCTTGTCATTTACGCCCCTTGGCGCCACTTCCTGGGTTATCGAACCTCTTGCTACACACTCTGCTCACAACGACGCCATGAAGCCTTCAACAAAGGGCTCTTCCAGACGGGCTGGCTGTTCAAGGTCAGTTTTTTTTTTTCATCCTGCTTCTCCACCTCCTGGTCGATCTGCAATTTCTTCCCTCTTTCTTGCACTCAATTTCACTGACACATCCCAGCCGTGACGCCAATGGCCCCGTCACCATCTTCACAGTCCCAAAGTCGGAAATCGCTGAGCAGCGCGGGAAAGCCATCTCCACTCGTCTAGGCATGCAAGTGCAGACCTGGGAGATGAGAAAAACGCAACCCGACGAGATGGTCCTTCGCCAAGATAAATCACTCCGTCTCCGTCTCCGCTGGTACTGTCACCGCTGCCATGGTGACATGACCTCTCAGGGTTCCTGTTCCAACTGCGCGCATGCTCGTTGCAAGATATGTATCCGACTGCAGCCAGACCAAGATATCGATGACAATATAGTTGGGAGAAGACCGACCCGACGCCGCTATCAAAATAACGACGAAGGCTATCATGTCCCTGATCCCACTCGTAATGAGGCAGGAATGCAGCTTCAGCGGCGCAGTAATGCTGGCGGCCCGGATTTGGTCCTTAGAAAGCCCCGTTACCGGGTGAGACGGACTTGCCACGTCTGCAAAGCCGATTTCGCCGAAGTGAGCCAGACGACGTGCAACAAATGCCAGCATGTCCGCTGCACCGACTGCCCTCGAGATCCGTGAGTCCCCCTCTTGCATACACTTCACCGAATCTTCCCGTTGGGTCTTGTCTTTTCCTCTTCTGTCCCGCAACACTTACCACGAGTGTTCATATGACTAACATCTACGCAGACCAAAACTCAGCAAATACCCGTTCGGCTATCCCGGCGACGTATTTGGTCCCAACAGTATACCGTACTACGAATGCATCAAATGTTGGACTCTGTACCCCCCGCATACAGAGAACGGCACTTCATGCAGGAAGTGTGGCGAGCAAAAGTCCGACAACTCACCCAGAGTCCAACCGCGAGCCGTAGATCGAGATTATGATCCGAATTTCTTGCTTAGACTCGAGGCAAAACTGGACGAGCTCAAAGCACAAAGGGCTGAACCTTTTCTAGAACAATGAGCTTCGCCTTGCGTTGGAGTGTGTTGAACGACGGCGGGCGCTTCCGACTCTCTGGAGAATATGGCAGGCCCTTGTTTTTTTTTTTTTTTGGTTCAATTTCTCCCAACATATACTCTCCAAGAGGCTCCTTTGCAGCTATCCTAACCTGTTCTTGGATTGCTGTCTATTTAGGTACAATGCCTTCTTTTTAACATGATCATAAGCAGGCATCGGAGTTCTAAGGAGGTGGCATTCAAGCATATAACATTTCTATAGCACATCAGGCATTTATACCAGGGTAATACTTGATGATACATTGACATATATGCTTCTTTGATCCACGCTTTGCTCTTTGGCCTTTCTTCCAGCTTGGGTGCATGCAAAAGGATCTAAATCAGCAAGACGGCATCATCTCTGCTGCGCAAGGCGGCACGGGCCTGCTCTCATCACAAAACGGCAAAAGACCCAAGGAAAAAAGGGCGTGTGCAAAACGCCACACCATGCAGCTTGCGCTCATGCAGCTTGCACTAGAATAGGAAAATCACAATGGCTGTCTCCAAGCGACCGGAAAAAAAAAAAAAAAAGAAGTGTGCGCTTTTTTTTTTTTAAATTCTCTTGTTACATACAAGGGCGGATGCAGCCGCACTATCCGCACATCTGCGTGGCTGAACCAGAACTCCCTTGCACTCAGCCAAAACGCCTCGGATCGACAGCATATTGACAGTACACACGCAAACACGGGTTACATTCAGTGCATTTGTACGGATTAGCTGAGGGAGGGAGAATAAGACTTGTGACAGAAATGCGCCACTGCCGTATGAGTTTCTCGGAGGATCCTCCGAGACCGAAGCGCGCCATGCCACGTGTATTTCGTGCCCAAGACCTTGTCTTGCTTTATTATTTCCCCGTTCCGTTTCCTTCTTTTCTTTTGTTCTTTTGCTGCCTTGAATTAGTATGCAGTACGGATAGATGGATCACACATTCCGGTGAAAAAAAGGCAACGACCCCGTATGCGTTGCAGGCCCTGCAAGCCCAATGGGAAGCGCATTTTTCTTTTTTTTTTTTTTTCCAATTTCCTTCTTGGAAGAGAAATGGTCTTGTTTTCTCGCACATCAGCCTCCCGCGTGGGGAGAACTGGGAGTTATAATATGCAAGTGCGCGCACCGAAACATGGCGGTTGACCCGAAATTAAGCGTCTTGTCGGTATGCGTGATGCGTCACTTTGCCTTCTATCCTGCATGGGTGTTGCTGAAATGCATCTTGCGCAGTCGTTGTCCTGGCAAGGGACCATCTATCATCTTGTATTGAAGTATTGTCAGCATTAGGCGTACATGACAATAGTCATTAATTCCTGATTGTCTTGATTCTTCATACTGCCTAGCCGCTGAGAAAAGAGACGACAACACCTCTCGCTTAAACTTAATTAATGTACAGTCATCTTTCTTGTTCGTCAGGCTTGCTCTTGCCAGCTGTCTTTGCCGGCCATTGGCCACAGCTATTATACCAGCGCCGCCTGTTTTGCATGCTCACATTCGTCTGATTTCCTCGCGCACAAAATGTTCAAAGGCGAGCCTAGCGCCTGCCGGTACGCTCCCGCCCAGCGTCTCCAACCTGTTGACCTGGCGGCCCAGGTACCGTCCAATGCCGTCCATGCGGCTGTTCAGGTAGGGGTGCTGGTCCTCAATCTGGCGGCGCGCCACGGCGGCCTCGAACACAGGCGCGTTGAGTAAGGGCATAACGCGATGCGTCGGGTAGAAGCGGCCCCGGATCGACTTCTCCTTGAGGCGGACGCCATCGCCACCCACCACGACCCATCCGTAAAAGGTCCCAGGTTGTACCGCTTTCCTCCAATGCGACTCATCCCGCAAGACGACGGGCAGCTGATCCACGGGGACGAGCGTCGAGGGGTCGGCGCCCGGGTCGGCGCGCTGGTAGAGGGTGCCGCGAAAGAAGACGGCGCCCGGAAGGTCGCTGGACGTGTAGATGGATCGTAGACCCATGACAACCATGTCCTCGGACACAATATTGAGCTCCGCGGGCAGGTTTCGTACCCTTAAGCAGTCGCCCACCTCGATGCGCTCCGCGCCGAGGAAGCAGCCGTAATAGGTGATTGTCTTGGCTTGCAAGTCCTCCGACATGGGTGACCACAGCGAGTAGGACCAGTCGACTTTGGATGCCGCCATTTTTGATGCGTCAAGCAAAAGAAACTCGCGCTTCGAAGGATTTGCGCCAAACTCGCGAAACTTTTCGACCCACGGCACCTCATCGAATATCTTGTCACGCATGTCCGGAATAGACACCGGCGGCACACTAAATGCTTGAAAAGGCCGCATGTCCTTATCATGCTTGGCGACGTTTGACTGTGGGATGAGGGCATTGCCTAGGGGTAGCAATTCGTGGGCCCCAGGCTGCTGAGGGTTCTGTGCGGCAATGACACCCAGACGCCATGTGTTTCCTATTTGGTACCACACAAGCTCTCCCACGCGGAAGAGAAACGGCGATTGTAGCGACCAGCCCACGCTGCGCTGCTGTTGCGCCTGCTGCTGGCTTGCCAGGTGTGCTTGTTGCCGTGCCTGCTGCTCCGCCCGTTGGTGTTGGAGTTGTTCTTGTTGCGCTACTGCTTGGGCCTGTACTTGAGCTGCAGCCTTTGTATGTGATTGGGCCTGCGCCGGTTGCGCCTTGGGCACTAATTCCGGCTGTCTAGTCGCAGGTTGTCCAGGGATCGTCGGTAATGGCACGGGCGTCACTTTAGGTTGTGCCTTCTCCGGCTTCGCTGGCGGTAGCGTCGGTGTATTGCTAGCTATCTCGTCCATGGCTGTGGCGACTTTTGCCATGTTGATTGAGTTGCAGTGAACGCAGCAGCAATCTTTGTATTCCTTTGACGATGAGAGGAGCCATATCAGATGTGCCGCAAACTCTTGGGGGGTCTTGAACAACTTCGATTTGACTGGGTACCCAGACACCCAGATATGCTTCGATTTTTCATATGGCCAGTATCCCCGGGGAAATTCTACAAACCAAGGATTGCCTTCTGATTGTTTGTCAGTATTGCTTCATTACCAGGCACTAATACTGGTTCCACAAGACTTACCATCAGGGGTGGGTGACAGTTCCATCTTGAGAATAATTCCGAGTTTCACTTTCCATTCAACCAAACGAGGATCATCTTCAGCTAGGCGTATCATTTGCGGCTTTGCTCTGGGTATCTTGTCCGTTGCCTCCTTGGCAGTCTTCTTGGGCGCTGGCGCCGGCGCCGTTATTGGCCAGTACCCTGGGCCGGTATCTGCGCCATCACTTCGCGCGACGCGCACGACGTCAAATTCCTTCAGCTCTGCCATGCTCAGCCTCTATCAGTAGACTGCGTACGCGTCTCGGCATGCGCCAGCGGTTTCGCCTCCACAGTGCTGCCTTTGGTCTCAGCGGCCTTCCCTGGCTTTGTCCGACAGTTCCCAGATATTTTCGAGTCTCTGCCCAGCCCAATGCAATTCTACTGTTTCATGCGCACCAATTGATATATGCGTCACGCATTTATGCCCTCTAAGTCGCGTCTATGAGGAGCTGTGCTTCGATGCGTGATGAGGCAAGCTTGTCAAGGTTCGGGCAGAAGTCCCAGTGATAGAAGTTCGCCCAGGCTTGATGAGTCAGCGTTGGTGGTAGCAAGCAACTACCCGGCAGCGTCGTTATTCTTTTTTTTTTTTTTTTTTTTTTTTTTTTTTTTTGATTGCCTTGTAATGCGTGATCAGGCTTGGAAAGAAAAGAAAAATGATAAGTTACTGTGTGGCTTAATTAAGTCTGCAGAACGGTGATTTGTTTATTCTGACGTGCCTCTTCTGCTCGTTGCTGCATTTCCATTTCGGGGCTTCGTCTTCTCTCATCCCTTTGCCTGTCAAGAAGGAGCAAAGGGATCACTAATTAGGTGTTACGTACCTAACTACTAGATCCAGGAAAGACGTGCAGACGCAGTGCGAAGAACTCACAGAATCCATAACATTTCAATCACCAAAGAATTGCTCGGGTTCTCACGAGAAGACGAACGAGAGACAAAAATATCCTTCTCGATAAGACTTCTGGTGTTGGCAGTGAGTGACTGTGGCGTCATACCGCGCACTGCCACACCTTAAACGCGTAAAGAGGACGCGACTAGCCACCCCTCCATTTTGCGCTTGCATATTCAGAGTCGCACGGCTTTCCTTTACGGCAGCAAGAACCACACCTTCTGCACAATGGAGACCCTAAGTGAAACTCAGTACAGCAATAAAAATCGAGCATTCCTTCAGGCAATGCTTGCAAGGAGTTCCATGACCTTTCGCGAATCGCGCCCCGTCATCGCCGCCATACTCAACGCCGATAATAATGGCAGTTTAGTGCGCCCAGAACAAGTGACGGAAGAAACGTTTGACATTTTCATGCGAACCGCTCGAGAAGCTGCATCTCTATTTGATTACGAAATTCGAAGAACGCAACATCAAGTCACCAAGGAACGAGTTTACGCTTTCGTCAATACTGCTTCTGACGCGCAGACGCAACTTGCGACAACATTCAGCCACGATGAACTTGCGTTCATCAAGCGAGCCCTGGAGGCTATGTTCGACAAATACAACACACCGCGAATGGAAGTCATTGCACTCACCGACATGCAGGCTGTAAAGCTCGCGAGACCCAATCGCAGGGAGAGCGCCGTCGACCGAACCGAAGACGAGCCCGAGCAGTCGCAGGCAATCACAGACAAGGGCCTGAAGCACAGCGAAGTCGAGACAGTGCTACAAAACCTCGTCGGTGGTGGATGGTTTGAAAAGAGCAGAGAGGGGTTTTATTCGCTGACGCCGAGGTCGCTCCTTGAGCTAAGGCCGTGGCTCCTGGGCACGTTCAACTATCCGGATGCAGAAGAGGGAGAATGGCAGAGAATCAAGTTTTGCGAGGCATGCAAAGACATTGTGACGGTAGGAGTGCGCTGCGCAGATCCCGACTGTAATATCCGAGTCCACGCCATCTGCGAGGAGGCTTTTTGGCGAACGAGACGAAACAAGAATTGCCCCGGATGCTCGAAAGAGTGGACGGGAAATTTGTACGTGGGAGAACGGGCGGTAACATCCACGCAAGCATATCAAAGAGGGCGTCGTCAAAGTGGCGGCAGAAGCGGTAATTTGGCGGACGAGGTAGTACAGCAAAGCATGGCCGAATATGAGAGGGAGTAATGAAGTAGCAAGAAGAGCAGCTTACATGGTCTAGAAAACATTGATATCGGTACGGAATTGGGAAGGAACCATGTATACTAATGATACCCACACTAGAAATTGATCATTACAGACGCGCCCGTGCATGTGCTTGCGCACTGCAGCTGCACGATGGAAATCCAAGGCGGAAAGCCGCATGCCAAGGGGGGGCTGGGCGAAGCCTGTTCGCACCTGTTCGAACTGTGTGCGAAAGAAAGAACGAAACACACAGACCAGCAGTGCGATTTGCCATGTTCTTTTCTGATTCAGTGATGCGGCGACTAATAAAACGACGTACAACCTGTGTCTTTGTTCTTTTGCTTGGCGCGCGGCAATGTTTGAGTACAATCACAAGCTTGTGTGGAGTTCAGCTGGGATGAACGCTCATGACGTCGCGTCCATATTAACTTGGTGGCAGTGCCAGGGCGGCCTCTTGCCCAACCGCCGCTAATAATACGGGATCGATCTCTAGCCCCAATACATTAATTGAACCAAGTTTCGAGTGCAAATCATCTCTCAACTTTACCAAACTTCTTCAACACAGTCGAAGCCGTTCAGATACCCTCAAATTAATTGTGCTGAAACGCTTCGCAGCCTGCGCCACCCACGATGATCGAATACTTTACCTATAAAAAGGTCAAAAAGCACAACGCTCAGAAGAAGGCGAAGCAAGAGGCGGATAATGCAAAAGCTTCGGCGAATGATGCCACGACTGCCGATGACATTGACCATGGAACTGCCAAACTGCTAAAAGGCAAAGAACGTGACGATGGCAACGGCGATGTGGACGCCGTGTTGCGCGAGGACGACGAGCGCTTCATCGCAAATCTCCTCGCCGAGCACGACGGCCCCGCGCCCCCTCTGCCTCCCCGCATCGACGTTTCCGACCTTGACTGGCCCTCCGACAACGACGCCGCCGCCGCTGCGGGCCCCGCAGCCGCCGAGAAGAACGAGGTCGCGACCAAGGAGGAAGCCAAGGCGGACAAGAGGCCCAACCGCTTTTCGCTCCTGTTTACGCGTCACAAAAAGGCCGAGGACGGCCTGAAGCCGCAAGACGCGCAGCTGGCCACCACGGAAGCCGAGCGCGAGAAGAAGGACCTCGGCAACGTGCTGGACCGGCTGAACCTCTCGGCTAAGAACAACAAGATTGTGCTCGGCGGCGGCGACTCGGCGGCGCTCTTGGCCAAGTTTACCCAGGTCTTCAAGGACCTCGTCAACGGCGTGCCGACCGCTGTCGACGACCTGACGAGCCTTATCGAGGACCGCGACGGCACCATTGCAAAGGGCTTCGACAAGCTGCCCTCGTCGCTCAAGAAGCTCGTCACGCAGCTGCCCGACAAGGTGACGGCCACGCTGGGGCCCGAGATCCTCGCCGCCGCGGCGGCGAGCCAGGGCATCAAGGCCAACACCGACGACGGCCTCAAGGGCACCGCCAAGAAGATTTTCCTCCCCCAAAACATCATCGAGCTCGTCACAAAGCCCGGCGCCGTCGTCGCCATGCTGCGCGCCATTGTTGAGGCGCTCAAGACGCGCTGGCCCGCCTTTATCGGCATGAATGTCCTCTGGAGCGTCGCACTATCATGTAAGTCTTTTTTTTTTTCCCTACCCTCTTCTCACACAAATAGTAGTGCGAGTTTTTTTTTATTTTTATTTGGCGTTTCGCATCGCTGACCGGTTGATGATAGTGCTATTGTTTGTGCTGTGGTACTGCTACAAGCGTGGCCGCGAGGTCCGCCTGGAGCGCGAAAAGACGGAGAATGTGATTGATGGCAGCGACCGCTTCGAAGAGCTCCCGGATGACCCCATGCTCCCTGAACCATCTCGAGCAGAGGTGACGCCTCCGGAGGAGACAACGGCAGCCTCGTCCAGTCGCGAGCTGACCGAGGGAGAAGTAGTGGCGACATCTAGCAAGGCGAAGTAAGATGTCTACATACTGACTCTGACGATGAGTCTTTATAACGTAACGCGTGATGAAATGAAATACCTTTTATAGCACATTCAATAATACAAGGCAGTGAACAACATGCCGAATTCAGCGTGCACATGTTTGCTCATTATATTAGGGGTCGCATGACGGGTATCATTATTCGTGAGAAGTGCCTGTAAATGAGACGTGCTATAATGCGGCAGTCTCAATCATCTTCCACCAGCTCTTTAATTTCCTCGCGGCCGGGGGCCAAGTTCACCGCCTCCGTCTTTACATTTGCCCCCCCCAAGGCGGAGTCGTGACCGCCGTCTTGCATCCAGAAATCCACCTCGTCAATGATGTCGTACACTACGTCCTCTGCCACCTGTTCCTTGTATCTGTCTGCCACTCCCCGCAGCGTCTTCTTCTGAGGCTCTGTTGACACAACATCGAGATCGGGCGGAGGATACCAGAAGTTTGGCCCAAAGTTGACTTCTGCCGCACCGCCTCGGAATATGCTCACGGCCGGGTAATACCCAAGCATACCATCGTCAAGGCCCTCGCGAGCGCCAACCTGCGGCATGGGCCGCGAGGCTGGGGGTAAGAAACCTAGTAGGTTCTCGAACGGTGTTCCCATCAGCACACCATTCTTGTATACTTTGATATAAGAGTTTGGCAGCGTTCGGAGGGCAGGTGTGGAGTGTGTCGGATGAGGTGGGTGTGAGTTGGCGCTGGCAGCGGTGGATGGCGACGGGTGCATCAGATCCTCCAGCTCGCGCGTAGTGTGATACTCAATCTTCTCAAAATAGGTATGTGCCTTGAAGCGAATGGGAACGCGATCACGGACAATGTTTGGCCCCTCTGCCGTCGGGCGAGGAGACTCGTCGGCAGCATCAACAGCAGGGTGGTACTGGCCGGCCATGATCTTGCGTTGTAAGCGCTCAGAGGGCAGCTGGATCTCTAATCCGATAACATCGCCTTCGCAAATGCCCTCGCCTGCTGGGAAGAACTCCTTTGGACGGGACATGTGGACTTTTTCTCCAGCTACGTCGCGAATGCCATAACTGTAGGCGTCAAACCCGACTGGCGCATCCAATGATGCTTCACGTCTTGCCCATCCCATGCGAACGTGCTTGCCACCCTCCGGTTTCGTCTCGCCCGGTGGCGGGGGACGCACTCCTTGAGTGATTTTGCATTCCCAATACCACCGGCCCTCTCGTACTGCAACATTGGCGCGTGCCATTCGGAAGCCCCTGTCAGTGGTGACTGTTCGGGCTGTTTTGTCAAAGAAGACGTGCGACGCGGCATCCTCGAAGCTAAATCGGGGCCCGAATGGCTCCGGCTCTGTCTGGCGATAGTAGATCATGGAAGGAAATCGCGGGTCTGCTATGCAGTGTGTATATCGAAAGTTCTTCTTGTTGGCGACGCTACGAATATGGTAAGCAAATCGCACATCAGGGATGGCGGCTCATGGTGTCCAAGGTAGCCTACTGGTCAGATGTCTCGAAAAACTCAATAGCATCACCATTGCGCATGATGGCTTCATGATGCTGTGTCAAGACGGGCCCTCTTGGAGGTTCAAAGTCAGAAAGCTTTGGTGGCGCAAGCTTGTAGCGCAACGGACTTGATTCACTTTGTTCGGTTTCCTTTACGGCGGCCTTGGGGTCAGGGGTCGGAGGTATGCTGTCGCCCTTGGCTTCGCGCTTCTTCAGACTCTCCTTCTTCACCCTACTAGGCTTCGACCGAGAGGATTGCCCATCGTCGTCTGTCTGTGAGGGCGGGTCTGCGAATTTGACATCGGGGTTCAAGGGCGATGGCCGCGCAGGACTGTGGACCTCGTCAATGGCACGCTTTTGAGGGATTGAGGATAGAGTCAATGTCGACGCAGGCTCTTGTTTAGAAGTTTCTAAATCAGAGGCCATGATGTGCAGGCGAACGAGTTGAGCAGGTAACGAACGTAAATTGACGAGCTAAACGCGTCGCGACATGAAGCGCTGTGGTTGCGCCGAGAGCTTGCACCCCACCAAAGGAGCCAGAATGGAAGAAAGCTGCGTCATTAGGTCAGCAGGTGCGCTCGGATCAGAAGATCAACTGATAAAGGCTTGAGCGAGAGCCAAAGTGGCTTAGCGCATGGCGACCTCGAGCTAAGAAAAAGCCCCCTGTGGCTCCTTCGTGGCGCGAGTCTGCAAAGTGGCCAATGACAGCGAGCCGAATGTAATCAATGCCTAATTTACAGGCTTTCTCAGGAGCCGTCAGTGTGCGCGCAGCCTGGAAACCCCACCGGACCAGCCGACCCAGCTTGTATCTCGGTGGTGACGCTCCAGATAATCGGTTGTCGGATCCGTCCCAAGTTTTTGGTGCCTGCGAGAAGCACCAAGTACCAAATAGTATTTGAGACTGCGAAAAAGCCGCCTTCCAAGGCCGAAAGGAGCAGCCAGCGCTGCGAGAGACGACGCAGCAGACTGGGCGAGGAGCCAAAAAAAACTCGTACCGACTCCGGTGCCATCTTGGATTCTTGACCGCCACCTACTCGGAGTTAACTGGACTCGCTATACTTCTGAGCGGCCGTACTCGTCGCGACTAAATTGGCCACTCGCCTGTCCCGGGTCTAGCTGACTGACCCAAGGAAAACTGTTTTCATCGCAGCCCCTTCCCAGGACATTTGCTCTCCTGCAGCCACAACAGTCACTTCGACACGGACAGCCGACGCGCTCTGGGACGCTGCTATCGCCCGCTTATCACAGCACTGCGCCTTGTCACGCCATATACCCTACCTGATTTTGCCTTGGCCACATCTTCGTCGAGGGTGGACACGTTGACGTTGCCCACCACGCGGTTGTTTGATTTTGCCAACGCCGGACAGCCGCCACTTGCGTCGGCCTGATCAGCAGTCTTTTCAACTCAGTCGGTTGTAGCCTGTTGGGACTCGTGTGCTGCGCTTCGACGACCTCTCGGAACCTGATGCATCGTGAGCGCTGGTTATAACACTACGCCAACTGTCGCTAGCGCACCAACTTATCAGCACAACCATCTACTGACGAAGTAGTCTTGATCCAATCATGGCTGACGCCTCACGACCAGCGACAACCGTGTCGCATCCGCGAACAGCCTTGCCTTCGCGGCCCCTCGAAAGGGGCCGTGAAAGCTCGACTACCGCCGCTTCCTCGCGACCATCACCCGATGGCGAGAACCAAAGACAAACCCTGAAGAACGGAAGCCGAAGTCCAAGCGCAACCAGCGCCGCAGAACCATCTTCTAAAGGAGCTGGATCCAAGAAGAAGCAACAGTCTGGTGCCTCGTCGAGCCACGGCCAGATCTGCAGGTATGCAACCCATGACTTTACCGTAATTGGATCATAGCTAACACATCAACAGCAACTGCGGAACGACAGAAACACCGCTATGGAGAAGATCTCCGCAAGGTGCTACCATCTGCAATGCATGTGGGCTCTATCTACGAGCCAGAAACTCGGCCCGACCAACAAATTTAAAGAAGCCACCAAAGGTAGTCTCTACGGAACTACCTCTGGCAAGCACATCAAGAGCCGGCGACTCCGGACAAGACTCCACGCCCAAAGTCGCTGGTGCCACCTACGTTGCTGCGGAAAAGACGCCATCGGGGACATGCCCGGGAGGTGGACGTTGTAACGGGACAGGCGGCGCGGAGGGCTGCAATGGTTGCCCAGCATATAACAATCGCGTTTCGAAACTCAGCATGCTACATAGGCAAGGTGGCTGTCAAGGAGGAGATGAGACAGCTAGCGATGGTCCAGCCCCCATTGACGTGAATGCGCTGCAAGCGCAAAGCCAACAGTCATCTGTTATTGCTTGTTCGAATTGTGGTACTACGATCACGCCGCTTTGGAGAAGAGATGGAGAGGGCAATATGATTTGCAACGCATGCGGTAAGTAGGCGATGAGTCTATCTGATCCTTGTATGCTAACGCGAGATCTCTGCAGGCCTGTACTATAGGCTCCATGGAGTCCATCGACCAGTGACAATGAAAAAGGCAACGATCAAAAGACGCAAAAGGGTAATTCCTTCAAATCAAGAGGAGGAAGGCGAAGATGGGGATTTGGCGATGGACTCACCCAGCAACGAGACTACACCCGAACGAGGCACCATGAATGATGACGGATCTATCAATCTCGGACTACGTCGAAAGCCCGAGGACCCTGTGCCAATGGATTTGGACACGCCACGACATGAAGCGAAGCACCCATCACCTCTTCCAGTGCCACTACCGTCTGCATCGGACTTGGCAGCCTATCGCCAAACCCCGTCCTCAACTCGAAATGCGCAGACTTTCTTGAATGACGAGAACCGATTACCACCTCTCACGTCAATGACAGCCGGCTCCGAAAGACAGTCGTCATTGTCGCCTTCTTCATTCATCTCGCCTCGTAGGAAAAGATCATTTTCCGCTACAGATCCTGCTTCTGTTGTCGGCACAGAGGGAGGCTACGACAGTGCCAAGCGCGTGTCGTCCATTAGGGATATACTGAATCCAGCGTCAAACTCGACTTACGAAGCAAGGGGTGGCAAACCAGAGTACTCACTTGCGCCGCTGAGATCTCCGGCTGAGGGCTTTACGCCGGTTAATCGCCCCAGTGCGTATTCTTCGCGTGATGGCACCCCGACGCAGAATAATCAGGAAAATGATCAAAGAGCAGAACGAACACAGCTGCTGGAAAGAGAAACGGAAAAGATGCGTGAGATGCTCGCTGCAAAGGAGCGAGAACTGTACAAACTCAGGTCCAGCTGAATGAGGGCTGATGGGGTCACGGCCGCACGCAGAGATGGTTCGACGGCAGAGGAACGATTAATGACTCTCTTATTGTTTTATGGCATGGAGCTAAGGGCACTGGAGAATGCATAGCTACATGGTGCAACGGTTGAAGGCGCTTTGGTATTTTTGGTTTTGCACCATGATTTGTTTTTTGTTTTGGAAGTTTGCTTCCGAGAGAAGTTGGTCCTGTCTGATACGATTGGGGATGGAAGAATGCGAGACTGGAACAGAGAGAATTGGGAATATGAATTGCTTTCTTGTATTAGTTTAGATGGAAAAGGTCCGCACCAAACTGCTAGATGGACCCATGGTATGGGCGGTAACGTGGTTATAGAAAACCTTTTTACAACATGAATGATGCTAATGAGACATTTTGATGATTGTAATACTACGCCAGTGTGCAATGCTTATGCTTGATAACCTTTGAAGGCGTACCGAGGCCAGGCAGATCGAGTCACATCAATGTGCAGGTATGCATGGCACGTGCTGCGGACGCGTCGATGCTGCGAGGTCAAGCTGCGGTGCGAGGGTCCGGGGATGTGGATCCGTCGACCGTCGACCAACTCGGCGAAGACGCGCAAGTACGAGTAAGCATGATGAGCATGGCTAGCACGGAGGGCAAAAGAAAAAAAGGCCGTTAGGAGGCGTGAGGAGGTACTTGGTCAGTTTCAGCCGCTCCGCGACCGGGAAGGTTCCAGAGCCTTGCGAAGGTTTGCAGGGCATTGACGCCGCCCCCGCGCTTGGATGAGAACGGGGGGACGGTTCTGTATTATTAATGCTGCATGCACGAAGCCACTGACCATCAGCCTCACGAGGCGCAATTGAGGCTGTTGCGATGATGCGCACGTGTATCATTCGAATTAGGACATCAATTGAGACGGAAGGATAAGATGGACAATATCATCTGGCGAATGACCATCGAGTACAGTTGAAGCCTACAGGTGAATTTTTGACCTTGAGTACGCCCAGCTCCAAACCCCAAAAGAGGACAGGAAGATTCAGTAGTGCTGAACAAGGCGGTAACAACACCGACTTTTGATTGCAGGTTGGAGCACCTTCCTGGGGTTTGTGCATTGCAGATCGAATGGCGTGGGGGTGCAGTTGGAGTCATCTGAGCATTATCAATCTCGGCAAGCATCGGCGCACCTCGTTGAAACTATCCGCGACTACGCTATCAGTGATCTCTCATTTGTTTTTAGACTTTTTTTTGGGTTGTTCTTGGGCCCCAAAGATAGGATCCGCGGAGTAGTTCGATACTGGAAGCCGCGTGGTGGAGGGGCGGCCGGGCCGACGACTTGGCCGAAAAGAGGAAGATGCAAGAATGTGATGGAGTATTCTAGTGGTTTTGGTCGAGTTGGACGAGGCTTGACTGAATCGTGCATCACAAATTGTGTATGAGTACAGTGAAGTTTGAGCAAGTTTAGTTGAATCGTGAACGTGCATTGTTTGGTTTGCCAATGGTACGTGGAACGAAAAGTGCCGGTATTGCGTGCCCATGTATGTATTCCGTACATCCGCAAGTAACCAGGCATGAAGTGCTCAGTTCTCAGTCGCGGCTGGCAGGCAGAATCCGGCTGGGCGCGGTACTCCGCAATTGACGGTAGGGGCTGACGGTTATTTCCACGGTATAGGTAGTTATTGGGGCCAAGTGGCAGAGCCGTTAGTTTAACGCCGTAAAAGGTGCATTAATATGATGCGGTTGGTGGTGGTCACTACTCCGTACTTGGACTCTCCGCCCAACATGTCAAAGCAAGGGCGCAGAATTGACAAGTCGGGCTCCACAGGCCGTCAACTGGTGGGCTGTTTGAGGACCGCCTCTTGCGCCTCCGGATCGGACTGGGACCCGCTGTTGCGTGACTCTGGGCCAGCCTGTTCATCTGATTGGAGCGTTTCAGGAGTAGAAGGAGGCTACTGGTGGTTTACAGAGGACTTGTAGCGGTCCATAGGACAAAATCTCTAAAATACATGCCTCTTCGCGCTAATTCATGCTCTCTCTTGCAGGCCCACCTTGCTATAACCACTGACTTGCAGGTACCTACAGCCCTCTGTAACCCACTGACCGGTCTTCTCTCTTCTCCTGCCCCAAAGGCCCCAGAATGCCCCAGAAATGCTGGCCGTTTAAACAAAACTCACCACCATCCTCCATCCCCGTTGTCTACAACTCTTCCGTATTCTTCGCATCAACATTGTCTGCCCTCGATTTTTTCAATCTTGCCCATCATTTCTGACGGATCACTCAGGCTCCCTTGCTTATATATCATCATTACTTTCGCTCTTCTCTAGCTCTTACCACTCTCCACTGCTTCATCTTTCACGCCCTGCTGTATACACGCCGTTTGCACCGGCCGACCAGCTTACACACTTTTGACTTTTGACAACAAGTGCGCCCTTAGATCCCATCCGCTATCGCGCCTTGCCAATGAGACACTCTTTCCCGCCTTGATCTCGTTCACGCCCTTGCTGAGCCCCTTTCTTCATCCCATCCCCCCCCAGCCATCACTTGCACTCTTAGCATGTCTGGCTCCATGGACGAGTTTGTCCACTGGGACGAGGCTGGCGCTGCCATTGGCGGCACCACCGACTTTCAGCTCGACACCGAGAACCTCGATCTGGTTCTTGAAAATGTCGACGAAGATGACTTTGGCTTCTCTGCTCTCCAGCACTACTCTGGCGATGCCAACCTGGACCTCTTTGCCGTCCCCGGCGTCATGTCCGATCCTATCCCCGAGGCCTGGTATGATGCTCCGCAGGCCGCCTGCACCCATTGTGCTGCCGGAAGCTTTACCTGCAAAAAGATTCGCGAAGGTAGTCACAAGGGCTACTGTACCAGCTGCGTTGCGCTCCGTGTCGAGTGCAGCTTTGCCGGGGCTCTGGCCGATACCAACGTCGCCATCGAGCCATCAGCAACCTTGCCTTCGAACCCTTGGTCCGTCACCGGCCAACACTCCAACCCCATACACTCTAGCTTTGCCAACTTCAATGCTGCGACTATTACGGCTCCAGTTCCAGTTCCAGTCCCAGTTCCTGCTACTCAGTCTGCCGAGAATAACGGCATTTTTGCCCCGGTGCCCATTGCGCCACCCAAGATTGGCGCCCGTTTCTCTCGCGAGTCTGTCCGCATACTCAAAAACTGGCTTTCCACTCACACCAGACATCCCTACCCCAGTGAAGAGGAAAAAGAAATGCTGCAGCGTCAGACTGGTCTGAACAAGACGCAAATCACAAATTGGCTTGCCAATGCCCGTCGCAGAGGCAAAGTCCAACCCCCTCGATCAGTCTCTCCCAACATCAGAAACTGGTCCACCTCGGGTTCAATGGACATACCGCAACGTCGCGGAACACCTGCCCTCGAAGCCATGAACCCACTGCAGCGTTGGCAGGTCTCTCCTCCAGAACACGAACCGGCCTCGGTCAGCGCCATTGCCAGGGCCGTTACCGCTTCGTCTTCTGCCCTGTCCTCAGGGCTCAACTCGCCTTACAGCTTCAACTACACCGATGACGGCTCCAACAGGTCGCTTTGTAAGGAGTCTTCAGCATCTAGTGTGGGAACATCGCAGTCTAGCAATGGTTCATTTGGTTCGGCATATTCTCACGGCTCCAGACACTCCTGGGGATCTTTTGGCTCTGCGCCCTTCAACAGCCGAGGCCGCCGCCGTCGCCGTCGCCGGGGCGCCACCAAGCCCGACGGCGACGCCAATCTCTCTGCACCATTGAAGACCTTTCAATGTACTTTCTGTACCGAAACGTTCAGAACAAAGCACGACTGGCAAAGACACGAAAAGTCTCTACACTTGTCTCTTGAACGATGGGTCTGTACCCCTCATGGGCCTCGTGTCATGAATCCGGAATCAGGACAAATGTCTTGCGTCTTTTGCGGCATTGCCAACCCAGATGATGCGCATATTGACTCGCACAATCACTCTGCTTGCCAAGAGCGCGCCATTGAGGAGCGGACATTCTACCGCAAAGATCACCTCAACCAGCACCTTCGATTGGTTCACAATGTCAAGTTTTTGGACTGGGCGATGAAGCCGTGGAAGATTGCGACGCCAGAGATCCGCTCACGCTGTGGTTTCTGTGGCATCGTGATGGATTCTTGGACTATTCGTGTAGATCATCTTGCAGAGCATTTCAAGACTGGTTATTCCATGGCTGATTGGAAGGGTGACTGGGGTTTCGAAGTGCCCGTTCTCGACATGGTTGAAAATTCCATCCCGCCCTGTATGCGACCACTCAAATTTCCCATAGACAAGATTGCGACGTCTGACCTTTGGCAATAGATCTTATTCATCATGAGCGAACCTCACCTCTACCCTATGTTGCCCTCCAGTCTCCGCCTGCGTCTCCGCGTAATGCGTACGAGCTCATCAAGCTGCAACTAGCCAACTTTGGCTCTTCGCACTGGGAACAATACGGAAAGAACCCGACCGACGAAGAACTCTGCCTGGAAGGATGCCGTATCATTTTTGCCTCCGAATTGCTGTCTATACAAGGCATCGCCACCCAAGTATCCTGGCTTCGTGACATTGTCATGAATGACGAAGAAATTACTCGTCAGGCCAAGTTTGGACCGCTTCTCCGTGCCGCCGAGCTTCAGAGTCTCAAGATTAACGGCAAGGACAATCTGTTTGAGGAGTGTCCGATGGAAATTCAGCTTCACCAGTTTGTCAAGGCCAAGAGGTTGCTGGGCTTGATTGCCATGGATGATGAGCTGCAAGAAGAGGCTTGCCGAATCGTTGGACGTGTTGAAGAAATTTGCACTTTCCCCTCCGAGGCTGTTGCCAATTGGCTACTTCGGCTGATCAAGCGGTCGACCTCCTGGTTGGCCCGCTTCCGGCGCCGCGCCCATCTGCCCAGAACAGAAGATATCAAGAGCGACACCATTCGTTCCAAGGATCTCACCTCCATCGACTCAACAATTCACAGCTATTCTAGACTGGAATGTGAGCTTGGTGATTTCTTGAAGGCCCAGCGCAGCTTAGGCAAGGAGCCCACAGACGAGGATCTCCAGCGTCAGGCGCGTATCATCATTTACGAGTTCGATGATGGATGGAACCAGACGGCGGCCGACAGCATGCAGTGGTTGGACGCTTTCAAGGAACGACATGCGCTGGTGGAAAAGACGCCAGACAGCATGGACAAGACATCCCCGGAACAGTCTGATCAGGCTACGGCTGTAGCTTCACCCAGTTCACAGTGGGCAGCGCCAGGCAAGAGGTGGCCAAGCGCCGTGAGTGCCAAAAATGTCGAACCAGCCCAATTCGGTAAACACAGTAGCGCTCCATCGTTCCTCAATGATGCAAATTGCTACCGCCGTCTTGCCAAGGAGCTGAAGAGATGGGTCGCCTCGACCACGTCGCGCAACAACCCCAGTCGTCACGTCCCGACAGACGAGGAGCTGCGCTATCAAGCACGATGGATCGTCTACGACGGTGACGACCCTTGGAACCAGACTGCAGCAGACAATGCCGAGTGGCTGCAGAGGTTCAAGCGCGACGTGGGCATCACCAACGACGGCGGGCCCGGCCTTCCGGATAGCTACGCTTGGGCCATGGAGCAAGGCGGTACCGGCTTCGCGCCGCCCTACGCCTGCCCCAAGTCGGACAACATGGACCCGTTTGCCGGCGCCGTGCCCGTCGAGATGCGCGACGGCGCCAAGCCCTTCCTGGCCGGGCCGACGGCCGCTAACAGTTTCCTCGACACGCTCGCGGAGCCACACACGCGTCCCGCCAAGGTGTTTTGCTCACGCGAGCTCGAGGCCCGCCTGCTACAATTCGCCGAGCGACACGCTCTCACGCACGGCGACATACCCGGCGACGTGGCGCTCCGTGCAGAGGCCAGACAGATTCTGCAGACAGACTACACGGCTGCCGACGACGACATGCTGCTCGGCAAGTTCAAGGAGCTGCTCTGCGAGAAGATGCCATTCCTCGAGCCGCAGCCGCAGCAGCCGAGCACAGACGTAGCAGCGGCGGCGGCGGCGGAGGATGCGCTCGCGGCGGCGGACACGGACTTGGACATGTTGCTGCACAGCATGGACTTTGATATGGAGCCGGACTTTATGAGCAGTGCCGTCATTGGAACAGATGGAGAAGACGGTGGTGCGTCGCTTCTCTGAGATTATATGGTATATTAGTTTTTGAATAATTGCTTTGTATTCTGTTTTCAACATTGATTTCAACATTGATACCAAAAGGAGGCATAGGATACATCTTTGGATGGGAAGCTGCGGCGGATGCATTGCATGATATTTCCTTACCAATTGTTTCAAATTAGGACTGGGTTAATTAGATTGACTGTTTCTTCTCTTGACTCTGTATGTTTCTCAACATGTTTTACTGCAACAAATACACTGGACGCTCTCCGCTTCATTCTGTCTACTGATTTGTGCTTTTTTCGACGTATGAGCCGCCCACAGACTTTTTCGCGAAACCACCTGTAACTTGTTGGTCGAAAGCTATTACATCAAGCTGCAGTATCTAATACATATGCTGTTGTTGTCTCTGTGCTCAAGCCACCCACACCGCAAACCGAACCACAAACCCACCTGCCTCACCTTGGCACATGGTATCAGTAGAAGAGGCACAATTTGTTGCCATGGCTGCCAAAAAAAAAAAAATTCCTTATGGCTTGCATAATTGTGCAAAGAGCAAAGTTCTCTAGCCCAAACAGATCTGCTGCTACACAATTCCTCCAACTTGAAACCGCTGCACCCGCACTCGCTGCCTTATCTTCTTGACACCAAATAACTCAGCCTCGACGCATCAAAGGATCCCCATCCACCAACGCCACAAAGCTCGTGTAGCTCAGTTGGTTAGAGCGTCGTACTAATACCGGATGAGCAATCGTCGACTATTGGTGATGCGAAGGTCGTAGGTTCAATCCCTGCCATGAGCACAAGAAAAAGGATTGGGATCGTGGATTTCTTTTTTTGTCCCTTTGTCCTCCCTCCTCCACAAAGAGTGGGCTGATATGGGGGCCGGCGTAGGTGGTGGATCGGCGGGTGCTGGGGAAGAAACCCAGGATGGCGTTCAAACCCTGTCCTGAGCAACACAGAGAATGTGCTGAATTTTTTTCTGAATTTTTTTCTGAAAGTTTGGGAGCCCGTTGTTGTGTGTGGTATTGATTGTATTTGAGCCGCGTTGACATTCGCTCGTCTAAGAGGCTTACATGCACTATGTATGACACGCACAACCGCACCACGATCCGGGGAACATGGACATGATCACCAATATTAGTACCTGTCCCATATGTGAGGCTGAATGAGACGGGCTAGAGATGAAGTGAAACCCTCGCCATTCCGTTCATAGCACTGCATTGTCTACTCATTTAGCAAATTATTTGGAAGTTGCTGTTGGCTCATGCCCCAGCAAGTCTCGAAGCAACTTGAGAAGATCCAGATGGCTGCCGCCATACTCCAAGCGCAAGAGAAAACGCGCTCATCACTATTGTGGGTAGGTAAATTTGCTGCACAAATCTAGATTATGCCTCTATTTAGTAATCTCCTGACGCTCTGTCTTGCTGAGCTCTGCAGTGTAGTGGTGCGGGCCTTATGACCAGATCCCAGTGCAGGGTCCGGCTTACTTAGTTGACTGTAAAACACAATTATTCTTTGTGCGGCTGTGCATATTCAGACCATTTTTTATGTATCAATATAATTCGCCGTGATTTCATTGTGTCTGTCAGCTAGGCTGGTTGCCCACATCATCGACCCGGTGTGTTGTCCCGCGTGTCATATCTGGCAGGTGCCAACGAGCCAGGAAACTCAACTCTTGGATGAGCTCGCCCACCAACTTTCGTTCTCTACACATGCACTACTACACATATTATAGCGTCGTACATTATCATCACAATGGTTTATCGCTACACTCTTCCAGCTCAGCGCAGCCCGTATGCTTGTCAGCAACGTGAGATTTGTCTCCGCAGCCAGACAATCTCCAACGCCATTGCAAGTTCACCCGGACTCAAGCGCGCAAGCCTTTATGCACATAGATCCTTGAATCCGAAAGAGGCCTCACTCGACTACAAGCCACGAGTAGAAGAGCTTGATAAGGAGAATATCAAAATCACAACATATCCGGTTTCATCGACAAATATCTTCGATGACAACAAGGACCAATATGATCCCGCCGACCCAACGACCTGGGGCATCAAGCCTCTTCCGCCGCTACCACATGGTTCATATTCACGGAAAGCCCTTTCAATCACGTCCAGCTCGGATGACGATGCCACAATGCTGCGGAGCCCAATTCTACCTCCCTATGCGGAGCCCCCAGAGGACCCCAACAACCTCGCTCAGCTCATCGAAGATCATCTTCGAATTGATGACGAGCAGCCAAGTCATACACAGCACCGCACTACGTCTTCCTTCTATCACGACCCAGACAGCGAGCCTTCTCGAGTGCAATCTCCCATATCAAACGCCAATGTGAATACACTCAGTGTCACGAATCTTGCCAAGTATGGCAAAACAAATGACAGACTTTCCAATCTTCGTTCTGAAACTCCTTCATCAGATACAGGGGATCTACTCTTGCAGGTGAGCGGCGATGCACAAGACGACTCATCTTCGGTAGTCAACAACTAGCGGACACAGCCTAGCAAGATGGTCGAGCCCTATCCGTACGGACGCCAAATCAGGCGACATCGATTTGCCAGCTTTCCCTGCGACCTAGACAGTCATCATCATGGCAGAGGATATGATGGAGTGGACGAGACTGTGGTATCGAGCCGACACAGCCTCGCACCGTCCTCAAGTGCATCTGTTGATGCTCGCTCACCTCTCCGCAGAGCGAAGCGGCGTGCATCGCATTTTTCTCTTCGCAGCTTGAGTAAGCCATTCTCAAAAAGATCGTTTCTAAATTTGAGGAAGTGGGCCAACTCCATCTACCGCAAGAGCAGCCGTCGCTTCAGCGTTGCGAAGCAGAAGCTCACGCAGCACACAGAGACTGAGCGTCGAAGCTTCTTTGCCTAGAAGGCGAACAAAACATCGGAAACACTTGGAGACAAATGAAATGAAAACCATGCATGGACCGTCACCACCAGAGCTACTATTGCTGGGAGGGGTGATATGCCAAATACCATATGTTGAAGTGAGCAAAGATTTCAAAAGCATCGGGAGAGCTTTGGAGCTGATTACAGGTATTCTTAACTGGCTGAGTTGTTGAGCATAAGTCATAATGGTGATGCGTCAGGGGCTTTATATCCAAGGTGCATAATTACAAGATGAAGAATGAATAAAAAAAATTAGACAGCCAGCCCACAGTATATCTGGTCTTTCTGCCTGTGGGAATAGTGGCAAGATTCTGCAGTTAGATCATGTACCTGAAGCTGTCGCCAGAGCCTTGGTCTTTTGCGGAGCCAACTAATCTCTCCGCCTCGTCGGGGTCCTCGCCAGCAGCATCGACACCGTCTCTATATGAGCTATGAGCATCCTTTTCGGCAAGCTTACGGTTCAAACGCTTCAAGTAGGATCGCAGGACAAAAGCACAAGCGGCAGCTCCGAGCAAGACGGCGGCACATATGCGGTGGCCCGTGGTGTAGTATGGCCCATCGCGATCGGGATAGAGTCTCGTGCCGATGAGTGTACCGAGTTGCCCAATGAACTGCATCATGGCAAAGGTGGCGCCGCGGCGCGTCTCGTCGGGCTGGCTGTTGATGCCCCAGGTAATGATGAGGGTGACGACGTTGAAGAAGCCCATGGCGGCGGGATACACGGCCAGATACCGCACCCAGGTGGGCAGCCGCAGAGGCTCGGCGATGCCCAGGACGAGATAGCCCGACGCGGAGCAGAGGGCGTGGAAGACAATGGGCAGCGTGCGGCTGCTGCGGCGGTCGGACATGTGCGCGGTGAAGAGGACAATGACGAAGGCGAGGAGGTAGGGAGGCGCGGAGAGGGCCTGGGCAGAGAGGCTGCTGTAGCCCATGCTGTGGATGATTTTGGGGAGGAATACGGGGAGTGACGAGTAGGCCAGGTTGGCCATGCAGAATATCGCAGAGGCGAGGATAGCAATGGGGTCCAAGACGACGGAGACAATGTTGCGCCACACCAGACGACGCGAGTCTTGCGCGGCGTCGTCGTCGGTGTTGTCGTCGTCGTCGTCGTCGTCGTGCTCACCCCGAGGCTTCTCCCTACGCAGGCGAAGCGTCGCAATCTTGCGCTCCCGCGGCGTCAAGTAAGCCGCCTCCTGCGGCGCGTCCGGAACGACGCCCCACGCCACGACGCCCGCCAGCACCGACGGCAGGCCCTCTACAAGAAAGAGCAAGCGCCAGGCGGCAATGGGGGACCCCGCCGCGCGGGCCACGCGCACGATAACCCAGGCGAGCGTCGAGGCGCAGGCGCTGGCGAGCGGCGCGGCGGCGATGAAGAGGGCGACGCGAAAGGCCAGCTCGCGGCGGCGGTAAAAGAAGCTCAGGTAGTAGGGGACGCCCGCGAAAGCAGCCTCGGCGACGCCGAGCAGCGCGCGCAGGGCCACGAGCGTCGGGTACGAGGGCGCGACGGCCTGCAGCGAGGCGACGAGGCCCCAGGCGACGACGGCGGCGGAGATGAGGACGTGCGCGGGGAGGACGCGGTACAGGAGCGACATCCACTCAAAGGCGCTGTAGGTCATGTAAAAGGAAGTCAGAGACCACGCGTACCACCCGGCGTAGGGGGGGTTTGTCTGGAGGTCCTCCTCCATGCCTGCTATACGAGTGTTTCCAATGTCTTTGAAAAAAAGAAAAAAGCAGAATGGGTTAGCTGCAACGGTGTTTACTGGCCCCCCAATTCCTATTATTAAGGGAGAGAGGGGGGGAAGAAGAAGAAGAAGGGATGGGAACGTGTATATAACGTACTTGAACGGTCAACAAAGCTGAGCAAAAAGAGCAGCGATAGGAAGAGGACGAGCTTGCGGTCAAACTTGCGCCGCACCACCGCTTCCTCGTCGGGCGTGTACAGGCTATAGCTCGCCGCCGTGCTGTTGCTCCGACGGCGGCGGCGGCGGCGGCGGCGCGTTCGCGCATTGCGTCGCGTAGATGATGCGCTCCGTGCGCTGACGGGCCGCGACGGCGGCGGAACCCCGGGGCTCAGACGGCCGCGCATGCCGCGCAGTTGGTAGGCCTCGGCGCCGCCCACTTCAGACTGCAGGTCCACGGCCTCCTCGTCGTCGTCGTAGTCGTCGAGGTCAAAGAGGTCATCGCTGTCATCATCGAGATTGAGCTCGGCGCCCGTCTGCGCAAAGGATGGCGAGGCCTCGCCCGGCTGCGGCCGGGACGCCATAGTCTGACTGATTTGCGCTTTGCCTCCCTTTGCCCCCCCTTCCTATGAGCGGTGACGGTGGTATATCCTAGCTTGACCGACACTTCTCATAAAAAGTATCAGTCTACTTCTGTTCAATTAAAAGTGGAAAATTCAATGGGCGCGAAAAGACGACCGAGATGTCGCGCGTCGTCACAGGGGAGATAGATGGGAGAGCTTAACTCGTGTTCGTTGTGCCTGGACATGGGGGTCAGCGATGCTCCACACGTGACGACATTGGCGGCCGATCAATAGATGAAGCATCTCGAAATACATTTTCCCTGCATGTTCTTCTCAAAAAAAAAAAAAAAAAAAACTTCTAATGTTCCAGTATAAGAATGGCAAGAAACGGCTGAGCCCCAGGCAGCGAGATTCATCGGACGATTTCCGTTTCATGTAGATCCAGACCCTCTCATGGTGGAGCGTGCCTCGAGTATCGCGCGTCGCCGTCTCACAGCATAGCGTCAACGGCGTCACTTTCTCCAAACTGCTTCTTCTGGCAATTCTACAAAAAAACTTGTTTCTCTCTCGGTGTGATTCGTCATGTGATCTTACTTTAGGTCGTGCTGATGCTGTGTATCGGATGGAGTCTGAATATGCAGCGACATGTTTCACAGCGTCAACCTTGATTCCACCGTGACCGAGAGGACAACTCAGAAGAGGAATCAAAAAGACAACATTTCTGGATATATTATAGGAGTAAATAAAAACACGTATCATGACACATCGCACGTCAAATATCGACAGCAGCGCCTGCTCATTGACTTTTCAATGGCCAGCCGACGCTCTAGCCAGCCATCTGCGCCACGCGCCACTGACATCTTTCTTCGCATTCGTAGACAATAAGTAGGCATCTCGTAAGAACAGGAGCTGTCTCTGTCTCTTAACCGGCCTGCTCCTGCTCCTGGGCCTGGCCTTCCTTTTTGCTAAACAAGCGGCGTAACCCGGCCTTTGATAGGCGATGCCGCAGAGACGGCCGACGAGTCATCCCGGGGCCACACTCTCGGCCATTGTCATCGTCTGGGATTGGCGGGGGCTTTATATGCGAGTAGTCCTGGCCTGCCGATGCCTTGGGGAGGTCTTGCGAAGGCCGTGTGCTGCTGTTTGTGGTCAAGGATCCGCGCTGAACCGGTTGCATCGTCGTGGCCATGGTGGCAGGCCGCTGCGTCACCCCTTGTTGCGGCTGCACGCGCCCTAGCTCGGATGCCGTCTCTGTCTCATCGTCTGGGTATTCGCGCACGGTGTCGCCACAGACCACCACGTACCAGCCAATGTCGGCCCCGTTCTGCACATTGTCGCGCAGCGTCGAGAACCAGGCATTCTGGCCGGCCTTGTTCGCTTTGTTGTAGGCAGCCATTTCGGCCAGCACGTCGGCACCAAGGTCGACACGTAAGACGTGGTCGGCAACGTAAGCATAAGGTCTGGTTGGGCTGACCGTCTCGTCCGGGTCGTATTCTTCGAGCAGCTTCACTGGCGACCAGGTATACTGCAGCACAGGATCGTGGGCTATCGGTACTCGCGATGGAGGGAGCGTAAAATCGTCGTCGTGGTGTTGCAGGGGCGCGGTTGGTTGTGCCGAGGTCTTGGGATTGCACGCCGCCTCGGCTTCGGCGTCGGAGATTTTGGGCAGAAAGTCAAACGTCTTTGTGAATCTGTCGAGTAATAGAGTCGCTGTGGTCTCGCCAAGGACCCAGTCGGGGGCGGCATCTTCCAAGTTGTTCAAGATGACGAAGACGCGGAGATCACGGCGATGCCATCGAAACCCGTGGCAGAGATAGGTTGGCATTGTGTGTGTGTGTGTGTGTGTGTGTGTGCCCGTCTGGCGTGCGTGAAAAACCTCGTATGACCCTATACCGCACCAGACGATGCGAGTATATACGAAAACAACCGTTGAAGGGGAACAATCGCAAGAAGCGCGGTCACAACGGATTGACGAGAGAGCGGGCGGATAGTGGTTTTGAGCTTGGCTCGATGGGGATGTCAAAGAGCCCCGTTTTGTTGCCGTGATCAGACCCGTCGTCGTCTCGAATACATGGAATAGACCACCGAGCACAAAAGTGACAGACTCGAGGTTTTCCGATAGGAGACCTGAGAGAGGATTGGATAGGTATGCAAAAGAATTGTTTGTTGGCAATCCAGAGGGCTGGTTGACTCGGCGTTACGACGGGCTGAGTTGAAAGGAAGCTGCTGGTGACAGTGGTGAGGGGATGGCAGCTTTGGAGGCATTGTGGAGAATACCTTAATGTCTGTGCTTTCCGACGACCTCCACATTGTTGAATCTATGCACTAACAGGAAACTAATCTTTCTTTTAATTAATTATAGCACGCTCTTGCAATCATGCATTCGAGTGATTCGGCAAACCGTTGACGCCACCACTCCAAGCCATGCCCAGAGCTACCTAGCTTGCGGATCGACAACTCGCAGAGTCGTAATGTCCCTTGACTGTCCGGATAGTGCCATAGTGGCACGTCAATCCACTATGATTACGACCAGAACTCCAGCCCGGATGTGAAATCGCGGATGCCGTGTCTCATTTCAATGAGAGAGCTGGACTTGTATTCTGCACCACGTACGCCAATGATGGTACCAACTCGGCCCGTGATGGATTCTCGCAGGTGCGCCCAGGCTCGTTTGTGCTGCATCGAATCTGCGCAAAAGTACCGTTCAGTACAACTCAAATTTCAAAGAAGCCAACAAGCCGAACGAACGACTAGCCAGCCAGTGTCCGCGCTAAAACAAGGCCAGCCGACTCTACAATTAATAAATCAAGCTTGGCAAACCAGTAGTGATGGGACATGATTCTGTCGTTGCTGGCCGAGATGGCGAGACGGGCTCAACTGGACGGCGGCTAACTACCCAAGGTAGCTTGGTCGAGCTCGGCGACAAGCTCACCGCGCGTCCCAAGCTCGGCGACGACAGCTGCTCCTGACCTGCCCACTGCGCGGAACAGCTAAAGTGTCTCTACTTATTCACAGAAGCAACGGTAGCGAAAACACTCGTCCTACTTTTGTCGCCTGATAATTTCAAATTGTCGTTGCATGAAGGAGGAATTTGGAACGCATTCGCCGATTGCCAAAAGCCGATATTATATGGAGCTCGAGGCGGCTCGGAGGCTTCGCAACGGTTAATAGCACCGCATATGCCTATTAATAGGCCTCTCAAAAAGCGTCCAGTTGGCCCGCTCTGATCCATTTCACCTGGCACCCTCCTAGAACAGCTCTTTGTTCTTAACCTTAATTCCTCTGTTTCAAAAAGGGCCTCGGGCTGTCGGCACTTGCTCAGAAACGTACCTACTAATGGCTAGCCTACAAGTTTGTCGCAACTCCTCGCGTATGCTTCGAGTAGCAACATCTTCACGCCTGTTCGGCCCACGTTCAATTGCCCTTTTCGCGGCAAGCCATCGCAATTTTTCTGGCATAGCGACTGAACATGGCCGTAATCGTTTACGACTCTTGCCACGCTGTACTTCAAGTCAAGCACACCTCGGAGGAGCTGCCTCGCAGACACGGCGGGATGCATATTCGACAAGTGCCGCATTGTCGCCATCAATGAGCTCAATGGGGACAGCTACAGAGACAGAGCCAATCATTCATCATGTATTCGAAAAGGTCACGGGAACCTGGCAGTACATTGTTGCTGATCCTGCCACTGCCTCGGCAGCCATCATCGACCCGGTTCTGGACTTTGACCCGTATCTACGGGAAATAAAAACGGAATCAGCGGATGAGCTTCTTTCTATTGTCAGGGAGAATGGCTACAAAGTTGACCGGATTCTGGAAACACACATCCATGCCGACCACATTACTGCCGCGGCCTACTTGCAGCACGCGCTACGTAATGATCAAGGCTTCGCACCCAGTATCGGCATTGGGAAGCGTATTGAGACAGTTCAGAAACTCTTTTCGAAACGATACTGCATTCCAGATGATGAGATTCAAAACGTTCACCAATGTCTTTTTGAAGATGACGAAATCTTCAATCTTGGGCATCTTCAGGTGCAAGCTATTCACCTCCCTGGGCACACACCGGACCACATGGGATACAAAATTGGAGGTGAGAGAATATAAAGCTAAGAATTATACAGCCAAATCTAACACTTGGTCACATAGACAACATCTTTTGTGGTGATTCTCTCTTTATCACCGACCTCGGAAGTTCCCGGTGTGATTTCCCCGGCGGCAGCGCGAAGCAGCTTTACGAATCGGGCCGCAAACTGCTGGGGTTTCCGGACCATGTCAAGATTTGGTCTGGCCATGATTATCCCTCTTCCGAACGGAGCGAGCCGGTGCCTTATCAGAGTGTGGGCGAGCACAGAGAGAGCAACAAGCATTTGATGAAGGGAATTACACAGGACGACTTTATCGCCATGAGGGAGAATCGCGATGCAACTCTGGCGGAGCCTAAACTTCTTCATCCGTCGCTGCAAATAAATGTCAGGGGTGGAAAGCTGCCGAAAGTATCTTGGGGTCACCGAATGATTCAAATCCCCATAACGGTAGTCAATGGGGGATGGTAGCGAGGTGGAAAGGGACCTTTTGTACATTATTAGCAGAGTCATGGAGCCAGGTCTGTATATGCTTACATACCTGAAGCTTCTGAGCAAATATACAACACAAATAAATAACCCAAATAAATGATCATTTTACGGACTATTCCATTTTCATATTTATGACTAATAGTATGTCCTGTTTCCGCCGAGGGAGACGGAGAAATAACAGGTGGCTGTCGGGAGGCTATAGTGGATTAAGCTGTTGCATACATCAGAGTTCAACTGTAGCCACAATTTTGACCATGAGATGAGGAAATACGTCATATTTAATGAAAAAAAAAAGAAAAGGAATTGTTGCGAGTATAAATTGAGGAAAAAAAAAAAAAAACTCTAAACTCCATGTACAAGATATGGAGGGGAGTCGGTGTTTAATCTGCCCGGAAAGTTGGAGGCGGCGATTCTCCCACACTTGCCTCTCATTACAGAATTTATATTCACAGTGTCTTGCCGCATCCGCATCAAGGCCTAGTTTGCGTTTTCATCACTCACAATCAGCCCCTGATGTGCAGCCCTGTCTTTCCATTCTGACCAGCTTCCGTCATAGAGCCTCGTCTTGACGACTGCGTACCCGCTGACCCGGAGCGCCAGCCACAGAATCGATGCAGTCACGCCCGTGTTGCACGTTAAAATGGTGAGCTTACCCTCGACCACGCCAGCCGCGGTCAGCACGTCTCTGAGTTCCGGACCGGGAAGCAGGTTCTTGTTGGCGTCGAGCAGGCGAGTCACGGAGACGTTGAGCGCCCCGGGCATGTGGCCCTCGCCGACGCCAGCGGCCCCGCTGCCCGAGAAGAAGAAGCAGTCTGGGGCTCTCGAGTCCAGGATCTGGTAGGACCGATGGCCGCCGCTGCTGCCCGAGGAGATTATTAGGTCGCGGAGCTCTTGAAAGCCAATGATGCTTGTGGAGTCGTCGGCGACGCGGTAATAAAAGGGAAAGAGGGTGGTGGTGGTGGCGTCGTCGTCGTCGGGCTTTGCTGGGGGCGGAAATGGGGCGGAGCTCTGTGGATAGCCGTCCGCCACATACTGTCGGAAGCTGTTTAGAATGTAAACGTGCGGGAAGCCAAAGTGTGTCAGTGTAAAAGCCACGCGGGGAGCGCAGTAGATGCCTGCATCGGCCGTGTCGTAGACGATGAGAGTGTCGTCGGCGCGAATGTCCAGGCGTTTCATGGCCGCCGCGAAAACTTGGCTCGTTGGCAGCATGACTGGGTAGTGAGAAGTGGTGTCTCTGATTTCATTTAGATTGAAGAAGCTATGATGCTCATGGGGGTTATGATGGATTGGTTAGTTTGGGTTGTATTATCGTGCGTTTTTGTGCGCGTATTGGTTGATGCCACCACCACCACTTACACAGAGTTGGGGAGGTGGCTACGCTCAAAAGACGCCGCCGCGTCATCTTTTCCGGCTGCAATGCAGACGACGCGACTTCTCCGCTCGGATGATGTATTCAACATGAAGTGTAATTCTGCCGGTGTAATTAGTGTCGATTCGACTGCATCTAATGAAACAACTGCCATGTTGAACGTGGTGTATAAACTAGCTTTTTCTTGTACTGGATCAATTTTCTGCTTCTACATTCTAACTATGCTATTGTAAATATGCTATCGTAAATATAGTAAAGCCCCAATTTACAAGCTGCAACCAAATCTTGCAATCATGCCATTGTCGGAAGTCGGTGGTCGATTCCGAGCCGCGAATTTATCAATCGCCGATTGCTCTTCCGTCACGGAAATCGGGGGGGGCCCCTTGCGGAGCTGTGATGCCAGACATGCAGTGCGGCCCGCGCCGACAAGCCCGAACAGCGAGTTGGAAACTGCATGCATGTACAACGAGCGATTATCACTAATGTCTCAATTTTGAACAGATTTTATTGCATTTTGTTTTCTTCTCTTTCACGTTGTATTCAAACTGTCTTGCCTCCAAGTAAACCCCTAATATCCTGCAGCAATCAAGTCTACTCACCCTCCGGAGCAAAGAATAATTTCACCCAGGATGCAGTTACAGCTCACCAATCGCATCGCGCGAGCATCACGCGGAATCCTCGCCCGCCCTCTACACCCCAGGCTCGCCAAGAGATGCTTCGCAACAACCTCGGACGCTCCCGTCGTGGCGAATACGACGAGGAGCCACAGAGTCGTCGTAGTCGGTGGCGGCTCGGCCGGCTCCAACGTGAGCCACCAGCTGCTTCGCTCCGGCAAGTACAACAAGCCAGGCGACATTGCCGTCGTCGACCCGGCCGAGTGGCACCACTACCAGCCCGGCTGGACGCTCGTGGGCGGCGGCCTGGCGCGCAAGGACGACTTTCGGCTGCGGCTGGCCGACATTCACGACGCCAAGCTCCGCCTGTACCGGAACCGCGTGGCCGCGTTTGCGCCGCGCGATAACCGCATCGTGCTGGAGAATGGCGACGCGCTCGAGTACGGCCAGCTGGTCGTCTGTCCGGGCATCAGCACAAACTACGGCCAGATCAAGGGGTTGCCGGAAGCGCTGGCGGACCCGGGCGCCCGCGTGTCGTCGATTTACAGCTACGAACACTGCGACAAGGTGTTTCCCGAGATTGAGCGCCTCCGCGGCGGCAGAGCCATCTTTACGCAGCCGCTGGGGATTATTAAGTGCGCGGGCGCTCCGCAAAAGGCCATGTGGCTCGCGCTCGACTACTGGAAAAAGGCTGGCCTTTTGCATTATTCCTCATCGTCGTCGTCGTCCCCCATCCGCATCTCCTTTGCCACGGGCCTGCCCGGCATGTTTGGCGTGCCCAAGTACAGCGCCAAGCTGGCCGAGCTCGCGCAGGAGCGCGGCGTCGAGCCGCTCTTCCAGCACGACCTGGTCGAGGTCGACACAAGCAGCGGCGGCGGCGGCGGCGGCCAGGCCACGTTTGCCCTCCCCGACGGGTCGCGCACGACCAAATCCTTTGACTTTTTGCACGCCTCCCCCAAGATGGGCCCTCACGAGTTCGTCGCGCGCAGCCCGCTAGCCGACGCCGCGGGCCTCGTGTCGGTCGACTCCGCGACGCTGCGGCACACGACCTACGACAATGTGTGGGCGCTCGGCGACGCGACCAGCCTGCCGACGTCCAAGACGGCGGCGGCGATTACGGCGCAGGCGCCCGTGCTGGTCGCGAACCTGCTCGGCGCGGAAGAGGGCCGGGAGCCGCAGGCGACGTATGACGGGTACACGTCGTGCCCGCTCATTACCGAGTACGGCAAGGTGCTGCTGGCAGAGTTCAAGTACGGGCCGGAGCCGAAAGAGACGTTTGGCAGGCTGCTGGGCGTGGATCAGGTCGAGCCACGCAGGGCGTTTTACCATTTGAAAAAGGATTTTTTTCCCTGGGTATATCGAAAATTCATGGTAAAGGGCACCTGGGCCGGGCCCAAGGGGTTTATTCGATAAAGCCTATTATAACTTGTGTACAATTCGAACGCGACAGGTACCTTTACAGCCATCCGCTATCACCTATATCACATGCATATAATATACGAGAAGACTCCCTATTCTACTATACTAGAGGAAATAATAAGGATGTCACTTTTAGTAAGCTCTATAACATGCTATATGTTGACGCTAGTAGTAATAGAAATGATTACTGTGTGAACTTGTTATGATACTAGCGCCGATTTAGCCATGGATTCTTTGGCAGATCAAGTTAGCGAAGCTTCGGTCGTTGTATCGAGTTACTTACCTACTTACAGCTCCACCACAGCCTCCAGGTACTTGAGCCGATCGTGGAACGGCAGAGGCAATAGAGGCAGATTAATCGCTCTCGTGGTAAGGAAAACTCGTGGTAGGGAAAACTCGTGTATTATTCATAACATCTACTTAGGCGCCCTACATAGAAAAAACGGGGAATTACACCACTCATCAAGTACGACTTACCAAACGCTGGTCATTATCTCTTCGAAAGTTATTCTTGTTAGCAGTTACATACTTGGATTTCACAGAAGCTAGAATATATACAATGACTATATTCTATATCCCTCCAAGAAAGTAAAGAGAGCGCTGACCACTCTTCTGCAAGAACTCTACTATAACGCAGTATAACTTATCTGTCATATTAGAACAGGCAATATAAACAGTGCGCTAGCAGCATAGCGATTACATCGTCTTCCCGATCTAGCGTAACCCGTTATTCTATCACTAAATAGGTAGTCAGTGCCGGCAGCGGAGGGGGTTGCGGGACGAGCTGGCCTAAGTATAGGCGCAGCTCGCCAACACAAAGCCTAACTAGAGCGTTAACGATGCATGAAATCCAGAGAATAGCTCGCTCCTCACCTTCCTGTGACCTGCTTTTCGCTTTGGTCCAACGACATTAGTGATCCAGGCGGTTCGTCACGCACAAATGGACAACCTGATCCACAGAACACTGTAGTCACATGGCGTAGCAAATACAAAATAACCTGGAGATTGCCGTCATTTGATTCCTCCGCCTGCCCCTCTCCTATTCTCGGTCTACCGCATTGAGGCTAGTCCTCAGTCTAGTGAGATTGTCATACCCAAGTCCTGGTTTTCAATTGTGCATGTTGCTTCCCTAGCATCTTAGCTTCCATTTTCAACAGGCCTTTCCAGACGAATGTTTATGTCCTCATAATCAATCTGAGTCGTGACGTCAATGCGATTCGCCGAGACAATGTGACCTTTGAAGTCGTAGCCGGCCCAACCACCGCTTCCCTTGCGACGCGACAATGAAAATCTGACTGGGGTTCCTGCTTCAAGCCGAACATAGCCAACTGTTACCTCTGCTCTGTCCTCTGTGTCCCAAGCATCTGTTGTCCACTTCCATGAGAAGACGACCTTTGCTCCATCAAACAAACCTTGAGGAAGGTACAACTGAATCCGCTCTCCACTTGGGGCATACTCCGGATGTCTAATCAAGCCAGTGAAGACACTCCTGTGGAAATAATGCACACCCTTGGCTTTGCCTGCAAATAATTGGGATGCGGAACTGCCCGGCGTAGACTCGGCGACCAGGAGATGCTCTCTATTCTGGTCTAGCGTCCCGTCATAGCGAATGCTATACGGAACCTTGGGGTCTGCATGGTAGATTTCAATGAGTTTCTCAGTAAGAGAATCTTCCATGGTGTGCAATATAGCTATTTCTAGCGGCTCTGTGACCTGTGCGATGAGTAGCACGTCGCGGACGAAACCGCCGAGACAGTTTGCAACTGATATCCAAAGCTGCTCCGATTGGTGAGAGCGATAAGCAATACCCGCTCTCTCGAACGAGTATATGGTACCAAATAGAGGTATAGCCTTTACAACAGTATACGTCATGTCCTCAAGTTCCGTAAACCACTTCACATTTGTCAGCTCTCTTACATGACTACACGACCAGTATTCCTTACATTCTCACTATCAGATCTCACACTGTCGAATACTTGTCAGATAATTTACATGCACTTGGAGTAGAAAGTCTTAAGGAACTTACGTTTTGTCCCTATCGTGTGAATAGTTCATCCCGTGATCAATGGTCAAATCAAGTGGTACGGTAGAATCAGTGTTGTTCTTGATGTTGCCTGATGTAAAGGTCTGAGTCCTGGAAGAAATTGAGAGGCCGCAAACAGCCGTAAACAGCAAAAAAAAGTGATAAAATCTCTGTGACACCATTTTCTTTTCGCTTTGATGTGTTTGTGTTGTTGAGGTGAATAGAGTAAAGTGTAACTTGAAAGAGAAGGGAGATACCAGAGACTTGCTAGATAATGGTAGTCTTTAGAAAGGAAGAAAGTTGACACACGAAAGAAACCTTACGTATAGAGACTTGAGACTACTATCTATAAAGGGGTCAAAATCCTACTATAGTATATGAGCTCAAGCGAGTATAAGCAAAAATTCAAGCTAGCTTATACTCTGTGGATAAAGGTGCCCTTACTCTATTGTGTGTAATGGGGCGCACCAAGAGTCTTGCCCACATTCTTACTAGGCAATTTCGTAGCGTCCAAGCGGGTACCAAGAGAAAAAAAAATGGCCGATTCTCTCAGACATTCTACCAAATGGTGGCCATGTTTTTTGGTGCCCGCCAGGCGTCTTAATCCAAGTCTCCTCCTATGATGTCAGCTACCCACTGACGTCTATCACCCGGTTCTCGGCAGCCTCTAAAATATAGTATACCTATACCGGAGTTTACCAATATAGATGGTGGTACGTGCTTAGCAGCGCTAAAACGAGGGACCTAGCTATATAGCGATCAATAACGATAATAGCAATAACGGTGATGATGACGACGTCGTCGTAGTAGACGATAACCTATTCCTTCACGACAGACCGCTAAGTAAGCGCCTTCACTAGCAAAAGCAGCCACTTGGACCAAGATCCGGCCACAGCTAGAAAGGTATCACGGAATAGCAACCGCAACGTCGGTAGAATTAGCCGCTTAGCCGCTTAAAAGACGTAGAAGGGCTCTACCCTTAATGTTTACCGCGAATTTCATTTATAATAACCGTCACTACGTAGACAGCGCCTAATAGCGCGATGGCAACGCGACATATAGACCACACGCATCACATAAGATTAGCCGCTTAGCTGCGAAAGACGTAGAAGGGCTCTACCCTTATCGTTCACCACATATATTGTTTATGACAACCGTCACTACGTAAATAGCACCTAATAGCGCGATCGTACTTAATAGCGCGATCGTACTTAACAGCGCGATCGTACTTAATAGCGCGATCGCAACACGACATATAGACTACACACATCACATAAGTAGCTAGAATCCGCTTTTATACCATTTGAAAACTGTGCAATGATCCACACAGTGTGAATTGGAATGGAACGTGCACGGTATACCTCAATACCTTGGAATTTCAGCGTCACCCTAGTTGGCGGTGGGCCGGTTATTTTCAACAACTGTCGACAACTGTCGAATAAGTAATGCACAAATGGAAGTTAATACTGTGTCAATGGGTTTTGGAGCCGTTGCTTCGTGACTTATTCTTCCACCACCTAAAACGATGTCTTTCCATGACTTCGCCGTTAGCTTGCTATGCAATTGCTAGCTCGTGCTGCGAATGCGATGCTAGTCGAGATGGGTGAGTCTCTGCCTAGTATCTCGCTCTGGATAGCCACCACATGCTCAATCATTTTAATTACTTCCCCGACTTGGCCAATGGCTTCGTATGCCCACCCATCCACTGATGCGCATACATCTAAATTATGCCATTGCTGGAACTGCATTATTACAATACAATTACTGCAGAATAGAACGCCCACGATGGTCACAGGGTAGAATAGTCAGACGTGGGAGGCGTAGAAAGTCGTAGAACACACTTAGACCCAGGTTCACTAGAATAAATCACTTACCTCCAAAGTTCAACCCGCTTATACTGCCTTGAATACTTCCTGCTTGGAAGCCCGAATTTCGGTTGCTAAATGTCACCTTACTTAGCTGGCTCGACGCTTCTTGGCTAGCCTGAGCACCGTCCTCGCGCGATAGCTTCTCCTTTGGTACGGCCGCATTCCCGTCGCCATCATCCCGCGGGTATCGCTCGAGCAGCGCTCTTCCCACTGCCGCCGCCGTAGCTGCTGCATATTCCTGCCATGACTTGTTTTGGTGGCTATAGTAGATATATAGGTTTTAATATAAAGTATTAATCTCTAGTTATTTCCTTTTTTCAAAAATCTAGTTACTTTAGATTTATATATAAAATTATATATTTTAGAAGTACTTTGATTTATTACGTTAGTCGTTAAAAAGTCCATGATTGGCCTACCTATAACTAATTTTTTGTTAGGTGCTGTAGGTAGGTAGGTAAGTAGGTACCTAGTGGCAGTATAAAAACAGGGGGCCCGGCCAGCTATGTCAGGGGCAACAAAGTATCACAAACTGCCAGGCTTTGGTATCTAGAAGAATCTATCGCCAACAATATCATAAAAGGATGAAATTTCACAGAATCACTTGTGACTAGTTATAATGGATTGCATGCCGCCTCAAACGATGCCTGAAGCAGCAGTACCAGGGCTAAGCGACACCGCGTTGAGCGATACCTCATCCCTGGTGGCCGCTATCGAGAGCGAAGACAACAAATTGGTGTCGATGCACTACGAGAGGTTGAAAGAGGATGTTTACGCATCGATAAAGGCCCAGACACGCCAGATCGAGGCCTTGCTCTGTAACCTCTTTCGAGTTTCGGAATGCCGCATTGTTCCGTCGGAGCTCTGGGGATTCGGTAGCTTCAACGTCGCAGTTCTCGTCCGCCTGCCGCGCAAGAATGTGTATTTACGCCTTCCGTTTCTACACAGGATAGGGGAACAGCATTTCCCTGGAAACGCGGAGGAGAAGCTCCGCACAGAGATTGGAACCTACCTGTGGCTACATGAACACTGTCCAGACGTACCGATACCCCAATTACACGCCTTTGGATTTCCTGATGGCTCAATCGTATGATTTGCCCATAGTATCTTGCGTGCTCTTAGACTAAGCTGACACTCGATTTCCTCTCTAGTATACGGATCCCGATCTTGCACCCTGGTGGCAAAGGATTCCACGGCAGCTCAAACGGATGTTTGCGATGCTACTCGGCCGGCCTAAGCCTATACAGCATGTGGCCAGTTCGGTGCGGCACGGCCTTTCGTCTGGATTTCTCATCATCAGCGAAGCAGAAGGCAAGAGTCTTATGTGGACCTGGAATAAGCATTGTCGAGATAAAAGCTATACAAATAACCTCTTTCGCGGGCTGGCGCGTATTGCTGTGTCGATGAACAGCATTCCACAAAAAGGAATTGGCTCATTCTCGCTCGGGACTGACAACAGCACCATCTTACTACAAAATCGGCCACTGAATCTATATATGCACATGGTAGAGAATGCCGGTATTCCTACGGAGATTCCTCGCCATCGGACATACCTTGAGGTAGAATCGTACCTGTCGGACTTGCTATCGCTACAAGATTCTAAGCTACGGCACCAACCAAATTCAATGGGGGATTATGAGGATGGCCAGAGACAAATGGCTGCTCTCACTGGCTTGCGAGCAACCATGCATCTGTTCCTAAATCCTAAATACCGACAGGGCCCTTTTTACCTGACCCTAAGCGATCTGCACCCAAACAACATATTTGTGGATGAAAAGTGGAATATCAAGACAATCATCGACTTGGAATGGGCAAGCACCACACCTGTCGAGATGCAAACCCCTCCATACTGGCTTACATCGAGGACAGTCGACGGGTTTAAAGAAGCAAGCCACTTTCAAGAGTACAGTGAGACACTCGAAGAATATCTAGCAGTGTACGAGGACGAGGAGTTGAAACGCAACGGGTCATCGTGGCAGGCAGATATGCAACGTCAAACGTGGCAGAAGGGGAGCTTCTGGTTCTTTCACGCTGTCAGAGATTCAAAGGCCATGTATAACCTGTTTAATCGGCATATACAGCCCATGTTCAACGCAGAGCATCCTGAGATGCAGATTTATGACGACGTCTTCTGCTGTTATTGGGGCTATGGTGCGTCAAGCCTGATTGAGAAAAAGTTAAAGGACCGAGAGGCATACGTAAACGACCTGAGAGAAGCATATCGTGCAGAATCGGACGAATGACTCAATTTAGGCGTCGTACGGAGTTGTCATCGATAAATACAGATAGAATTATCAAGGCACATGTCTCGAGTCATGGCAGTCTATTTTTTGGTCAACATGATTTAAGCCAAAGACGGTTGCGACGTACAATTTACAGTGGGTTGTAGCCTTGTGGAGCACTCTGTATTATAGGGCTGTTTTTTATTCGTATTTTCCCATCCCACCCACTTCAAAGAATTCACGTTCTTCTGCCCGGTACACTTATTATTATAATTGACCTGTGGCTGGCATTGCGTGATAACGGAACAAAGTAAAGTGACTGCATACAAGCCACACCACACACGACCCGAGACAAACCCTCCCGCCGACCCGGCCGGCGCGCCGCGCACACCCCTCGCCCTCAACTCTTGACCCGGCCGGCCCACTCACTGGACATGATGGCAGGCTCCGTCGCCTGTACGGAATGCCGCAGGTCGCATTTGAAATGCAATCTTCAACGGCCAGTCTGTGCCCGATGCGCCACCAATCGGCTGTCGTGCACCTATCTCCCTTCTAGACGTGGGGGCAGGCGAGTTCCGCGCCAGCAGGCCGTCTGCCCTCCTTCGGCCGATCGCCCGCGCGCCGTGGCAACGCCGATCCCGGCTTCGCCAGCCTGGCCCACGCCCGCCGCCGTCCGATCTGAAGGACGCGATGGTGGTGGTGGTGGTGGTGGTGGCGACGCAAACCACGGACGCTCCCCGGCGCCGAGTCTGAGCAATCCCGGAAGCGGAAGCGGCAGCGGCAGCGGCAGCTACTCATCCGGGAGCCTGGCAAGCCACAGACCGCCACCCAACGAGGGCTCGTCGGCGCAGCAGCAGCAGCAGCAGCAGCAGCAGCAGCAGCAGCCGTATGTCCCCGAAGCTCGCCTCGTCCATCTCTACTATACCTTTTTCCACCAGGCGCATCCCATCCTCGTGCCTGCCGCCTCGTACAACCGTCAAGACCAGCCCGACTATCTGCATCAAGTTGTCCGGTTCATCGGAAGCCACTACTCCAAAGTCCTTCGGGGGGACGATTTCCTGGAGCAGACCGCTGTGCTGCTGAGCAGGGACGAGAGATCGCCCGCCATGGTGCAGGCGCTGCTGCTCTTTTCCATCATCATGTCGGCGCGTAATAGCAGACGCGAAGCCGTGTCGGCGCTGTCCCGCGCCGTGAGCCTCGCGCTGGACCTGGGCATGAGCCGGGCCGACTTTGCCGTGCGCTACGCGGACGGCTCCGATTTGCAGACGGAGAGTCTCCGAAGGACCTGGTGGGAGCTGTACATTTGGGAGATTTACCTGGCCCTCCCCGATGGCAAATTCACGCTTCGTTGCAGCGACGTGGACGGCGGAGCGTATTTGCCCTGTGAAGAGGCTGCTTACGCACCGTCGTCGTCGGCTTCTCAGCGGGGGCCGCCGCCGCCGCCGAGGACATTTTCTGCCTTTCGGGCGAGGCTATTCAGCAACCCCGAAGGTGACTCTGACGACAACGGCAGCACGGAGCAGCAGCAGCCGCCGTCATCATCATCATCACAGCCGCCATCCCACTTTTCATCCTACAGCTACCGCATCGAGGCGTTTCACATACTGGCCAGAGTCATGGTGCTCAACACGCTGCACGAGACGCACCCGGACCACCTGCAGAGCGTCGTCAACATGATTGTCAGCTGGGGCCACCTCCTCCCGCCCTGCAAGGTCGACGTCGTCGACATGTACGGCAACATTGACGAGATGCTGTTCCAGGCGCAATTCATCATCCACTACGCCGCGGCGCTCCTCCACGTGCCCCGGAGCAACCTGCGGCCCAAGTTTCCCGACTTGCCCAGCACGATATGCCCAGAGACGCCCGTCCGCCTCTCGCCCTCGCTCACCAGACACATTCACGACGTCAAGGCCACCGAGGCCTCCAAGGAGCTGTCGAACCTGCTCTCTGTCCACTCCAGGCCCGAAGGGTACAGCCCGTCCATGATTCCCGGCGCGGTGCTGAGCGGCCTGGTGCAGCTGGCGGCGGCCGAGGCGCACGCCTCTGAGTGCTTTGAGCACCACCAAAACAGGGCGATTCTCGTCCTGGCCACCCTCAGCATCCTCAAGATGCAGTGGGCGACGGCGAGGGAAGCGTACAGCCATGTCAAAGCGGCGGCGGCGGCGCACATGACCGTCGCGGCCGCATGCGCTACCGCCAGCCAGCCAGTCGCGGCGGCGGCGGCGGCGGCGGCGGCGCAGCAGCAGCCATCACAGGTTCAGCAGGCCTTTGGCGGTGCAGACACGCGCATGTACGATGAGTCGAATACGAATGCAGCGTATAATGCAAATGTAATGGACACAACCATGAGCTCGAGCACCATGGACCCCATAGATAGGATATTCATGGCTGGACTACTGTCACCTCACATTGACCCAACGTGTGGCGAGCCATTGGCGCTGAACCAGTTTGCAAACTTTGATTGATGTGCAGAGAATATTATAGCTGTAATGTTGTATTTTATAAGCCACATGTATTTATAGACAATTTTCAAGTGTCCCCCATTCTCGGGCTTACCGACTTACTCACCTAGGTCCTTTTTCTCTACAAAGTCTTGACGTCCATTTCGATTTCAACTTGTTCGATAAAGAATTCTAATTATTCTTTCGTCAACAAGCCCAGTCATTGATATAGTAATTGCTCAGTTACCTCCCCTATGTGTAGTGAAAAAGCAAACCAAGATAAAAAGTCCGACCTTTGAGGGTCCATTACGCACATGTCCGAAGCCAGTGGGACTGGCCCGGCTACTTTCCACTAACACGACCTCTCTTCACTAACCTTATCAACTTGAACATAGATAGACTTACTACTCCTCTTTGCATTGTTGAAACCTTTTCTTCGCATCACCTCCCCCCCCTTACCCCAGTCTCTCATTCCTTTTCATCATGGCGCCATGGTCACGACTTACCAGCCCCATCTACAAAAACACCGGCTCCGTTGCGCGCGACCATCTCGCGTCCGAGCGCACCTATCTAGCCTGGACAAGGACAGGACTCGGCTTCGTCGCGCTTGGCATGGGCGTCGAGCGCTTCTCCCGCTTCGAGGCCATTGCGCTTGGGAACGGCAGCAGCAGCAGTAAGCCGCCGACGCCGGACGAGAAACAACAGGAGGGAGGCGGACACGGCAAGGAGGAGGCGCTCGGCTCGCGGCTGCTCGTGGGGACGCTGCTGACGCTGGGCACTGGATGCATGGTGTACGCGACGAGGAGGTATTTCTCGGTGCTCCGGTCGCTGGAAAAGGGCGAGTTTCGCCCCGCGTACCAGGGCATTGCGGCAATGGGCGCGGTGCTGGGTGCTCTGGGAGGTGGCGTGTCGACGAGAATGACGGGTGCTTGGTTTGAGAGCGAGGAGTCGGCTGCGAAAAAGTGATGGAACTTGAATCATTGCAGCCTTATTTCACCCGTCATCGATTGTCTTTTGTCTAGACGGATACCGAGACAATAAGGCGCTTCCATGCGCTGGGTTGTTTTGTCGCCCTGTTTTATCATCATTGACCATTCACGACCTCCTATGACATCTGTTACTAGACAATTCACGACAAGTTTCACCAGCTCTCCAGTCAATATCACAGTACATTTTTTTTCCACGCACACCATCTCTCTTGTCATATGTACCCATCAACCAACTCGACAGGCAGCTTTTTATCAGTCCACCTATATTTACTAGGGGGACTCCCGGGCGCGAGTTTCGAGCTTCGATGCATCGGTTCCAGGTCTTTTAGGGGTTCATGACGCCCATTTTGTTCCCAAAACATCATATCGTCAATATATCACGGTTGTTATTGTCGACGAAGCTACCTCGGTGACCAACTTCGTCGCAAGTCCGATTGCGCCCCCCTGCCGGCGAGAGGTGCAATCGGCGAATGGGGCGAGCAGGACCCTGGCCGCTGAGTCGTCTCCGCGGAGGACTGTTGATTCCGAAGACATCAGCCGGCTAATGCATGGCGGAGATGATGACAGTTGGGTTGGCATTGAATCTTTATCCAAACTGATACGTCATCTTAACTAATACGTTATCTAAACTGATATGCTCTAATGATGTATGCGTTCCGCATATCTACTGAAACCGATTAACCCCTCGTCAGAGCCGAAAGGGCATCTGCACCGGAAGCGACAAAAACGTAATCCCACTACCCTCTCCCGTCTGCGCGAGCCTCCCTCCTCGAATATTCGTCTGCAGCGCCGGATGCAGCAGCCTCGGATCCTTGAGCCCCGCGTCCCTCTCCCGCCTCCACCGCACAAACTCGTCCTCCTCGGTACCGTCCTTGACGTGCTTATTCCGCGCGCGCTGCTCCGCAACCGTCACGTACGGCATCGGACCCCTTTGGCCCCCCTCGGGAGGGTAGTCGTGGCCTGTGTACAGCCTATAGTGCCCCGGCAGCGCAAGCAGCGCCTGCACCGACCGCCACAGCGTCGCGGCGTCGCCGGCCGGAAAGTCGCATCGCGCCGTGCCCACGTCCGGGTTGAAGATGGAGTCGCCCGCAAAGACGCACGTGCCAATCTGGTAGCCGCTGTGGTCGGGCGTGTGGCCCGGGAGGTGCAGCGCAATGGCCGTCAGCCGCCCCACGGCAAAGGCCTCGTCGTCGGCAAAGAGCTTGTCGAACGCGGCGTCGAGCTCCGCCTGCGGCACGCCGTACTTGGCGGCAAATGTGCGCTGCACCTGCCGGATGCGGTGGCCGGTGCTGACGGGCGGCCGGGGGGAGCAGCCTTGCGAGCGCTGGTGCAGCTGTTGCTGGAGGTAGGCCGCCGCGGTGAGGTGGTCGGCGTGCGCGTGCGTCTCGAGGAGGTAGTCGACGGTGTAGCCGTGCGCGCGGATGATGCGCAAGAGCTCATCGGCGGACTGCGTTGTGATTTTCAAGTTGGCGAGGTCGAAATCGAGAACCGGATCAATAACGACGGCTTTCTTCGTTTCGGGGCACGCAACAATGTACTGCCATGTCGCAGTCACCGGCTCAAAGACGGTGTGTACGGTAGGTTCGTCTGACATTGTAAATGATGGGATAGGATACGCAATCAACTTGTAAATTGAGACTAGCAGACAGAACTACTGCGATATTGAGCTTACCCCCGGGAATCACAATATATACTTATATATAGGTTAGACCTGTCAAAGGGGCGGGCCACGTGCGGCGCTCAACATTTGCGACAATTTGTCATAATCGGATGCCGAGATGCTACCATTGGTTGTACCCTCGCATATAGAAGCAGCGAGGCCGGCATCAGTGTGTCCGATGCCCGCCCCTTGGCTGGCCGAAGTGTAGTTCCGCGCCACTTCGCCGACGCTACCCACTTATTGGTCGTGGCCCGGGCGGCCATCTCGGCGAGCTTCTCCACTAGCATCGGCGTCCTTCGGCCTGGAACAAGTACAAGTCGCCGGCAAGGAAAAGAAAATGGCAAATGTTTTTCTTTGAAAAGGGACTAGAGGCAGACAAAAGACTCGTGTTCAAGTAGGTACAAATCTGTCCCAGAGGCTGCAATAAACATTGTACCACGACGTGCTTCACCAAGAGGTCAAGAAAGAAATTACAAAGTGGTCAGCACCGACTGGTGCGCATTGTAATGTGATTCATCTACCTACACCACAGTCTTTCTACGCTCACAGTGTGCATAGCACCCTGGAGTCTTCATTTTTGTGAATAACATTATTTTTTTGGCTTGTCCGTCTTTCACGTCTGTTGCAGAGTTGTACTACTCGCAAACTCGGCGCAAGACGCATCCATATGAACCAACTCCAATCATGTATAAGCGGCGACGGCGACGGGCATGGGGGTATCGTTGAGATATGTATCCGTTATGCATGCCAAAAACAAACAACAAAAAAAGCAAAAAATGAAACAGCATAAAAGTTACAGAACGCTGGACGTCCCGTGTGCTTTCATGCTGCAGAAACAAAAAAAAAAAGTGCACCATCAGTGTTGGCTGATCGTGGGTCTACCCGCCGCCGTGCGCCTGACTTTTCGTCATAAAATGCATGCATGCATGTATCCAGTGTAACTTTTTGTTGAAAAAGACACCGACTCCTATTGTTGTAATAAGAAGAGGGGGAGTCACCGAGTCTGTATATAGAGACAACAGACAAGGTAGGGGGCCCAAAACAAAGAAAACAAAACAGATTCAACTGCGAATAGTCAGTGCTGTATAGCAAAAGATTTTTCGACAGCCTTTGCTAAATCTCTCCGTCTATGCGACGGCCTCAGCCTGCGTGGCGGCGGGCTTCTCCGCCTCAGCAGCAACAGGAGCCTCGGCCTCGACAGCAATAGGAGTATCGAGACCATCGACCTTGAGATCCCTGAAGAGCTCAAAGATGGTGGTATTATCGTGGAAATCGTTGTTCACGATATTGAGAAGGTACCAATTCTCCATGACACTCTCGACGAGGACGCGGCTGGGCGATTTGGCGTCGAAGCAGTGAGCCCAGTCGACACCCAGGCGGAAAGCCTCATCACGCCAGGCTAGGAAGCTGATACTCTCAACAATGGTTGGTTGAACAATCTCCTTTCCGGGAAAGACGCCCCAGGTAACGGCATTCGGGCCATCAGAGGGCGCATTGGTCTTTAGGTTACCATTCTTGGTCACGGCGTAGTAGGTGAGGGAAGGGTTGGTGTTGACGAGTTGAATCACCTGGTCGACTATCTTGGGAGAGACGAGCAGCTCAATGTAGCCCTTTTGGTAGACGTAACCGTTGGCAGGTCCCCAACCATGGACAGGGTGAGACGACTTGACACCATCAACGGCGGGTTGCGAGTTGATGGTCAAGAAACCGCGCTGGTTGAGCTCGATCAAGGCAGATTTGATGGAGTCGGCTTCGCTGGTAAGAGGCGCCTCACTCCAGGGCAGAGAGTCAATTTCCTGGTTGAGGTAGCGGACAAAGGTATTGGCAATGTCACGGAGCGACTTGGGTTCACCCCACTTGAGGCGGTTGGCTTCGTTTGTGCCGGTGAGACCGATACCATAAGCGTCGAGCTCGCCAAAAGCGGGAGACCGGGAGTCACCCCAGCGGCCGTTAGGGAACTCATCCCAATCTTGAGTACGTAAGACGTACGACTTGTTACGGTTGCGCCAGAAGATGGGGCGGACGTCCTCATCACGACGGCCGAAGCCCTTGGAAGGTTTCCAAGGCAGGGCCTGCTGCAAAGGTCGCTCAGCGGATGGAGTCCAGTTGAGCTCCTCGAGAACCATGCGGGTGGCTTGGGCAAGGTTCATCGTGTAAAAATGCATGTGGTGGATGTCAGCAGCCATGAGTTTGCGGCACATGTCGACAACCAGCTTTTTGCCCACCTCACGGACGGCGACATCGTCGTTTTTGACAGGTTCTAGGAGGTCTAGCCAGCTCTGGGGAATTTTGCAGCCCGTGTGCTTGCATCGGCGGAGGAAGCTGGCGTAGGTGGCAATGGGCATGATGCCAGGAAGAATTGGGACTGTGATGCCGGCGGCGCGGACCTTGCCTACCCAGCGGATGAAGTTTTCAACGTCGTAAAACATCTGGGTGACAATAAAGGTGCCGCCGAGGTCGACTTTGTACTTGAGATGCTCAATCAGCTCATCTTCGTTATCGTTGTCGTCGCAGCCCTCGGGGTAACCGGCAACACCGATATCGAAGTGGTCGCCGTAGGTTGCACGGATGTGTCTAACAAGATCGCAGGCATATTGAAAGCCGTCCTCGGTGGCGGTCCACTTCTCTTGAGCACGAGGGGGATCGCCGCGGAGAGCAAGAATATTGGTGCAGCCGGCCTTGTAGGCCTTGCGCAGCGCATCATTGACCTTTTCCATGCCCATGTCAGTGCAGGTCAAGTGCATACAGGTCTCAAGACCGTACACCGCCTGGGCTTGAAGGACCATCTCGCAGGTGAGCTCGGCAATGCGGCCTCCGGCACCCCAGGTAATATCGATGAACTGGGGTCCAAAATTGTACATGCGGTCCACACGGTCGTACAGGTTCTGGACACCCTGAGCGGTCTTGGGCGGAAAGTATTCGAAGGAAAAGGAGGGCTTGCCCGACCTTTTGGTCTCGGCCAGAAGATCCTTGATATGCATGTCGAATGGATTGTATGAAGCAGGACGATAAAAGCTGGGGTAGATGTGATGTCGGGCAAAGGGCGGTGGGTGGCCGTATGGAGTATAAATGCCAAGAGTTCGATTTACGGGGTAGCTGAAGTGTCGAGAGCAGCGGCGTCGCTCGAATTATGTCGACAAAGCTACTTTGACAGTATTAGCATCGAATTAGGAACTGAGGGGGGATGGAGCGAGCGAAGTTGGATATGGAAAAGATTCCAAGAAGGTGGGGGAAGGCTAATTGACTCACAAATATACCGACACGCGAACAGCGGTAGAGCAGGAACCCAGTTAAGGGGCCTAGAAGAAGAAGGAATCCGGATCTGCCGCGAACTAATCTGAGACGAAGGCCAGGGAAAGCAAATGAAAAGAAGAAATTGGCAGGAGAAGGGATGAAAGAGAGTTAAAAAAGAAGAACGGCGAGCAGTCGGAGCAAAGATATGGGGGATGTACCTTGGCGGGTCAAGGCTAGCTGGTTCGGCCTGGTCTGCCCCTCCATCCACCGAACCATCATGCATCCGGTTCTTTTTGGCCCGAACAAGAGAAAACCAAGAGTCGGCCCCGCGTTGGACACGGCACAAATGGAGGTAGTTACATCAGTTCTTCCATCTATAGTCTCAAAAAGACGACGTCTCAAGTACCGATGTGTTAGCCGTGGTCCTCGCTTTCTCGCAGCCAGTCGTTTTCTCCGTGCCTACAGAACTACTTAGGTAGTACTACCACGCACCAAGAAAAGCAACAATCCGTTACACTCAATGGAAGTTTGCCTTGTTTTCTTTTCTTTTCATTTTTTCTTTCTTTGTCCTGTTTTTTCCTGCCTCTCCCCTTTCATCCGTTTCTATACCAAACTACACTTGCACTGTATTTACTGCACCACAGTCTTGGCCTCGGAAAATTCGCCGACTGGTACATTTACCCCTCCCTCCCTTCTGTCCGTTGCCGGTGCTGTAGGTGCCGCCAACTGCCAGACTGACTGCCCACCAACAGTTTGTCGGGGCATGTTTTAGCGCGCCCAAAATGCAAGCTGCACAGGGCTGGATGTATCGTCTTCTGTCGCAACTAACATTCAAGGCTTAATTACAAGTAGCTCCCCTTTGATGCCATCTACATCCCAATAAATAGCTCAATGCCCATGGCAAATCAAGCCTCATATTCACCTCATCTACTCATGCGTCTTCCAAAAGATCCGTTACCACCCCTTTCATCCACTCCCCTGCATGCACCGATGGCGCAGCGAATGAGAGTGGTGAGTCCCTCAAGATTGCATAGACCATGTGCCTTGCCCAGAAATGGCTGCTGCCAATCCTACAACCAGGGAAAAGCATACCGCATATGCTGATACATGGCCGATGTTGTCCGCAGCACCATCCGCAGCTCTTCCCGTCATACAAGCCAACCAGAGTTTCAGAATTGAAGCTGCACCTGCATGCAGGCTCTGTGTGATGCAACACACGACAAATCCAGACGCAGATACTGACCGCATGGCTGCAAGGTAGCCTAGCAACCACGTAGCGCAAGCCTGGACTGCCTTCTCACCAGTGTTCGCCCCGTGAGACCTCATAAGCAAACTGAAGGGAATTGTGACCTCTTGGTATGGGTAGCATGCATGTATCAACGTTGTGTTTTCGATATACAGTGCGCTGGCCTCTTTCTGCGTCAGAATTTTTCCTCGCCAGCAGCCTTGATGGCAAGTGGCGGCGCGCCGCGGAGCCTTCTCCAGCGATTACTCGTCGCGATGATATCCCTGTCGAATAGAAACCACCACCGCTGAAAGAACACTTGTCCCACCTCCCAGTAAGCCGGATCATACGGATCGTCCCCGTATATCCGTACACCTTCCGAATTGTCCTCGATATCGTAGGCCAGGTTGGCCAGACCCGTCGGCCCAGCCGCGCTTGGTGGCCGTGAACCTTCGGGAAGCGAAAAAATGTCAATCACCTTGTCTCGCACACTTGGCCAAGGCAAAAAGTCCAAAAATGGATGATGAGGCATCATAATCTGCGTCGCTGTCGGCTGCCATGTTGGGGGCAGCTGATGAGCAGGCGTGCCGCCTCCTTTGGTAAATGGAGACTGCGAAGTCAGGCTCCAGACGTCTTTGGGCGAACCAAGGCGTTCAGCTATGCGTAGCAGGCCTTTGAGAAGCGTCAGCTCATAGACTGGCAAAAGATAGCTGTCAGAGAGGCTGCCATCAGAATTGACGCTCTTGGGACTGGTATCAAAGGATGGCGGTGAGCCGGGGTTCGACGTTGGCGTAAAAAAGTCCAGCGAGAAAAGGTCCCCAGCTGGATTCAACGAGGTATGTAGAGTATTCCAATTATTTTGTGCCTGCACGGGACTGGACTCGATATTTGAGTTGAGAAGCAACGGTGTCACCGACATGCCGAGCGATCCAGGCCAACCGTCATCGATACCACTTATACTGTCAATACTCAACGGCTCCGGGGCGCAGCTGATATGAGCACTTGGTTCGCTCCCCACTGGTTCTCCTGGTAGACTTTCAATGGCCTCGCCCTCGGGCTCATCCTGTGACTGTTGTTTCAGCTGACGCCGTCTCTTCTTCTCACCTGCGTTGCTGTTAGTCCGTGTCAGGCAATGGATAGCGCCAATCTTACGATATCTGCGTTGAGCCAGCACATTCAAGACGCGCTTCCTTTCTGCGGCATCATCTTCAATATCAGGCACATCAAGTTGCGGTGGCGTTTTGTAAACTCGTTGTCGTGTACGAGGTTTGCCGCTGTTGTGGCTTGTCTCACTCATTCTTGAAACAAGGGACGTGGTGATGATATATGCACAAGCCCTTGAATGAGCAGACGGTTCGAATCCCGCGCACCACAAATAATCTGTTCCTGGTAATTTCTTCTTTTCCTTCTTCTTGGCAGGTTTCTTGAGACAACATAAATACTACCAGTAGACGAATTGATGGCTCAGCTCCCCACCTAGCATAACGCCCTAGAGACTGCGTGTGAATCCGCACTGTGCAAGCCTTACGGATATCGGGTACCTAAATGGGTGGACAAACTGGGCGGCCCATGATGTCCCGCACATCAAACTTCAGTCGCAACACAGTGCGCTCGTTCATGGACCATGATGCTTGCGCCAGAGGGGCACACCAGGCAGCTAGCTAGCTGTACAGACAACAAGCAACACGAATGAGTCGCATACTTCATGTCTGTGAGACACTAGGGGAAAAATTTGTACGTTTTTGTTTCCTCGCGTCCATTTCTTTTTCAACCAGGCACACATATATTGGCATATCTCGGTGATACAATGCGGCTTGCTTGTCAAAATGAACACTCCCCTGTTCGAGCTGCCATTGACACTGGCACGCAGTCAGACACAAGACCTGCCTTCACAAAGAGCAAAAGCAAAAGTATATTGATTCTCCTTTTGTGTAACTCGTCGAAAGGGCGCTTCTGGCTTTGGTGGCGCTGGTGGCGTTGGAAAAGTTTAAAATACCACAAAACACTCGGGCGTCCTACATACCACTATAAATTCTCGCGATTTCTCTAACGTGACCGTGACCAAACAACAGCACTATCGACTCACCTTTGCCAGCAGCTATTCCGCAACAGCAGTCATTACTATGCCTGTACTCCGCTCAAAGAAGCTAAGAGATGCAAAGAGGAGAGGCAGCAATGAGCAACTATTCAACATCTGCCAGCCAAGCAACCCCAGCATACCCTTTTTTCCGGACCAGAAAGGAATATAAACGACAACTTCTACCTCCTCCCGATTCAGCTCCTCATCACGACTGGCCATAGCCTGTCAAACCGGGCGTGTTCTCAATCGAAATCTACAAAGCCATTATTATTTAAACTCTTAGCCGCTGTTCTCCTCTACAGAAATACATTTATTAAACCGGCGTAGTGCAGTTGGACTATACACGGCGACCTGGCATAAGAACCGGTTTTAGAGATCAGAGCCTTCGCGAAGATTAAGATAGATGCTTTACATTAATATCTATTAAAGAGTAAGTCGAAATTAATCGCTGGATGGGGCGGTATGGAGTCTTATTATATGGATGTCGCAAGATCGCCACACCATATGGCTATCTGACGCTGCCTGTAACGCACTTGATCGATGGTCCTAAGCGCTGGAGTATCTGCCACGATCTTGGCTTTGGCATTAGCGACTCTGATTTCCCCCGCAGCATTCTTCCTCCAGGTGTGCTTGCTCTTGAATCTGCGGACTATACTAAGTGGACGTTGCTGAGTGAAGATGGAGTACCGCGTGAGGGGCGAGCGACCGACGACTGCGGAGTTCGGAGGATTGAGTGGCCGACACGACATGGTGCCTAATCAGGATTCGATGGGGTTGCAGTAAACCTCAAGTCCAAAGGGGTCAGAGGTCAAGTCCGAATGGGACCAAGAGCGGCAGAGAAACGCAGCTGAACCTATTTGCGTGGGTCTTTGCAGATGCGCCACGGGTAGTAAGTACTTCAGTAGCCAGACTTAATTAAGAGCCAGTTTCATCAATCAACCGTCCTAGCTAATGATTCCCTAGCTGATGATTCCCTAGCTGATGATTCCCTAGCTGATGATTCCCTAGCTGCTGATTGACCGGCGGCTGATTTGACGACTGGCTTTTCATTGACTAGCTGTTGACGACTGGCTGTATTGAGACTGGCTACTGAAGTGCTACCTGTAGCGCCTTATTATAGATGAAGGGCCTGAATGGAATTGATCATCTATAACTTCTTCTTTTGTTGTTTTGCTTGAGAAATAGGAGGAACAAGAGAAGCCAAGGCTCTCCTCGAATGGATCCTAAATCCTCACACTCACTGTTGTTATTAGACCTGCTCCTTCCAAGTCCTAGTCGTGTAACGGCAAAACTTCTTTATTAGGTCGACAATCGAACCAATAGAAGCACACCAATTTGAGTCAGTTGACACGGCCAAAAACCCCCGTTTATCGACAGCAAATCTTTTTGAACATTATTGTAGTTATTCAGATGAACTAAGGTAGGAACGAGTTTAGGGACCCACCCCTCCCCTCTCCCGCCGCTGCCGCCGGCCGGCGCTCCGCGTGGCCTTTGTTAGCGCTAGAGCAGGCGGCGACGGCGGCGGCGCCCAGCTCTGGTCTGGGGTGATAGAGCTGTAGGTTTGAGGGGGGTGTTTTCTGACTTGGCCCCTACAGCGTCCCCCGTTTATAATATCTTCTTGCTGTCTAGGAACACTATTAAGTCGCTAAAGTATGTTAGAATAAATCTGTAGTAGCTTCTACACGTGCTTAATACCCTGATAGCCTCACTAGACAGTATCTTCTAATTACGTGACAGCGTAATCCGTATTTTAGCTACGTTAAGCACCCCCCCTTCCCCTGGGCGCGCGTAGGTACCTAGAAACTTTCTCAGGCGGCTCCACGCGCCCGGTGCAGCCCGCTACAGGAAGCTGATGTTAGGCGTTACGAAGGCACTTAACGTAGCTGGGAAAGGACGCTAAAATTTCCGGCGCGTCTCCAAATTAAAATGTTCTTGACTGCGGCCCGCGCAATCTCGCCATCGTCACGCAGCAGTTCGTCCCTTGTGCAACGTCGTTGCTCTGATTAAGCTACTACCCCCCGGCTGCGAGCGAAAACTTGTTTTTCACAACTCACATCATCGACAACTCCGCAGCAAACGCAACTCGATCACGCTTGCGCGCGTCAGCCCATGCGGTGCTCGTGCCCACCATGCTGTTTCCCGAGGAGGATGCGCCGCAGCTCAAGACCTGGATAGTCAAGCGCATCGAGAACACGTACGTGCCACCTACACCTCGAGCCGCATATGCTGCGGCTTAGTTAGTCTGAATTTGCATGTACTCATTTGGCTGTCCTCTCCAGATCCGATGCCGACTCCGACGTTCTAGCAGACTATGTCATTGCTCTTTTAAAGCATGATGGCGACCAAGCTGCTATTCGCAAACTCTGCGAGGAGGAAATTCCAGATTTCCTGACGGAAGGTTTGTTTCGATACCTGTTGACCCGCCGAAGTCGTGTTCTTGGCTAATCGATTCTATAATGCCTGTAGACTCAAAGGCCTTTGTCGATGATGTCTTTCAAGCCATTGCAGATAAATCCTACATGCCCGGTGCAACCCCGGCGCCCAAGTTGCCCTCCGCAAGCAATTCCCAAACTCCTGCAAATCTGCCACCGAGACCCTCAAATTCGAGAAAACGCGGATTCGACGACGGCAGGGACGAGCACAACTACAACAGTTATTCACGACACGGCGAGCGAGCTCATAAGCAGCTTCGACGGGGAGGGCGTCGTAACGACAACTACAGTGGCTTCGCACCACCAATAGGTATGGGTACAGGTCTGCCACCTTTCGACACGAGCAATCCAATGGAGGCGTTCTTGAGAATGCATACTATGAGTATGCCATTCCCTGGCATGCCAGACTACAGCGGCCATGGACCCGATACCAGACAGCGCAAGCGCGGACGATGCAGAGACTTTGATAGCAAAGGCTACTGCTCGCGCGGAAGCACCTGTCTGTACGACCATGGGCAAGAAACAGATGTGTTCGGAGGTGAGCGCGTGATTTTGTATCGAGACCGAAAACATGGTGCTAATGACCGCCTTATCAGACTTTAACTTCGGCGATGGATTCATGGATATGGCACATATGATGTCCCGTGGACCACAGTTCATGGGTGATGCGCCTCGTGGCGGGCGAGCAGGGCGAGCCGGGAAGAAGAACCGAGGAGGTAAGAACTCCTCCCGAGGCTCGAGGGCAGCCTTTTCCGCAGAAGGGCCTGTACAGGATCGGTCAAAATCGACAATCGTGGTTGAGAACATCCCCGAGGAATGCCTTTCCGAAGAGCGAGTCCGCGACTTTTTTGCGCAATTCGGCAATATCCAACAAGTGACGATGCAAACCCACAAACATCTCGCCATTGTCAAATACAATAGCTGGGATGAAGCCAGCGCAGCTTACAAGTCCCCCAAAGTTATATTCAACAACCGATTCGTCAAAGTCTTCTGGTATAAGGACGAGATCAAAGGTCCAAACGTACGTGGCACAAAATTCGGGGCTAGTGGACTCGAAGATGGCTCGAATGGCGGAGACGACGTTGGCCCAGCACCGGAGCTTGATGCAGAAGAATTTCAAAGGAGGCAAGAAGAAGCACAAAGGTCACATGAAGAGAAGGAAAGCAAGCGCTCTGAGCTCGAATTGAAGCGCCAAGAACTCGAGAAACAACAGCAGGAGCTACTAGCGAAGCATCGTGCCGAGACGGAAAGGTTGCAGGCAAAACTATATGCCAAATCGAGCAGCGGCAACGGCGGCGGCACAACCGATGAAAACGGCCCGCCGACTGGATCGACAGACATGCTGCGGGCGAAACTCGCGCTCCTCGAGCAAGAAGCCAAGATCCTGGGCATCGATCCCGAAAACCCAGACACCGAGGAGGGCAGCTTAGGAGGTTTTCGTGGTGGCTACAGAGGGAGAGTCTATCGTGGCCGAGGTTCATTTGCCAGAGGTGGTTTTGCACCGCGCGGTCGAGGGTCTTTCAGAGGCAGCGGAGAACGGCATGCTGCCTATGCGCAGTTCTCCATAGACAACAGGCCCAAGAAGGTTGCTATTGCCGGGGTTGATTTTACGTCTACGGAGAAGGACGAGGCATTACGCCATTTCCTCATTGTAAGTGTTTCTGGATTGTACCCTCATGCATGTGCTGAGAAGCCACTAACATGCCGTTCCCAGAGCAATGGCGACTTTGAATCTGTCGAGAGCGGTGCTGAAAAGACAATGGTGTCGTTCCCCGACCGCAAGACGGCAGAGAAGTTCTACTTTTCCCTACAAGGCAAAGAGTTGCCGGGCATTTCCGGCAAGTTGGAGCTGTCCTGGGTCAACACGCCACTTCCACCTGTGGGAACTGGCGGCGCATCCTCAGCGCCAGCCGGCCCGTCGGCAATCGGCAAGGCAGCGGCTGAATCTGAGGACGTCGGCGAAGACTTTGGCAACATGGAAGATCAAGAAGGGGAATATGCAGGCGTAGGCAAGGCAAGGCAAGACGAGCCAAAGCGAGAGGTAAATATGGATTATGAAATGCCTGACGAAGAGGCATGGTAGAGCGACGCGACCAAGATGTCTCCAATTGGGCGTATGCGCTGGCATGGAACACTGTGTAAATGAGCGACCATCATTTAGCTTCTCCCTTCAGTAGGTATAGAGTTCGAAATAGATCCCTTGCCGCCGAGTGCAAATGCCGAGGGATGTATTTACTAATGAAAAGGTGGCAATGGCGATGGCTTCGAAACGCTTCACATTGTGGCATGGACAGGCGGCCGACAGGTGGGGGGAAGAGTCGGTGGGCAAGTGGCGATGGCCCATGAGCACTGAGTTGGAGCAGAGGGAGAGGGTGAGGGAGGGGAGGGTTGGTGCCCTGTCAGGCTGTTACGCCTGTAACTTAGCTCTAGGTAGTTATTAGCAGGAGGCTGTCGTGGCAAGGCATTGCTGGCTGGTAATGAATGGTTGGCTGGCTGCAGCTTGCAGCTCTTGGAGGGGCACAGGGGCAACCGGCAGTAACTAACTACCTTAGTGGGGGGTCCTTCGAGAGCTTTACATGCCCCACCTTACGAAACTGAGCAGGTTGGCAGGTTGGCAGGCAGGTTGACAGGCGTGACAGCAAAGCACGCCGTGCTGATAAGGCGAGACAGCGAGCCGGTCTCCAAGCAACTACTGAATCTGTTGCACTGCCTGGGTTATCGAACATTGGTCTACTGATTGGAGCTCCTGCAGGTTTTGCAGCACGTGGTACCAGGCCAGAGAAAAATTTATCGCTCATTTTTGGCCTTGACTAGGCTGGTGGCCAGCTTTTTTCCTCTTTTTCTTTTGTGGGCGCTCCTTGCCCAGTGCCCCATTTGGATTGGCTGCGTGTTGGGAACCGGCTCACGCTTGCGCCAAAATGGACCGCACAAGCTGGTGGGGTCGGCGTGCTTGAAAATGCGGTACGAGGGCTGGAAAAAAAAAGGTGTAGTGATGGTCGAAGTGTCAAGAGGCAGTAAATGCAAATAGTCAAGGTTCTTCAAAGCTTATAGATGTCACGTCGTGATTCAATGGCTGTAATTAGTCAGTCCGGCCAGTCACTATGACTCTTCTGTAGCTTAGCAAGCCGTCACAACGAAAGCCACAGAAAGCTCATGGAAGTCTAGTGGCCAACCACAGCATGAAATCCGGCTTTCTCAGTGCTATCTCCGGGAAAGCTACAGCGGTTGCTCTGCTATAATCGGGTTTATTTAGCAGCAAAAGGAAAAAGGAAAAAGGAAAAAGGAAAAGCCCGCTTGCTTTGCCTCTTCACTCTCTTTTTAGTGGGTGACTGCTACGGTTGCGACACCTATATTTGGCCGCCCAAGTCCTCGCCCCTCCTCCCTCGTCGCCTAAGAAACTCGTCTCCCCTCCACTATTTTTCTCTCTTCACCTTTTCATCCTCTCCCAAACCTTCCCCCTCCGATTACAACAAGGGACGCTCAAAGAGTGGCAGTGATCTGGTCGCTGTCTCTCTCATCGTCGCTTTTGAGTCGCTTTTTTTTCCTATATAAAGTCTCCCAGCTCTCCCAAGAGGCTTCGTTTTTTTGTCTAAACGTAGTCGTCTTCATACCGCGCGGGGTCAAAATCTTCAACCCCGCTTTACCTTTTTCACACCACCAAATTTTCACAGGCGAGCTCAGCTGCCAAAACCGCAATCATGGTTAAGTGAGTAATCTCCATCGCGCTGTTGATATCGCTTGTGGTATTCGTCGAATCTCGAGATGCAATTTCCTGTCGCACAGTGCTCGCATTGCGGATGCGGGTGGCGCTCGAGGCGTCAAATGGCCAAAAAGGAACACCAAAGGGACACACGGAATATCAGCTCCTAGCCCATTTGTCTACGAGATTTCGGATTCCCGACCACTCTATGCGCCTCTGCTTATGAAATTATCGCTAACATGCTCCGCTCACTACAGTTTCACCGTCGACGAGGTTCGGGCCCTCATGGACAAGCCCTCCAATGTCCGTAACATGTCCGTCATTGCCCACGTCGATCACGGCAAGTCGACTCTTACCGACTCCCTTCTCGCCAAGGCCGGTATCATCTCCACCGCTAAGGCTGGTGATGCCCGTGCCACCGATACCCGTGCTGATGAGCAGGAGCGTGGTATCACCATCAAGTCCACTGCCATCTCCCTGTACGGTCATCTTGATGACCCAGAGGACATCAAGGACATCGTTGGCCAGAAGACCGAGGGCCAGGACTTCCTTATCAACCTGATCGACTCTCCCGGTCACGTTGATTTCTCTTCCGAAGTTACTGCTGCCCTCCGTGTTACTGACGGTGCTCTCGTCGTCGTCGACACTGTCGAGGGTGTCTGCGTCCAGACTGAGACTGTCTTGCGTCAGGCTCTCGGTGAGCGTATTAAGCCCGTTGTTGTCATCAACAAGGTCGACCGTGCTCTTCTCGAGCTTCAGGTCTCCAAGGAGGACCTCTACCAGACCTTCTCTCGCACCATCGAGTCCGTCAACGTCGTCATCTCCACCTACTTCGACAAGACCCTCGGTGATGTCCAGGTCTACCCCTACAAGGGCACCGTCGCTTTCGGTTCCGGGCTCCACGGCTGGGCCTTCACCGTCCGTCAGTTCGCCATTCGTTACGCCAAGAAGTTCGGTGTCGACAAGAACAAGATGATGGAGCGTCTCTGGGTAAGACTTCCCGATTTTTTGAGAGTGGTCTTGACTCCATTAAAGCTAACTTATTTTCCAGGGCGACAACTACTTCAACCCCCACACCAAGAAGTGGACCAAGAACGGCACCCACGAGGGCAAGCCTCTTGAGCGTGCTTTCAACCAGTTTATTCTGGACCCTATCTTCAAGATCTTCCATGCCGTCATGAACTTCAAGACCGACGAGATTAACACTCTCCTCGAGAAGCTCCAGCTCAAGCTCAGCCCCGAGGAGCGCGCTAAGGATGGCAAGCAGCTTCTCAAGTCTGTTCTCCGTACTTTCCTCCCCGCTGCCGACTGCCTTCTCGAGATGATGATTCTGCACCTTCCTTCTCCCGTCACTGCCCAGAAGTACCGTGCTGAGACTCTATACGAGGGTCCCATGGACGACGAGAACGCTATCGGTATTCGTGACTGCGACCCCAAGGGTCCCCTCATGCTCTACGTCTCCAAGATGGTCCCCACCTCCGACAAGGGCCGCTTCTACGCCTTCGGTCGTGTCTTCTCTGGTACCGTCCGCTCCGGCCTCAAGGTCCGTATCCAGGGCCCCAACTACACCCCTGGCAAGAAGGAGGATCTCTTCATCAAGGCTATTCAGCGTACTGTCCTCATGATGGGTGGCAAGGTCGAGCCCATTGACGACATGCCTGCTGGTAACATTGTGGGTCTGGTCGGTGTTGATCAGTTCCTTCTCAAGTCCGGTACCATTACCACTTCAGATACTGCCCACAACATGCGTGTCATGAAGTTCTCTGTCTCCCCTGTCGTTCAGCGTTCCGTCAAGGTCAAGAACGGTCAGGATCTCCCCAAGCTTGTTGAAGGTCTCAAGCGTCTCTCCAAGTCGGATCCTTGCGTCCTGACCATGACCAACGAGTCTGGTGAGCACGTCGTTGCCGGTGCCGGTGAGCTTCATCTCGAGATTTGCTTGAAGGATCTCGAGGAGGACCACGCTGGTGTTCCCCTCATCATCTCCGACCCCGTCGTCCAGTACCGCGAGACCGTCTCTGGCAAGTCCAGCATGACTGCGCTGTCCAAGTCTCCCAACAAGCACAACCGTATTTACATGACGGCTGAGCCCATTGATGAGGAGCTCTCTCTCGCCATTGAGAGCGGCAAGGTCGCTCCCCGTGACGACTACAAGGCCCGTGCCCGCATTCTTGCCGACGACTTCGGCTGGGATGTCACTGATGGTCAGAAGATTTGGTGCTTCGGTCCTGATGGCACCGGTGCCAACTTGCTCGTTGACCAGACCCGTGCTGTCCAGTACCTCAACGAAATCAAGGACTCCGTCGTCTCCGGTTTCCAGTGGGCTTCCCGTGAGGGTCCTCTTGCTGAGGAGCCCATGCGCTCTATCCGCTTCAACGTCCTCGATGTTACCCTCCACGCTGATGCCATCCATCGTGGTGCCGGTCAGATCATGCCCACTACCCGTCGTGTTCTCTACGCCTCGGCCCTCCTTGCTGAGCCCGCTCTTCTCGAGCCTGTCTACCTTGTTGAGATTCAGGTTCCCGAGCAGGCCATGGGTGGTGTTTACGGTGTCCTGACCCGCCGTCGTGGTCATGTCTTCAACGAGGAGCAGCGCCCCGGTACTCCCCTCTTCAACATCAAGGCTTACCTCCCCATTCTGGAGTCTTTCGGTTTCAACGCCGATCTGCGCCAGGCCACCTCTGGCCAGGCCTTCCCTCAGTCTGTGTTCGATCACTGGCAGGTCCTGCCCGGTGGCTCTGCTCTCGACGCCACCTCCAAAGTTGGCCAGCTCGTCACTGAAACCCGTAAGCGCAAGGGTATCAAGGTCGAGGTTCCCGGCTACGAGAACTACTATGACAAGCTGTAAGCGACCTCTTGGGATACCGATAGAATTGCGGATTGTGCCTGGGGTACGATTCATGGAATGGCGGCCAGCAAAATATATGGACAGATGTCCAAATCCTTGGGTTGATACCATGGGGTGCTTCAAGGGGCAAAAAGTACACGCTAGGTCGAGGCCATATCTTAGAGGAAGCTTGGCTTGGCTCTTTTCGTTTTATCTATGTAGTTATGTCGTCTCGGATGAATTGAAGCAAATTAAGAATGAACAGTTGGTGCAAATGACCAATTCCGCTGTGACTGGATATATTGTGCTACACCGAAGACAATGGCCTCGTGCATTTCTTTCTGTGTGGATATGCTTGCGTAGACTTAACATCGATCGCGACACCAAACAAGGGCTATTGCCCAGCTCGCACCTCACAGTTATCTTCCGTGTTGGAGAAGGACTATGTTCTTGATAAACTTGCCTTGCCAAACGCATGGTATAGTTGGTAACCATGCAGCCGATATATTCTTTCAACTGGTAGAAAGGAGCAGCTGGCGCAGCGTCAGGACGGCATCTGTTCCCGTGCTTGGTTCATCCTTTGTCAATATAGAAATAAGATGCTTCGAATTCCGGTGCCGGTCTACTCAACTCACTTTAGCTACTGTGCATAGCCATGTTCCCCAAATCCCTCTTTACCCTCCAACTTCGAGGAAGATGTCGGTTTAAAGCAACACCGGATCCGAGCAGCTGCCAAAGAACGCCAGGCAGCGAGGCCTACTTTTGATAGCATGAGAAATGACCATTGTTTTTGTAAGAAAGAAATATACATTAGTAGATTATACACATTATTCATAAGAAAATATACAGAGAGAAAGACATGCTCTTTCCTCAAGATGATCCCAAGATACGTTCATATGCGTCTTCGACCTCGCCCGCCAACTCCAATAGAGCCACAATCACAATCTGGTGCGTCAAGTTGGGCAGCCTGTCGCGCTGCAGACCAATCCACTCGAGTGGCGGCGTCGCCTCGCCCATGTCGCGCAGCTGCGGCGTTTCAATGATGGGCTCCTCGAGCGCGGTGTAGTTGTACTTGGACTGCGGCACGTTGACCTCGGCCGTGATCTTGCCCTGCTGCGCCGCCGGCGACTCCTGATCCTCGCCCTCCTCGCCGGTGCGGTCCTGGTTCAGGAGCCCACCGCCGGCGAGGCTTTCCGTGCTCTTCTTCTCGGTGCCGAGGCCCGGCACGCCGGTAATCTTGACCGCCGTCAGGGGCAGCTGGCGGCCCCAAACCTGCTCCAGAGACTTGTTGTGGTTTGCCAGCATGCCGCGGATGTAGCTGATGCGCGAGTAGTTCCATCCAACCTCGACTTTACCCTCAAAGGCGCTCTTGAACTTGTAGTCGATGTGGTTGGTGTTGGGCGACTGCCACGTCTCCATGAGCGCCTCTACGTAGGGCACTTTGAGAATGGTACCGCCGCGGGAGCCTGTTGATCTCTCCACGACGTCCTCAACCCGCATCTCGCTCAATGTTCGTGGAGCTTCCACGTTTCGCACGCCTGCCAAGCCGACGCGGAGCTGTCCCAAGGTCATGCGCAGTAAGCTATGAATCTTTCGCTCCTTCATGCTGGCTGCAAACCTCGCATAGGCGTCCAGTGCTTCCATCTTGAAGACTTGGTGGTCGGAGAATGTGCTGGGAAAGACGCCGAGATTTAGTGCGCGCAGCGTCACGACAACATCCGTGTCCAGAGAAATGGGCGACTTGGACATGGTGTCATTCTCAGGAAGCTTGGGGATGGTGCTTCGCGGCTGCAAGCTACTCCGTCCACCGACCGACTTACGGTTGATGAACTTTTCAATCTCCTTTAGAGATGACTCGTAGCTTTCTTTGTTCTCTTGAACAAGCCTCTTTAGTGCCTGGTACGCAGCCACCCCCTGTGCAGCCGAAGAGGTGGTGCCGAAGAGCTGGATCGCGTCGCCGTTGAAGATTGCCACAAGACGGTCTCCGCTGCCGTGTCTGCTTTCCCGGACATTGTACATCAAGAATTCGAGCGACGTTACATCTCCGACGAGGAATGCCTGATAGTCAAAAGCTGCTTTGATTTGAAGAGCCTTGAATGCCAGTGCAGCTTGAACCAAAGGCGTCTCATTCAACGCCTCCTCGCGCTTTGGCCACTGAATTGACGTTCGGAGTCGGAAGTGCTCCAGAGCAATGAAACCACTCAAACGGCCAGTAGAGTCGATACCGATCTTGCCAAACCCCAAGCATAGGTTCTGCTCCCAGTCTGATGTTTTCTTGGAGGAAACCCACAACTCTTGAATTTGAAACACAGATTTTCCAATAGACTGGCCAAGATCGATGCTCACATCCAGCGCTGCAATCGAGACGGTAGCGGTCCAGGGGAAGGCAGCAGTGGCAGCAACTTGCTGATATCGTTGAACCAAATGAACTTGGGAAGTCTCCGTTTCTAGCTTTGCCACTGGCGCCGAATCAGCGTGGCGCAGCTCCTCTGGGTACCAAATTTCTCGGAAAAGCAGGAAATCTGGTGCCTGACGTGCGTTGACAGAGATGGCCATTGGACTGACGTTGAGAATGGCCGAGACTCCACTCACGCCACTAACATGCTTGCTGTTCATAAGAGACAGGGTGACTGTATCAAGAGCAAAGCTAGCTGTTGGCTCTCTTGAATATACATGCTTGACGGATGCCTGCGGTTTCGTCAGAACTCCGGAAATAGCGAAGAAGTCGCCATGCTCATGTGAGGTAATCGTATTGAAGGTGAGATAGAAGTGATCGAAGCTTGTTGTAGCAGCAACTCGGGCAATAGGCTGGCAGCTCAAAGAAAACTTCTGCTCGCAGATTCTCAAACCCAGATTCAGTTTCAGCCGGCCAATAACGGTACTGGGGTCCGCAGTGAGAATATTATCCTCTTCGCCTGTTTTCTGAGGCTTAAGCTTAGGTGGCGCGGGAGCTTTTTGTCCGTCGTCTTTGTCGCTCACAACTTCCTTGATATTTGACAAGATATCGAGAACTAAAGGAACGACCGAAGGATATAGAATGTTTTCAGACGCATCAATCTTGATTTCGGCAAAGAGCGACGGATCCGCTTTGCCGTCATCGCGAAACTCTCCCTTGAATGCCACTCCAGGGCTGCGTAGGACTGCACTGCTTCCGGAGTCATCCACATTGAACTGGCCGTATTTACCTCCAAGAGATGGCCCATTGTGACTTTGTTCCTTGTTACTGCTGGATACATGGACAACGGCTCCAGCAAAGTCAGCGTCTAGCAGGAGGCTTTCAAGTCGCTTGTTGCCTATAATGGAGCGTTGTTTGATGGAGGGTATCTCGACGGGCTCTTTGTTGGACGTGTCTTGCACAGTGTCCGTCGTCCATTGTGCAGAGGCTTCCTGTACGTTTTTGGCCGACAAGGATATTGATTGCACCAAGTGGGCAGCGGGCAGAATAAACGATGATGTGAGTCTCAAATCCAATGATTTGCCGAATGCTTGAAAGGCAAGACGCCGAGCATCAGCTGTAGAAATGTACGCAACGTTAAACGTGACTTCAGGTAAGAGAGCCGAGTGAAGGGATCTTGTCCCCCTTTCATGTCCAGGTGGCACCATCTGTAGCTGCAAGTCTTCAATGGTTAGTCGAGCAGATTTCTTGCTTCTGGTGCCAAACTCAATCAAGGATATGGAGAAATGAAGATCTTCCTTGTCATCTGAAGTATGATCGGCCTCTTTAGCAACATCCCAGCTAGCACGAATGTTTCGCAGCTGGAACCGGTACACCACAGACGACAAGACTGAATCAAGCAGGTCCTCCTCATCTGCTCCAGATACATCGTCGTCGTTGATCGAAATGCGTGGCTTGGATTGTCTCAATTTGCGCAGATATTCCAGCTCGCGGGACGTATCCAGATCTTTGATTCTTGAGCTCATATAGCCAAGAATGTCGATGACCGTCGAGACAGTTTCAGGTGACAGAATAACATGAAGATCATCACTCATAAAATTAAAAATCCATTCCTCTTTCCCGTCTCGTGATCTTCTTGAGCCGGCGTTTACAGTGACACTTGCTCCGAGGTTGCCACATGATCTGGTTTTCCCTTCGTGGCCTCGACGTACATCGAAGCCAATATTCTGCAAATGCAGGCTCAGCTCAGGATATTTCATAATAACCCCCGAGGAAACGTTCCTGTTCGATGCCTGTAGACGAAATTTGTCAAGCGCGAAAAGTAAGTGTGCGAATGGCTCTTCTGGTTTTTTGAGGAACGTCTTGGTGAGCGCCTCGAATCCAGCCAAAGTCAAGTGTACATCGTAAATAATAGGCAGCTGAATCGTCTTTGTACTGCTCGCTGTGACTGTCGCGGGTATATGCCGGGGAGGCTTGGAATCGGAAAGTTCGCCCACATGTTCCTGGATCGACTTCAGTTGTTCTTGGATATCTTCGATTTCTGCACTGATCTGCGGCCGATTCACAGCTGTCAGCAAGCTGTAGATAGCTGATGCGTCAAGACGAATGACCTCGATTGATAAGAGAACATTGATTGTGCGCTCGGAGCTTTCCCCGCGAGTTGTAACTCGACCATTTGTTGGCGGCATTTGCAAGATCGAGATACTCTGCAATTTGTTGTTTACATTCATTTGGATGTCGTGTGAATTGTCTTTCACATCAAAGTCAAACACAAGTTCTTTCCCATGATTCGCAGCAAATGCTGCTCGCGCCACGTCTCCAGCTACTTTATAAGTCAAGGACTGAAGCAACGGCACGCTGATAGAGTACCCGTCGAGAAACATGACCATGTTGATCTTGAAGCTTGCCAGTTGGCCAGCAATGTATGGGGACTGCGTTTTCGTCTGGGATTTCGGCATGTACGTCTGGAGTTGGGCCAGCTGTGCGCCTTCATCCCTGATAACAAGATCAACAATCTCCAAGAGACCCATTATATCTTTTTCGACGGTGACCGATAGGCCGCGACTGCTAGCAGCTCCTTTGATGGCGTGGATTGGCTGAGCTTTGCCTTCAGGGATATCCTGCGAGATAGTCACTGATGGACTCAGCAGCTGGCAGGTCCATAACAAGGAAGAATGGCCATGCATCCTTGACGTGACAGCGTCGCAATTCAGCATGAGGCTGTTGAATTCTCTGCCACTCTCTAGCCTGTACAGCAGTGCCGAGGATTTGAAACCGCTCAAATGGTTGCAGAAGCGAAGGTTGATGGTCTCTAGATTGAGAGAGCCGTTTTCAATCTCACAAAAGACGTGCAAAGCCATGCGATGAGCTTCTTTGTCAGCCACCTTTGGTTTTGGTTTCTTGGGTGTCGCGACAACTGCCGGCTGACTTCGATTGTAAAGCTTCAAGACTGTTTGGCCGAGCTCCAAAAGTTCCCAATTCAGATCTACATGAACATCAGAGCAGGAAATGTCCACAGTATTGAGAAGATCATCCATGCCTTGTATGCCAAGTTGTGCTCCAACTGAGGCATCAGGCTTGCGCTCGAACCTACTACTGAGGTCTTTGACAGTGACACGATTCTGTTTTGGACCAGGATCAAGAATGAATTGCAACTCGCCAAGTCTGCACGCACTTAGGAAGAGACGCTCGTCGCCTTGTTGTTCAACCGGGGTCTTCATGGGGCCAAACACCTTTCTCAGCAAGACGGTCTGTCGGGGATCTTCGAGGTCCCAGCTTCTCCAATGCTGAAATGCTTCTATGGCAGCCTGAGCTGCGTTATGAGGCAGCTGTCCTGTTCCTGTGCTGCAAGCTTGCGTGAGACGGATTTTATCGGCCTGTGGCAATAGTGTCCAGATTTGCCGCAGTCGCATGGCCAGTTTCCAAGAATCAACAGTCCTCAGGTGTTGGTTCACTGACCGAAGTACTGCTGAGGGTCGAATAAGAAACGGGGGGTCATTGGTCGACCGACCAAGATCTAACAAACGGCAGCAGCAGTACTGTAGGCGGTTTTGCTGTCGCTGCGAAGATTGGGCGAGTAGATTTGACAATTCTGAAGCAACGTTTCCTGTACGATGTATCAGAGTCGCCAGGTACTCAATGGCGCCAGAAGCTGTACTGCCGACAACAGATCCAATGTCCACATCAAGGTATGTCACGTCTTTCGACCCCAGGGATACCAGAACCTGGTCAATTTGCATCATCACAGCGGCTTGAGCTTTAGGCGCCGTGCTGAGTCTTTCTGTTGCTGAGAGTTCAGCGTTGCTCATGCGCAGCTGCAAGGATGTTCTAGACTTGTCGTGCATCGCTGAAGTGCTATTTCGCTCTAGCACAGTTCGGGTAACAAGGCTGACATTGGAGAACTGCAAATCATACTGATCGACTTCTTCCGAGGATGAGTCAGAGCTGTCCAAGGTCGACGAGTTCAAAAAGCGAATATGGGCGCCAGGAAGTCGGACGAGCAGGTCTGTCATATCGCCTGCTGCGTTACTGCGTTGCTTCGCGCTGTAGATCTCTTTGATAGAGTTCACTTGCAGACTATCCAATAAGTCTTCTGGGCTACTTGGATGCAATACTTCAAGCAGAGAGTTTACATGCTTAACAGCTTCTGGGTTCACAAAAGCAGTGATACCAGAGGGAACTTCAACAATGGCGCCAGAGTAAGCGAATTCTTCGCTGATACTTCGCGGATCAATGTCAGAGAGTTGAGCTGACGGATTTCGAAACGGGTCGTCCCAGTTGGCATCATCCCCTTCCAAGGTTCCAAGTTGGCGCAGGTCCGGCTGAATGCCATCCATGGAGAAATGGGGGGCAAAGTAAGGGCTAGAGAATGTGACAGTGGGATGGCTATAGCTCCGATTTCTCCCATCTTCTGCTGCGCTTGTAGAAGGGGTATAGCTCGGCAGTTGCAACCGGCTGCGTAGAGATGACGCCTGTGGAGGCAGCTTCGTATGCCCCCGAACGCCTGCAATTCTGCGCCTTACGCTGCTTCCACTTCCAGAGCTAGCAAAGGACAGAAATGATCCTTGGCGTCTAATCCTACGAGAAGACCTCGACGATCGAATGCTTTCGGCAGAATCATTGTCAAACTCGAGCTCATCAACTGGATATGGTGGCGGCGGGGCACACTGAGCAGGGACATCTACTTGTTCGGGTATGAATTCATCGAGCAATTCGTCGAAAACCAAAAAGGGCGTCCTGCCTGTGCGTTGATCTTCTCGTCGCACTAGCTCCTGTTGTGCCTTGCGTTCTTCTGCAAAATTCACTTTGCGCCCAATTGAACCAAGCTGGATGTCCATTCGCAGATATGCATCGGTCTTGACTGGGTGGTGGTGGCGGGACTTGTGTTCGGCCGCAGATTCAGCATCGACACATGATATTTGAATGTTGGGGACAGTCACGTTTGCTCTTTTGGAGTAATGTGACCGAGCCCAATCATTGCTATTCACGTCAATCGTGCCCGTCGAGATCAGGAATGCAGCATCAGGCAAATGTATCCATAGTGAGACGCCGTCTACTTGCGCTCTGATGAACGTAATGTCGTGGAAGACGAGGGACGAATACGGCACCAATGCATTCTCAACGTCATCAAATGTGAAGCCGAAAGCAGATGCACCCTTGGTAAGGGCAGATAGAAACTCTGCATTACAGCCACCGCGAACTGCGCCAACAGAAACATCCCAGTTACAAAGGTATGTAGGCTCGGCAGGTGGCAGTCCAAACGCTCTGTGACCAAAAACACGAATGCCATCTATGAAAAGCTGTGTGTTCGAGGTCGATAAGCTTGGTGAGTCTGTTCGATTACCGGCACCGAGAGACAGACTTAGTGGACTCAGGTCTAGCTCCAAATCCATGTAATAGTTGGTAAACCGTAGGTCGACAGCCAGGCTTGCGAGTTCTCCTTGAATATAGCGGTTCGCAGAGTACAGATTCGTTGGCACAATAATCTGGGGATCGTCCACTTTGACAGAAAGTATCACGTCCAAGTCATTCGACTTCTTAACCGGTGGTCCCATTTTGCCATCGCCGTCTCCTTGAGCTTGTAATTGAATCTGCTCTTGGTACTCGTCGACCGTGCGAAAGTGTACATGTTCGCCAAAATAATTGTCCTTGAGCAGCATGAGATATCGTACGAGAAAGCCATGGGCGGTGACGTGGGGAGATTGGCCATAAACGTTCAAGACCAATGTGTCCGTGTTGGCTGATGAGGTTGACGCATTATATTGATAGCTGCCTGAAATAACTAGGCCTTCCGCGTTGCCAAGTAGGGCCGAGTCCAAGAATGCTGAATCTGTATTCCATTGAGGCGTTCTCGCGGCTAAAGTGAGCGTTTCAGCTCGAACATTGAAAGGAATGGAATTCTTTGCTGGTATGTACTTGTCGAGCGGAATTGTAGCTTCGGTAGTCAAAGCGGGAGTCGAGAGGACTAAAAAGTTGTTTTCGTCATGCGATGTTGCGTTATCGATAATGTTGCCATCATTGATATTAATGTATGCTTGCAGATTCCGAAGCTGTAGATGTAAATGATAGTTGAAAGGTGTGAAGACGAGGTAATCGGAAGGTGGTCCACTAGCCCAGTCATTCACCAAGTCTATCAAAAGAAAGATGTGATCGCGAAGCAGGTATAGCTTCATGTCATCAGTTGTGATATTGAAGTGCCAATTTCGAAGCGTGTTCCACGTGAGAGGGTTTGACAAATCACAGACAATGCTCTGGGGACCAGAGCGCCAAAGAAGATCATGGTTGACACTGCTCCACAGCTCAGAGGTTGGCAAATCAACTCGAAGCGTGTTCTTATAACCACCCAGTCGGGCAAGCATATCCATCGAGTATTTGACTGAGGCGTTCTTTGGCAGTTTAAACTCGAGCCATCCGACAGGACGAGTCTGGACGTCTGTTTTGCTCTTCTTCTTAGCCTTGTTACGTTGCTTTCGATTCAGAGGCCCTTGCTGGTTGACAGGGGGCTCTTTACCACGCCAGCGCCAGTTTTTTGACTCTTCTCGAATCGGTATTCGAAGTGTGACAGTGTCTTCTAGCTCAATCAAGAGCTTGAACTCTGTGGCGACTCTCCAATCCCCTGGGGTCAGCGGCTTTGCAGGTGTAGCATCTTTGGCTAGTCCAGGTATGAAGACGCGTTGCAAGTCCGCCCGTTGTCGATCGGCCCAGGGTCCATAGTTCATAGTACCACCCCGAATAGTAAAGTGAATCCCCCACGCAGGCGCATCGCCGCCGTTGACATGCAAGAGGGAGTCAGCAGTGTTAGGGCGAGAGTTTTGTTGCGTCACCTTGGCAACAGCATCCCAGTATACCTGCAGATGAGCAGAAGGTGAGTCCATGATGGTGGTCACAGCAGCATACTCGACCGAGTTCCATCGAGCCTTGTCATCTTGGTCACGATCGTCAAGATACCGAGATAGACCTTGCCAGCGATTTGACGCGGGAATTTGCGAATCCCTAGTGCCGTGTTCTGTGCGCGAACCAGCCGAAAATGACTCGACCGATCTTCTCCAATAAGGTACCATGTTGCGCAAAGATGAGACGAGCTTGCGCCGCCTGTGGCGGAACCAGTTTCTTGAGGGTTGAGAGTCGAAATGGATTCCAATCTCGCGTTCTTTGGTGGCGCGGGTAGGCTGGTCCTCTTTGAAGTCATTGTTGTCCTTGAATTCAACGATAGGGTGATCAAAATCGACATCGAAAAGCTGACGGTATGGGTCTGGCGTGCTGGCTGCTCCCGCATCGACATCGCACGTTAGGCCGCTTGCTTTGGCAACTAGGATAGCTCTAGTGTTATCATTTCCGATTACAGCAGCGGCTGTCCTGCATTCGATGTGTATAGGCAACCATTGCAGTATAAATGGTGTTTCTGGCTCTGAAATTCTACCAAAATCCCCGGCAACGCTGTCGTCTTGAGAGCTGTTTTGTCGCCCCGTGGCTGGTCGACCGTTTCGCGATGATGGGAATATCTCTTCAAGCTGATCAATCCCATTCAAGTTTCGCCTACGTGGTTTTTCTGCAGCGCTCGGTTTCTCGTGGTACACGTCGTTGGAGGAGGAGCGTGCTGCATCAGCTTGCTTCAGACCAGCCAGAACTCCTTCGTAGGCTGGACTGCGATTGTAGACAAACCACTCCAAGCCAACCAAACTGACATTGATACGGCATGGAAGCTTTGAGTTGCTATCGTTACTAGAAGGGTGATTGCCTTGTGAGTGCTTGTCGTCTAGAACGTCGGCTTCGCGCACCCTCCGCAGCCAGTACCGCCAGGTGATGTCGCCATGCTGAATTAGGAATGATTCATTGACGCCGTGATAGCGCAAGCCCGAGAAGAAGATTCGACCGGCGAGCAATGACACTTGAAGAGCCTGAATGTCGAGAAAAACCTTATATCGGTGCCAGGTCCATGTTCGAATCGCGTAGGAGACTATCGAGCCGAAGAGCCGATTGAAGTAGAGGAGGAAGAAGATGGAGAGCAAGCCGGAGATGAGCAGGAAGATGAAAAATTTGCTTTTTATTGTTAAGATTGCGAGTGATGGTCGGGCAGTGCAGAAAGATTGCTCACTAGTTGAAGTCTGGAAGACCTGCTAACCTGGGGGCGAGTGATTGCTCCCACCCAGACATGATGGGGAGGGTCGCGGAGCAATCGCGACCAAGCTTCAATCGTGCCGCAGGAAGCAGGGTTTTGCCGATTACCGAATCTCGAAGATGGCGCGCATGATGAAATTGAAGCTGCAAGGGCTAACAGCTCGACAACACTGGATGTGCGCGGGAGCGTGGGCAGATGCGAAAATGATGTTCATGAGGCATCCCCTAACAATCGGAATACCTCGTGCCTAGGTAGGTAGGTAGGTAGCAAGCACGCAAGCTAAAAGGTAAGGTCTTTGGCTGCCAGTGATGACGCTACTGCAATCAAGCGGGGCCCCTGGGCACCTACAACCCACTGTACATACGCGCCAACCACTAGATCCCGCGGTTTTCGTCAAGATGAGATACCGAGAATATAGCTTATTTACAAGCAGTAAAGAAAAGTAACAAATATATGAAGATTCTTTCGAAAATGCCTCGACTTCAAAAATTAGAAGTTCAGCCTACCCAGGAGCCTCGCAGCGTGTGCGTGTGGCTGCTGCAGCATCTGAGACTGCTGCCTGGACAGAGGCTGCCAGCCAGTAAAATATAGTGTGTCGTAGTTGGCACTGGCGTGGCTTTACAGGGCGTTGCACCAAGCTCAGCGCTGTGATTGACTATGACTACCTTACTTATTGGGTGAATTATATTCTTGCCAACTTGCCTGAATGTTTCATCATCATCTACCAATGTTTCTAAGGTAGGTAGGTATCATTACGTGGACTCAGACTGGTTGCCGCCGACTTGCGCCCAAGGTGCGCGCATCTCCAAGCTGTACTCGTCACGCTTTCCACACCTCTACACCCTCTGCCCCAACTTTGTCCTTTGCGTTTCGTCATCGTCCCTGGCAAGGCTCGCCTCGACTATCTCAACATTGTGCCACTCGGGTACCCTAATCGGCCTCTCAGCCTTCCCATTTGTTTTTTTTTTTTTTCGCAGCCCCAATAGCCATGAGCTGATCCTGTCCCCGTCCTCCATCTCGACTTCTCCTGTCCTGCTTCTAGCTTTGGCTCCTCGAGCCGCAGCCGCAGCCGCAGCCATGGACATCGACAACTACACAACCTCAAATGGAGGGACTGGCGCCAAGTTCAAGGGATACACGACTATCATAGCTGGTGTCGCCTCCATCATCGCCACAGTCGTATCTGTCATGTTCGTGTCGAGCTGCCCTTGTCTCTTTCGTCCATCCAGAAACTGACCAGCCCTTCCATCTAGATCCATATGGCTCCAAGCAAAGAACTATCGCAAGCCCTTACTCCAGCGCTACGTCGTTCGAATTCTCCTCATGGTGCCCATTTACTCGATAGCATCTTGGACAAGCATGGTCTCTCTCACAGCCGCCCAGTTCATCGACCCCATTCGCGATATTTACGAGGCTTTCACAATCTACACCTTCTTCCAGCTCCTAATAAACTACCTCGGCGGTGAGAGATCCCTCATCGTCATGGCACACGGACGTGCTCCAGTACAGCACCTTTGGCCCCTCAACCATGTCCTACCCAAAGTCGACATATCCGATCCCTATACCTTTCTCTCTATCAAACGTGGCATCCTACAGTATGCTTGGCTCAAGCCCATTCTCGCGTTAGCTGCCGTCATCATGAAAGCCACCGGGACCTATCAAGAAGGATATATTGCCGCCAGCTCTGGCTACTTTTGGAGTGGTATCATTTACAACCTTAGTGTCACCGTCAGTCTATACGCGCTGGGCCTTTTCTGGGTCTGCATGCACCACGATCTGAAACCGTTCCGGCCAGTGCCCAAATTCCTCTCCATCAAGCTCATCATCTTTGCCTCGTATTGGCAAGGTTTCTTCTTGGGCATTCTGGTCTGGCTCGGAGCTATTCCAGACAACGTTCAAGGCTACACCCGTGACAACTTGGCGGCAGCCATTCAAGACTTCTTGATTTGTCTCGAGATGCCCATTTTTGCCGTGGTGCATTGGTATGCCTTTTCTTGGTACGACTTTGCAGATAACAGCATCCTGTCTGCTCGTATGCCACTCACAAGGGCGCTTCGCGACGCTTTCGGCACGAAAGATCTCATCGAAGATTCAAAAGAGACGTTCAGGGGCGATAAATACGGCTATCGTAACTTTGACTCTGGCGACAAGGTCATAGCACATGCAGACTCGCGCTCTCGATTTGCCAGACTGGATGAAGGAATGCGCTATAAAAGAGGCGGCAAGGGCAAGTATTGGCTCCCCAAACCTGGAGTTACCTCTTCATCGCCGCTGCTCGACAATGGCGAAGGCGGTTCAGCCAATCAAGATTCACAGCGAGAGAGCTCAATGGGCACATTTGACGAGCTCGAACTAGACCCGGAAGAGGAGCGCATGTACGATCAAGCGCGCCAATTAGAACATGGAGACTGGAATGCAAGTTATCCGTCGTCGTCACTTGTGTAGCTGCAACTAACTAGCGGTCTCTAGTATCCTGTCATCACGGCTAATGAACCGTTGAGAGAGCGATACGGCTCATCATTCAGCAGCCGCGGCGCTTACTCGCCTGCTCCTCGATTAGGCACGCCGCAAAGGCGTAGTTCGGCTTTGCCAGCAAAGCCAAGTTCTCCAAAAGCAAAAGCTAGCCCACAAAAACCAGGTGGCCCTCAAGAACCACCGGTCGTGGCTGTGATCAAAAAGAAGAAGAAGCCGAAGAAGGCTGTGGTCCATCATCCCGAGCCCGAGGCAGCGGCGCTTCTGGCAGATACCGACTATGGCGCTGGAACAAGCGCTGCTCAGGCCCGTGATGGAGCTGCAAGTCCGTCCGCAGCTGCCTCGCACGAGGACAACGCTGCATCTGCGGAAAACGTCGATGAAAATAGCACCCCGCAATACAACTTACACGACAGTGAGGAGTTTCGTAATGTCTGGGGAAGCAGCAGCTAAGAGTGGACAAGGGACGTGCAAAAAACTGTTTTGTTGATAAAGGCGAATGGGTCGATTTTAGTTGCACAGCATCACAAAATTTACGGGTAGGTGTGTTTCTCGGGCACAAATCCTGATTTTAAGGGTTGATATCGCGGTAAACAATATAAACTGGCAATCAGGCCGTCATCTTACGCACTTGACTCGCGTTGTTCTACATTTAGACACGGCATTTCAGCCTTCCCGTAAGCTATGCAGTGGTTTCAAAGTTGCACCAAGAATGGCATAGTTTGGCATGGATCGCCGCTTTCTCACTTCATAGCTGAATCTTGGCAATTTTTATGGCCCCCTGCTTCTAGGTTCTGGTAATAAATACAACCCTTGCCAACCACGAGCTATATAATAAGATGGGCTTCCCCCCCGCACAGTAGATTCATGCTGCTCTGGAATTCCCTGCGTGCCACCTTATGCAGTCATGAATTACGAATTCGTCATTGAAACCCGGCCTACATTGCCAAGCTACGGTAGTTTGACGAGCCTCGAAACTCCCACTAATACTAAACCAAGGAAAAAGAGATGGGCCACGAGAGCGAGGACAGGTTGTATCACATGCCGGTATTGGCCCCCATCGAGATGGTGTTGATTATTATCATACATACTTGCTTTCATTTCCTTGTTTAATGTTTTTCGTTCTTTTGCCTATTTCGCTTTGTTTCCCTTGTTCTTGCTGCGGCCAAATCTTCTAATCAGTCATTAGTGCACGTCGTGTGAAATGCGATGAGCTAAGACCAGTCTGTCGTCGCTGCACCGCCAGCCATGTCGTCTGTCGTGGGTATGAGCTGCCGCCACCCGGCATTGATAGTGACATACATGCCGTTGGTAGCCTCGATAGTCCTGCGGCCAGACGTCAAAGCCATGAGAGACACATTGTCTCCGCGGAGATTGAGCCTCCTAGCTGGGATTACCTAGAGGGGATCCGGTACTGTGAGCATCTCGCCCTGTTCTGATTTTCTTTTTTCTTTTTTCTTCTTTTCTTTTGTTGCGGCTAACGCCGACGAATGCTTGTCCCATAAGACTTTGAAGTGGTCAGGCCAGGTCGTGTATCTGAAAAGGGCCAGTTCAACGATCCTCCTTTCCACCTGCCCGGCTACAACCGGACGGCCTTTCTCGGACAAATCATCTGTGACCAAATCTCAAAGGCCTCCAAAGCCCGCGGCAGGCTTCTAAAAGCCGGCCAAGACGCAGCTTTTGAAAAGTCCTGGGACCGCTACTCGCGCAACATGATTGACGCCATCAAAGTCGTCAATGAAAAGTTTCGAGACGAGGCGTTGCATCCGAATGAGGCTCCGGCCTTTATGGAGATGCGACATTTGCTTGTGCTTGATTTGTACTTGCGGAGAGTCTTGTGGCGAGCTCATCTCAAAGGCTTCATTGCGTATATCCAACACCGAGGCGGCATCAAGCAGGTCCTCAAACTAAAGGACGCGCCCCTTTATCTAAACTTTGCGGTAGAGTACGGGAAACGTTCGACTTGATTAGTCCCGGGTACAGATATTGACAAAGAATTTTGCAATGAATGCAGAAACATTATCCACGCAAACACAACCAGCCCGGCAAAGCAGCAGCTCGAGGGCCTCGAAGAGTTTACCGACGATGAGCTGAGAGCGGCGCTCAGCAACGCCTGTTTTGCGCCTTGCCCGGCGGCACTGTACCCTCTCCTTGTCCACATTACCAGGCTGCGCGTCTCCGTCGCCTACAACCGACCTCCTCGAAAAGCCAACCTCGCGCTCGCAGTGCAGGACATTTTCAACACGACATGGCGCTTCGACGCAGACGCCTGGGCCGAGTCAAAGTCGTGGCAGGGCGAAGTCGACATTGGGCGTGTCATGGGCCGCGTCTTTCCACTCGCCATCCGTCTCTACGGCATTCTGACGCTGCCGGAAGCGTGGGTGGCCTCTTCGGCGGACATTGCAACGGCCTACTATGCAAGGCTTCCGGGGCGCAGCGTGCTCGACTCCCTGCGAATTCAACACAGGGAGGAACTGTTGTCCTTGATGAGAAGGAGCTGGGATTTGCTAAAGTATAAGACGTCATTGGTCTGGCCGTTGCTCGTGGCTGGTGTGGCCGCGGCGGACGGTACTACGAAAGATCGAGAGTTTATTGAGGGCTGTTTAGAGGCCATTTTGGCAATGCCAATTACGGCATGTTCTTTTATTACAGTTGTGGATAAGCTTCGCGCGTTTTGGGCATCTGGCAAGACAGAGTGGGAGGATTGCTGGGATGAGCCCATCGTGGGCTCTGCCTGATGTACATGTCTGGCGCCTCTTTGCTCTTAGTGAAATCTGTCTGCAATCAAACACATTTCGGCTAAAGGAACTGGAAGATGATGTCTATTCCATGCTTTCTTTCACCGGCCTGGGTCAGCTCTCTCGTTGTCCGTTTTCTAGGGCCACTAAGAATGAGGGACACAGTCCATCCATCCATCAAAGTGCTTCACGCGGCGGCGCACCAAAATCCGCTCTACTGACACTTTTTTCAACTTGATTCCTCAAGTACGCTTTGGCTTCTTTGGCACTCATACTTCCTGGGCTTGGAGGGCCTTCACCAGTTGCCCAGAGGGCCGCCTTGGGGCCGAGCACAAACTCGAGCGTGCCGCCGTCTGCAAAGACGTCGTACCAGCTCACCCAGCTCTTGTCCCACTGCTTCCCGTTGACCTTGAGAGACTGCACTTGGTATGCGTCCTCGGAGCCGCCCTTGGTCGTCACCTTGAGCGTCTTGCCGCCGTCGAGAGCAATGGTCAGGTCGGAGAACCAGGGCGAGCCGATGAAAAAGGTCGTCTGCCCCGTCATTGGATAAAGACCAATCATGTTCCACAGCAGCCACGACTCCATGGCACCGGCGTCGCTGTTGCCAGGCAGACCATCGGGGGTCGGGCGGTAGTAGGACTTGGCAACGAAGCGGCTGCGCTCGACCGCCAGGTCCTGGCGGTTGACAAAGTTGTACAAGTAGGGCGTCGTGAAGCTCGGCTCGTTTCCCGGGTTGAAGAGCGTGTGGCCAAACGCGGCGTTGCCAGAGAAGACGCCTGGCTCAAACGTCTTTTCAAGACGCTTGACAAACGTCTCAGTGCCGTTGCAAAGCTCAATGAGCTTGGCGAGGTCATGATGCGCGTTGAAGGAGTATTCCCAGGGAAGCGCCTGATAATAGTAGTCGCGCCAGTAGCAGCCACCGCACGACAGGGGGTCCTGGGGAATGAAGCCGGACGTGTTTCGCGGACCAACAAAGCCGGTGAACCCCAGCGCCGTCATGTTGGTGTTCCAGTGGTTACGCCAGCTGTGAGAGCGTTGAAAGTACTTGTCAAATTCGGCATCTTTGCCCAAACCTGCAGCGACACTGGCCAGAGAAAAGTCATTGACCGAACTGGAGACAATTAGCAACACTGCCCAAGCAGCTAGCGAACAGGACAACGTACTATTCCACCGCACGGCTAACAGATCTGGAAAACTTGGGGGTAATGTAGCCGTATTCAAGCCAGTCTGGAAGAGCACTGCGGCCTTCGCGCGTAGACCCCGTGGAATCACGAGAGTCGTTGTTGTTTGGGGGAACCTCTTCGGCATTCTTGACCATGGATGCGAAAGCGTCCGCCCAGTTGATTTTGCCACGTACGCCCTTGACATATGCATCCGCAAAGACATTGTCCGAGTTGGAGCCGCCTTGGACGGCGCCGTTGGAAAAGGACGATCGCGCATCCGAAACCCACCCAACATGGCGCCCAATGTCAATCATGGAGCGGAGGAGCTCTTCGTAGTATGTGGGCTGTAGCACATGAAGCAAACTGGTTGTGCAGCGATACTACGTTTGATTTCGTCAGCTTGAGGAGCTCAAGGAGTTGATGAAAACTTGCTTACAATATCCCAAAATGTGAAGATGTCATCGTAATATGGTTCGTCAGATTTCCAGAGCGGATTCTCGCCAGTCTTGTTCTGCGGCAGCAGATGCATAAAGTACAGTGCACTGTACAGTTGGTTGAGCTTGGTGGTGTTTGTTTCCGTCGTGGTAACTTTGCTGAATACTTGTTTATTCCACTCCTTCCGTGTCTCGTCTTGAACGTCTCGAATCTTGGTGCCACGGGGAATTTCCCTCGCCACACAATCGCAAGCCTGCTGGGTCGAGATGAACGAGACGCCCACGCGAGACACTACCACGGTTTGATTAAAGGCAAATAGAGCTCCAACACGGGGTGCCTGCATCGCGTATTTCCCTTTGCCAGTTTTGCTGTCCGGGCTATGGAAGACTTTATGTGTGGCGGGCGCATCAAAGTAGCCGCAAAAGAAGACTGCCCAAGGAGAAGCTCTGTTCCATCCCTGTGTAGAGGTCAGTTTCGACGACTTTGTGATCATGAATGGTGTACCTACATTATCATACGTACCTGAGCCAGTGTAGTACACCAAACCTGGCCTGTCAGGCTCGTCCAAGACTTTGATATCTCCGCCGAGGTAGTCTTGGCCTAGACCTTGTCCACGATACGATGACAAGACATGAGAGACGTCGACCCAAATGTTCAAGGATTTGTTGGTTTTCGGAAATACATATTGCAGTAAGCCGGCCTTTGTAGTTGCGGCCAGCTCGACCGTCGTTCCCGACCCAAGTTTTGCTCTGTAGTATCCAACTTCAGTGTAGTCGGGCTCAACGCGGGTATCGTTGGTGTTTTGGACGAAAGGGTCATCAATGTGGCCTACAACAGGTATCTGAGACACGACTCCGTATTTGGGAGCACCGCCGGTGCCGCTCTCATGAAGCATAGAGAAGCCGGTAAAGTTACCATTGGCTAGGTAGCCAGAATAGGCATCGGTTCCAGAATACAGATCTGGGCCGAGCTTGACCATACTAAACGGACGCGAAACACCGGGAAATGTGTTTCCTCCTCCGATTGAGCCAGTCTGGTAATTTCATCAGCATTTGAGAGAAGTCGTCTTCTCATGTACAAATACATACATCTGTCAATGCAAACTTGGACAGATCGGCACCCACAGCCGGCACTGCGGCCACCACGACCGCCAACACGAACAGCAAAACGGCTTTCATGCTTTGTTCTATCGCTGAACGGAGATCCCAACGCTGCCAGCATTCAATTCACTTTGCGAGGAGAAATAGTCTGTCAGACCGAGTGCGGAGATGATAAGCTGGGCTTGCTAGGGCACTAATGCGGAGCTAGGCGATGCACTGTTGAAGCTCAATTGTCGCATGCCGTCAACAGACACCTGTGAGTGGATGAAGGAGTCCGAGCTGCTCTCAAATGGGAAAGTTTCACTATTGACGAGCAGCATCGAGGGGAGACGAACATCGGCATTGCCCATTGACAGTAGTACATTCTGGGCCAAGACTGAATAAGCGGAACGACGAGAGCCAGTGTTAGATCAAGGTTTTGAAACATGTAGTACAGCATCAAAATGACAAGGAACAAGACGATTATTCATCCGTCCGTAGCCGTGCTAGCGACTCATCGACCTTTACCCAGGCCTTGTCGGAAACAGTTGCCATGAGCCAGTAATTATCGCCATGATCTTTGCCAATGACGTAAAAGTTGTCCGTCGCCGTAATATGGCCCTTGACCACGAGGTGCAGATAGTTGACCATTGTGCCTTTAGGATTTCGTCTCGATTCGTCATCCTGGCCGCGACGGATCACTGCTGGGCTAAAGTCTGCCGTCTGCACATACGATGCTTTGGTCAAGTTGTTTGTAAAGATGACGCGCGAGTGCGGCGTCTCCAGGAACTCAAGCTTTGCACGCTTCTTATTCCGTAAACTCTCCCTCACGCGTCTCAAAAGTAGAGTCATTTGCTCCTCCGACGACTGCTTTGTGATTTGACGCCTGCTTTCCGCAGCAATCTCTCCGACAGATGCGCCCGAGACTTTTGAGCTCAAATGGCAGAATGCTGTGCTGACAATATTCTGAAGGTATACACCCCCGCTGCTGGCAAGACACTTCAATCTTCCTCGCCCGTTCACCAGGTGCATTACGGTGACTGGATGCGGCTTAGGCTCCGCAGAGGTGATTGACTTGACAACCCAGGCTGAAATGGCGTCGCCTTCGGTGATGAAGGCATCACCTGAATGCTTCTTTGCCTCGAGGCTGATTTGATCCACTGCTGCCCGCGGCAGGAAAATTGTTCGAGTATCTCGGGGTGTATAGAATAGCCTGCGCCATAGAAATAAGACGATAAAAAGAAACAGATCCAAGCCCTTCACAAGTTTGGGGCCGGCAAAAGCCACTTCCGCGGGCTGCGTGTCGGTGTCAAGTGCGTCAAGGACGTCTTTTTTAGCTCCTAGGACGGGGGGTATATCTTCATCTCTACCGGCTAGCGTTAATGACCAGCCATGTAATAAATGAGTCAATCCAACGCCATCAAACAGTGTATGCGGCCAAACGACGGAAACCAGAGTTGCATCTTTAAACGAGGTTGTAAGCAATGCAATCTGCGGCGCCTGCATCACCACAAACTGTTTCATGCTAGACGGAAAGTCATTCGGTACGGCAAAACTCCGAAAGTCCATGTTCCCAGCAATAGACTGAGAGTAGGGCAAATCGCAAGGCTTGGGTAAGTGCTTGGCAAGATCGTGCTCGCTTATGCTCATAGTCGACAAGTCTTGCTTGGTGAAAGCCACGGCTGGTTGATCGTCAGTAAAGCGTCGACGAACGCGCAACTCCAAATTTCCATCAGGCTACTGCAGCGTCAGCTCGAAATTATTCCTACAGATACAGATGACTGACGGTTCTTTGAAGGCGCCCGCCAAGCTTACGCCAATCACCATGCTCAAGCAGCTGCGCAAGCGCGACATGAAGTTTGTCCACGTCCAAAACATCATTGAATCTGAAAAGCCAAGAGACAAACTTTTCGTTCATCGAAGCAGCATCCCCCAAATGAACTGGGTAGACGTCGTATTGATCTTCTGACGGCGGAGACATTGCAATCTACTCACGCTGGTGTACAAGTAGGGCATAAATGACAGCTGAAACGATCAGTTGCGATGAGGAGATGGTACGGAGGGACATGGGAAAGATGTACTAAGAAGCCTGCCAAACGCGAACCTCCTTTCCAGTTCGACCAGCGAATAAGTGGGAATTGGCACTAACCATGTTCTGGGCACGGATGTGCGCAACGTCTCGATCAATTAGTGAACCATGTGCCTGTAACTGGAACTACCTTAGCTATTATCGACCACTAAGTACGTTGAGCCTAAGTAGTTACTAACGTACTTAGGTAGTCCCTCCGTACTGCGATTTGCGTCGTCTCGAAGCGCAGTCGATCGATCTCCAGGGGCCAAAACAATGGTGGCTCGAGAATTTGGCAGAGCTGTCCAAGATCTCTGGAAGATAAAACCACCGCATTCCTTGCTCATATGTCCTATTTGCAATCCCTCTGTAAAGGAAAAAGGCAGATTTCTACGAAGCACCGCCTGTTAAAATATGCTTCTCCCCAGCGTCAAGCTGGGATACCCATGCAAGTCTCTCCATGTTTCTGTCACGGGGGTGCAGAATGACCACTACCCAAAGAAAACTTTCAATGTCAGAGATATTATCACAGCAAAGAAACGACAGCAACAGACCCATACTACTGCCGCGACTAGAGATGCATCCGTTTGACTCTTGCCAAACGTGTAGATTTCCAGTTTAAACAGCCTACCCTGTACTGCTGCCTCTTCTCGGACTAGTGGCGTATCGGCCCCACCAGATCGAGCGGATCAAAGTCGCCCCGCCTAGCGCATCACTGGTGCATCAAAATCTTCCAGGCCCAAGTCGGTGTGAGAATTTTGTCGGTCAACACAGGCAGAATCACCATCTGGGCGAATCTGCCACTGCTCAAGCTCTGCACTAACAGTGTCCGGCTGTTGTTTTGCGCCGTGCGTCGTTTCGTCGTCGTTTTTTTGGGGACGGCTTTCGATACTCCTGGTGCGCGTTCTGGAACGGCACCGGGAAGCAGTCCTGGCTCCTCTGTCCAGGCGTCAAAACTTTGGCCCTGGCTTCAACCCACTCTTCAACCAAACCCGCCACAGGCCTCTGCGTCGCCATGGGACGAAAGCCCAACCCGCTTATCCTTGAGTACTTTGTCCGCGGGGCTAAACTCAATGACAATAGTAATCGCTATCAACACACCTGCAAGCGATGTGGTGAAAATTTTCCCAAAGGTCGAATCGATAGTCTGACGGCTCACATCACCAAAAAATGCCCCGCCATCTCCGATTCGGATCGCATGCGAGCCTGCCTCGAGCTCCATGGGCTTTCCAGTGCTCGTGCTGCCGCTGCCGAACGACAACATAATGGAATTGGGCCTAGAGGTGCACGCCCTGTCGCTTCTAGCGTCCTGCCTCAGGAATGGAGTGCTTTGGAGACTTTGGCTGAAGCCTCTCGGCAGGTTGATCTTAACGAAAACAACCGCACACAGCCTAAAGGGCAGGATGTCCCCGGTACTGCAGACGATGTGCACTCGAATGGAAGATTTGAGCTTCACGAGCAATTTACCCTTGATAACCCACCCGCGGGCTATGAAGAGCGCAACAATCTCGCAGCCAACAACAAGCGGATACCCAACGAGGCCGAACCTGACGAAGCGAATGCGTCCAAGATCGACTTGAACATGGATGTCGCCCACGTTTCGTCAAACGGAGTGGAATTGTCGGCTGAGGAGAGACTGCAGGCATTATTACCCTTTCCCGACACAAACAACATTTCTGTCGCCGTTGCAGCAGCAGCCCGTCTAAACCAGTCCTTCCTCGATCCTCAACTAGTTGATAGTGAGCCCCCTCCAGTCACACCATCGGCCGCCGAAACCGATAATCTTCCTGATGCCTCGCCGCCGGCCACCAACGACGCGAACGCCGCCCAGCCCTGGGGTGAAATGACGTACCTCACGGCTACCGCGGCTGTCCCGCTTCTGGCGGAGCATCAGACACCACCTGCGCCTCTCAATCGAGGCGGCACACGCATGGATACTAGCGATGCTTCTATACTCGGTCGGCCTCGCCATTCCCGATCAAGATTTACGCCAGCGCGTCGTAAAGAAGTGCAAGAGGTTCGCAAAATCGGTGCCTGCATTCGATGCCGCATTCTTCGCAAGAATTGCGGCAAGGGAGACCCATGTGACACGTGCAGAAAAGTGTTGGCTCCGCGTGTGTGGCGAACGGGCTGTGTGCGCACGCGATTGCACGAGCAGCTTGACTTGTACTCAGCAGGGGTTCAAGTGGTATTGTCTCAAAACCGCATCAATCTTCTCAAAGAGCAACTGCAACTGACCAATAACGGGAGTGTGATTGAAGTCTCCCATTTTCCGGAAGCAGAGAAGCGCATTGTTCTAGGCACAATGGAGGCGCTTTTAGAACCCAATGAGAGCCAGGCCGAAGCTCGAAACAGCAAGGAAGCATTTCAGCAGGCGATAATGATTGATCAGGACACCGAGGACCTTCCTAGCAAGATTGAGTCATACATGCGAGACGTCTTGCCACTTTTCATTGAACGAGAGCCGTCGAAATTCACCCGCATCACGCTTGAGACTGCCGTTGAGCAGCAGGCTCTGGAGGAAGACGACCTCCTGAGCAAGGCCCTGGAGTTGTGGGGTCTCGTTGAGAGTATAGACCGCGAGAGACAATGGACGATTCTGGAGCGCCCGGCTGAAGAAAACAGTGACGCGCGATGGATCAATGAGGCGCAGAATGAAAACGATGCCGACATTTACACAATGATTTGCATGCAGCTCAACGCTGCGGCCGAGCGCAAAGCCAACTGCACCTCCAGGAGCCTGCTCAACCACATGGACCGCTTGCTCACAGACAGCAAGACCAAAGTCGGCTTCAAAATGTTCCTCACGGCGCTCGTCTTCCTAAATTGCGTTGAAAAGTCGACGTGGGCGTTCAAGGCGTGGGAGCAGGACCACCTGCGCCCCGGCTGGCCGCTGGAGCGCGACCCCAGCGTCTTTGCGCAGCAGGGCGGCAACCTCGCCGGCCTGCTCAAGATGCTGCTCGCCATTCGCAAGGCGCTTCCGCAGACGTTGCGCGACGAACATGGGAAGCTCGTCGCCCAAAGCCAAGATCCTGCTATTACCGCTTACTTCCAGAAACTCGATCTCGAATGTACGTCAATGCGAAGCTGTGCCTTCAAAACACAACTTCCAACAGAAATCGCATTCATAAACTGACAGCTGTACCATAGATGACTCGATTGAGAACCGACAAAAGGGCTCTCAGTTCTCTCCCGCCGACTCTCGTTCTTTGGAGCTCATGTTTTGCTCCCACCTTCTCCTTCCAAATTCCCCAACATAGAAAACTGCTCATCTTGAAGATAATGACGGATGATGATGATGAATTTGAAAAGTTTTTCCTGCGGCTTCAGTTTGCTCTTTTTACCACCTGACAAGATCGCGCTACAGGCGACAAAGTGATGGGGGGAAACCAATAGGATGAGGACCTGGCGTTTTATGGATAGCGAAAATAACTAGGCAGCCAACAAAATAATGATGCATGAACATGATTTCGTTCCATTATTGAGCTTTTAAAGAGTTCTGAGCATTCTACAGCGCCGTACTGGAATATCCCAGTGCATTGCACTGCATGTTCAAGTCATGATGCATGCCATTTTCATTGTATTCATATCTTGCCTACTTCACACACAAATTGTGTCCCAATCAGGTCCCATTCTACGCCCGTCAAACCCCAAATATTAAGGTCAAGGCTTGCCTAATACACTGAACATGATAAACGAGAGGCCCTGTTCGAGGACGAATGCAGAGAAACTGCAGTCAGCGTCGAGAGTAGTTCTTCTAGGCTACTGTCCCGCTACCCGCACCGCTCTGTCCGTCCTGCTTGGTGGCTGTCGCACCCGCTGCTACAGCCCGCTTTGGCTTCCTGAAGCAGGCAAACTCGTTCTTGCTGTTTTCTCGCAGCTTCTTGAGCACGTTGCGCATCTCGGGCAGCTCACCCTGCAGGCGCGCTCGCGCATCATTATCCGTCCGCCCATCGAGCTCTTGGTATATTTGGCTCTGCAGCTCCGAGGCGCGGTCTGTGGTGTAGTGGCTTAGAGTTTGCGCCACAAACTCCACGTCGAGTGTTGCCTGCATCAGTGCTTCAAGCGAATATTTGGGCCGTGTGCGAAAGGTCTCAAGCAGCTGCAAAGACGTCTGCTCCAGTAAGAAGCTCAGTACTTGAGGCGTTAAAGAAGGTGCCGTCGTGGAGACTTGGGAATGCACGAGCACCAGTGTTAGCAGAGCCTCATAGATATAAGGTTTGGCCGCGGAAGGCCTCTGATTTGGTTTGCAGACCCAGTTTGGTGATGCCAGACCAGTCTGAATAATGTCGCGAAGCTTTTCGATGGAATGCTTGGTGTATGATTGGAACAAGCGAGCGTCGATTTGTCCCAGGACGTCCTTGATGGTCTTGGACTCATCAGTCAGCTTCACCGAGAAGGCGTTTTCGAACTGCGAGTTCAGGCCTGGAACGACTTGAGAGCGCAAAGCTTGCAGATTGCTGAGAGTCAAAAGCATTCGAACGTTGCGATCACCAGCATCTAGCGTGCTCTTGCCAGCCGACGAGGTGCTAGTGTACACTGCAGCGGCTTGCGACCAGTCATCTTCGTCAGTTATTTTCAGAGACCGCTCTGCATTCTCTACCATCCCGCTCAAAGCCTTATACAAAGTCGTAACGTATTGGCTTCGAACCATCTGAAGTAGCTTGGGCGGTGGGGGCATAACAATGCTCGGCGCGCCCTGCTCTGTTGTTGCATCTGCGATATAAAGAATCTTCTGCATACCGGTGAGAAGGGTTCCCTCGAATGCAGCAAAGCTAGCCGGCATTCTGGTAACGTCGCCCCCCTCACTGGAGCGCTGCCAATCTTCCACATGCTTAATGTTTTCAGCATCACGGTTCCATGCTGCGCAGAGGGCCGTGACGCATCGCTCCCGAGAGGCACTGATGAGAAGCTTCAGTCGTTCCAACTCTTGGTTGGCTCCGTTAGCAGCTGCCACAGGGGTAATAGTAGCCAACTCTGACGCCCCCGATCCAACTAGTGCAAGCATTCTGGACAAGTAATGGACACCACTGAGCGAATTGGACCAAGGAGGCCAGAATGCAAGCTTCTCCCACGGCTCCCCCTTACTAGGAGATGGAGGCGGCGGGTTGCTAGGATCGAAATTGAAGCGTGGATCACGTAAAGCTGTTGGTGAGAGAGAGCCAGCAATGCCAGCACTGTTCGATGCTGGCGAGCCAGGGTTAGGAGTTAAAGGTGAGAGAAGTATTGATATGTCTTCAGGTGGTAGCCCAGCAAAGAATGCGTAGATGTGCTCTCTTATTTGCTCGACAAGTTCTCTTGCGCCTTGTGATAATTGGCTGACGCGTTCGCCGGACAATTCGTGATGAACTTGAGACTCCCCGTTGTAGCCAATAGGTAAAGTCCGCTGGGTTCTGCCATCAATAAAGCCCTGAGCGAGGGACCAAAACTCGACAATTTCACCCATTATACCTTGTGAAGAGATGAGATTGCTCAGGAAAGTGTACATCTTCTCCCAGAGTTCAATGACTTCAACCGAATCATTGACCGGAGGTTTGCGGTCCATTGCTTGCCTGCCGAGGCCATTCAGGTACATACCAGCCTGCTTGGGAGTCGGTTTCTCGCCGACGGCTAGCCGTCGTCGCAGAACTTCGATTTCTGTCTTTTGACGGTCACCTGTCACCTGAATCTTACTCTTCAAATGATCATATCGACTTATTAACCAGACCCAGATGGGGCTTTCCTTGACTCCGAGTTCCAACAGTAAGCTGATTAATTCAATATGCTGATCTTGCACGCGGCCAGCCGCAGCATTGAGTTTCGAATGAGACGAACATGAAGACAGCTTCTTCCAGATTTCTGTCTTGAAAGACTCCACCTGACGATTGACGTCATGCCACATGCGGGCCGCGAGCAGAATCTGATACAACTGTGCATCGTCGGGCGTGGCACCTTTTAGCTGCTTGCCCAAGTGGCGAGCTTGGTCGGCAAATGTTCTCGCGCGGTTATAGCTCTCAACCAAGCTTTCGTAATCTTTTCGCTTGATGCTATCCGCGACAACTCCGCTCAGGTCGACATATTCTCTGAACTTTGACATATAAATTGAGACATCTTTGAGATGTTCCTCCTTCTCGCGGCCGCCAAGCGCGGGGCCCCATACTTCTTCGGCTTTGGCAGAAACGTCCAGTAGTGGAGCTTTGATGCCGAGAACACCATATTCGCTCTCCTTGGTAAGGGCGTTCTTCTTTCTACTGTCAGAGACAGAGAATGCCAATTGGTTATTAAAAGCAAGCTTGGTACCGCTGTTGCGAAAACTGCTGCGGCTGGCATGTCGCGAGTGCGTCTTCGTCTGTGGATCCTCTCCGCGATACTTCATTTCCTTGTAGACATTATCGATAGTTGCTTTAGCCTTTACGAATCGCTCGAAATTGGATTCGACAAGGACCTTGAGAGACGCAGACTTTTGATCGATGGAAGCAGAGAGTGCATCTAGTCCTTGTAGCAGATTCCGCGTGTCTGCATCCGAGTGCATTTGGGAGAGAAATAGAGCTGGTGAGAATGTGGTCGACGAGAGGAGGAATCGATTTCCTGGAGCACTTTGGTCAGTTTCCGGGATGTGAGGTCGGGTGATGGAGTGTTCGGTACATACTGAGGCGAATGTCGTCTTGCACGGGCAGCCCCAAGTTCTTTAAACTGCGAACAACGCTGTCGGAGAAACCGAGAGGGTCCGGCTCGTCTCGCTGCACGAGACTATTCATGCCCCCCTTGCCATCGGCGCCTCCCAAGAAACTGCGCCGTTCATTGACGGCAGACTCGAGAGCCTGGTAAGAGGACAATCGCCTATTGTTACCCCAGGCATCTGTCCCGTCCGTTGCCGCATCTTCAGCGTCCTTCTCAGCCGGCCATTCGGATGGATAGGATGACGGAAGCTGGTAGAACTCTAGCACGGTCCTCTCGAAATCGGCCATTGTCGTGGTCTGATGGCGATGACGTGCCTGGCGACAGACTTGTTCAGGGGAGGGGATGGCCCCCTTGGCGCATAGAAGCGACGGGTAGAAATCGGTGAGGTTCTTCGCGAGAATCGAATTTATGTCGAACAGCCTGTATAGTAGTCCTAATATCTTTTCGGCCCATGCGCCCAGTCTTTTGTTTGATTGTCGCTGATCGAAGCTATCACAACTGGGCAGGCTCACAGCAGCAACACGCGATGACCAACGAGCCCACCTGAGCTCAAACGACGACCCCACAACTGCCGCAGGGAAGCGATGTGTGGCTGGGTATGTGCATGGTTACATGTGGCTGGTGTAGTGTCGGTATCTTCAGGCGCAATTCCGACGGCTCCGACTCGGGCGGCCGGAGTTCCACAAATTTTGTCGCGCCAACAGCACGAAGCCCAGCGAACGATAGGCAGAACCAGCAAAGGGCCGAAGACAACGAAGACAAAAATCCTACAGGTAGCGGCAAGTGTGGCTGGTGCGGTCGGTCAAGCCGCAGCCAAGTCTGCCTCCGAAGTTCCCTAGCGCTATCGTTGCAGTAGTATGCCACAGGTAGGTAGTACCTATCAACGACGTTAATTTTTTTGTCCACACCTCCATCTTCATTCTCTCCATCTTGCGTCACCTCTTATTTTCTCCGTCTTGTGCACCTGGCCTGGCTTACTCTCTGCTTCTTTGCCGTACAGATCAAACCATCTATCATCTGACCCTCACAATGCTGGCCATTCGTTCTCTCTCTGCCAGGCAATGCCTGCGCGCTGCTCCCCGCGCTGCCACCTGGTCTGTTGCTGTAAGGACGAACGATCAAGCACCACAATTGCTATACCGTGGCTAACACGCGAATTCAAATAGAATCAGAGATTCTACTCTACTCCTAGCGATCGTGTTGCCAAGTATGAGGGTACCCAGGATGCCAAGGTACGATCTTCCACTGCACCCGGCTCGACATGATAACGAGAATACTTGCCGGCTGCGCGACATTACCGACGTGCCAAGCTCTCTCTCTGCGGTCGAGCCATAGTCTAAGCAAGCCAAGTGCACAAATAACTCACACTATACACAGGGCAACTACCTCGTCTCTCTGATTGAGGGTGACGGCATTGGTCCCGAGATTTCCGAGTCCGTCAAGGACATCTTCTCCGCTGCCAAGGTCAGTCCGATCGTACTTACTGCATCAGTACGCAGCTTCTAATGCGCTCGAACAGATTCCTATTGCCTGGGAGCCCGTTGATGTTACTCCCATCATCAAGGATGGAAAGACCGCCATTCCTGACGCTGCCATCGAGAGCATCAAGAAGAACAAGATTGCCCTTAAGGGACCTCTTGCCGTACGTACAGAGCCGTGGCACTTACATGCGCCACTTAAGTCTTTTGTGACTAACAATCGTTCTCCTAGACTCCCGTTGGCAAGGGCCACGTCTCCCTAAATCTTACCCTCCGCCGTACGTTCAACCTCTTCGCCAACCTCCGTCCCTGCCGCTCTGTCGCCGGCTTCAAGACCCCATACGATGGCGTCGACACGGTTTTGATCCGTGAGAACACCGAGGGTGAATACTCCGGCATTGAGCACGTCGTCGTCGATGGTGTCGTCCAGAGCATAAAGCTTATCACCCGCGAGGCCTCTGAGCGCGTACTTCGTTTCGCTTTCCAGCACGCTCAGTCCATTGGTCGCACCAAGGTTCGCGTGGTCCACAAGGCCACCATCATGAAGATGTCCGACGGTCTCTTCCTCAACGTCGCTCGCCGAGTTGCTAAGGACTTCCCCGAAATCGAGTTCGATGCCGAGCTTCTTGACAACACCTGCCTGAAGATGGTCACCGACCCCAACCCCTACAACGACAAGGTCCTCGTCATGCCCAATCTTTACGGCGACATTCTGTCCGACATGTGCGCTGGTCTGATTGGTGGTCTTGGTCTTACTCCCTCGGGTAACATTGGTGACGAGTGCTCCATCTTCGAGGCTGTTCACGGCTCCGCCCCTGATATCGCCGGCAAAGGCCTTGCCAACCCTACTGCTCTTCTCCTGTCCTCTATCATGATGCTGCGTCACATGGGTCTCACCGACAAGGCCGTTCAGATCGAGAATGCCATTTTCGACACCATGGCCGAGGGCAAGGCTCTCACTGGTGATCTCGGCGGCAAGGCTAAGACCAGCGAGTACGCCGCTGCCATCATCAGCAGACTGTAAATAGAGACGCGAATGATTCCCATGGTTGTTTGATTATCCCGTTTTACACTGTTTTTCCTTTGTTTCATGACGAAGACTTTCTTGTTGTATCTCCGGCCCCCTTCCCAGAACAAAGCTTATCGGGGACGAGTATGGGAGTGCAACTGGAACTTGGATGGCGGCCCCTGCGGGGTTTTGGGTAGATGACGTTATTCGTGTACCAATAGCGAAAGGCAGCAGGAGAAGGAATTGGGTTACAGAGCGAGCGAAAGCTGAGATCTCTGGGCGGTCAGGACATTTGCGTATTTGACGACAGCACTAGACTATAAATCGGAGAAAAACAATAAAAAAAGCATTAGAATACCTGCACTGCCTCATATACATAGCATACTACATGACTTAGTACCTTACATTACACCCGACAATAGAAGACTCTCTCTGGTGCAAGGGTTACACAAACTTCGAAATTCCTAGCATTGAATACGGCGACAAGCACAGCTCAGCCGCCACTGTACATGAGCCAGAGGAAAAAAATACACCGAATTCCAAGAACCTGTCCAAAGAGCAGAAGATGTTGCGTCAAAAGGGGGCCAAGCAAGAAAGAGCAGAGTGGGAAGAAAGAAGGCTACAGGCGTCCACTGCGAATCTCCTTTTCGAAAATCTTGATACCCCATACGTCGTAAAACTGCATAGGGACCGTCGTATAGCGCAGCCCAGACCCGCTATCGCGGAGGAAATCGTCGTCGCTGTCGTCGCTGTCACCGACCAGATCTGACGGGTACAGCGGCGGGGGTAAGTTGGTATCGCTGGCGTGGCCAGAAGTAGGTGGCGAGGGGAGGTCAAAAGGCCCCGTGATGATGGGTTGCGCGGGGCGCGGAAGCCTTTGCCGGCAGGACTCGTCGTCGTCATCCTCTCCAGGCCTCATTACCCGATCGACGCGGTCATCTTCCATGGCGATCCATTCGAGCTTCATGTCGGGATGATGTGAAAGGTTATCCACGATGAAGCGCAGCGTCTCGCGAACGACCCACAAGCAGGTGTCGTTGCTCTTGAAGTGCAGGATGTTGATGGCGCGCAGGTTGACCAGCTCATGAAAGCACTGCATAAAAACATGCTGATTTTGAACTCGGTAAGCGGTTGTAGAATGAGGAAACTGGGGGGTTACTTACAACTGCATGTCGATTCATACTTACTGCCAGCTCTTCCAGCTGTGTTCCTTGGCTGCAAATCATGGCCATTGTCTTTTCATTGGCATCCCAGCTGGCCTCCTTTGACTCGTCTTTAATCATCAGGCGCTTGAGAGTATGGATGTGCTTCTTGAGCACACATCGCCGAATCTGGTCAATAGTGACGGAGGCCCTAGGCGTGAAGCTAGCAGGAAGATGATCGACGCTGCGCTCCAGCAGAAACAGCTCTTCAAGTTTCTCGAGGCGAGAAGCAAAAGTAAGAAAGGCAGTTGAAACATTGTCCGTGAAAATGCTGCGGAGAGGTAGTGGTCTCGCGGCATTCTCTTTGGTGAGAGCCGTCCAAATAGGCGCCTGGCTGCCGACGTTGAGTAACGTCAGCTCTTTTAGTGCACCAAGATTCAGGGCTCGGCAGATGACGGAAGCCTTGGCGGGAAGCAGATCAATTTTCAACACGTTGAGGGCAAGGCCTCTGGTGCTGCGGATGTAGTCATTCATCTGGATCTGATCCCTCCCGGAAGCCTCATTCGCATGAAGCTCGCGGGTAGAGGCAGCATCGTCGTGACGACGTCTTCCAAGGTCCTCCACAGATAGGCGATGATTCGCTAGCGAAGATGAAGGTTCTGCGGAGGATTGCTTATTTCTGGTATCGAGCCGCAGCTGACTAGCATCACGAACAGGTTCTCCAACGGTATCACTACTACCGAAATTGGCATCTGCCAATGAGTTGTCGGCGAGTTCCTGCATCACTGGAAGGACAACGGAGCTACCCAAAGTGGTATTTGCAACGCTGTTCTCGGGAGCCTCGAGTTTCGGTACAGTGGAAGCTGAAGCTGAAGTTGAGCCATTTTGGGCATCGTTATCTCTTACGGTAACTGTAGCCTGCTCGTCTCGCTCGTGATATTGGCCCGAAGTTGACGTCTTTGTAGAATCGAGGTACTTCCGTGCAGCGTGTTCAATCGTGTTTAAAAACTCTTGGTGAGATACTGAAACCTCCTTCGAGCTTCTGATTAATGTCGTTAACCGGGAGGAGAGTTCCGCGAGAGAAGCCATGCACTCTTGCCCTGCGGTCAATGCCGGAGTTCTCTCCGTCGCAGGTCCTGCGTGTTTGGACCCGTCCAGCTTCATCTGAGGCTTTTTCTGTAGGCTAGGCTCAACACCAAAAATTTTTCCGAGAAGAGCTTCCTGCTTTTTCCATTCCTCCTGAGCTCTGAAATTTCGGACCTGTTCAATTGGTACAAAGTTTGGATGTTGGGCATTCGGGGGGTCGGAGAAATCCTCGTCTGCAGATTCCTCGGCGTCCGACTCATGCGAAACTCTTCTGGCTTGTGAGGCCAGACACCGGGATAAAGATAGGCTAAGACTCGTCAGGGTCGAATGAGAATGCTTAACAGAATCTGCTATTTCTGTTGCGAGTTTCAAGTCATCAATGTCCAGTACAGCCAACGAGGTTAGGTGCTTGAAGCCTGAAAGTCTCGTCGCATCTTGAGGTTGCTTGGGAACGCGATTCTTGGACGCAGAGCGAGATCGAGTATGAGGTTGGTTCTGCGAGAGATGATGCGAGATGGGATGTGGCGAAGCCATGGAAGACTGAACAGGCGGAATGGCCGTGCCCAACCAATGGGAATGGCCATAGACTGGGCTAGGAGGCGAAGGGTGGTGGTGGAAGCTTAAAGGGAGCGGCGGCGGTCTTGAGTAATACGAATCACCGGCCTGGATGCGAATATGCAGGTTTCGAAGCGACTTTAACTCCCGCAAACGCCGATAGACTGGCCGACTAAGTTCGATTCGCACATTCCATCTGTACTAGATTTAGCTTTCATTATCTAGAAGTAATGGAAGTGAAGAGTGCAGGCTTACCGAAAGGATTCGAGGAAGTGCGCCTTCTGTAAAGTCAGAAAGAGCAAAGTGTTTAGAAACTTGCCACAGCTAGATGAATAGAGATAGGGTTGGTAAGACCGTTCGCCTTTGAGGCCAGAGCTCAAAGTATCCATAGAGAGATCTCGTAAATGTCTGGCGTAATCGTACTCGCTAGTAGTGAAAGTGTCGAGTCCACCAGCGAGGCCGTCTACGGGAGAATCGAAGCTCCGATCGTCATCATCGGGAAAGATGATGTGAAAGTCGCGATAGAGAATAGAAGAAGCAAGATGATGAAAGTGTCTGGACACAAGGGCGACGCAGATCAGATCGCTTTGAGAGCACTGGTAGAGAGGGAGTTGAGTTTTGGTCCCAACGCTGGCAGATTATGACTTACACGAGCGAGAATCTCCCGCTGCGTCTCTGCGGGTAAGTCGGTGATTCTGAAGAACGAACCAGATGCGGCAATAGAAGCCTCACCCCCGCCAACGGACATGACGACTGGCGGCGGGTATCTAGGTAGTTACAGGTGGTCGACTTGACAGGCCCAGGGTCTACCGAACTACGGAAGACCCAGCCGGGGTGGAGAGCGATGGGGCCGGGCAAACGAGATGAATAGATGTACGTCGACAGAGGTCTCGGAATGAATAAGCCAGCCGGGCCCGCTTTGCACAAGAGAAACAGGAAAGATGACGAAGAGACTTTCGAGTAAATGGTGGACGGTGGAAGAGTGAGGTGATGATGGAGGAGGTTGAATGCCTGGCCGAAGCGCCAGGCTGGAAGCGGCGTAATGAAGGCAGCTTTGGGTTGGGGTAGAGAGGTAGAGGGGGGTCGTAGAAGCTAGCGGGGGCACCTTGAGACCAGACGCAGTTTGGCGGGGCAAAAAGCGGCTAGCTGTCTGTACTAAAGGTAGGTATCCTCTGTTGGGAGCGATTAGTTAGTTGGGCGCGTTTTCGGTCTACTTTTTCTGGTCGTGGGTGTTGTACTTGTTGCCTAACAGGCCTTTCTCATTTGTGGTGGTCTGTTTCCCTGCGCAATTTGCCTTCTCCCATACTCGCTCACGTTTTGCTTAACTCCATCTCTGTCTTGTCGTAGGCGTTGGTGCAGGTTGACTCAGCTGCGAAAAGGTGGACCATGTGAGCCGGACAGTACCTACCTACCTTGCTACCTACGGATATTATTGCGCTTTTAGGATGTGAGGCGCTACACTACAAACACCAATATGTATTCGAGAAGAATGTCATTGTTATGAAGCCTGCACACGCCACGACAGTTTCAATTGAACGATTACGTCGCTTTTGTGGCACAGAGACAGACCCAGCCATCCCAAGTCTCTAATGAATATCCTGAGTAGCTCGCTCCCACAGAGCCTTTTTCAAGCCTTCCTTCAGTGGACCTCAGGTAGGTACCTGGGTACCTTCCTACTAAGCCGTGCCCATCGCAGTCAGTACGAAGTCCATGATTCTTTGACCCTGCTGCACCAAGTAAGGCTTCTTGCAATAATCAATTCGAGATGGATCACTTCACTGTGCAGAATTGCCTGCAAAGTTTTTCACGGCGTGCTGAGTTCAGGCATGCCGGCAGGCTTCAGTTGCCTTGGGCCTCACGACTCCACCACAGTAATGACTTACGCAGTCTGCACACCATGTTCTGATAAATTAGTGCACTGAAACGTGTTGCCAGCCTGGTGGACGACTGTGTTTGATCAAACTCAGATTCATTTCCGCTTTCTTTTGCAGGCGACCAAATTCCCTCTTTGCTCGTTGCACCGCCCCGAGCCCAATCGGAAAGGAGTTGGAGAGCTCTTGGCCACGTCGTATTCGGTACTTCGCCACTCATCTGCCCCCCCTCCTGTGGCTTTGTGGCTCTATCATTCCATTCTCAGATCTGTAGAGTCTTTTTCACAAACACAGCTAGCGACGGCGATTCTGCACCATGGCTGATACCGAAGAACCCCAATATACAACGCTGGCAGAGAGAATCGCTGCGCTCAACAAGAACAAGACATTTGCTGCCAACGTGCCATCAGCGAAGCCAGCCAGGCCTGCGCCTCCACTACCTCCAAGCCGCACACACTCTGGCCTCGGGGCTTCAATCGCCACCAAGCCGCCTACAACACCAACGGTGCCAGCCCGACCAGCCAAGAGCAACCCTCCTCCCCTTCCTCGCAGAGATACGCAAACCTCACTGAACGGTCAAGATGCGGTTCGCCCACCGTTGCCATCCAGAAAATCGTCCACGCAGCAGCCCCCGGCTTTGCCTCAGCGTCAGCCTTCTACTCAGCCAAATGCCTTGTTGAATGTTCGCCGCGATTCAGCTTCCTCTGAAGTATCCCAAAATTCTACCAAGTCAACAAAATCCGCCGGGCAGAGCAGCTGGTCTACTACTAGTCAAGGCTCGGCCACTTCAACTCCCAGAAAGCTGCCACCAGCCCAACTGCAAGAGCCGCAGAAGCCTGCTTCGGCACCGAGCTTGCCCCCAAGGCTACCAGCCAGAGCAAATAAGCAGGATGCGATCCCCACAAGGCCGCGTATCATGGGGTTTGGTTCATCTCAAGCCCCAAAGCCAGTTACCAATGGGCAGGATTCTACGCGGAGTAACAGTAGTAACCAAAAAGATACCGACGGACCTCCCCCTGTTCCAGCGGCCAGTCGGCCTTCGGCAGCCCAGATCGATCAGGTAGCGTCCCGAAAAGCTCCTCCCCCAGCAGATTTGAATAATTGCTTCGCCTGTCGAGACTGGAGCGCCCCAGATGCCGTCGCAGCGCAATATCCAAGGCAGTCGGTTCCTCGCAATGATCCAGTTGGATACCTAGCTCACAACCTTTGCTCTCCTTTTCCATCATACAACGACAAGGCGAGGGCAATCTTCACCTGGTGTCATCACAATATTGCCTACGACACCGGGGCTTTCTTCGGCAACAATGTTCGGAACCAGACGGGAGAATCCACCATATTCAGCGGTCTGGCTGTCTGTGCGGGCTATGCAGAGACATACAAATACATCGCAAATCGAGCTGGGCTTGACTGCAATGTTGTGAGCGGCCATGGCAAAGGCTTTGGCTACACGCCTCTCAAGAACGGCGAGTCCGTGCCACGAGAAGACCCCAGCGGCCATGCGTGGAACGCCGTCAGGATCGATGGGGGTGCATGGAAGCTTGTCGACGCCTGCTGGGGTGCTGGCAACGTAGATGGCGCAACGCAAAGCTTCAACAAGGTATTCGCCCCGATTCATTTCAACGCGACAAACGAGCAGTTTGGTGCACGACATTATCCTCAGAACCCGAAATATCAACACCGCGAAGATGGTCGCACTGTTAGCTGGGACGAGTACTACAGAGGCCGGGCGAATGGCGAGCCGGTGACCATCTTTTCGAATACTGCTGAAGAAGGCATCAGCGATGCGAGCATGGAGCCAGCTAATAAGCACATACAAGTCAATAGTGGTCAGGTCGTTCGCTTCCAGTTTTCCAAGATATGCCCACACTGGAAGCCTGAGAAGAATGGTAAAGGCAAACCGCCTCTTTTTGTTCTCAACATACATGGCCTGGATGGCCGCAAAGACGACATGGTTCCGATTGAAACCGACGGATATTGGCACTGGATCGATGTCAATGCTCGTGATCTCGGAGCACCCGGTCAAAAGATCGAAGTGTTACAAATCACCTCTGTTGATCACAAGGACGCTCGCGGCCTAACTGCGCGCGACTTTTTGGCCGCCAAAGGCAGGAAAGCCATGGCGTTTTCATTCTTGACGCAGTGGATACTCGAGTGATTTTATGCATCAGCCTTCTCTTGTTCCTATGCATTCCTTTTCTATGCCAGTTTCGGAAAAGCATATCTGCGGCGTTTTCGGATTTTCTTTGGGCATCACTGCATTCAGTTAGGTTGTCTTGGCCAATGCTGATTGAACAATGTTTACAGGAGGGCATTGCCATACATTATATACTCTGGATAAGACCTCATCCTTCTCCATGACGTGCACATTCGATGACGGGTTACGATGGTGACTTAAGACATACGAAATGCTAATCATAGATGGCTTTGATCTAACAGCTATGCAGTAATAAGTCAGGCTACGAAAGGTAGCAGGTATCATATACAGTGATATTTCTCTTCATAACGCGACTATTCTCAGACCTTGATTGGCCAGCGTTCCCTCATCCACTTGCCGTAGCGGAAGATTAGGAAAGGAACGGGCACAAAAGCGAGCGAAATGAAGCCCAACAGCGAGGTCCCCCATCCGAGGCCAAGACTAGCGTACATGGCCGGTGCAGCCAGGGGCAAGAAGGCGCCAATTGTGCAGCGGATGACGGCAAAACCAGCCAGCGCGCTGGCGGCGTACTCGGGAAAGGCATCGATGATGTAGGCGTTGGCCGGGGTCCAGACACCAATGATGCCAGCGGAAAATGGGATGATGCCGATGACGGGGACGATCCAGTGCGTGTGCTGATCCGCCGCCCAGCCGTACCAGAAGAAGCTGATGGGGATAAGCATGGCGAAGTACGTGCAGTAGGGGATGCGCATCTCGGGCTCGTACACGCCGTGGTTGGCCTTTGTCATGCGCACGACGGTGCGGTCCGAGAGGGTGGCGAAGATGGTGATGGAAACCATGTAGCCAATCATGAGTGAAAAGTATGGCAGGCCAGAAACGCCGAGCGACCAGCCATAGTTGCCGCGAAAAACGGTGGGCATGGTATTGAAGAGGAGGTAGAGGCAGCCGTAGTTGAAGGCAATGTAAATGGAGATGCTGAAGAGGATGGCGGAACGGAAGAGCATCTTGATGGGGCGAGTGAGGCCGAGGCCGAGAATCTGGCGCTTGGTCAGAACGGGCTGCGCTGGGTCGACGTAGCAGCTGCGCAGCTCCGGACGGGCGAGCTCGGCGCGCAGCTTCTCCGTCTTGAGGCGCATGAGCACGCGCGCATTAGTCTCCCTGTTGCCGACAACCATGGCGGCGACGACGAGGACGCCGGGGATAAAGGAGATCCAGTTGGCCCAGCGCCAGCCGACGCGCTCGGCGACGAAGCCGCCGACGACGGGGGCGAGCGAGGGGCCGAGGATGGGGCCCATCATCCAGACGGTGGTGGCCTTGCCGCGCTCGCTGACGGGGAAGAGGTCGGCGATGATGGCGCCGCCGACCGTCTGGCAGGCGGAGCCGCCGACGCCGCACATGAAGCGGAAGAAGATGAGCGTGTCAATGGACGGGGCCAGCGCGCAGCCAATCAGCCACAGACAAAAGACGAGGTTGGACGATATCATGATGAGGTTGCGGCCGTACATTTCGGAGAGTGGCGACAGCACCAGCGGGCCAACGGCATATCCGAGAAGGAAGATGCTGACGGGCATGGCGGCGAGCGTCGCGCTGCTTACGTCGAACTCGGCCTGGATCTGGCCCAGCGCCGGGGCTAAGATCGACGATGACCACGGTGTCATGAAGGTGATGGCGGACAGCAGCCAGATCATGAGCCACTTGCGAAACTTGGTAAAGTTTTGGGGCATGGCAGGATCGTCCTGGCTCTCCCAGCCGACGACGCCGTTGTCGAGGTCCATGAGGGGGAGCACCGGCGGCGGGAGCTTGTCCTTGGTCTGTTTCCGTGACAGCCTGCTGAATACGCTTCGCCGGCTGACATTTGTGTTGACTTTTTCCACATTGTGGCCGAGTGTCTCGCCCTACAGATAATATATTGTTAGTATATACCAGTCATTGCTGACATGGAGAGTAGGAATCGGAGTGAAGCAGCGTACACTTTGCGCCTCGATGTCATGATCAAACTCATGTATCGGTGAGGGATATGCGTCTACACCCTTTTCTTGCACAAACTGGGTGTCGACCACTGTCGATGTTTCAGTTTCATCGCCAGAGCTTCTATGCTTATAGTCCATGTCCTTGGCCATACTGGGCAAAAGTACGGATAGCTCCGACGAGCAGACTCTAGCGGTGTAAGTGATGCGCTGCCTCAACCCAGTGCTTCAGTCCAGTTTCCGCTTCTCTCTTTGGAAACTTGAATTCAAAAGAAAAAAAAAAAAGAAAGAAAGAAAACAGTTGAAACAGAAACACACGAATATCTCGCTACAACTCAGAGGACAGACAAGGAGAGAGAGGCGCAAGGCAGTGCAAAGGGGGGGGCATTGAGGACTAGTTAAATGCAACATGAAAGAGGAATGGGGCAGAGCATGTTGGGCTGACAAACTATTCCGCACGCCCTACGGCAAAGTACGTGGGCGGCCGTGTCATTCAGTACCGGGATTTCGCTGGTTGTGCTATCACCTATATCCGGCCGCTGTGGAGAATCTCGCACTTTCGGCCTTTGCAGATTTGGCTTGGCGACCCAGTCATGGCTGGCGCTCGACGCCATGCTCGACATGAAGTTGGGGGCCCCCCCCCGCGGTTTGGCAAGCCACTTGACGCACGCCCTTTCGGCTTGTTATTAGCCTGTCAAAATTGTTTTGCTGACTTGAATTGGGCTGGCACTTGAACTTGACTTGGGCCGACAGAGTTTACTTGGGCTGAGTTGTACTTGGGGCGGGAGAAACTCCATCTTGTCCACTTTGGTCTATGAAACGCCCGCTTATGACGGATATACGCTGTCGCCGAAACGACAAAGCCTCAGCACCGAGTCTACATAGGAGCAATTGACCGAGGCGGCGATATCAATCAATCAATCAATCGGCCGGACACTTTTCGGCTGAAGCCCCGGCCATAAGCGCAACGCTATGCATCTTGCCGGACAATATTAAACTAGCCCTTGAAACGAAAAGAGAAAAAAAAAAGGTCTAGTTTAGACATTGACCTCGACCCTGTCTAGGTTGCACATGGTTGTCGTTTGTACAACGTACAACGTGACAGCCAGACAAGTGGTGACACCAACCAGTTGAACCAAAAGCCCATGGTACGATAATTCAGACTCGAGGCTTGCATGTAAGATGTCTTGGGTTAAAGTATACGAAGCGCGCTTTCTCATCACATCCGCTACCAGGCATGCTGTTGTTTAACCCTCTAAGTTCCCAGTCAGGCCGCATCGTTGCAGAATACTTTAGCCAATGAAATTACCCCACAACTGATCTAATCTCGGTCCAGAGAACAGGCAAGCCGTCTACAAGCCGTCTAGCAGCCAGCTACTTCGTACAAGCCGTCTACAAGCCGTCTTCAAGCCGTCTAGCAGCAGCTGCAGCTGCAGCCACCCGACCCCATGACTACTACCACTATCTTCAAACGCCTAGCTCATGGCTGTTCTTCTATGGTCAAGAATCAAGTGATGAGATTAGAAATCAGTGATTCACGCAATCATGTTGCATGACGTCTTATCTCAGCGGCGGCCGTTTTCCGCAACGGTCAAGACAGGACGTTGGAGCGAGAAACCCTTGCTGGGTTACCCGAGACCCGTCAAGTCATTCCCGAGACAGTGTGATGAATCATGAACGTGACAAGAGCGTGTCCGGTCGAGGATGGGCATGTCTCGGAATCCTCCAGACGGACTGCTATGGCCACGGCAGCATGTCTCGAAGATGCGAGCAAAGACTCGTTGCCGCCCGTCTGTAAATATGCAAGGTGATGCAAACAAGCCCATAATGATGTGGCTTGCAGATTGGTGAATTTATACTGATCGGCAGTTCATACCTAGTAAAGGCGGAGAAGTGGGCAACATAGGCATGTAGGGTACAGTTGGCCCAAGTTCTTTATTGTACAGAAAATCTGCCAAAACACTTGAACACCTCATAGACTCAACTCAATTCTAAAAAAAAAAAAGGTCGCCTTGCAGTGACGTATCAATATACCTGTGTAGTGAAGAGACATGGGGTCAAGGGTACATGGCAAACAAACAGCCTTGCCTCCATCTGTCGCCCATTCGCACATATATTCAGGATTACCAGATCAGATACATGGAGCACTAGAAGAACGAATAACAGCAAACAGTTGATCAGCAGTTCCGTGTATCATTTACACTTCTCTTGCCTTTTCGCAGACTCATGACTCTCACAAAATCTACGTGGCCTCACCAATGCACAAGTCCACCATCGAGGGAAGGGGTGGCATTTGTTAGTTGACTTGCTCGTACGAAATTGCAAATACAAAACAGAATGCTTGCCATGTTATTATTCAGAAGAATCAAATTCACTCAAGCTTGAACGACGTCTACTTATCCTCTGCGCCGTCGACTGGAATCAACTGCTGATAGCACAAGCCCACACACCCTTGTCAGAAGCTTGCGTAGCGTCACCGGCTTTACAGCAAAGACGCACATCGGCGACCCTCTTTTTTTTTTCGTCGCCCTTTGGGGCCACGACAGCCAAATCTAGGTAGTTCCGATCTCTTCACAAAAACCACCAACCTCATCATAGCAAGCGACAGCGGCGCATTTAATTTTATTCCTCGAGCCCTTGACTTTCATTTATACCCAGGAGCCTCAATTCCATCCGTGCACTAGCCCCCCCGCCTTCCGTCTGCGAACCCGGCCCCGGCGGCCGCCCTCACCTCTCTCCCCGTTTGTCCCGCCGTTTGATGATGGCGCTCACCACCACCAAACCCTAAACAAACAACGACCATTTCCCCTCCTCCTCGACATAAGCCACGATATATACAATTCCCGTCCGCCTAAAACATATTTACCAAACCAGCATCTTTTAGAGAAACAGCAAAAAACTTGGGAGACCGCACAGCAGCAGCCATGGCTGTGTCGGGCTCGTCAGGGACGTCGTTATCGCGCGGCGAGACGCTGACTCTGCTCACCGTCGCGGGCGCCTCCCTCGCCGTGCTGGCCAACACATTCACCGGCGACGGCGAGCCGCTCATCGCGTCGCTCGCCCTCTCCTTTGCCGCCTTTGCGCTCTGCTACGCCATGATCCGCTGGCTCGGGCCCACGTTTATCGGCGCCGGCTTCCGCGGCCGCGACCTCTCCAAGCCCAGCCGGCCCGAGCTGCCCGAGTGCATGGGCGCCGTCTGCGCCGCCGTCTACCTCCTCACCGTCATCGTCTTCATACCTTTTCCCTTTTACAAGGACATTGTCGCGGCCACGAGCGGCGGCGGCAACCGCGATGTTGTCCTCAAGGCCGAGCACGTCAACGAGGGCCGCTTCCTGCACCGCTTCCCTCACAGCAAGGTATGTTGGTACCCCCGTCGCGTCGGGGGGGCGCAGGAAGTAGCTGCAGGCTAACGCGAACGTGCTTCACACCCAGCTTGCTTCCTATCTGGGCGCCATCATTTCCTTGCAGACTATTGCTCTCCTCGGAATCGGCGACGACCTCTTCGACATTCGCTGGCGGCACAAGTGGTGGATCCCCGGCCTGGCTTCCATCCCCATCCTCGTCGTCTACTTTGTCGACTTTGACGTGACGAGCATCGTCATACCCGTGCAGCTGCAGCCCTACCTCGGCGAGCTCTTCGACCTCGGCCCGCTGTACTACGTCTACATGGCCTGCATCGCCATGTTTTGCCCGCAGAGCATCAACATGCTCGCCGGCATCAACGGCATTGAGGTCTCTCAGTGCCTCGTCGTTGCCCTCCTCCTCGCCCTCAACGACGCCCTCTACCTCGCCACGCCCTACCCGCACCCCGCCACCGACTCGCACCTCTTCTCGCTCTACCTCCTCCTGCCCTGGATCGGCGTCTCCGCCGCCCTCCTCTGCCACAACTGGTACCCCGCGCGCGTCTTCGTCGGCGACACCTACTGCTACTTTTCCGGCATGGTCTTTGCCGTCGTCGGCATCCTCGGCCACTTCTCCAAGACGCTCGGCCTCCTGCTCGTCCCGCAATTCTTCAACTTTGCCTACTCGGCGCCGCAAATCTTTGGCCTCGTCCCTTGCCCGCGCCACCGCATGCCCCGCTTCAACGCCCGCACCGGCCTCCTCGAGCCCTCCGTTACCCCCTGGTCCGACGGCCGCCAGCCGCACCCCGTTGTCGCCTTGGGCCTCCGCCTGCTCGCCCAGATTCGCCTCCTCAAGGTCGTCACCGACGACAAGGGACGTTTTGTCGAGACGAGCAACTTTACGCTGCTGAACCTGTGGCTCGTCTGGCGCGGGCCGCTGCGAGAGGACCGCCTCGCCACCGAAATTACCCTCTTGCAGCTCGGCCTTGGCCTCTTTGGCCTTTTTGCCCGACATAGACTCGCCCTGCTCGTCTTTAAGGAAGATAATTGGAGTACGGTACAGCTTTAGATGAATCAATCGCGGAGAAGCAAAACACGTACAAGTGTATACATAGATAGATAGATCGCCAGAGTCACTCGCTACAGCACCAGTAGACGCAATACACGACAAGATGCTCCTCCAAGTCATCAAAGTTGATTGAATTCTATTCTGATTGTTTCAGAGAAAACAGTGTACCCAATACATGGGACTTCTCTTGCCTCTCTACCTACCAAAACATGGAGAGGTATAACACCGTTCCGAGAATAGTATGCCTTATAAATACAACAAGAAAACAGGCCTAACAAAGTGACCGACCAAGGGTGAGCTAACTGTCCCACGGCAATTCAAGTTGTTGTGCCCCCCGTCTCGTATGAACCACACGCCCTTCCATTTTGAACATCCGTATAAAGACAACCAAGAAACATAACAAATTGAAGAGTTGACTCGAGCCCTTGATCTCATCTGGGTTCAATACCACACAATCAATATTCTGCCCACATAGGACAATACCCTCACCAGTCAGCGCCAAAAAAAAACACAAATTCCTTCCGTTTTGCCTCCCAAACGCCTCAAACAGTGGTATAATCCGCAAAGTGTTGAAACCAGCAATCGCATCTTCATCATGCAGCAACCATTGTAGCAGCAAGGTTGCTCTCCACATTATATATACACCGCAACAAATTCGTACACTTTCTAGACCACACCGTTCGTCTTTGCGTTCGTTGGCTGGGCCTCTTCTATTTTTTCGATACCTTGGGGCTCGGTCGTCATTTCAACCTTAATATCCTCCGGGCTCGAAAGAGTCGACTTGACGGATCCAAGAACGCCAAGGTCCTTTGTACCGCCCTTCTTCATCCGGCTCTTGGTGTAGTCGCTTAAACTGAGCTTCTTCTTAATAGGACTTTGTTTAGCGATCGCACTGTTGACAGCTGATTGCGCGAAAGGGCTCGGCATGCCATTCGCTGCGAAAGGTGACAGTGCCGATGAGCTAGCTGCTGACAAGGGAGTCGCACCCATCGGTGCCGACAGTCCATTGTTGTCAAATGTCGGGACTGGTGGCATCTGCACTCGCAGGTCAGGCGTCTTCAACTTGCTAGACGTATCAGCCGTACCGTTCACTCCCTCTGACGGTAGCGGGGGGGCGTCAGGCATGGCTGCATCTGGCTGGGACGAATCTGCTTGTGCGTCACCCAACTCGGGTTCTGGAGGTTCGATATCCATTGCAATCTTTGGTGCAACGACTGCAACATTTAGTTTCTGCTCCGAAGTGTCCTCGGACTTTATACGAAAGCGGTTGTTAAGTAGTCGACGGGATAGAGAGATGATCTTCTTTTTGGAAGCTGGCAAGCGGCCAGGCTCGCTGAACCACTCGCCCTCAACCGGGTCCGTCTGAACTCCGGCGTCACAGTATGACGGTCGAGAACCAGCAGATGCTTGGCGAGGCCTTTGACTGGGGGCAGGACTCTTGAATGGATTCGAGGGTAAATTGGGTGACAAGGAGCTAGTGGGGGATCCGGTCTTGCTCCTCGAAGTGCCCGCGTCGACGTAGCCACCAGATACCGAGGAGCCTGAGCGAGCCTTGGATTTCGAAGAGCATGTTCCATCCGAAACGCGCTTCTTCTTTCTGGGTGGAGGTTGCTGCTCCATGCGACGGAACGAGTCTTCGACCATGGCCACTTTGCGCTTATCGCGATCCGTAGGCTCGGTGAGTATTCCGAGTTGATCAAATGAGCCTTGTCTCACAGGCGTGGGGTCTCGGCTCGGGGGCTTGCTGGTCAAGGACAAAGTTTCGAATCTCGCCTGGTGATCGGCCGTTTCGTCAGTATGACCCTCGCTGGCAGCACGGCTGTTGGTAGCGTGGCCAGTGCTGGTTGGAGACAATGTATGATTGCGAGACTTTCTCGACTTCTTCTTGCTTGGACGGCTACGGCCGCGGACATGGAAGTAGTGCCGATGAAAGCGTGCAAATGCGCAATTATTCTCCAAGTCGCAGGCGCAACCACCATATTCCGAAAGAATTCGATCAATCCAATTCGAAATGGCAATGTATTCGGACTCTTCCAACTCGGTTTCATCCTGTGCTGCGCTCTCGTCATCGCTCAAGCCAAGTAGATGTAGCCACCTCGCACAGACAGTCTTTTCAAGTCGGAAATCCCATGGCAGTGTGATTTGCTCATTGGCAGCAATATAGCGATCGCTGACGAGCCAAAAGTGGTATTCCGATCCTCCCGACAGATAGGTATCGAGCTGAGCGTTGGGCTTGCAGCTGCGGCGCACATAACGCGCGAGAGAGCCTTCTTTTCTCGTGTCAATGTAGAGCGGCAGCACTGGATGGAAAAACACGAAAGGTAACGGTGATGACAGGTCACCCCAAAGATTCTCCGAATTGGCACAGTAATCTTTTTGGAAGCCAATCTCGCCGTTGAGTTCAATCAAGGGCACATCCTTTTCGATGGGCGCAGTGGACTTGACGAAGCGCCATCGCAACGTTGTGCCTTTCTCCAGGGAGCGAGTGGCGTCTTTGACTTCCAGCTTTGGTCTCTGATCATCCAGATTCGCCGGCTCATCTTGAAAAACATCAGCATGCGTACGGCCCACCTCTTGCTTCATTGCGTCGGGCTCTCGCAGCCAGCGCGACAGAGCAGTGGGAATGGCCAGACTGGCAAATGCATTGTTATGTGTATCGGGTACATCGTGTTCGTTGTAGAGGGAGTAGAAACCCGCAGAGTAATGATGGATCTGGAAGTCGTCGGGTAGGTCGGGGGGTGTTGTGGCAGGACTGGGAGGGTGTGCGGGATTAGAGCGTGAGTTAGTAAAGGAGGGGCTGCGCTTTGACGGCTGTGAGCTGACGGATTGTGAGGTCTTGTGTGAAATTTTTGTCTTCTTTGGCTGAGTTTCGGCGGAATTGGGGGGTCTGTTGGTTTCGGTTGCGCCGTTTGACGCGCTCAAGGACAGTTCAGACGGCTTTGAACGTTTCTTGCCACTTTTCGTCGAAGGTGGCCTTTTGGTTTTCTTGTCGAGCGAATCTTCATCCTTGATGGGGAGAGTTTTTAATCGCAGAGTCCGCTCAATGGCCTTTTGACGATTGAGGGGGCGAGGCTTGCAGTCAGCACAGGAGTGGGCAAAGTCCTCGCGGATAGCCTCGTCCCTGTTGTCAGGGTAGAAGCAGTCAATGTGCTGCCACGTGTCGCAGGTCTCGCAGTATATCGTGTTGCCATCATCGTCAGAAAAGTTGCAGATGCACTTAATGGTGTACGGTTCTTCCTCGCCAATCTCAGCGCTGGATTCGGCGTCCTCCTTGATAGGGGGGCCACTAGCGGGAGATGTGAGGGAGGTCTGACTAGGAGCCGCGACTTGCGTTGGCAGCGGTACAGGGTTTTCGCTCATAATCTGGGAGTACCTCGCAGAAAGGAGAGCTTGGAGATGTCGTGGGAGGGACGTTGTTCGTCAATCGAATTACGCTCGCGGTCTTGACAGCATGGCGACGCCTTGGAAGACGTATGCCAGGATGGTTGATCGCTTCGTTGTTCGGCCGTAGTATGAAGACGTCCGTAGCGATGGCTACTGTGAGCCGCGCTGTGTCGATATCTTCGTCGTCGCAGCACGTGGTGGCGAGGGAGACCGGGAGCGAGGCTGACTCGGGTCGTTGGCAACAGCCAGAAGAGCAGGGTCGCGCCGCGCTCTGTTGCGAGGAAATTAAATCGAGAAATAAGTTGAGACGGTCAAAAGAAGCACCGAAATAGGTTTATGCAACGCGTCCAGCGAGTTTGTGGTGGTAGGCGACAGTTGGGCGACGATGCAAAACTCGACGAAGAAGTGCCACGAGTGCAGGAGCGAGGAAAGAACTTGGGGGGGGATTGATGCTGTTGTCGCAAGGGCAGAAAACCCAAAGGAAAATGTATGTAAGAAGTCGAAGTAGAGAGATCAGAGTGTAAAGAAGAGTAACGCGACCATATGACGAGGTAAAAATAGCGAGGGAGAGAGGGTGTTGAGGAATAGCCGTGATGAGAACGAGGGTAGGAAATGGGAACGGGGAGGACGGCCGGGGAGGAGCGACAGGAAAGCGCAGAACAGGCCGGCCTGGTTGCTTTGGCTGCTGCAAACTAACTCAGTGCTTTGCCAATCCCACCAGCCAGACGAGCGGCGCCCAATCAATGGCGAGCTCGGGTGGGTACTTGGGTACCTCACACCACTAGGACGGTGGGCAGCCTTTTTTTTAATCTTTTTTCCGCTGTTTTATTTTGTAAGCAGACGGCAGCCAGGCGAGATGGAGAGTCCAACCATCGCAGACAGCGGCAGGTACCTGTCTGTGGTGGTGAGCCGCCTCGCTGTCTGCGCGTGCAGGGACGGCTGCTGGGGAAGCCGGGTGTTGCTTGGGACTCGGCATCCTCACACTGACGGTCCTGTTCCGTCAATAAGCCCATACGTCGGTTGCTTGCTGTTGGAGAATGAATGAATGCTGGTGCTGCGCCAGGCAAGCGGGCGGGCGGATTGCGCAGTGCCGCCCTCATTGCCATTGCGAGTCCGGTACGTGCTGTTCCAGCAGGCAAGGAGTCAAGGACCCCCTCAGGAGCGGGCCAGCAGCCTCCATTCTGCGTCTCTGGTTTGCTGAAAGCGCAAAACCAAAAAGGACGCTAAACCAATTTCGAATGAGCGGTGCGAATCCGAGGGATGTATCATGTGCTATCTCCTCTCGACTTTTGTTATTACTTATTTAATCCGTGGGCGTGGCCATCGGCGTATGTTGCTGCCTCAGGCTTCCATTGCCGCCTTCTCCTCTCCTCTGAGTACACGCTGCACGCTGCACACTTGCTGCACGTCCGGGCGGCGCGTTGATGCACTCTCCATCTTCTCCTCCTCTCCCCCTCAACCCTCCTACCTGAACCTTTGCTTCTTGTCCGGCTGCGGATACGACTCGCGCCAGGGTACGGAGTACGCTGCAGTTCCAACTTGCCGGCGCGCAATAAGACCCCGTTCCGCCGACGCGACCTGTTCTCCCTTCCTCCAGCACATTTCTTATGGCGCCACACACCCAAACACACAGGCGAATGCAGCAGAGACAGCACTCAGCCGGATCAGGAAGCCACTGAAATTGCGCTGCGCGCTGCGCGCTGCTTGCACACGGGCGCCACCAGCCCAGTCCAACCCAGTCCCGGACCTGTTTGATGTGCGCTGAGCGAAAAGCAAGTTGTGTCGAGTCACCCATCATTCCCCTCCGTTGTTTTACCCTAGCTTTTCGTTACATTCATCCCTTTTGTCCTGCCCATCGCATCGTACCGACGTGTGTGATGTCTTCAGCCTGCGCAACACTTTTGTGAAACGCGCGTCCTCCACGGCAGATTTACGCGCGCCGCCTAAAACACAAAACAACAGGTTGCTGGGACACTCTGCCCGGTTGTTTCCTTTCACCATGTATTGGTCTTGTTTGCTGTCGAATTGTTGTGACAGTGTTACGAGCCCCTCGACCTCAGTCCTCAGTTCCTGCGCGCGCTATCTTGCAAGTCGCAGGGGCCTGGAAAATGGGGGGCGTGGGCGGGGGTCCCACGCCAATGTGCTAATATCCATGATGACACAGCCGGCCCAGACGCCACCGCTAGCGGCCACAGAGCTACGGAGTGCCTACCTTACCTAACTAGGTACGGAGTACATCTCGTTTCCTCATGCTGCCTACCTTCGCTTCACTTCCCCGCCCTTCGCCGCCGCTTGTCTACAACGATGACGCGCCACGAAGAAATACCATGGATGTCCTCATTTCGATTTCCGACGTACTATTGTATCGACGACGCTCGCTTGCGCCGCCGACCCGAGACGAAGCGCAAAACTGTACTGCGAACTCGCTGTTTGTCAAGACTTCTCGCAACAGCGCGGTAGCTCCAGGTTCGACCATGACTAGTACCGTGGCGAATCTAGTTGGTCGTCGCCGCAGCCATCCTGTTCTCCTGCGGTCGTAAACGGAATCGAATAGTCATCGTCAGAATGCGTACAGCCAAATAGCCAAACGCCAAACAACCGACCGAAGCCTCTGGAGCAGTAGCGAGGCAAAGAGCCACCAGGTGGACGTAAGCGGGGACAAAATTCAATTTTTCTTCTTTACAACGATGGGCTTGTCGGTCAAGAGTCTAGTTGCATCAGTCAATCCTTCCATCTCGACCGTGACACTCTTTCGTCAATCTTTCGCTGTTTCTACTTCGAGCAGTCGCTGTCTTCGCAGTGCTCACACCAATGCTCAAACCGTGCGTATCTGCGCGATGGTCTTGCCGCGATACAAACGACAAGACTGCCATGGCCGCTGTACGGCTGACGATCAAACTTGACTGACCTAAACGATACCATGTTGGGCTTGCCTTTAGCACAAGCCCAGACACATAACGAAACCATTAAATATTAGCTACCTAGCTTCGAGGCCGTCTTCTTGCTATTTCGCGTGCAACTCTTTGCTGACGAGCACGCGTGTTCGCCGAACCAAGCTACACTCCGAAGTGATTGCCTCCCTTACAATCGATAGCCTCGCATCTAGACCTGCGTGCGGATGATTGAAAGCATGTCGCAAGTGCAACCGCTCGATAACCTCCCACATGGCGGTGCGTCGTAAATCATCCACATGTCTCGCTCGCCTCGCGATGGATACCACATCTCTGCCCGATTCGTGCCTAATAACGCGAGGGGGGCCCCTTTCAGCTCCGATCTGGGGTCGCGCGTCCCTTGTTTGGCCATCTCCGAGTCCTAAGCCCCGGTCCTGGTTCGTCTCCTTCTTCGTGTCGCAGCATGTAGCTCCGAACCACAATGAAAGAGTGTGAAATCAAAAATTACGCCCCCAATGGCCCCGAAGGGCAATTGAGCATGAGTCGACTCCGCGCTGTGCAATGCAGGCCTCTCAGACTAGTGCCCCGTTTTCTTGATCTCGAGGCACTGGAACAAGGTAAGTATGAAGAAGAAAGGAAAGAAAAAAGTTGAAAACGCTGGCGAAGCTGGCGAATATATACTGGTAGGCGCCCTGGGGCCCGTGCGCCTTTTCGCTGCCTGGGGCTGCGATTCCAGGCAGCATCAAGTTTAGGTACACTTCAGCCTGTGTGACGTATCTGGGGCGGATGGACTGTCCCCACCCAGCCTATGTCTTCATTCGATGACATTTAAGGGAATCGTTTCATGTAAAACAATATATATATACATATATATTCCATCCTCTTAATGACCGCCAAGTTGTATTACAAGTCCGTCACAACTGCTTACATCTGTTGTATTGCACCATTGAGAGAGCCAATGATAGAGGTGGGTTGCCTCACTGGCTCATACCCAATGAGAGTGGAGCCTGGGTCTCATGTCATGACGCACCGGCCCAACAACTAACTCAGCCGCTAGGTGCGGTTCCTGCAAACGACTGCTTCATTCAAGCTCAACAATAGTAACCGGACATCTGTATCAATCAACGACTACTTTGGCATCGAACATTATTCCTACGTTCTCTCCCTCGTCGACCGCCTGCGATGAAGTTCTCCTCCGCTCTCGGCCTTCTCGGCCTCTGCCTCGCGCCAGCAGCGGCCCTGAGCAACAAAATCCCCGGCAACTCGCCGCTCGAGCTTTGTGACGGTGACCACAGCGCCGACCTCATCACCATCAACAAGGTTGACCTCACTCCCAACCCTCCCAAAGCGTACGTCTGCTCATATTCCAGTCTCCCGGCCACGCACTTGACGAATAGAGACGCATAAAGTCGGATATGTTGGGGTGCTGTATCACGTGCTAACTTGCCATCAGTGGACAGGATCTCCTCATCAAAGCCAGCGGTACCGTCAAGCAAGCTATCGAGGAGGGCGCCTATGTGAAGCTTTCCGTCAAATACGGCCTCATCAGGCTCCTGACCACAACCGCCGATCTCTGCGAGCAGATCGGAAACGTCGACCTGAAGTGCCCTGTGAAGGCCGGCGACCAGACTATTGAGAAGACTGTCAAGCTTCCCGCTGAGATTCCCCCTGTACGTTTGGCTCCTCTAGACCACCATCCTGTACCCGCAAAGCTAACAATTTACCAGGGCACATACACCGTCTTCGCTGACGTCTACAACGCCGATGATACCCCTATCACTTGCCTGACTGCTAGCGTCACCTTTGCAATCGGTGGGATGGGTTTCTTCAACGAGCTTTAATGGACCAGCTGCTACTTTAGATTTATGTGCCTCATGCTAGCCTGTTTCGTTTGCATCGGCCAGCCGCCCTGGAGTTTCTTACCAAATCTTCATTGCGCGACCGTCCCTTTCATATTTTGCGCGTAATCATAGTCTGAAATACCATTTTGCATAGTCTTCAATGGAGTCTTGTGGACACAAGAGATAGGCAGTCCCCCGTATCATCAAACAAAGGTATAATGCTTAATCATTGTATTTACGTTATGACGTACAAAGCTCGGAACACACCACGCAGCAAGTGCCAACACGATACATATCTACTCGCCAAATAACCGGCGTACACGTCTCAGTACGCTGTCCTTCTCAGGGTCATATGGATGGTCTTTGCTGGGAATCTCAAGAACGGTGGGAAAAGCCGCGGTATAGGTGTCGATGCGATGACGTATGCGGTCGGCAATCTATCAGGCCAGAATTAGCGATCCAAACCAGCTCAGAGTTACGTCGCAGTCTATCCATACATGTTGGTTGATGAGAACAATGCCGACATCCTTGCGCTCCTCGGTGAACCGTTCAAAGGCGGATTCGATGGCTTGCGTGTCGGTCTTGTTGTCGACGACTAGAAAGTTCTTCTGGCCGTCGCCACCAGTCGTAACATGCTATCGCATGATTAGTCGTCATCACACAAGCTTCTGCCAGCTCGTTCGCCACTTACTCCGATACCAGCGAGTAGTAATCCCGTAACAGAGTCCTGCCAAGCGTTAGCCATGGTCAGTTTCCGGTCGGCGCGACGGGGGCGTTACCTCATCACCAATCACGGCCAGAAACTGGCGGTCCTTGAAATCTGCTTGCGATGCCATTGTCAAGCGCTCTGGCACTGCTGCTATAGAACCGTTGAGCTAGGTGCTGCAGAATAGAGATGATGTCGCTGTCTTGAGATTCCACCGCCGCGCCGCTCACAGAGGGCCCACCAAGTCCTCAAGCGCTAGCAGCTGCCGCTTTATCTCACTTTCCGCCTCGCGCCAGCTCATCACACCACATAAACTTCTCAAATTAAAGCGGCGCCGTGCACTTGCGGTGCCTGAACAACCGGTCACAGCTCCAGTTAGTTCACAAAACAAATAAACAAGCAGAGCTCTTGCAACGACCATCGCCTCGGCAGAGGTTTCACCCACTGCGTCTCGTCGCGATCTTGCCTATCGGTTTTGGAGAGCTGCGCCGGTCACAGTTCCGAATTTTGCTGCCATTACGTGTCACGCCCGTCAGAGCAACGATGCCTCGTCTGGTACGCCGCAAGCCGCTTCTCCAGCGCCTTTCGACCCTGCTGAACCCCATGGATTTTTTGCTCTGGCTGTCGGAAGAGCTGGAAACACGCGACTGGGATTCTGAAAATGCAGGCACGCAGCTCGGCCTGGGGTTGAATTTCTTGTTTCTCCTCGCGCGCGCAAATTCTGGCTCGGCGCCACCCACGGATGACGTTTTTGGCAGCGAAGACAAGTCGTTATGGCTGTCACTGATCGTACGGCTTACCACCTGATTTGTATTCTCTAGGATACCAATGCTGACGTTCTCAATAGGTCAACTCTATCGTCTGGGGCCTGGGTATATTTGCCGTTACGAATGGGGTGTACACTATGACCCGCACTCGCAAGTATAGGATGTTCGAGGCCAACATTAATGTACAGCCTGGTACACCATCGGCTCGTAGAGTCCGAGTAAAAGGCTCGCCGGCTTCTTCTTCGCCTCTCCGATATCTTGCCAACATGATCACGCCTGAAGGGCCCGAGAGCAGGTCCCACCCGGACAAGAACCGAGATGTGTGGGAACTCGCGGTGTGGGATCCTCTACCAATATCGATGCGTCTATTTTGTTTATTCGGACCGGCACATGTGTTGGTTTACAGCATGTTTCTTCCACTTGCTTCGCTGGACCCCTGTCCCAGCATTACCGTCTTCAACACATTGTTGCTCCAGGTCATCCTGTCTGCGCAGCTGGTGCTTTTCTTCTCCAAGTTTACGCAGCAGGGCAAAGATAACTCTATCATCCAGAAAGAGGTTATGCATGAGTATGACACCAAATTTGTGCATCCCTTAATGCATCCTGTCGTGCGCGATGTCGGTATTCAGGTATCCACGGATGCGGGCACAAGTACGGAGGATATAATCGAGACAGGCACGCCTACCACCCTTATTCGACGCTCATTCAAGACACACAAAAATCCGCACATTGACGAAGAAGAGTCTGCACCAACTCGTCGGAGCAGCATAAAGCAAAGTGGCATGAAGCCAAGTCTACTCACGCCATCCGGTCGTCGGTCAGACTCTTTCAGTCCAATGCCATCTATTCGCAGCTCGGGCTTCCGCCATAGCATGGCTACGCCTGGTTGCCTGCCGGCTTCTGCTTCGACAAACAATCTAGACTTGCCGTTTTCTTATACAGCAACTGGGGCTTCAACATTCGAACGTTCCCCATTGAAACACGCACACAGCTTGAATAACCTGAAGAGCCCTCTTCAGCAGCAGTCACCACGCACGTCTAGAGAGATGGCGGCATACGAGCAACGCGTACGGCCAAGCAGTCCATTGAAATACCCAGAAAGCCGGCAATCTCTGGGAGCAACAACATCAGACATACGCGGCACGGGGACGGGAAGATTCGTACAGCACGAGCACCAGCGGGCAAGGTGGTAGTCTCATTTGTTTTGTGATAATTCTACCTTCTACAACCCTGGTCCACCTGCCACTCTATCATTTTTAGCCATGTATCTCGCTTATGTTCATGTGATTTTCACGCGTTTCCGGCCCAACACGACACTTGAGGCGGCTTCCGTACCTGCCTTATCAGGGAAACGGCAGGACCGATGAGGACCTGCGTCGTGTATGAATACGACTCGTTAACCACTTTATGCGTGTCACAATAATATTTGTAGCGGTATCAACAACTTTCTGACTGTATTCACTTGGCACTTCTGCCATGTAATTCACTCCTTTATGAAACTCCGCATTCACTGATCGCCTGTTTCTTCGCATGCCGTGCCCAGCTGCTGCAAACGCTACAAACGCTGCAAACGTTGCTCGCCACCATGCCGCACTTTTTGGGCTCCAAAGTTTCCCCATCAACACAACTGTCATTGAAGAAACGCCAGACGCACCCGTACGCGGTATCGACTAGTCAGGAGGAAAAGAGGCGTACTATATCCTAGGGTGGATGGGCTCGTCACATATTCCCCAGCAAACGACTCGAACGAGGCGGCACTCTGCGAGCCAAAGGATTTTGGGAAGCATCCGAAGCACTCCGCCGCCCATTAGGGGTTTCAAGAAACAGATCTACCATGGCAGGTAGCTCCTACAGTGATGGGAGTTTGCACTCAGACACAATCATCCGCTGGAACATGGCAAAGGAGCTCCCCAGCATAGAGGCTTCGAACAATAGAACGCCAGAGGCTCCACACTTGAAGCATGACGTACGCTTCGATCTTCCTGAATTTGTATTCAATCATGATGATGGCAGAATAGATTGGCTGCCAAACGAAAGCGAGAATCAAGGTGCATCAGTCGACGAGTCTCATCTATCTGACGTGCCTCAACCCAGAGCGGACTCCGTTGCCACCCATATTCTGGACAGCAGCCTCGCGAGAGCAGATCACGTTCTTCGGCTACGAAAACAGGCGAGACAAGAACGAAGAGCCTTGAAAGAAAGTGGCGATTACCTCGGAGTACAAGGCATTAATCCTGAGACGGGTCGCATGGACGTTGAGACGCCAACGGATAGTGATGAAAGCCAATCAAGCTTCGGAGCAGCACTTGAGCAGCAGTTTCGTGCAAGCCGCATGGTTGAGAGCTTTGACCCAGAGATAACAGAAAAAGAAAAGAAGAAGATGCTTCTCAAGGCCCGCGAAGACGAGCTCCGCCTCCTGGAGAAGAGCAAGCAGGAAGCTAAAGAAGCCGCCGACCAGCTCATGTGGCGCAGGCACACACAGGAGTGGTCAATTGTCAAAGATCCTGGCGCCATTGAGCCGTCTGATCAACAACCTACATCACCGGCTGGTTCGTAGCGTTTCTCCCTTGGAACAACCAACCACTGACATCCTTACATAGAGAATGCCAATGACGCACGAGTTAATGAGGCTTATCGCCAGCGCGGTACAAGATTGATCGATTTAGACGACTCACGAATAGAGGAAGGCTCGCACGAAAGTCTTGATGCGCCTTGCCAAAATGATCAAGAATCAATTGGCACTGTTGTGCGCACCTCACATCAGCGCAGTTCAGCAGACGTTTCTCGTGCAGCATTAGAATTGTTCGAGAATGGAATAAGTTTTGGTCATTCTTTTCGGTCCAAGCGAACTCGTCATAGAGCAACTTCAGGCTATCAGTCTTCTAATGGGATTTCTCCCACCACCAAAGTCCAGCCGTGTCCGGGACATGCCGCAGGCTCGGACTTGCAGTCTTTTTTAGAGAAGAGCGACACCAGCCCGGAGGATCGAGGCGGAGAAAAGAACCAGCCCGGGCACAGGAGTGTTAGTCGCAAAACTTTCCGCGAGCTGACCACTTCGCTACGGGCGAAAAAGAGTTTAGGCAACATCCTAATGAACCATACGCAGACTCGAGGACAAACTATGGCAATAAAACAAACGATGGAAAAAGACATGACCAGTTTCTCAACAGCTCCGCACGTAGTGGGTGCATGGGTAGGGAGTTCTCCTCAGCAAACGGCTCCCAGTCTTCCTATGATCGAGCACCAAGAGTCTCTTCACATGGGGGACGACGAGGGCTTTGTCTTGACAACAGACCAAACATGTCAAGATATAAGCAATTCAACAGACGAGTCTCTCGATCTGGATCCTAGCGAGACCGACAAAGAGAACCAGGGACGTCACATTCTGGGCGTTCAGGGAGGGTTCGTGAACGAGGTACCGGATTCCCTTACGAAACGACTCGAAGCAAGGGACGAGTCTGTCTACACACGCATCACCACCACTACTGGCTCTATGCAACAGAAAGATCCGCCATTAGGCGACTACAACGGGCTGGCAGTGAAGAAGCAAGAGCAACCAACAGCATGCTGGCCCGAGAAGACGTCGAACGATATATCGAAGGTCGAGGGCACACCAGCAGATATACCGAACGACATCACATCTCCAGAGCTGATGAATTACCAAAAAGACGCAAAACCGTGTGTTTTGAAAACAACAAGAGCCACAAATCGACTGCAGCTACGACAGAAGAAAGCCGACATTGTGACACCAAGCATCGGCTCGAAGGCCTCGACAGACAAGTCCAACCCGGTAGACGCATTTTTGGCACCAAGAATCGCGGCAACAATAGCATACACGGGAGAGAGGGAGAAAAAGAAAACAGAAGCGGCGGCTGTTCAGGGAGTGGAGACGGAGATGAACGGATATCACTGCGACGGATGCAGCGAATGCCTACGAGTAGGTCCAAATTACCATGCATAGAGAGTGACGAGACACAGCTAATGATGGCGTAGATTCCGGGAAGCTTTCCTGCGCATCTCATCGAAGGCGGCGCCATCGCAAGTCGTTCCGCTAAGACGGATGCAGTGCGAAGAAGGCGAACGGCACGGCTGGCCGCCGCGTTTGACCGTACTCTTGGTCAATTTGTAGCAATAATAGAGATCTACTGCAAGGTAGTCTGGCCAGTCTTCGACCCTTATTCTCCCCTGTGGGAGAGAAACGCAAACAAAGAGACGACGGTATTGGACGTAATTGTATTGGTCTTGGCAGTCCCTGGCGCGATAGTGGTCATAGGAGTGGCTGTTTGGGGGCTTCAGATGTTGGCACTAGTGGGAGAGTTATTGTGGAAGGTAGCTGGAGCCATTGCAGGCAACGTGTCGTGACTTGTGTGGATGGCAAAATGAAATGGAATACAGACAGTTGGCTTAATCAGGGGCGAACCGGATGAGACCGGCGTCTGTAGCATGGGTAGACAGGGCGAGTGTAGAAAAATAAGCGACACGATGCATAAGGAGTATCCGTAAGATGAATAGCTTTAAATAGAAATTGACTACTCACGATCAAGTGAAATTGTTTGTGATATGTGTTAGATCTGATGACGCAGGCTGGATGGTGGCGATCAGTTATGGATCGATGGTACAAAATGACCTATGGCATAATATGGGCTCTTGCCACTGGTTGATTGCCGCTTGTATACTGTATTACTGGTTCATCAAAGGGAGAAATACAACATCAAAGCCATAAGAGTAGAAGGAATGCCGAGTTACTTGTACACGGTGTTTCAAGCACCGGAGTAGGCGGAGTGACCCAACATATCTGGAGGAACAACTTGTCAGGTTGTGGCGGCCCACTGACTCGCACTGCAGATAGCTCAAAAGCCTGCCGTCCGTTCACGCATGTAATAAGTTGCAGATCATGTCGTCTTCCGATCTCGTGTGCAGAACCATTGCAAAGAATAAATGCAACCTTGTTGCAGTGCGGGTAAAGTGCGCAAGTAACCATGTCTCTCGTATTACGCTTTCCCGCCAAGTTGTTACAGGCGGGATTGGGGCAGCCAATGCGGGCCGAGCATTTAGCAATCCGCCCGCCCAGCGTGCCCCGCGATCACAAGCATGGCCCCAGTTCTGGCCCAGCAGAGACTGCGAGAGAGCGCGCCGGTTCGGAGCTGGTCCAGCGCTGCAAACGCTGTCCTCCGATCATCGGAGCCGCCGAGGCCGGCGCTGCGAATACCTTCGGGTAGCCTTTTGGCGTCGCAATGGGGTTTCATAAAAGAGCACTGCCCATCCCTCTTTTCAATCTTGGTTTATTTTGATTTCCCAAGTTATTTTTCTGCATCTATTTCCTCTTCCCACTGCCATTGTTGTGACCTTTAGTTGGGGTTTGCCACTCTAAGCAGCATAATCTCCAATCACATCTACTTCATCAACTACAACAAAACTAGGTGCACTAAATTTTCCTAGTGAAAGAGAGCTACCTTCAGACACCCCAGCATCATCACCCCCACCAAAGTCTCGTTCTCTTTTCGTCCATCCATTCTCTCCCCCTCCAAAACCCGTTTTTGGCCCTCTTCCTTTCTTCATCGTCGTTCTACTTCACAGCCACAATGCCCGAATCAGTGTCGAAACCCCAAACCCTTTACGACAAGGTGCTCTCCAAGCACATTGTCGACGAGAAGCTCGACGGTACTCTCCTGCTTTACATCGGTACGTCTTGTCCCCTCCAGATGTGGCTGGTTCTTCGTCCAAGCTAACCCCTCTCACACTCTAGATCGCCATTTGGTCCACGAAGTCACCTCTCCTGTACGCTGCTCCCCTCTCGCGAGCCTGATTGCTCTTTGACCCGCAATCGAACGAACGAACGGAATACTAATTATAACAACAGCAAGCATTCGAGGGTCTCAAGAATGCCGGCCGTGGCGTCCGCAGACCAGACTGCACCTTGGCTACCACCGATCATGTAAGTCAATCTGACAGCGCGGCGGACTCCGTTTCACGCCTCCGCACAGTTTATTAACGCGTCGTCTTTGCAGAATGTCCCTACCACTTCCCGTAAAGGCATGAAGGACATTGCCAGCTTTATCGAAGAGGACGACTCCCGCACGCAGTGCGTCACGCTCGAGGAAAACGTCAAGGACTTTGGCCTGACCTACTTTGGCCTCGGCGACAAGCGCCAGGGCATCGTGCACGTCATCGGCCCGGAGCAGGGCTTCACGCTGCCCGGCACCACCCTGGTCTGCGGCGACTCGCACACGTCCACCCACGGCGCCTTTGGCTCGCTCGCCTTTGGCATCGGCACCAGCGAGGTCGAGCACGTCCTCGCCACGCAGTGCCTCATTACCAAGCGCAGCAAGAACATGCGCATCCAGGTCGATGGCGAACTCGCCCCCGGCGTCAGCTCCAAGGATGTTGTCCTCCACGCAATTGGCAAGATTGGCACTGCCGGCGGCACCGGTGCCGTCATTGAGTTTTGCGGCTCCGTCATCCGCGGCCTCAGCATGGAGGCCCGCATGTCCATCTGCAACATGTCCATCGAGGGCGGCGCACGCGCCGGCATGGTCGCCCCCGACGACGTTACCTTTGAGTACCTCAAGGGCCGCCCGCTAGCCCCCAAGTTCGGCTCCGAAGAATGGAACCGCGCCGTGGCCTACTGGCGCGCCCTGCAGTCCGATCCCGACGCCAAGTACGATGTTGACGTCTTCATTGACGCCAAGGACATCATTCCGACCATTACCTGGGGCACCAGCCCCGAGGACGTCATCCCCATTACCGGCGCCGTCCCAGACCCCGAGACGTTTGCGACCGAGGCGAAGAAGGCTGCCGGCCGCCGCATGCTCGAGTACATGGGCCTCACTGCCGGCACGCCCCTCGAAGAGATTCCCGTCGACAAGGTCTTCATCGGTTCGTGCACCAACTCGCGCATCGAGGACATGCGCGCAGCCGCCAGCGTCGTCAAGGGCAAAAAGGTCGCGCCCAACGTGAAGCGCGCCATGGTCGTGCCCGGCTCCGGCCTGGTCAAGACGCAGGCCGAGGAGGAGGGCATCGACCAAATCTTCATCGACGCCGGCTTCGAGTGGCGCGAGGCCGGCTGCAGCATGTGCCTCGGCATGAACCCGGACATCCTCTCCCCCCAGGAGCGCTGCGCCAGCACCTCGAACCGCAACTTTGAGGGCCGCCAGGGCGCCGGCGGCCGCACCCACCTCATGTCGCCTGTCATGGCCGCCGCCGCCGCCATTGTCGGCAAGCTCGCCGACGTGCGCAAGCTCTCCAACTACACCACAAGCACCCACGTCCCGGCGGCGGCGGCGGCCAGCAGCCAGACCCCCTCCTCCGGCGCCGGCAAGCCCCACGTTGACGAGCGCGTCGCCGAAGACGCCGAGGCGCGCGAGGCCCTCGCCGATCAGCCCGAGGACAACTTCCCCCATACCAACACCGATGTAGCCGCGGCTGCCGGTAGCCAGGGCACGGGCGCCGCCACCGGCATCGCCCCGTTTATCAACCTCAAGGGCATCGCCGCGCCGCTCGACAAGGCCAACGTCGACACCGACGCCATCATCCCCAAGCAGTTCCTCAAGACCATCAAGCGCACGGGCCTCGGCAGCGCGCTCTTCAACGCCCTGCGCTACCTCGACGACGGCTCCGAGAACCCCTCCTTTGTCCTCAACCAGGAGCCCTACCGCGGGGCCAAGATCCTCGTCTGCACCGGCGACAACTTTGGCTGCGGCTCCTCGCGCGAGCACGCGCCCTGGGCCCTCCTCGACTTTGGCATCAAGGCCGTCGTCGCCCCGTCCTTTGCCGACATCTTCTTCAACAACATGTTCAAGAACGGCATGCTGCCCATTGCCGTCCCCAACAAGGCCGACATGGACGCCGTCGCCGCCGAGGCCCGCGCCGGCCGCGAGCTCGAGGTCGACCTGCCCCAGCAGGTGCTCCGGACGGCCGCCGGCGACGTCATCTGCCGCTTCGACGTCGAGGAGTTTCGCAAGCACTGCCTCATCAACGGCCTCGACGACATCGGCCTCACCATGCAGATGGAGGACAAGATTGCCGCGTTTGAGCGCCAGATGACGGAAAACACCCCTTGGCTCGACGGCACCGCGTATTTGAAGCGCAAGGGCCAGGGCGGCAAGCTTGCTGCCAAGGCCGTGCCCGTCGCAAAGACGAATCGCGGTGAGCCCATCAAGGAGCCCCTCGAGTGGTGACGAGCACGGAAAAGTTAAAGTAAAAGAGAAAAAGAAAAAAGAAAAAAAAAGGCCGATAATGTCATTGGGAAGGAGTTGAATGTTTTGTCATGTTTTATTTTTTATATGAGTTGCATGGATGGCAAATGTGCCTCGACACACAAAACATGCAGTGTGAAACAGCAAAAAGTATGACCGCTGAACAAAGACGGATTGTACAGGCGAAAATATATTAGTGTGAATAAAAGGTCTGGTATCACAATGAATATCTTCTTGATTGACCAACATTGAATCAATACTCCACACCAAACGCCCATAAAAGTCAGTTCCACCAGAAGCTCACGCTGAAGCTGACGCTCAAGCTCCGCACATAATGCCACCACCCGACAGGTATGAGTAGGGCATCGCCAGGCTCCAAGATGCACTCAAAGTACTGGACATCCTTGAGGCTGTCCTTGATTTCTTGTATAAATTCCTGAGCATCCTGAGCATCCTCGTCATCCACTTCCATCATGTCTTCGTCATTGTCGCCCCCCAAGATGCCATCGAGATAGACGGCGCCAATGTCAATGCTACTCGTGTTGCTCATGTCGACACCATTTTCGTTGGTCGACATTGGCCTCATGAAGCGGTCTGCTTGGGGCGGATACAGTCTCACGTACTTGGTGCCCACAACCTGACATAAAAGGTTGGTGTATCCGTCTGTGTGCAGAGGCGTCGTAGTGTTTGCAGGGCCGAACCAGGCATTGAGCTCCGGCATGTCAAGCTTTGGTTTGTCCTGGTCAGGCTTGAACGGATGACCCGGAACGTCGGCCCAGCAAAAGTCGGGGACCAGGATATCGTTGCGAAGCTCGGGTATCTGTGCAAAGAGATTGTGCTGGGCAAGGTACCCGAGTTGCGCCTCAGAGCCACGGTGAACAGTAGCCACGTCAGCAATGGCGCCTGTAACATGGCCGACAACGAGAGTGCGGTCAATATACCGTATAACAAACTCTCTGAATGACATGAACTCTTGGCCCCATCCTTGATCGACATAGCTACGACCGATCTCGACGGGAACCAGCCTTCGCCCTCCCAACGTCTTGTCGAAGAGGTAGCTCGGCCGCACCCATTTCCTGTCCTTTATTGCAGGCCAATCATCTTTGATTAAACCTGTGAATACCGCGGGCACGGGCCCAAGATCATCTCCCTTCTTAGCTGCCTCGTAACCTTGACTCATGTACGTCTCGAATTGTTTGATGCTCCAGCGTTCAAATCTGGCACATGGTCGCAGCAGCTCCGGACGGCCGTTTGGCTCCGCCGAAGAAAACTTTCGTTCCGGCCCAAAGTCTGCTGTCGGCTGCCATGCCTCTCCAACCATGGCCAAGGTTTTTTCAATCCAAGGCTTATCGAGGATACGGCCTCCCCCGCCCGCGGTGATGAGGCAAAGATCCAGCCGCGAGACAACCTCGTCCAACGTCTCCAAAAAAGCCTGCTGCTGCTCAGACGGTATTTTTTTGCTTTCATACTGGAGCAATATATGAAACGTGGTAAGGATTTGCGCGTCAGAGTAGATTTGTCGCCAGTAAAACGGCACTTGGTCGAAGCGATAAGCATAGAGGCGCGCGTGGCTCGCAAGCACAACCTTCTTTAACCGGCGTGATATCTGGGTGCAAGCAGTATTGATCTCGACGCTTTCGTGTACAAGAGCATCGTACATGTTCAGAAGATAACGTGCTTGTATCTTGAGCTGTTTCTCCATGGCTTGGCCGTCGAGCTCCTCCACCCCACCATTGAATGGCAGGCCATCGGGGAGGCTAATTGCTGCATTGCTTGCATCGGCCAACTGTTTCGTGCCCTTCTGATAGCGCTCAAGGAGCCTCTTGAATTCAGGCCAAGTTGAATGAGGACTACTCATGGCGTCATTCTCGGTGCGTGTCGTCTACCAGCTCAAGCGCTGCTATCTTGATGGGATGAAGTTGTCAAGCAAGGTTCTCCACTCGGTTTGAAGAAGGCCGCTACTGGGCCGATTGCCAGCAGCAGGTGCCATCAATTAGCTTATGCCATGGGAAAGATTGTGGTTATTCTTATGACAGGTACGCATTGCGTCGAATGGTATCATTTATTATAGACTCTAGCTCTGACTATCGTCTTCCGTGACATCTGTTCTCTGGCCATCTCGGCGGGCTTTGGCTCCAGCTTTCAGCAACTCCCATTTGTCTCTGTATTTCTCTAATGTCTTTTGCATTTTACGGTTATCCTTTTCAAGTCGCTCCATTTGCTTGGTTGCCGCCGCCAGTTGCTGCTCCGTCTCCTGGCTCTTCCGTAGCAGAGCCGCCGCGGCGCCATCGTCGGGCTTTGCAGAGGCATTTGGTGAAGAGGGCCTCATTAGGCGATAGCTTTCAGCCAGAGCCATGGCAGAGCTCTGCGCACTCGCCTCAAATGTGTGCAGTCGCTTCGAGAGCTTATCTAGCATATCCTTGAGGGACTGGTTCTCTGTATACAGCTCCTCAATCGTATTGTTGAGCTGCCGTTCTGTATGCGAGGATTTGCCCACACGCCGCTTCGCACCTGGCGATAGAGCGACGGGCAGCTCACGCGCATCTACAAAATCATCATCTTCCTCCTCACCCATGGCAGACTCTGCACTTCCATGTAAAGAGCTGCCCAGACGACGCTTCTCCTTCTCAGCGTAGCTGAGGATATTCGCGTAAGACATGGTGTGACCAGTTGTAGGTACGACGTAGAAAGATTCATGAGGGGCATGACCCTCGCGCGCTAGAATACGCATAGTAGCCTTGGAATAAATTTTGGACAGGTCCGGCTCGGCGCTCGGAGACGGAACCGTCTTTGGTCTTCTCCTTGCTTGCGACGGCTCGGGCGCCTCTTGCTCCGACGTGGTGGACTCTTCCTGGATGAGCGGCAGGCCAGCGAATGCCAGAGGCGCCGATATTTTATTTATGAGGCTACCAAAGGTATTATAGAATCTTGTATAGCCAGCGTCGTCTGTATTGGGCTTCGGACTTTGCTGTTGGCTGTTCTGTGGCGCCGAGGCGGATCTCTGGCGGGCATCTGATCTCGACGACTGCATGGGCGGCGGCACCCAGGTCGGCTTGCCGGGCTGGTGGTCTATCAGCGTCTGCATCTTGGTCCTAGAGCCGTCTCTCCGCGGGTGCGGGTCGACGTTGCCGGGCGCCTGGTCGTTGGAGACACTGGGGCTCAGCGGCTGCCCGCGATACTTGGAGCGTATACCGCGCGCCGAGGCCAGGTTGCTCGCAATCGACGACGACATGTCCCGCGCTGCGTGGCGCCGCGGCTGCGCGAGTCCTGGCATATGCGGCGATGAACTTGTCCTCGATGATGATGATGATGTCACGCCGCCTGCTGACGCCTTGCTGCCCGCATCGTCGTCTGCTTCCTTTTCGCCAAAGGCCTTTTCGTCAGCGTCACCGCCGGCGTGCACGTGAGTGTCGGGCGACAGCTTCAGCAGCTCGGCCAGCCGCTTGTGGTGTGCCTCGAGGAGCCGGAGTGTACGGAGGGCCTCGATGCTCGACGTGTTCCGGGCGGCGTTGGCAAACTCGCCTGCGGCCAGGGTGTGCTCGCTGATGGCGACGGTCGTGTCGGCGGACTGGCGGGTGGCGACGGCGGCGGCTTGCGCGTGGTCGTGCGCCTTGACGAGCGGTGACGAATCCATACGTGTGTTTGTATCTGGTTTCAAAAATTATATCTGATGGGTTAAGGGGTATCTAATGCTTGGCCACAGGCGCACCAAACGGCCCGCGATGCTGGTGACGGAGTTGAACTGCCCACGAGACCTGTGACGGCAGCCTCGACTTTTAGCGGGGCGCTGTCATACGGCGATCGCCCCGCGTTAAGTCGAGCTACCCCGGCAATGACCGGGTACCTAGGTGCAGTAATTTTGGAGTTTCAAGAAAGTAAACGACATGTTCTGCTTGTACGCAGGTTTTGCGTTTGCTTCGGAAAAACAGAAAGAATCAACAGACCAATAAACTATCCTGAGGTGCGCCCACATCTCAGCGCCGGGTTCATGTTATCCCAAGTAAATCCCAAGTAAATTGTACAATAGACTACCAATATCAGAATGCCATCCGTGGTCCCCATTCTAACATGTCCACACGCCTACAATACCGTTCTGTCTACCTTCTATCATGTAGCCATCCTTTACACGCACACGCTCCACAATCGAAGTCTTTCTGCCCTCTTCGGCCGCCGTGACGCCTGCGCCGCAGTCCCATTGCCTTCCCTCTACCTTATCGTACACTTTGACAACGTCTTCGCAAGCGGCGCTAACGATCCTCCTTGCGTCAAACATCATACTCGTGATGGGGTTGTCGTATGCATATGCATCGTATATAGACCCAGTTCGCAGGTCCCAGATCTGTGACTCGGTTAGTGCCGGTACTTGCGGTTATGCCTCACCAGTGCAACTCACTCGTATACTTCTGTCCAAACTACCGGTGACTAGATGCACGTCGTCAAACTGAAGACATGTTACGGCTCCGGTATGGCCAACCAGGCTTCTATGTACCTGCCCGCTTCGCAAATCCCACAAACGCACCATACCATCTGCGGTACCACAAGCCAATGCCGACTCAAAAACCTGCAGGGCGCCAACAAAATCCGCCGAGCTGGACTGTGAGCGACCTGTTGGCCTCCAAGCAGCATCGGATGTGTTGGGGTTGGCGGAGGCCTGAGCGGCTGCCCACATGACATCCAGTGTCTGGATGCAGCGGCCTTTCTCCAAGTCCCAATGACGCAAAGTCTTGTCTGCTGAGCCAGAGATCAGGGTCTCGCCACGAAAGTGAAGAGCTGTGATTTCTCCAACGTGAGACTGCAATGTAAAGAGCTCACAGTCGTCCATGCTACCCTGAGGCGGTTCAATATACTGGTCGTCGGGGTTTTCAAACGCGATGGCATCTTCATCTTCTTCTCCATGACCACCAGCGCCTTGTGGATCGTAACGTGATTTGCTAAGATCCCATAACTTTATGGTTGCGTCGACTGAGCCGGTGGCTAGGATATTATCTTGGACTTGCAATGCGCGGACGGACGCCGTGTGACCTTCGAGGTGACCCATGCAGCGTCCGGCATTCAAATCCCACACACGAACCGTGTCGTCGAGGGCAGCAGTGACCATGATGCCGAAAGGTGCGTCAAAGTCGAGAGATGTGATTGTGTCCTTGTGAGCTCGAATCTCGCGGATGTTGGAGCCTGGTTCGAAATGCTCGTGTAGAATGGGCATGGATTTGCGGCGGCGAACCTTTTTGGGTCTTTTCGTCGGTGTGCTGGAGGCAGAGCTCGGGATTTTGTCGTAGACGGACTGCGACATGAACTCGGAGTCGTGGTCGTCGGCATCGCCAACGAGGTCGACTTCATCTCTCGTGGGTGTGTTCTTTGCGACCTCCTCGGCCTCATCAACAAGCGCTTGGGCGGCCTCTACCTTTCCTTCAACATCGAGAACTACGAGGTGTTAGATGAAATGATGACTGGGCAGAAAACTCCAAGGAGTGGCTCACTGTCATGCTCGAGCAGGGCCTCTTCTTGCTCCAAGCCAGCTAGTCTCTCCATGATAATTCGGCGCATGCCATGTAGGTTGGCAATTTTATTGTCGATTTCGTGAATTTCGCTGCTGGCCATGTTTTTGCGCACGGCTAGCAAATCGAACTCGTGCAGCATGGCGGCCTTTTCCTTTTTGGCCTGGTTTAGTCGTTGTGTCTCGGAAACGGCTGTGCCATCCTCGAGTAGCTTTCTGCCTCGGGAAACGCGTCGACGGTGTTTTTTGCCTTCGTCTGTAAGCTCAGGAAAGCTAGCTTGGAAGCCCTGGAAGAGCGAGTAGCTGTTGTCGTTGTCGGGGATATTGGAGAGGAGATGCTCAGGAAGGGTGGTCAAGGCGCGGTGCTGTATTTCAGCGCGAGAGAGCTTGGAGCGAACAATATCGGTAGGCGTAGTTCTGGCCATGGCAAACATGCTGCGTTGAACCGTTGGCCTCTTGAGTTGTTTGTGCACCTCGGCCATGGCGGCCTGATAGTGTACCGATGCGCCGTCGGCGTTGACAGGGCCCATGAGGTGGCTAGCGGTGGTTGTTACCTTTCTACTGAACGCTTCCAAACCACGGGTCTGAGAAGAGCAGCGACAATAAGGGAAAACATTAGCAAGGAAGGCTCAGCCTGCAAAGTACGATGCCGCTGCCATCACACGACACCAAGGGGTGGTGGTTGAGGTGGAAGGCTAGGTAGGTTGGTGTCGCGTACCGAAATAAGCGACTGATCATCGTCGGGACCATCGTCGGGGAAATCATATTGGCTCGCGGGGTCAGCCATGGCTCAGGCTGCAGAGCGTGAGCAACAATTGTGTTGTGGTCAATGATGTTAGAGGGAGTTTGCGACCGGGTGGCCTCGCGAACAGCCAGGCCGGGCTCCGGGGGGACCAAGTGCCAATGGGACAGACGGAAGCAAGGATGCCTTGCTCTTTAGCAACGCTGTAGCTATTGTGGGGCGGCTTCTTTGCAGCGCGACAGCAGACGGGGGCACGGGGGGTCGGAGGGAGGAAGAAGAAGAGGAAGAGGGGAGCAAAGAAGGGAAAAAAAAAGGCAACTATTTGACTACGTAGAAATTGCCTTTCAAGGAACCTTTTGCCTAACAGGCTTCTTGTTGCCTGTCAGGGCCTTTCAAGGCCTGGCAGCGCACTCTGCAATATCACACAGGGCATGTCCAGAGACCATCCCCTCCTGCGTAGGTACCTAGGACTGACTACCTTAGGTATCCCCTGTTTTTTTGTGCTCGCTCACTGTATGTAGTCGTGATGTTCCTGCCTTGATTAGCCAGTCTACGGATTATATAAAGTAGAAATGACTTCATCGCCCAGTCTGCCAACCAGTATTTTCAAGAGCACATCTACTAAATCAAATATCGATGGGTAAATCTCTATTAAGTATTACAATTAAGAAGGTAATGTTCTTGTTGATTCTTCTCGCTAGCTAGTACGGCTATCTAGGTACTTCTAACCATCCTAGCCTAATGGTGCAGTCCTAATCATGTCATGTACGCGAAGTATAAACCTGTCAAAACCGTTTTGTGTTTGTTTTTGGATTGTGGTAATCGAGCTTATGAAACTCTGGCTGTAGAAGTCTAAGCACGCCACTTATTCGTATCAATCGTTTCTGATTCTCTAATCCATCGCTGTCAGCCCGCTAGACCGAGCTGATTGCTCCACTCTCCTAATAAGTTGCGATGAATAAACGCATCCGTGGTGTATCAGGCTCTTGAGCCCAGTGAAGAAACAAATCTTTTTCACCCTCAGTGGTCTTGTGACTCGACGCACCCATGCCAACCTTTCACAGCAGCACAAATACGTCAACTTCAAGGCTGTTGACCGGTGCGGCCGCCGATCGCAGAGTCGATGCAGGCAAGCCTGAGGCTCTCGTTCACCCTTCCTTTGGTATCAGTTTCTTCTTCTCCGTTTCCAACTGGCACGCGACTTTTTAAGATTATTTCCAGGTGCTACCTTTCCAGATAATTATTGTGATAAGCTAGGGGCAAGTCTTGAATACTACTATTATTTATCTTGTAGAGCTTTTCGTGGTCGGCATCCTCCGACGCCAAGACGTGCTAAAAAGAACAATTGGTGCTGGAAATGTGCGGCTTGGCGTTGAACTCGGGAACGCTTAAAGTTGGGTGCCCACTTTTTAACCATCTGCTCGTTGTAACCACCTTCCGTCACTATAAATCAACGAAGATATATATAAAAGGGCTGTTCAAAAAGTATTATAACCAGAGTTTCAGAAATCGACAAGAGCATTACACTATTGATCGAGCCGATTTGTTATTGGACGCGTGTGGGTCGTCACAAAACCCTACTCCCTTGCCTTTCTACTTACCCCAGCTTAATGTGATTAGCTGCGTATATGGATTCATGGGGAACCTTTGTCTTTGCTGCCTCGCGCCCGCGAAAGGTCTGTGTCTACAGCCTTGTTTTATTTATAGTGAGGGGTCAGGATCCCGCGTTGCAAGATATCAGGGCTGCTGCAATAGTCAAACCTGCCAATCTCTATGTGTGCTATGGCTCCAGAGCAGGCAAATGAAGGGCTCCTTGCCAACATTACCACCCGCCTGAGTACATATCTCAGCTTGAGGCATGCCTGGCGCGAGCCAGCTAAACGTGAGTTGCTGGGCAGCGAGTCAAGGTGAATTGCCTAAAATTTGTAAGTCATCAAATCAATTCGATTCAGTTTACATCGCAAGCCTGTGGTCCAACATGCGATCCGGATATTTTGGCGTGCTAGTCTCGCCTAGCTCAGTTGGCGACAAGACATTTGCTAAGTGGTGGCTCGCAACAAGTAGGTCGCCGTTTGCTCCTCCCCGATCCCAATCGTACTGCTGGTCATATATCTGAATGCTTGAACAGGTCACAATTTTATGAGCCATGAAGAGGCCTTTGGGGTACCAGCGTTGGTTGGTAGTGCGCACGGTGTGGTGCTCGACCTTGGCGCTGGCTCGGGTAATCAGCTGCATCGTCTAGACACAAATCGGCTGACGCAGGTATATGGAATCGAGTCAAACGCTGCCTTTGTGCCAGCTCTCACAAACAAAATCCAAGAGCTGCTCTTGAGAAGCTATACACGCCTGTTGTAGCTCGTATCGAAGACGCTAAAGAGGAGCTCGCTAAACTAGGCGTTCAACCAGGTACTGTGGATTGCATACTTAGCATCCAAGTGCTATGCTCCATCCCGAATCTGAAGTCTGTTATAAAGGACCTACATTACCTCTTAAAGCCGGGTGGTGAGTTGATTTTCTGGGAACATCAGCAGAATGAGGTAGACTGGATCACTCGGGCAGTCCAAGGTAGGCACTCTCACCCTACGCTTTCCTTATTCCTGGTCGACCTCTCATACACAATATCTTCCGAGTTGACCGGCTAAGAAATTACTGAATACCTAGGCTTGTGGAATATATTTTGGACACCTGTTGTTGGTTCTTGTCGATTAAATCAGCCAATCAGAAAGACTCTTCTCGCAACGGCTGATTGGAAAATAATCGAGATAAGAGTCGACGAAGATCCGCTTGATCTGATGCCTCGCGTTTCTGGACGCCTACAGAAAAAGGCACACGCCTAGTCTGTACATATACTCAATGGTAATCTGTCGCAACAGATGTTGCTGGGGTAATGGGGAAGGACATCTGATCTCGGCCTAATTTTTCCCCAAGTCTAAAAGAGATCTTTTAATTAAAGCGGGTTCAATAGATAGAATAATATAGATTTAATTGAACTAAATCATAAAGCATCCTTGTGGTAGAACACTAGGTCATGTGTTATAGGTACTCGTAGGATTACTTGTCAGAAGAATGCCTTTAGTAGTTTATCAATTGAACCTATCCTAGAAACCTAAAAAAGGTCTCTCAAAAATATTCTATAAGTTTTTGAAGGTTCTTTTCAAATTATGATTCTATAATCTTCTTTTACTATGCTTGATTGGTTGTTATAATTTAGTGAGAGAAGGTGTCCTAATAAAAGGGGATGTGCACCAGAAGTGGGTGCCCAACGCTGCCTTAATAACGTTAACCGCTCTGTAACCGCTTGTAAGCTTCCAGATGCCTGTGCATGCCACATCCGGCGCGGCGCAAAGACGTCACCAGACTCACTCTTGCCTTTCTGCCGGCGCCTGACCAGCAACGTGGGCGTTCCTTTGTCGAGCAATTCACAGCGCTGCCGCAGACCTTGACTTACCCCCAGGCGTATCTCTTCACAGACCATTCAGGACCATGCTTGTGTTTCGGCGGATTCTGTCCTGCGCGTAACCGCTCGCGCTCCAAGTTGCGCACCCGTCGCTTCCGTAGGCGTGCGCGCACGCAACACAATGTCTTCGCATTCGTCTGCACGTCCAGACGCGCCCAAGAGCTCCTATGGGAGCTCCGTTCCGTCAAATTCAAGACCAAACACAGCCAACCAGACCCCCCAAAGGCTCCGACCGCCGAGATCGCTCCCGCGTACGTCTCGTCACCCCTTTATCTGCTTCAACAACAACTCCGTACCTGTTTGAGCCTATCAGGCTAACATTGAATAGCATGGATCGATTCCTACCACGAGAAATATGACGATGCAGCTGCCGATCAGCTTCGTGAGCTGGGGGTCCCCCCTCGCGCCGTTGCACCACAGCCCAACTCTGTGCCACAAGAGCCGCAGCGGCGAGTCTCCAGGGACGGATACATAGACATCGAGGATCTGTCACTTGGCCCAGCACAAAAGGTTCGGGGCCGTATACCACACCTTTTGCGTCATGGCAGAGCCTCTATGCGAGGTCGCAAATGGGATCACCTGCGGTCGGCAGAGCCCGTCATTGTTGCTCGCCATCACCCGTCTCCGTGGCAGCCCAAAGCGACGTGGCACGACTTCATCGCCTCGTCTACATGGGGCCGGCCGCCAAATGAGAGATCACAAGTGGTCGCGCCAGAGTTTCTGGATGACCTGTACCCAAACTTTAATCGTCAGACCGCCTTGGACTTGGACATGAGCCGCCCGCGACAAAGTCGGCGAGGACGGGCGCTGGGAGGCTACAAGCGACTATGGATGATGGCGCTCAATCATAGCCTATCTCCTCTCATATTTCGATTGATGGTTATCATCACGTCCATCATTGCCTTGGGAATCGCCGCACGCATATACAAGGTAGAAGTAGCAGCGAAAAGGAAGGGTGCCGAGAGTACACAGTCTCTCTTTGCTGTTGCAGTTGATACAGTGGCCATTCCATATTCTGCCTATATGATATGGGACGAATACACAGGCAAGCCTCTGGGGCTACGACCAGCCGTAGACAAGATGTCTCTCATCTTGCTCGACCTCTTTTTCATCATCTTCAAATCTGCAAGCACGGCGCTTGCTTTTGAAGCGCTGGTGTATCACGATATCACTCTGGGACCGATACGAAAGCTGGCAAATGCACTAGCAGCCCTGATGCTCATTGGATTGCTATCGTGGACTATGAATCTGTCGGTCAATATTTTCCGAGTAATTGAGAAATTGGGTGGCCGCGAAGACGATCATTATGCATAATTGAAGGGAGTATGATAGAGTTGGCGTTATCGGATCAAGCGGACTACCTTGGAGTATATATATTTCTTGCAATTTTGAAACGGGACATATTCTAGTTCGTGTAGATATTAGACTTGAAAAAAGAGACCAGAATTGCAAGTGTTACCAGAATAAGCGCAAGCCATCACCAAAACATAACCCAGTCTGGAGTGCAACTTAGGAGTAAGATGGGCGGTGAAGGGCGGCAAAACATCTAGTGCCATGTATCAGCGGTTTTGCAGTGGACGGAATCAGGTACCTTGCCTTGCCTACCTGCCTGCCTAAACTCACCAAGCTACCTACCTTAGGCTGCCTACCTAATCATTCTCCCTATCATTTCGTCACTCTCGCCTCTTCTTGCCCATCTGATCCATCACCATCTCTTCGTTCCTTGTCCCCATTTTGTGTTTTTGAACGATACTTTATGGGTGAGGAGTCTGTAGCTGACTTCAGCCCCTCGGTTATTCCTCTTCGCATTTCTTTCTCGCGGTTTGAGGCCCTTTCATAAAGCGCAAGCTGGTCTCACGCCCTTCCAAACCCCGTCGTCGCGTTTGCGCCGTCGCCTCCCCGCCGCTGCCCATTGTTGGCACACCACCCTCGGATCAAGCAGGAACCTGTGTCTACCAGCATCGCGAGCGGACCTACTCAGTCGTGCATTTCTGTGCCTGAGGCTGGATTTCCCCTCTTCCACCTCAAGCAGACGGGCCCCTCCGCCTACCGAGCGGTTGCTACCGACTCTCTCATCACTCAACAAGACCCCGCCAACGACCAACGCCTCGCCATCGCCATCGCCATTGCCCATCATGGCAACCAGGACAGCGATACCAAACCAGATGCCCGCGATTCCTAATAGAGAGGACATCGAAGCAACGTATGCAACTGCTCATGACTATACTTGCATGTTTTCCCTGCTAATCTCCCTTAGATGGAAGTACCTCGTGCATGGCATTAACCGCGTGATGAACGATCTGGAACAAGGCATTGATATGCAACTCTACATGGGAGTTTACACGTGAGTCTTTTGTTTCAACGTTGTTCTAGTTCTTCTGTTGACGCTATCAGGGCTGTTCACAACTTCTGTACATCGCAAAAGGCCGTCGGCCTCGGTGGTCCAGCCATGCACTCGAACCATAGAGGGGGTTTGTAACGGCCCTCGTCTTGGATTATCAAGGACGTACTCGCTAACGTGTCTTCAGCTCATCTTCTCGGCGAGGAGTTGTACAAAAAGCTCATGCACTACTTGGAAGAACATTTGAACGGCCTCTACGAAAAGTCGAAAACACACACCGATGAGGCGCTACTGGCTTATTACATCAAGGAGTGGGACCGATACACTGTTGCTGCCAAGTACATCCATCACCTGTTCCGCTATCTTAACCGTCATTGGGTTAAACGCGAGATTGATGAAGGCAAAAAGAGCATATATGATGTGTATACGCTCCATCTGGTACAATGGCGTCAGGTCTTGTTCAAAAATGTCTGGTCCAAGGTAATGGACGCCGTGCTCAAGCTTGTCGAGAAGCAACGGAATGGAGAGACGATTGAATACGGCCAGATCAAGCAAGTTGTAGATTCCTTTGTGTCTCTGGGCCTAGACGAAGCCGACCCCTCCAAGTCAACCCTCGACGTGTATAGATTCCACTTCGAAAAGCCTTTTCTAGAGGCTACCAAAGAATTCTACGAATCCGAATCGAAACAGTTCGTCGCCGAGAACAGCGTCGTGGAATACATGAAAAAGGCCGAGACGCGGTTGGCGGAGGAGGAGCAGCGTGTTGATATGTATCTGCACCACGATATTGCGGTCCCTCTTAAGAGGACTTGCAACCAAGCTTTGATTGCTGATCATGCCAATCTCTTGCGCGACGAGTTCCAGATACTTCAAGACAACGACCGCGAAGAAGACATGGCGAGAATGTACAACCTTCTCGCCCGCATTCCCAACGGTCTCGATCCTCTGCGAACCAAGTTTGAGAACCATGTGCGAAGGGCCGGATTGGCTGCCGTGCAAAAGGTTCAATCCTCAGATGGTGACAAACTCGAACCCAAGGTGTACGTCGACGCGCTGCTGGAGATTCACACTAAGTATCAGGCGCTGGTCAAGAACGCCTTCAATGACGAGCCAGAATTCACCCGATCTCTCGACAACGCCTGCCGAGAATTCGTCAACCGCAACGAAGTTTGCAAGTCGTCATCCAACAAGTCTCCCGAGCTTCTCGCAAAGTATACCGATGTTCTTCTTCGCAAGAGTAGCACCAGTATCGAGGAAGCCGAGCTCGAGCGTACTCTTACGCAGTTAATGACTGTTTTCAAATACATTGAAGACAAGGATGTCTTTCAAAAATTCTACTCTCGTATGCTGGCCAGACGTCTAGTCCACGCCAATTCATCCTCAGATGATGCCGAGACTAGCATGATTAGTAAACTCAAGGAAGCATGTGGTTTCGAGTATACCAATAAGCTACAGCGCATGTTCCAGGACATGCAAATTTCCAAGGATCTCAACAAGGAATTCCGCGAGCATCTCGCAGGCATTGATAGCCAAAAGACAATGGACTCGACATTCTCGATCTTAGGTACCGGTTTCTGGCCGTTACAAGCGCCAAGTACGCACTTCCAGCCTCCTACAGAAATCGGCAGCGAAATCGAAAAGTTCACTCGTTTTTACAAGCACAAGCATGACGGCAGGAAGCTTACCTGGCTATGGCATCTGTGCAAGGGTGAAATCAAGACAGGGTACTGCAAGAGCAGCAAGACACCTTTCACCTTTCAAGTCTCCGTCTACCAAATGGCCATACTTCTTCTCTTTAACGAAAAGGATTCCTACGTCTACGAGGATATGCTGAGCGCAACGGCACTGAGCGCCGAGGTTCTTGATCAAGCCCTCGCCGTTATTCTCAAGGCCAAGGTTCTTCTTGTGGCTGGTGGTGAGAAGCCCGGGCCCGGCAAGGTTTTCAATCTTAACTACGATTTCAAGAGCAAGAAGATTCGTGTGAATTTGAACCTCGGAGGTGTCAAGGAGGCTAAGCAGGAAGAGGCCGAGACGAACAAGACCATTGAAGAGGACAGAAAGCTTCTATTACAGGTAAGCATCATGGCTACCCGTCTGCTTATGTATGTTGCTAATTGTGTCAGTCTGCCATTGTCCGAATCATGAAGGCTCGCAAGAAGATGAAGCACTCACAACTGGTCAGCGAGACCATTAACCAAATCCGCACACGTTTCCTTCCTAAGGTTGGAGACATCAAGAAGTGTATAGAAATTCTACTGGACAAGGAATATCTCGAGCGTCTAGATGATGACGAGCTCGGTTATCTTGCATAAATGGTATTTTTATTCACGTTTCTTTCCAGGTTGAGGCAATTCGCATATAGAATGAATTTGGGCGATTGTCGCGCGGTGATATGACGCCATTCCGTAGCTGCCTTAGTATGCGCTACCTACCGGACGGACGTTGGGCTGACCGCGCGCATGGAGAGATGGACATGCCGACTGCGGGCAGAGCATCGATTGAATGGGGAATTGGAGTGCATTTTTTTTGGCCCAAGGCGGAGAAGATAACAGTTGCAACTTTCTTTTCGTTTGTTTTGGTCTCACTATTTCAGCCTTTATTATGCACGATATAAATACAGTATCGTGAGACGAGGCTAAAGAACGTGCAAAAGCGAAGGAAAGAGGGGAGAAAACCAAAGCGTTGTGCATTGATGATGGAGTTAAATTGCGTGTGCTATGCTATAAGGATCCCTCGATATTGATACTACACAGTAGCATCAATACATGCAATGAAAGAAATGAAACGTCATTCATCATGTTTACTCTGCTCATCTTCATCCTTGTAACACCAAGCCTTTGTCATCATTTTCTTCATATCCCATCCTTCGATATCCTCTCGTCTTGGAATCTCTGCTGTTACCTCGTCTTGGTGTCCGCCGCTGTCGGCGCATCGTCAGCCTTGTCTGTGCGCTCCTCCGCCTCCACCGCGCTCCCCGGCACGGGCGCCGTTCCCACGACAGGAGTCGGCGGCGTCTCGGTCGATTCCTGCGACGCATTTCTGCTGCCTACGAGCTCTTCGGTCTGAAAGCCGTCGACTTTACTGGTAGAAACGGCCGACGTCTTCTTTTCGGGAGACGGGGGGGAGGAGGCGTCCGAGGCGGCTGACGAGACCGCTGTGACTCCGAGGGCGTCATCATCCTTGTCGACCGACTCGCCCGTCAGAGGCCTGTCAAAGGAGCTGCTCGCGCGGGAGAGGATGCTCTCGCTGAAGCTCTGCTGGGTGAGGGGCCGCATTGTGGTGCTGGTGGCGCTGTCGCGGCTGCGGGTGTGGCTGGCGTCAGTGGAGGTGGTGTGGGATCCCAGCGTGCTAATCATCTGGTAGTCTTTATCAATGGGGCTGGTGGGCGTGGAGCCGTTGACGGGTTGCCTAGACTGCTGAGTTTTGCTGCTGCTGCTGCTGCTGCTGCCGCCGCCGCCACTCCGCCAGTTGGCGCCCCAGGTGCTGTTCTTGCGCTTCTCGCCGGCCCACGAGGCCCAGCTCGACATGTACGCGCCGGCCTTGTTGCCGACCGACTGCATGGTGGCCTGGGCCTTGGTCATGTCCACGGCAAAGGTCGGAGACGCTACAGACGGGGCGGTAGTGCCGGTGGTGGCCGCGGACTTGTCGCTGGACACGGAGGCGCGCGAAGCAACGGCAGCCTCGTCGGCCCGGCGGCGCTGGGATTCGCGGAGATATTCCACGTCGCTGTAGAGCTTGTTGAACATGGACGAAGCCTTTTCGCGGCCTGCGGCAAGGTTGCGACCCAGAATCTCGCGGCCCTGAGCGAGGCGCTCGTCCAGGTGCAAGTCCTTGACCTGGTCGGCGATGCGGCGCTGAACGTCGTCTATGGTGAGGCCACCGGCGCAGGGGTGTTTGGGCTCCGACACGGCAAAAAGGTTGGCGTCGGTGTGGGATTCCCAGATGCGGTAGTTTTCTGTCTTTTGCCAGGCGGCGATCCATTCTAGGCCAAAATCGACGGCGGGGTCTTCCTCGCTTGTAAATGTGCCCTTGCTGACATCGCCTTGCTGCGCGAGAAAATTGTGAAACTTGACAGAGGATATGAGGCCGAGGATATACGACTCGAATTGTGAGCGAATGTATTCCTCGCTGCCGGCGTATTGTAGGTTCTTGGGGCGGCTGGGGTTGGACTCATCCCACGTTTCATTGATCTGGTGCGTCAACAAGTCGATCCATCTGCGGTCTGCGGCCGTCAACGCTAGTGCGGCCTTTAGAGAAGGCGATGTAATATTGACGGTGCCCTCGTCGAGGTTGATGAGAATGTCGCTATATCTGTCCCTTTGCTGCAGGAGCAGCGAATTTGTGCTGCCAACCAGGTACGATTTGGTGCCAACGTCGGCGAGCAGGTCGAGTTGCTGCAGAGGAGTATACGGTCCAAAAATGGCGCCTTTACCGAATATTTGCAGCGGCAAGCCCATGAATTGCAGTAATGAGCTACGGTTGCTACTCTGCAGGCTGGTAGACGGGGCCAGCTTCTCCTCGTATGCGTTGAGCTCCGGATCGGCGCAGTCTTGTAGGTTCCGTATCAAGCCGGGTATGAACGATATGAGTGCAAACTGAACCATGCAGAGTTTGTCACATCGCGAGCCAAAGAATAACATCTGCATGTGGACTTGATCAATAGACGTTTCTCAGCGAGATATCAAGTTGTGCTTCTCTCACCTTTGGTTGCAACAGACAACACTTGAGCAGCACCAAGGTCTGCCACTTGTATTCGTGAATCAGCTCACGCAAACTCATCCCCAAATACTGATCCCTGCTACCCGTTTCTGCCAAGTCGCCGCGGGCCTTTTCGTCGGCGAGACTCTCCTGGAAGCGGCGCAGAATCTCAACGTCGGTGAACTCGCGCTGGGCGAACCAGGCGTGCGTGACCATGCCGAGCCTCTCGCGGAGGACGCCAAAAAAGTGCGGGCTGTCGGCGATGACGACGACGGCCTTCTGGACCGTAGAGCGCGTTACGTCGGCGGGGCGGTTTAGGAGGGCGGCCGAGTCGATCTGGCGGGTGCAGGAGATGCCAAAGAGCGAGCAGGCCGGCTTGTCGGCGGTGGCGGGCCGCAGAAGGGTAAAGTAAGAAAAGTCCTCCTCGGAGGCGTGCGCGCCGTCGCTGAGGGCCATGAAAGGCAGCAGGTGCCAGTTGTAGTCGGCGGCCGGGTCCGTGCCGTCGTCGACGCCGAACCACGATTCGACCTCTGGTCCGCGCGCATGATGGAAGCCGACGACAGTAACGAGGGGGATGAAGTCGCTCGCGGCGCCGCTGCTGCCACTGTGGATGCTACCCGGAGCTGGCGAGGCGGGCGTGATGGGCGAGAGGATGGCTTTGATCTCGACAGGAGCTGCGGTAGCGGCGTTTGTCGTCGTCGCGGTATCGTTTTCGTTGCCAATGGCGGCGCCACTGCTGGCCGTGGCGGTCTCGTCTGTCAGGGAGATTTCCTCAACGGCGGGAACATCTTGGTCATGCTTGGCCAGTTTGCTGCCAAAGAGCACAGCTTGGCCCTTGTCGTCGCCTGGCATGTTGTGCAGCGGCAAGCTCGCGGCGCTTCGTCTCGGTATGCGCTGGTCCCCGACGGGGGGTGTCGGGCGTCGTACTATCAACTGTGGCACGCTCGGCGGTCTATCGATCAGCCATGCGCAAGAGCGAAAATGGTCGTTTCTTCGTTCGGGCGAGTCGATGGACGAATAATATTGATGTTGTCAACAAGCAGGGTACTCGGCTAAGCCCCTTGACTCGGGCTGGTTGAATAAAAAGGCGGTTAATTTGCCGTTATGTGACACGACCAAGGTGCGCCTGGTCTTGTTCGTGGATAATGGGGCGTCTGGGAGTAATGCAGTGGATGTCTCCGCCAGAGAAGCCAAGTCTAGTTAATGCAATAAAAGAACAGAAAAAAACAGATGACTCGTGGATGAAGAGAAAATATATGCTGGGCTAGAAAGGTACAAGGCTGGTTAAAAGACGTAGTATGGTATCAGTAAACTGGCAGATGAAGGCAAGAAGGGTAGATGCATGACCCGTGGCCTGAGCTTGATGAGCGCTGGTAAAAAAAAAAAACAGAAAAAAAAGGAGCTCCAAGTGTGGCGTGAGTTGGCGCCGCCCCAATCTGCGCCGAGACAATGTCGTCACTATCAAGATTAGAGATGAATCGTGCAAGATTAATCAATGCACAGTCGAGAAAAAAGAAAGTCAAGGATTCGGGAGAAAGCGAGATAAAGTGCGTTCGCTTATTAGTAGCTGTCAGACAGTCAGAGGCATTGTCTCTGCCTATGTGCCCGCCTTTCTCTGCCCAGCCAATATGTACTTTGCTTTGAGCCCCTGATCAGCATATTTATTCACCTTAGTCCTCCCACTGCTATCTCGACCGTCGAATCGGCTGGTATCGGCGACTTGTGGCTGAGTACGGATTACATCGGGCAGCATCAGCCCTGCTCCTGGGCTTGGCTGTTTGGGTTCCTTTTCCGCACACCGGCGATGGCGTCTCTAGAATTCGATGCAGAGGATGGGGCGACGTTTCTGAATTTTCAATTCCAAGATCGCTCAAAGTTAACACCAGCTCGGTTCGGAAAATATTGAGGTGAAAAGGGCAGACAAGTTCTTACCACTGCCTCGCCAGCCGTGATGACCTCGGCGACACCATGGACCATCTATTTTCGGGAGCTCGCATGCACAGAAAATGCTTCGTTGAACCTGACAGAGGAATTCGGAACTATCCGTATGTGGGCTTGCATGATTGCGCATGATTCCAGCACAGCTCGCAGCTATTATACTGCATGGTTTGGCGAGATTGATCACGACAGAACTGCAGTACAGCCACCGTACGTGGCGACCTTCGTGCATGCATAGCATGATATTACAGGCGCCACTTCTCTACCCTCCAAGCCTGCTTTTCCGGCTTCTGACGCATTTTATCGTAATGGCTGGCTAACTTGTGAGTCGTGCCAGTGCCGTGTTCTGCACCAAGCCGGCCCTGCAAGAGACATGAAATAGCGAGATGCAAACGCACGATTGGTTGCCGCCAAGAAATTGAGACCGGCAGCCACTTTAGCAAAACGAATCATTTTCCTTTTCTCTAATATGGGTTCCTTTCGACGCTGCGCAATTGACCATGACTTTCGAGTATGATTCGTACTCCCATCACCGTATAAATGAATCTACGATTCTTCTCGAACGAGCGCACCGCAAGTTGCTCGAATCTTTCAGTTTACTCTTGCGCACCGGCCCAAGTCTTGCCGGCACATATCTACACTCAAATCCCACAACTTCACCGCGGCGCCATCCTCTTTCTTCTACGGTCTTGAGATACTACCACGCTCATTCCTGCGACCTCAGCGTCGACTATCGCATGTTCAGGGCTCCAGTCCTTGAAATCTACCGTTGAATAGGAGAGCCCAGAACACGATAGCGAGAGCCGAAAGGGAGATTGAAACGCGCATACCAATGCTCATTCGAGGGCATCACGAATTGTCATCGGGTCCCGATAACGGGCCATGGAAAGTCATATATTCAGCCCGAGTATATACAAAATCTCCAGATATTTCCTTGGATAAGTCGTAGCATCCGCTCGTCTTGTTCGATTACGCCTGGCAGAGGCCGTCGTGGACACTGGCCGGATTAGAGCTGGCGTCGCCCCAGTTCATGCCTTTTATCAGTCTACCAATCTCAGTCCCTCCGTCGGCGCGGATATAGTCACCTTGCAACACCAGAATTGTTAGCAAAACATAGTTTGGACCCCATCTAATTACACCGTGTCAGAAATCGTACCTCGCTGTGGCAGATACCACCAGTCCTGGGAGCGGAAGGCGTTATTGGTCAGTTGCGAAATAGGGTCGTTGAAGCCCTACGAGTAGCAGTCAGCATTACGATTTCTCTGCTATTGGCTTTCTGCACCGTTGAAAAAAACTCTTTCTCCGACAACGTACCGTGTTGCGCTCGTTGTGGTGATCGTGCTTGGCCCACGCAACATAGACCTTGGCGTGGTTGAGATTCTTCTGTCCGTTGGGTCCGCCTAGCTTTTCACCAGCGGTGTCGTCGCTAAAGGTATTTTGGATCTGATCCCACTCAAGAGTCTGGTAGCCGCTGTGCTGCGACAACTTGATCTCTGCCGGGCGCCACAGGCCGTCGTCGGCCTTTTTCCAGATGATAATGACGCGCTCCCAGTCGCTGCCGGTATGGATTAGCTCAGTGCCCATTTTAGCACGCGATGAACTCGTTCTAAGGCTACTTACTAGTGGTGACCGAAGATTTTGGCGGGATTGAATCTAAATGTGGCGGCGTTTGGTTAGCTCGTCGAATGTTTAAAAGATTCCGTCGGCTCTCCATGGCCGTGTAAGTTGTTGTTCTTCTCTTACCCATCCTTTTCGTAAAACAGAGAATACTGAACGCGGACGCCTGCATCGGTGCACTTTTCGTACGAATAATACACGGGGAAAGATGGCGATGGATTGCCAATGGGCACGCCGGGAGTGCGGCAGTTGCAGCCGGCATTGGGCCAGTTGCATAGTTCTGCGGGAGGCGTCTGCTGATTGTTCTTGTCCGTGGCATAGGTAGGGATGCACGGAGGATGGTTCAATGCTTGTCCGAAGAAGAACATGGGCGCCGCCTTCATCGCCAGAGAAACACCGCCCTCGTTGAGCAAGTCGTTCATGTCCGTGTCGGAGACTGGCGTGGTGTTCGCATTGGCCAGCGACAGAAGGCTGGCCGCAGCGGCGATGGTCGAAGAGACGGCAACACGCATCTTAACAGACTACTGGAGATTTCCAAGATTGAAGCAGCCGGGACTGACTTCAGGACTCGGCCCGCCGAACATGGTCGGGCGGCACCCGGCCTCTTAAATACCAGACGGTTGTCAGTATTGCAATCCCGACAATCTGCACTGACGAGCCAGTTGCCCGATGTGGACGTATAGCCGATATCATGACCGCTAAATCTCTATGCACACTAATTTTTCCACTTCTGGACGATTTGTGCAGGCGCCATGTCCGTCTTGTAGTGCTTATTACAGATTGCTTTCAAGAGCTCCAGTTGTGTTGCCACTAGCACGGCATTGAAAGCCGACGCGGACCACTCGAGTCAGGATTTAGTTTAAATTCGACGGTTGGAGGAAATACAAGCCGGGACCCGAGGCACGATTGAGATTAAAACCAGCTGTTGGAGAAATGCCAGCCAGGCTACCGTCCACGACGGTATTTGTCTGGTTAATGTGAAGTTGGCACGGATGAGACGCACATGCACCATCCAACATTGACTTTACTCGGCCTCTACATTTCACGTGGGTGCACGTGGCAAATGACACTGCAGACAATTCCATTTCTGCGCACGGCTGATTTACTAAACTATGATATTTTGCTATTTCATTCGTCGAAACACAATGTCGCTTGCCATGTTCATAAAAGTATGCCAGATGGCGGAATAAATGCGCCAGGTTTGCAGTTTTGCTCTTCAGCGCGGTTGTAGTCGCCCAGCAACTATGATTCATAAAACGGTCGTGGTCTCATTAAACATAAAAACATTTCCCAAGAGAAAAAAATAAAAAAACATTACTGGCTTGGTAGGCCTGTATCGGGTCCCGATTACGCGAATGCGCCGACAATGGACATTGCGGCAGCTATATCCACACATGTTAGCACGGACTCATGCCAAAAAAAAAAAAAAAAAAAATCCATGTACAACGAGAATCAGAAAAAAAGAAGAAAAAAACTCACCGCCGAGTAGAACAAATGCAAAGGCTGCCGCCTTTTTGCTCGTGCCCATCAGTCTCTCCGCCTCCTCAGAGAGAAAGTCTTGGGCCAAGAGATCGACCAGGGCGGCGTAGATCAAGAGACCCGAGGAAATGGCGTTGAAGACGCCGACAATGATGAGGCCGAATGCGCTGTTTGGGTCGTACGAGTTGCGGACGCCGAGGCCAATGGCCTGGCCGAGGGGCGCCGTGACGCCAAAGGCGACGACCAGGAGCCAGGGGCGGATGCTGCCGCGCGGGTACGGCACAGCGGCGATGCGGGATCCGAGGCCGAGTCCTTCAAAGGCTTGGTGGAAGACAAAGGCGATGAGGAGGATGGCGAAGCCGTCGACGGTGATGGAGAGTGTCATGCCGACAAAGACGGAATGGAAGAGAATACCACCTTCAAGGAGGGTGATGTTGGCTGACATTTTGCGGTACACAGTGGCGTCGACCTCCTGGCCGGCATCGTCAAAGTAGCGCACGTGTGTGTCGGGGTTCTTGTTGCCGCGGCCCAGAGTCTCGTTGAGGGTAGAGGACGAGTCCGAGGGGCTGCCGAGACCGCTCTCGACATCTCTGATTCCGCCGATACTCACAGTCGTGTCGTCCTTTTTCTCCTCTGAATCCGCGCTGGAGTCGGGACGCTCGTGGTGGTGGTGGTGGTCTTGCGCGAGCGTCAGGGCTTCACCGGTAGGACCGCCGTGGGAGTGGCCGCCCGTCTTGGCGTTGAGGTACATTTCAATGAGAAACAGGATGAACATGGAGCCCATCATGATGACGCCGGGCATGGGGGGGTACTTGTCTGTGAAGAGATCGGGAAGGCATGGGTTCATCAGGTTGCCAAAGGCAGTTGGGAGAAGCTTGTACGATGTTTGTGTTAGTGGCTTTTGATGGCTCTTTAGGTGGCTTTGGTAAAAAAAGGTTCTTGTGCGTACATGGACAAAAGCGGTGGCAATGAGGACTCCAGTACCAAAGTGCTTGCAAGCAAAGAAGATGGAGGGCGGGATCTTGAGAGCCTTGAATCTCTTGGCTACCACAGGAAATCCAGCGCCTACAATAGTAATCAGCAAGAGTTCCAAGTGGAAATTATTCACAGATGGGCTTACCCAGTATCGAGGAGGCAAGAATTAGAACTAAAGATGTCATCAGTGTTGTTGATCCCTTGACTGTTGGGCATGGTGAAGCTTACACAGGCCAACGACGTGAAGTGGCAGGTCATATTCAGTTGTAGAGGCATCATCACTACCACACTGAGGCTTGTCTCCGGCCATTATGAGATGTTGTATTCAAAGATGATTTGAGTAAGATGTGGTGGTGAACAGATGAGAGTTCTTTTCGAGTCGGGAATGATTTCCAGAACAACTTTCAGCGTAACGTCGACCGGGGGGGATGGGAAAGTTAATGCCAAGGGACGAGGTTTCTGAGCTGTTTGATCTGTAACCAGACTAGATCATGGGATGAATCCGAGTTTTTCTCGTGTGAGCACGGAATCAAAGAAAGAAAGAGAGGTTTATATTGTGCATAGCATGGGTTGCAATGGTCTTTTGTATATACATGGCCCGCCGTCATGGACGCAGAAAAGGCATGGACTGATCTACATGCTCCGGGCCTCGTCCCCAACACTGTATACCCAATTTTTTTTTCTAAATTATCTCATTGTTCGTGTATTGCAATCCCGTTGGAGGTCAAACCGGGGTCTGTTCCACGACATTGCATGAACAAACACAGACGACTCCAAGCTGCGGAGAATGTGGACACTTGTGGTGGTGGTGGTGGATGGTGGTCTCTCTTTGGTGAATCGCCGTCGTTTGCTGCCCACCCACCGCGGGGACCATCATAACGGGTCGTCATCGTCTCAGAGCGCACAATGAGCCGGTAATGACACACGATAACTCTTGCAAAGAAAAGAAATACGATGGTATGAGGGCATGTGTCAGTGGGAAAACTAATGCGCAGAACAAGTTCTGTGACACGGACTGTAGCGGCCGAAGCGTGGTGCGACTTGCGTTGTGGTTAGCTTCACACAACCCCGGCTGGCCTGCTGCAATGATGGGTCTAAGCGGAACGGTGTGGGTGGTGACAGATTGGGGCCCCCCTGCTCGCCCCCCCGAAAAAAAATTATATATGGACAAGCGGGCTTCTGGCGCACGACCTTTGTTGTGTGGATGGGGTTCGAAATTTGGCGCAGAATAGAGGTCATTTGTTCGATAGGAGAACGGGGGGGCTCGATCGTGGGGGCCGATAAAGAGGGCTGGCTGGCTGGTTACGGAACTACAGAGGGCTGAGCGTGCGGTCCATGTGGACTAACTACACTTGCATCATTTCTACTACACCAAAATTAAACTCATCTGTGCTACTGTTTTATTTTTAATTTTTCTTGCTTTGATAAGCTTGCCGTCATAACCGCAAACACTACAGTCAACCTGAACGGAGTTACGGAGCATAATCAGTGGTTGGGTACTGATAGGTAGGTATCCAGGAGAGTTGAGAGCATTTAGGGCTCCTTGTCGCTCCGTCGCATGCACGTCTGAAGACGACGACTAGGCTTTGTGGATTGATGACCCCGACGAGTCATAACTTATTAAAACGACGGAAATCTGTTATACTCCATTCCGAGTCTGCAACATGGTCTCTTCTTTTTTCTTTTTATATATATGGTGCAGGGATTGCAGGCAGGCAAGTAGGCAAGGCAGACACACCAGGCCTCAAGGGTCTTCTCATCCATCACTTGGCGATATTCGCCGATGGGCTTTTGCCCCCCTCCCCCCCTCCTTTCCCCCCCAAAAAAAAAGCTTCCAGGTGACAGGGACCCTTGGGTGCAACTTGCTGCGGGCGTCGCTGAACGGTGGCGCCATGCCCGGCAGTGGCTTGGAGTCCCGTGTCATGCTGCTACATGCTGCCCCAGAATTAAATGTCCGAACTCCGTACTCGATGGTAACCTTATCGCCAACTTGGTGCATTCACGAGAACACGTTGTCATGCAGCCAAGTATGTAGACTTGCCCTCCAGCCAGTCCCGCAATCTTGTTCAACTATTTTGTCCACAGTTGACTTGACTACCCGAGTAATGCGTTGCGCAGTTTTTTATTTTTCATTTTTTATTCATTTTTCTCCTTTTTTTTAAAAAAAAAAAATATCGCAGTTTTTATGGTAGTAGTGATGGCATCATCATCATACGAGCCATCATACGAGCTTTTTGAGCTGGCTCGCTCGACAGGATATAAACTACCTACTCAACTTGCTCTGACAACCCAACTTTCTCTGCATCATGGTGGAGATGGTTCTAGTTCAAAAGAGGTCGGCTGCTATCTAGGTAACTAGTCATCACATGTATCAAAAAAGCTTACTCGTGTTTTGGACCCTCGCCGATTTGCCCAAGGATTCTACTCCATGTGCGTTTCACGTACGAATAATTCATCATCGTCTGACAATTGGTCCTTTTGGTTTCCATCATCCAATGCAGCCCTATACACCATGATTTGGAAACTAGTTAGTACGGGGTCTAACATCCTTGGACAGTTTCAATAGGTAAACAAGAAATAATAGAGCATCTTGCCACTGGGCTATTGTGTGGCACTGTGGCATGCAAGTTGGAACTGCACATTGGCAAAACTGCAGCGCCAAGCGCCAAGCGGAGAGATGACAAACCCCAGAGGAACACTTGACTAGATCAATATGCAGGTAATTAATCAAGATGCAGCTAATATATCAAAGCGCACATGGAGTTAGAAGTGCATGTAATCCATAAACCTGCATGCATTTGACAGCTGCCACGCTTATTGGATGGCATGCCCACTAGCTAGCTCTTACGCGAGACGCATGCCAGGTTCTTGGCCATTTTTCCACCGCATGACCTCTTCGGCTTGCAGTCTATACCACTCCCGAATCACGTCGCCATCTACATATCCAGTGTGCGGCGTCATGAGCACCCGGCTGCGTCCGTCCCGTCCCCACGCCGTGGTTCGCCACTCGCTGTCTGCGGGCAGTGGTTCGATATCAAACACGTCGAGGGCGGCTCCGCGAATCCGTCCCTGCTTCAGCGTATCCAGCAAGTCCCTCTCCACCACGAGCGGACCGCGCGACGTGTTGACAAAGAATGACTCGGCCTTCATCTTGTGCAGATCGTCGGCCGTCACGAGCCCGCGAGAGCGCTCCGACAGCACCAGATGCACGCTGACCACGTCAGACGTGCAAAAGAGCTGCTCTCGCGAGACGCTCGCAAACGTCGGCCGTCCGTCGGCCTGCACGGCGGCGAATCCGGCCGCTCGGGCCTGCTCGTCGGCCTTTTCCTGAGTCAGGTTGGGACTCCAAGCAATCACCTGCATGCCGAGAGCGGCGTGCAGCATCTTGGCCGTGACGGCCCCGAGTCGTCCCAGACCTACCAGCCCAAGCGTCTTGCCAGACAGACTCGTGCTGAATCCCGTCTGCCAGCCGCCGGCCTTGACGGACGCATCGTCGGCGGCAATGTTCTTGGCCAGCGCCATGATCAAGGTCAGAATGTGCTCCGGCGTTGAGTCCACAATTGGCGCATCCTCGGCTGCCCGCTTCACGACGCTGGCTACCGTGATGCCTCGCTCCTTGAACGCATCGAGGTCGAGAGCCAGATTGCGCTGGCCATTGGTGAGAAGAAGCTTCAGCCTTGGCAGGCGCCTGACCAGCTCGGCGGGAAACGGAGTCCGTTCTCGAGTGGTGTCTGTTTTTTTTGTTTTTACGTACGTAAAATTAGTAAGAAATCTTGCCTCGTTATACCCGGCTTTAACCCTGGCCTATAATGAGACCTTTGGGGTATCGCTATCTGAAACGGATAGGCAAGAAAAAAAAAAAAAACAAAAAAACGGATAGGCAAGAAACGGATAGGCAAAAGTTCCCGGCACTTGTACATACTGATGATTTCAAATGGCTCCAGCCGCTTCACCAAGGCATCTCGAACGCTTTGTGGGGTTGCGGGATGATTGTACGGCAGCAAGGTATCCTTGAAATAGCTGACTTGGAATTCTTCGCCCAGGGCTCCAAAGTAGTCTTTGGCTACACCCTGATAGTCATCTAGAACAGCTATTTTAAGAACCATGGTGAGTCTGGGTTTTGCGACTTGTTTGCAGAGTTGAAAATCAGCCCCGCAGCGTGAGCAATGACAGGACGAGTCAATTAGTCAACCTCGACATTGATGGCGCTAACGATTGCTTTGCAACGTTTGACTGTGGATTTGTATTTTAGTTACGTTTTGTCTTATCTGATTCTTTCATCTGCCTGCCCCATTCCTTTTGTCTTGCATTTGCTCTCCATCTGTCTCGTTCCCTTTCCTCGACACCTTCTCTTCATCTCCTCTCACGCCATCCTGGCATCTATTCCATCATATCGGTCAATCCCAAATTTCCTCGTACATATCAAGCTTTTACTTCTCTTTAGCCTTTTCGCATGTCTTTAAACTTTTCACGTTTTCGTCAAAGCCGTTCGTTCTGTGCTCGCAACAACAATCATGTTATACTGTCGTTTATCCAGTAAATTAGATGATACAGAATTATGTTATGATACAACGAACACGAGACGCATCAGTAAGTCGCATCCTATTAGCACCATGTAGCTGATTTTTGTCGTTAAATCTTGGGCATACGCGAAGCGCCGTCCAGTCGGATGACCTCGCCATTGAGCATCTCATTCTCAATAATCTGGCGAACAAGAGATGCAAATTCGGGTGCGCGACCTGATCTCGTGGGAAATACAAAAGTATTCTCGAGGTTCTTGCGGACCTTGTCCGGCATGGCACTCGTCATTCCCGTCTCAAAGAGACTGGGGGCAATGGTCATGGCACGGATGCCATAACGACCCAAATCTCTGGCCATGGGAAGAGTCAGCGATCTAATGGCGCCCTTGGAGGCAGAGTACGAGACTTGGCCGTTTTGGCCGTCAAAAGCAGCCGAAGAGGCAACCATGATGATGATGCCATGATCGCTGTCCGGGGACTCGCGCTTGGTCTTGACCATGGCTGCGCAGGTCTGACGGGCGAGGTCAATGGTGCCACGCAAGTTGACTCCAACGACGAAATCAAAATCGTCGATGCTAAAGGGTTCGCCATGGCGGTTGACAATCTCATACACGGTTAGTGGTCTTCTTTTCGTTACACTCATGTGAAAATCAAGGGTAGAATGCATACAGGGGCAGGAAGAGCAACACCGGCAGCAGTGATGGCACCTCCTATGGTCTTGCCAGATTGCTTAGCCCATTCCGCGGTGCCCTGGACAGCTTTTGCGATGCTCTCGCTCTCGAGGACATCGCAGACAAAGAATCGCGCAGCGGATCCGAGTGTCTTGATGAATTCCTGACCGTTTTCCTCATTTTGGTCAAGCACAGCGACATGGCCACCCTGGGCAACAATGTCTTCACAACATGCGCGGCCTAATCCCGAGGCGCTGTTGTGATTATCATCAGCATGTGGTGCGGGGAGAAAGAAGCAAACGTAGAGTCGCGATTGTAGTCTTACCCGCCGGAAACCAGAAAGGTGTGATTCGAAATCTTCATGACGTTATTGCCTGATTGCAGGCGGCAGGCAAGGTTGGCGCGAAAAAAAAAAAAGGTCAGATGAGCCGTTGTAGTGATTGAGGTGTCAGAATCGCCTTTGACCTGTGAAGCCCGCATATAGCTCAAGATGCCTCGGTAGCCGGCGGAGACGCTAGCTGGCGGAGCACCGCTGGCGGGCCCGACCAATCTGGGGCATGCATGATACGGCGAAATGGTACGGAAGAGATTGGTACAACAAATTGGAAAGACTGAGAGAGGACGATTATAGAAGCCTTCCGAGATTGATAATCAAGGTGATGATTTCTGTGCAGATTATCTTCCCCGAAGGTCTCCCATATGGTATGGAGAGACCATCGCGCGGCACAATATAACATGATGAGAGGTATTATCTGTGGTCAGTCGAAACCCCCCCGCAATCAAGAAAGGGTCGACGAGATGCGGCAGATGCAACAATGCAAAGAGCGACCTCTTCGATTCATCTGGAATCGCATTTAGTCGTTGTTTCAACAATTTCATCCTCAAACTCGGTATAATAAATTACTTTGGTTTCAGAATCGTTCCAAAACAGCTGGCTATAGGTGACGCTTTGTATACGTAGGTGGTGATTATGTAAGGGCGCCTATCTATGCAGTCACCTGCCCAACTAGCAACGCCAAGCCAAGACGCTCCAGCGCCCGTGGTTTGATAAAGGGTACCTCCGTAGTGGTCGCGCCATCAACTACTCGCCATTGTACACCGCCGCCCCGCGTCGCCGCTCATGTTATGCCTTCAACAGACTTCCATGCGGCATAGTTGATCGATTTCATCATCATGACACGACCCAGAGGCTCCTCAGCGGGCAGCGAGGAGAGTGCTGGAGCAGCCAGGGAGCAGGTAAGGGGCCATTCGGCGCGAGCTCGCTTGAGCTCGCTTCCAGTAAATAGCTGACACGGCAGAGTAGGAACTGGGAAGCATGTACGACTATCTGGCCAAGATTATCCTCCTGGGGCCAAGCGGGTCGGGAAAGTAAGATGCTGCTGCAAACACTCCAAATGCGGTTCATAAGGGTAGTGCTAACAAGTCTAGGTCTTGTCTACTACATCGGTTCGTAAAGAATGAGTGGCGAGTATTGTCGTCGCAAACTATAGGCGTGGAATTTGCGAGCAAGATTATCAAAGTCGGCACCGGCGCCAGGCGCAAAAGAATAAAGCTACAGGTACGACAAGACCAAACACGACTGTTGCCTAAAACGTGCTGACGCGACTGACATGGGCAGCTCTGGGATACAGCTGGCACAGAACGATTTCGATCTGTTTCTCGATCCTACTACCGAGGTGCCGCGGGCGCCATCCTCGTTTACGACATAACATCACATGCTTCTTTCCGCGGACTACAACCTTTTCTCAACGACGCGCGAGCTTTGGCGTCGCCGAACTTGAGTTTGCTACTTGTCGGTAACAAGCTCGACCTCGCCAACGAATCTCTCGTCGACACGTCCATGCCACCACCCACGCCAAGCAGCGTGAGCTCTAATTCGACAATCACGGCGGGCGGCTTCGCAAGCTCATACTCGACGACAAACACGCAAACGACAACGAGAGGCAAAGACTATTCCGGGTCTTTGAACGCCAGCTCTGTGCAAAAAGCCACATGCGCACCGGAAGGCCGTGAGATTTCGAGCTCGGAAGCCACGAGATGGGCTAGCACACAAGGCATTTCTGTGGTGACAGAGGCCAGTGCTTTGAACGGAGAAGGGGTCGACGAGATTTTTGCCAGGCTGGCTCGCATCATCCTGACCAAGATTGAGCTTGGCGATATCAATCCGGACGACCCAATGAGCGGTATCCAATACGGCGATGGCGGCGCTTGGAACAACGCAAGTGATGGCGGCAGCATCAAGAGCACCATGACGGGTGCCACTGTTGATGACGGCGGTCTTCCCGGGCTTCGTAGGAGACGCAAGGGCAAGAATCGCAATCAGAATTGGGGCGGACTACGTGAATGGGAAGAAGTCTTTACTTTAAGCAGCAGACGACGAGGAGGCAACTGTTGCTAAGCAGTGCCACGGGCAGCAAGGGCATGTTTTGTAGAATGTGGGCAACGGCTTGATGGTGGACTTTTGCTATTCTACTGCATCCTGGGCTCCTTGTCACAAGAGAGTTCAGTCGATGATGCACGCATCGGCTTTTGGTCAGCATGGAGTTTTCGGAGTACAGTGATTTCATGTGTTGCTTTGGTTTCAGTTTGTGAGGCTTTACAGGAGGGATATCTTCTTCTTGACTCTGTAGGTACTTGCAGCCATGTTTATAGTGCATCGACCAGTCAATAATGAAGCATTTCGTTTGTCTTGATCAAGCTGCAGTCAAGCCTCTTGCGCGCACCGTCTGATGAATACTGCCAACGCTTATTCTGCACTCCACACACACTTGAGAGGCACTTTAGTGGACTGCTGTTTGTGCAGATAATACGACATTTTTATAGTGTCAGTTCCTCCCCCAGAGTTCCAAACAGCAGTGGTGATTTGCTCTATAACCGCGGACCCACTATAGCGATGTGCGAGCCCCATTCCAACTGGGGAGCTATTTAGTGGCCTCTCCAGCTCGGCCTCATGTAATACCGTCTTGACCTTTTCAATCACAGAATAAGGCCATGGCTGAGCCTGGCCAGCGTATTATAGCCCTTTAACATATTACTACAAGACCCAGTTGCAACGCTGCGGCGTTGACTGGGCTATGTTGTCCCTGGTACCTCTAGCGCTTCTCGCACCTACAAGCTACCTGCAAGCTACCTGCACGCAACCTCCTGCCCCTCTAAACCGACCCGACGGTTCGATGTCCCCGCCTACCCGTCGATAGTAAGAGACAGCTTGTCCCCTTCAAGTCGAGGTCGCCTGTCAGCTTTCTATTCTTTCAGCAACCTATGGCCTATTCAACAACCTCGCCTTGATATTCGTCCAGCGTCGTCATCTCAAGAGCGCTGCCCAGCCTAGCCTCGTACGTCTCAGCCGTTTTGCTGGCGATGCCCTTGCCATCATGGCCCCACGTACCGTCATCCCGATCGACAAGAACTGGCAGTTCAAGCAGGTCGATAAGCAAGGCGGCGACGGGTATCGCGCCGTGTCCCAGTTCCCGACCAACGTCCATCTGGATCTCATGCATCACAACCTCATCCCGGATCCCTTCATTGGCAAGAATGAAAACGACGTCCAGTGGGTCGGCGAGGCGCAGTGGGCGTATAAGACGACATTTGCCAGCCCAGAGGTCAGCACTGGCGCCAAGGCCATCCTAGCATTCGACGGTCTAGACACTTTTGCGACGGTGAATTTAAATGGCAGAGTCATTCTCGAGACCGACAGCATGTTTATTCCGGAACGTGTCGACGTTACAGCTCACCTGTCCCACGCCCGCGACAACGAGCTCGTCATTACCTTTGACAGTGCCTATCTGCGTGGCTGCAAAAGGGTCGAGCAGCACCCCAAACACGTCTGGAGCTTGTGGAATGGAGACAGCTCTCGTTTGGCAGTCAGAAAAGCTCAATATCACTGGGTATGTTTTCAGCTCGAGTTCATGTAAGGCCTCGGTGCTAACGTATTGATTGAGGGCTGGGATTGGGGCCCTACTCTTCTCACCTGTGGTCCCTGGAGACCTGTAAATCTCGAGGTTTACCAGTCTAGGCTGACTGATCTATATACAAGCATTGAAGTTGATGAATCTCTCAAACGTGCCAAGGTCATCGCGCATGCAGCAACAGAGGGGGATGGCGCGACGCATGTCCGCGTTGATGTGTCACTCGACGGCAAAGATGTTGCTTCTGAAACAATTCCCTCTACTGATATTGCATCGGTCACTTTTCACATCAGTAACCCCGAACTATGGTATCCTATTCGTTATGGCAAGCAGCCACTCTACACCATCAAGGCCACATTGCTTGCCGATGGCAATGCGATTGATACCGTGTCCAAAAAGATTGGTCTGCGCCGTGCTCGTCTTGTCCAGCATGAACTCAAAGACAAACCTGGCACCAGCTTCTTCTTTGAAATCAATAATATTGCAATTTTCTGTGGAGGCAGCAATTGGATCCCTGCCGACAACTTTATTCCTCGCATTTCACCCAAGAGGTATCGCGACTGGGTCAAACTAGTCGCCGATGGCAATCAATTCATGATTCGCGTTTGGGGCGGTGGTCTCTACGAAGATGCAGCATTTTACGACGCCTGCGATGAGCTAGGTGTACTTGTTTGGCACGACTTTATGTTTGGCTGCGGTAATTACCCCGTCTGGCCAGAGCTCTTGGAATCCATTGATCGGGAAGCCAGAGTCAACGTTACCAGGCTACGTCATCACCCTTCCATTGTCATATGGGCGGGTAACAATGAGGACTACCAACTCGCCGAGCAGGAAAAGCTCGAGTACGATCCCAAAGATATGAATCAAGACAATTGGCTCAAGTCAAACTTTCCGGCCCGTTATATCTACGAGAAAGTACTTGCAGACGTGTGCAAGGATCTTATCCCAGATGTGCCCTACCACTACGGCAGTCCTTGGGGTGGCAAGGACACCACTGATCCCACGGTTGGGGATATTCACCAATGGAATGTGTGGCATGGTTCACAGGAAAAATACCAAAATTTTGACAAGCTGGTTGGCCGCTTCGTTTCAGAGTTTGGCATGGAAGCATTCCCATCCGTCAAAACCATTGACGCCTACTTGCCACAGGGCAAGAATGATCCGGATCGCTACCCTCAGTCATCCACCATTGACTTTCACAACAAGGCCGCTGGCCATGAGCGTAGGCTGGCCCTTTATCTGGTAGAGAATATGCGATATGGCCCGGATCCCCTCGAGCAATACGTGTACTCCACTCAGCTCATGCAGGCGGAATGTCTGGCCTCTGCGTATCGTTTGTGGAAGCGCGAGTGGAAAGGTCCCGGTCGCGAATACTGTGGTGGCGCCCTGGTCTGGCAGATCAACGATTGCTGGCCGGTTACCTCGTGGTCCATCTGCGATTACCATCTCCGCCCCAAACACGCCTACTACACGGTCAAGAGAGAGATGGCCCCCATATCTATTGGCATGACCCGGCGTGAGCATCGTCATGCAAAGGACAAATATACACGAGTTCACATTGACACCAAGATTGAGATTGAGATTTGGGGCTCCAACCTAATGCTGGAAGACTTGACTGTCGACTGCGTGGTCAAGGCTTGGGATGTCGAGACTGGTGAGGAGACTTTTTCAAAGGCCGTCGCCAAAGCCATGGTGCTCCCCTCGAATCGCTCCACCGAAATCTACGCAATGGAGGTTCCCGTCAGCAAGCGAAACGCTGGTCTTGAGAGCCGCACAGTCGTGGCGTCGTACCTGGTCCGGGATGGCAAACAGGTTGCCCGCTACGTCAACTGGCCCGAGCCCCTCAAGTATCTGCACCTGCAAAAGCCCAAGCATCTCACGGCAGAGCTCTCGTCGGATGGCACGTCTGTCGCGCTCAAGGCCGAGGTGCCGGTCAAGGGCGTCGCGGTGGAATGTGAAGAGGACGGCGTCACGTTTGACGACAACCTGGTCGACATTGTACCTGGCGAGGTTGTCCACATTGGCGTCAATGGCGCATCACAAAGCACACTTATCACTACTCGTTACCTAAACATGTTGAGCTAGGTTATCAAAGACGAATAAATTATAAGATGGACATTGCATAACACAAAGTCATCTACATGGTCAAATTGCAAGCCTAACAGTGGATGCTTTATTGAAATGTTCTAGATGAGCATTGTGAATGATCAAGTTACACTGATTTTTTCTTTTACTTTCCGATATCAAGCAGTATGACTTGGGCTTGATCATGTACACTCCGACTCTGGCAAAGCAATCTCAACGTGTGACTACATCAGGTTAGCACCATCATCATGCTTCCGCGACTTTTACAACGTCGCCTTGCTGCGTGACAGTGAGCTTCTTCTTCGCAATCGATACTTTGACTGGATTTTTGGCTGCAAAAATCTCGTCCAATTCTTCGAGCTGCACTGTAGTTTAGTGTACTGGAGTTGACTAGCAAAGCGGGATTGCGAGTACGGGGAGAGGTGCGTGCTTACCGTTCGGCCCTTGGTTTCGGGCAAGACAAAATATACCCAGACGGTCATGATGGCGTCCCAAATGATAAAGATGATGTATGTGCGCCATCCAATCTTGGCCATGCTCACTGGCCAGGCAAACTGGTTGAGAAGGCTGGCCGCGTTGACGGCAAGATTGCCAAAGGCCATACCTTTGGCGCGTTGCTCAAAGGACAGCACCTCGACAATGTAAAGCCCTTGGAGAGGTGTGACGCCTATGGAAAAGACGGCGCCAAAAAGAAAGATCATGGCGAGGCATGCGCGGGACGCATTCGCGTCCGTGTAGATGGGGACGCCGTTGGCCGTCTCGCCGGCATAGGAAGCGGCGAACCGCGACGAGGCAATCGTCATGCCGAGCCATACGACAGTGCAGGCCGAAAAGGAAAAGAGGAGAAGTGGCCGACGGCCGACGCGGTCCACAAGCACGGCGCCGCAGCAGGCGCACACAAACTGTATGACATTGTTGATGAGGGTAATGTTGCTCTGCTGGATGGGCTCCGTGTAGCCGGCATTGTAGAGGACGGAGCCGAGAAAGTAGCTGAGGACGGCGTTGCCGAGCCACTGGGCGAGCGCGGCGACGGAGATGCTACAGACGAGGCGGTACGCGGCGGGGCGGTCGCGGAAGAGAGCGCTGTAGTCGTACCAGCGCTTGTCGGCGCCGTCGAGCCGCAGCGCCGCCTCGTACTCGCGCATCTGCAGGGCGGGCCACACAGACGCCTCGTCGCCGACGCCGTGGTAGCGGACAAGAAAAGAGCGGGCTTTGTCCGGCGCTCCGTGGACGTACAGCCAGCGCGGGGACTCGGGCAGCAGCGGGCACAGGACCAGGACGACGCCGGCGAAGAGGCACTGCAGCCAGGTGATGAGGCGCCAGGAAAAGGCGGCGGAGACGGCGAGGCTGCCGCGGGCGGCACCAGCGGCGAGAATGGCACCGGCGAGCCATAGGCAGTTGTAGATGGCGCCAACAACGCCGCGATATGCCGGGTGGTTGATCTCGACGACGTACATGGGGCCGGCTGACGCGGCGAGGCCGACGCCGAAGCCAAGCAGGAAGCGACCGCCCATGAACTGGCCGAGACCGTCGCGGTGCGGGGACGAGGTGGAGGTGCCCTGGACGACGGTGCCGATGATGACGAGGGCGGCACCGAGGGCCATGCCGGCGCGGCGGCCGAAGCGGTCGATGACGGGGCCGACGAGGGGCAGTACGGCGACGCCGCCAATCTGGTACATGGCGGCGACGATGCCCGCGCCGAGACCGTCGCGGCCCACGTCGTGCGTCGCCTGAAAGTCGTGGTTCTGCAGCAGGTTGTTGATGAGCGAGGCGTCATAGCCGTTCATGGTTGAGCACAGAAAGCCGACGACGGAGAAGAGGTAGACCATGACCATGCGCGGCGCCCACGGCCGCGGCGGCTCCTTGAGGAGCGCCTCGTGAAAGGCCTCGCTGCCGGAGACGACCTTTTCCTGGATCGGCGCCTGCGGGGACAACTTTTTTGTCAGTACGGACTGGTCAAAAGGTTGCGGGCTGGGGGTCAATAAACCTTTTCGGCATCTTGGCGCGCTTCTTCGGGCGTGGTCGGCCTCAGGACCACCTCTTCCACCTCGTTGCCGCCCATGGTGAGAGAGTCGTTGTATCTGACAAGGTGAAACCAGAGACCCCAAATCCTTCTTCCTAGGTCGAGGCCATCGCAGTCATTCGCATCAAGACACAGCGGAGGCGGGCCGGCGGCTCCATTAAATACTCGGAAGCAGCAAGCGTAGGATTTGTACCCCTCCCGCTTCCCACTTTGCTCGTGAAATAAATAAAGAGGCAAACGGTCTTTGGAGCTGCGTTGGGGGAAAGCTGACGTTGCAGAACCACCAATCCACTGCTGGAGCCAGAAGTATTTTTCTCCCGCGCCCAGCGGTAACAGGGGAGGGGGGCCCTTGGCGTATCTTATATTAAGCTAACCACCGCTTTTCCAATCGCAACGTCTGATGTCGATCTGTCTCTCTTTCTTCGGCGGTCGATTGCGGTTCAATTTCAAGAGACGATGCCGTGTATAACTAGTCAATTTGCCGTGCTGGACATTGACGGTGCAATCCGGGCTCCCCCTCCCCCCACAGTGCATTGGGTTGGCTGTATAGTCAGTGTAGACTAACTGGCTCAAGACATGTGAACCAGGCTGCACAATCCTTGGTCATGATCAATAATCGAGCGGCTCCTTTTTCGATAGCGTCTGGGGTTGCAGATTCATTAGTCTGGTTCTTCAGCAGCGGATCCGCCAACCAACCTTGGGAACCAGGGCTGGGCTGGTGTTAGTTCTTTGCACTCTGGAGAGTGTCTTAAGGAACGTGACACTCGAAATGGCTGCCCGTCCAGTGCAGATAATCTTACCAAGCATCACAGCTCGACACATTCGAAACCTCGGCGGGAGCAAGCCCTCGTGTGGCAATCGTACACACCAGTTGGCAGTTATCCCAGGACGCTACTTGAGGGCGCGATGCTACATGCCCATGGCGAATGAGCATTTAGCACCTACGCAGAGGGAGGTGGTCATGATGGAACTGATCTGATATTTTCTTACAGAGCGCAGCTTTTCAGCGCCATCGAGCTACCCACGGTGCCAAATGGGCTTCTGGCCACAATTAGGGTACTCGCGCATCGCTGCAACGGCGCTCGCGAAAAGCAGCTTTGGTGTCATCGAGTTCGGCAGAACCTTAATAGTCGCAAGCCCTGACCAGCCAAAAGCCAGCGTTCACTGGCCTACGAGAAGCCGAGATGAAAATTAACCGCCGTTACGAGATTCCTGCACTTGGTGGCACTTTGAGGCGTTATAAGCCCACCACGCCATTTCGGTACATCGCATCTACCCCAGCTTCGGGTGCCGTCTCCGGAGACTTATATTGCCGAACAAGGGCACCCTCATGGGCGTCTCGAATTCCAGCCGGCCTAGCACCTCGGAAAGACTCGAGTTTGCGCAGCAAACGCCATGGCTCTTGAAACCGTCTGCGAGCATATGCCCTTCACCATGTATCAAAGCTAGCTCAGGCATGCTGGGCACAAAGGTCGTACAGAAACTGATAGCTCCAACGAAACCATGCATGCCATCATTGGAAAATTTTGGTTGGCGTGTCATGCGGGAGTTCCGGTCGCCACCGGTAGCACACGTTCATGCGCGGGCAGTTGCACAATCAGCTACTTTATAGCGAGGAGGCATCACGCGATGGATAGAAAAATGTCGGAGCTCCTGGAGCCACGCCCGTGTAGGTGTGCGAACAAGTCGAAAAAGACGGGACGCGGACAGGCGTGGACTATGATGGCCCTTTTCATCTTGCAACAAATGTTTCAATCACCAGCGAGCCAGAGACCTGGCCCCGTAGATGGGACCAGCGCTCTTGGTCCGCCGCCCTGCATCGCCAGCCTACTCCCGTCTGCAGATACAAAACGTATCGCCGAGGGGAGATTCTGTTCCCCGCGCTCGCTCCCTCCAAAGAAGGTGCTAGGCGTTGTCGAGAGACTCGTGGGGGGTGGTCGAGTGGCCGTACAGGAGCTTCGCTGCGTTTTGTTTGTTTTCGTGCCCGTTGGAGGGGGTGGTCGCATGTCACGATTGGCACAGGCAAGAAAGGCGAACAGAATTGGAGAAGAAAAGGAGTACCGCGGTACCACCAGCAGTCTTACCTTTTCGGTCAGAGCCTTTGATAAATCATACATGATAGGCATCATAAACGGCTTCGCATCTTGCGTAGAGCGTGGAGCATCGTACCCCAGAGATATGATGCTGTATTTATTATGGTTGAAAGGTTGAAGAGAGAAAAAAACTTTGGCGTCAAAGTGAAGAGAAGTGCAGGTACCCACCCACTACGCCACTCCACCAAAGCTCCCTTGCCAGTGGTCCACACCAACCGAGCCAGCTTCAAGCAAGATACGGGCAGTCTTGTTCTTTCGAATACATGAATGTTGAATGTGATACGATCTTGTCTTTTCGATTGCCTAGTTAGAAGCATAGGTCCATCACTGCCCTGCGTAGTACTGTCCAGCATAATTACGTCGAGGCAATGACAGACTGAAATTGATACCAGTGCAGATACTTCACCCAGTTGGGTATTACATGAAAATTGTTGCCTTGTCACACAAATCAAATAGCTCCCGCCCGCGCAGCTTCTCCTGCATTTTCATACACCAGCTCTTCCATCTTCCTCTTGGCCTTGCCCAGGCTATCCTCGCCGACTCCCATTCTGCGCGCAACATATCTCTGGGCAACAATACCAATCGACAGAGAGAGCGTCTCTTCGATCCATTCAGCAACCCATTCCCGTGGATCAACAGCCCCGCTTTCAATAATATCTTGAATTTCCGCCGGAATCGACGAATCAACAGGTGCCTGCTCGTCGTCTCCCGACTTGGGCGTGAGAGGAGTGTTGGTGTCCAGCCAGCGTGTCCACTTTGCAGGAATGCCCTGACTCACGGTGGCGTATTCAATTTGATGGACCGGATCGAGAATAAAAATTGCAAAGGAAATGCGGCCGTCATCTTCGTCCTTGTCGGCCTTGTCCTCTTTGTCCTTTTCGGCGGATGCCGTCCGAGCAAACAGCGTGCCGTCGTCGTCCGTCTCGATAGCTTGTATGGCCAGGAATAGATCTGAAGTACGCACGGGGTTACTCTCACTCGAGTCTTCGGTAGCCCTGGCCTTGGCTTGCTCTACGCCTCCGTTGGCGGAAAAGTACTCTTCAGCGTAGCTCTCGGCGTTGGCTCGACAGAGCTTGGTGCCCTCCGTCAAGCCCTTGATCAGACCAAGCTCGCGGACAGATTCAGACTGGCGCCACCAGGGGCCATCTCGCCAGCCAGCATTGCTCTCGCGGGCTCGGCGAGAACCGCTCTCCTGGCCACGCTGGACGACCAGCAGGTCGCCACCCTCGACTTGCGACATGACGCGTGAGAAGACAGCATGAATGAGAGGGTCCATTGACGGATATCCAACGAAATCGTGTGTGATGTGAATAAGAAGGCGCTCGTGCGAACTAATTGGCGGGGCGATAGTGTTGAGGATGTTGTTAAAGGTTGGCAAGGCGCGATGACGCAAATCGTCACCTAGCATACTGTAATTAGGGACAAGGCTCGCATTCATGAATATATGAGTCCGGTAGACAGCTTACCATAGTGGCGAAGGGCGCCGATATCCAGACCCTTGAAGCCCCTTACCTGCTCAGCCCATTTCTTCGCGTCTTCGTTCTGCTGAACTTCCTTGTAAGCGGCCTCGGCCTGTTTCATGGCAGCGCTGGCTGTAGATAGAATACCACCCCACCAGCCGCCACCAGTTGCTGCGGGCTGCTGCTCCGTGACCGTCTTCTTCTCGGCATCCTGAAGCTCGGAGCTCGTAGCACTGGGCGTGAAGCTGGCACGCGCGCTAGCACTTCGGGCGCTGTCAGTCGACTTGCGCTTATCTTCGCCGGCTGGTACCCCGGGTGCCGGCCGCTTGCCAGCTCCTCCGAGGCGAGGCGTGTGTGGACGGGAGGTGGGCGGCTCGGAAGCGAGCTGCGACTCGAGATCGGCCAGGATGTCTTTGTCGCCGGCGGCCTTGGCAGCACCGGGTTTGGAGCTCTTGGGGCCCGTCTTTCCAGTCTTGGCATCGCCTCGGATGCTGGAGAAGAGCTCGTCGATGTTGTCGTCGGCAGCGGGAGCTTTGGTCTTTTTTGACGCCATTGTGGTGAGATGGATGATGAGTTGAAGCAAGTCTGTGGTATGACGTTGGGGGTCGATTGGAAGATGGGGACATGGCGTCGGCGAATACAGTAGGGTGCAGTTGTTGTGGGGTGACGAGTGTTGGGGCTACTAGCGGGCAGCTGCCGCGCTGAATGGTCGTCTGGTGCTACAGTGGGTCCAAGGTAATCCAACTGGGAGCATATCATCACCAAATCTCCATGCATTGCTGTTCAAAATGATCTGGAAGAACTGTAATAACAGCGGATGGCTGGCGAAAGAAAGGACGGACGGGGCTTCCAGCACCTGGGCACACTGGGGTGATGTTTGAAGCGCTGTAAGTCGACTATGAGCTATAGTGCCACTGAAGGTAGGGAATGGTGGGTATTAGGAGCGCCACCGAATGCTAAGTTTGCGTAATCAGTGAGAGAAAACATGGAAATAGAAGCTAGTTTCAAACTTTTACTGGTCTTTTTCCTATTGGCAGTTGATTTACGTCGATGATATACGACACCATAGCCTGAAGCAACGTACGCACTATAAGTCACACGGCACGAGCCAGTTTGGTAGGCAGTTAATTGATGTACTACAGCACGCAGAAAATATGCAGGATCTTAACATAGATAAAATACAATGAGTACATTACTAGCTGCTTAATTAGGTGAACAAAAAAAACACGCCGCTGTGACAAAGACTGTAAACTGCTTCGGCCTACCTATTTAAACTCTTGACAGGAGGCGGCCTAAAAGAGACTAGCAGGATTCGCTGGAAGCGGCAATCTAATTGGGCAGCTTCCAGATATGGTGCAGCATAAGGTAGTGTACCACCTAGCAGCAGGAGCCTGACGGAGAGCCTGGGGGGATGAGGCTACCGAGACCTCTTTTCTCTTTCTCTTTTCTTTTTCTCTTTTCTTTTTCTTGTTCAGTTACACGCAATGTAGCCAGCCGCTACTTCTAGGTTGTGGCCAGTCAAATCTTTCCGTCTTTGCCAGTGTAACGAGAGTGGCTGGTGCAAAATAAATACGGTAATACATCCGCTGTGTCGCTGTCCTGAGTTCCATTTTCGGGTGGTTGGCACACCAATTTGTGGATGCCATGAGCACCCCGTTGCCGGAGTTTGTCCACAGGTACCTACAGTTGTCACTTATTATTTACACCTCGCTAAGCGCCTATAGAATGCAACTGTCAGGAAGCATAGATATGCCATGAGAGAAATATGTAGAAAATCAGTATAGGTAGCCTAACATAATCTAGTAAAGTAATTTTTCTTCTACTTTTTTTGAATCCGGAGCCTCGATGGCGCAGCAAAAGTGTAGCGTGGTAGCTTAGAAGACTATAACTACTCTGAGGCACTGCAGGGTGAAATCTGGATATTTGCACTGCTTCGTTGGCGAGCCTCGTGAGGTTGGCTGCCGAAATTCAGTTGCCATTCGTGAGATCTGGAACAGCAAGAATAAAAAGTTGGAAAGGTGAAAGCACAACCGTCAAAAGATGGGCCGACGGGTTACCTAGGTAATTCTACGTTTACTCAAGCATCCCTATAAGATACCTAGGTGTAGGCGCTCCGTGTATGAAGAGATAGACATGGAATGTCGCTTGCCTAGGCTGTATTTAGTGTCTGCCGTTCTAGTCATGTACTTGAAATTTTTAGGGCCGCCAGTTAGGGCCTGTTGTGGTCACCTCGCAGGGCTGCCTCGGGCTGGATTCGAACCAGCGACGCCCCCCAGGCCTTCCATAGGTACCTTAGGTAGTAGGTAGGTACCCTAGCTCATGACCAATGAGCCACGGAGGCAGCACCTTTTGCTAACTCCCAGATGGTCGATGGGTCGTGGCGGTACGTACTCAAACAAGTGGGCCCCGGGAACCTTGGCTTATTCCAACCACGACACCTCGAGCAAAAACGATTGCCCAGGAGAACGAGTACAGAGCGCGCAGAGACACATCCCAAAGTCTTTGCCATCCGCCTCTTGCATCTTCCTTGCACTCGTCAGGCCCTTTTCCCATTATCGCTCTATATTCTCATGCTGGTTTTAAATACCGCCCATTCTTGTTTTCCCCCCAGTCCTTGACTGGCAATCTCGTCACGTTCTCACTTGCTGGCTCATACAAGCAAAAGCCCACACAACTGGCCGCCACCAGCCGTCACGCTTTTTGCGCCCCCAATCTCTTTACACCTTTGCTGCCACTATATGAACGTCGCTTCCTCCCCTCTTGTCTGTTTTCTTGTTGAATGATACCCTGCTCATCCCTGCCTTGATCTCACCTGCGCGTGCCGCTCATCCCAGATCCAGCCCGGCTGGCTGACCATGGAACGTGCCCGCAGGACTGCACCGATGCCTTCATCTCGTCGCAAGACAAATCCCGCTTCAACCTCCCCTCAATCTACTCCAGAGTCCGTCCCAGATCCTCTTCAGTCTGTGAGTCCCAGTCTGTCGAATGATTTAAATAGCCCGCAATCTGCACCACCTGCCCGGCGCTCCAGCAAGACTCTGCACCACAGCTCTAGCTTTTCGGCTCCCGGCTCATCCCGTTCCGTTCATCTCAGAAAGCGCTCAAGAACAATGGATGATTTTGGTTCTGAAAACGGTGTCGAGGACAATGACAGCCCTCATAAAGGCGGCCACACGCTTCGTCGACGCGCTCGCGTTGACTACACATTTGAGCAAATCGACGACGAGGTCATTGTCCCCAGCTCAACCTCGTCGGCGCGCACTAGGAAGCGCAGATCTGACAACAGCTACGACTCTGAAGAGGTAAATTTTCAGGATGTTGGCCGCAGACGTGCTTCGCTTGATTCAGACATGACTTCCTCTCGCCGTCGCAATCCTGCACGCAAGTCGTCTGCCGAGAGAGCCATCTACATTGAAGAGCCGGAAGAAGACGAACATGAGGTCCAGGACACCATTGAAGTTGTTGGTTCATTATCTGACGACGAAACTTCGGCTTCTGCAGCCGTCTCACACTCAAATACTAATAGCCAAAATTCCTTGCCACTGGATCCCAACAAGACCGCCTCTACAGAACCTGAGAAGCCCGCCACGGGTGAGCCCGCAGAGCAGGCAAAAGACAGCGCAATTGCCCCCAACGCCTCCAAGTCTGAGCCTGACGATGAAGACGGTGAAAAGTCTGTGGATCAGCTGCGGCAAGAAGCGGGCGCTTCTACGCCAAACGGCGCCGACATGAAGACAGCTGAGGTCGGTCAATCAGAAGTCCAAAACGTCACAACAATACCTGAGCAATTGCCGTCCAAGCAAATACCGGAAACAGAACCCTCTCAAGCGGACTCAAATGCGGTGTCAACGAAGGAGGAACCCGTTGACGAAACGAGGGCCGTGGGTGCCGACGCTATCCCTTCCACCACGACGGCTTCCAGTAAGACTGATACGGTCGAGGGAGCTGGAGTTCAAAGCAAGACCGTCACTTCTACTTCTGCCAATGAGCTTTCTGAAAAGGAATCACCTTCTGAAAAGGAAGCAGAAATGCCTTCCTCCCCGTCTTTGCAAATTCAGAAGCAGCTGGACGGCTCTCCTAATGGAGCTACAGCTGATGTGTTTATGGATCCCAACGCCAAAGAAGATACCATGATGCAAGATGTTGTCGATGAGGAGCCCAAGGATGAGCCCATGAAAGAAGCTCTACAGGTGAAGGCCACGGTAGAGTCCGCTTCACTCACGCCAGCCCCAGAAGTGAAGGTGATTCCCGCCCCCGTCCGGGCCAGCTCTGATGCTGCAACGGAAGCTGTCGGCGCCACCCAAGCCAAGACAAAGCTTCTTCCGTTCCAAATTACTGCGCCTGCCCCAGTCGTTGCGTCAAGACCTCAGCCGACCCCTGTCGGTCGTTGGTCTTACCTGACACCTTATGTTGATGGGGAGTATACTACGTACCCCGAGAAGAAGGAGTCTACGACTGAAGATGAGACGCCCCCCGAAGAGCCAACGGCTGAGGACAAGGATTCGAATGGCATGGAACCCATGGTTGAGGACAACGAAGACGTGCCGGAAGCTTTCCCTGCTGAAGCACCTACTCCAGCTCTGAATACACCTACTAGAGGCTCTCCAGTGCCCGAATCCATTGAGCCCACGGCGTCAAACTCGCCCGCTCCGGCTGCGGATGATGCAGAGGATGGTGACGTCTCTGATTCTGATGACGTGGAAGTTCGACGCTTCTTCCGCTACAGGAAGCTACGGGACCCGGAAGAGTATGTTTCTGCCGCGGAAAACTTTGAAGACATGACAACCGCAGAGTTGTACGAACTTGTCGGAGCTGTCAACGTGTCTCTGGTGCAATGGCAGACTGAGTGGACCTCTCTGGGCAAGATCGTGGATGATTATGAGAATTGCCAGCGGCGTAGAGTCGCCGACGCAAAATATGAGACGCGAACACGTAATCTTCATCAACACGGCGTCAACTACGAAGAGCCCGAATTCGTTGTCAAGGGCTACAAGGCCAAGGAAAGGGAGGTTATGAGCGAGACTCGCTACCTTCAAGGTCAAGATCGGATCATGGCAGCTGCATACGGTTTCGAATACGATCCTCACCCGTCCAAGATTGGTCGTCAAAATCCAGAAACGCAACAGGTCGGCATCATGACACGAGGACGCTCACTTCGAAACCAACCTAGGCAGACGGCAAAGGCGACTGAAACCGATGAAGTTACCGGTAAGCGAACTCGCAAGCCAGTTCAGTTATTCGATCCCGCCGCGCAAGACGTTAGCCGCAGCTCGACTCCAGCTCCGTCAAGAACCCGGCGGCGGAGAACTGGAAATGGCGACGATGACATGGTTACTTCTAGCTTCAACGGAGACGCCAATTCGGATGTAGATGAACCTCCGTCAAGAACGAGACGCCGCCGTGGTGGCCGTCCACTGACTTCTGCGCCTCATCTGGGTGACGATTCTGGTGCTTCGCAGGATGCACAGGATGCTGCTGACGAGATCGCGCGCCCAAGTCGTCGCGGTCGCCATCGGGCTGCCATCCGCTATGATGATGGCTTTCTCGAGCAAGAGGTGGAGGAAGAGCAGCAGCAGCAGAAGCAGCCTAAGCGACACCTCCTCACGCTCAAGATACCGCGCGGCAAGAACTTCAGCGAACCCTCGTCTGCCATCACCGACAATGGCGACTCGCGACCGTCTACCGCATCCTCCGAATCGAGCTCCCACACTGCCGAGTCGTCGTATTCCTTCCGGCCCAAGAGGCAAAAGAGATTTCGCGACGACCAGGAGGAGGCCGAGGCGGCTGCTCAAGGCCCTCCCAAGAAGCGCGGGCGCCGTGTTCCCGAAGAGGCGGCGCCGACAGCAGCGGCTATCATCCCCGCCGCGGACACTTCGCCTGCCGCAGCGCGCAAAACTCCCAAGATCAAGGTGGTTCGCGTCGCTCAGGCAAGCCGCACTGGAACACCCTCGTCTATTGGTGGCGATGCTGAGGAGCCGCGCAAGGATTATAAGCTAATGACCAAGTCGGAGAAGATGTCGGCTTCCATGAAGAGTATGATGAAATTTCCCATGATCCTTCTTTTCAACCCCAGGGTTACATTTCTAACATGTGCATAAACAGGTCGCTGGGCAAACGGTAACATGGCTGGCGCCGTCGAAAAGCGAAAAGCAACGCTCGCGGCGAAAAAGGCTGCTCAAGCAGCGGCCGACCAGAAATCGGGCACGACAACGCCCAAGGGCAACAAGGTGAAGCCGAAGAAGGAGGGCCCGCCCCGACAAGACTCGCAGCAGCCCTTGCCTCCGAGCACTCCTGGTGTGGGAGTCCCCTTCTCGGCCGCCTAAGTCATTGCGAATGTCGTTTTTTCTTTCTCTCTTTGCAGAGGCGCTGGAATATACAGGCTTAGATACATATGGCCACATCCAGCAACCTCGTGTATACAAACCGAAAGGCTGCTCATTTCGTCTGCTTCTCTTGGTTTTTGCCTGTTTTTTTGTTCTTTTCTGCGCTCATTTTTTACTTATCTCGGGCCGCTTTACGCGTTTTACGCGTTTCGAGAGCTCGACCCTGTGTTACTTGGTCCTTTTTTCCTTGCGTCCAGTTTATTTGTCCTCACGTTTAGCATACGAGCCGCCGCGTTGGCATTCATCGTGCCACGCCCTGCACGGTTCTGGACTGGCGTTTTTTTTTCTGCCCCAACGGTGGGCATTTCTTTTTAACTTGGTTGTGGTTTCAATGTCGACTTGGGTGATGGGGGTTTCTGTTTGGTGGCTTGACTCACGCGCAAAACAATATCGTCGCGGTGGTGAGAAACTTTGTGGACTTGTGTTTTATTTTTGGAATTGGGGAATAGTGAAATAATGTAACTAGGGTCGATTGCATAGTTTTGAATTCAGCGAAGAAAAAAATGTCTTCGAATGGCGTACGCGAGCGACGTGACGTGGTTAATGTGTGGCGTAAAATGCAGTTAAACTGGCTTGTTCTAGGTCGAGACTGGTGCAGGATCTATTCTTGGTCAGAGCCTTTAACTAGAAGGCCCTGACATGAGCAATCCTTCCAGATGAAGCCAATTGGGCTGAGATTCCGTGCCCTTTTCACGTATCAATGCGGAATTAATGCAATTGTTGATTCGACCCAGAATATTTTCTACGTTTTGGGCTGAGGCGTTCAGGGTAGCCCGCCATGGCCCTGGATCTTCCCGGCCGCACGGGTCGATGCCGACGCACTAACTCGGTCCGGAATCTTCAACGCCTATAGCTTACACTACACACTTGCGCGTCAGAGCAATACAGTAACTCTTGGAATAGAACACATGGAGAGTCGTCTTGTTACTTTGTTTTTGGTATTTCGTCATTGATGCGATATCTGGTATGAATGTTCCTTGCACGCCGCAACCACAATGCAGAGCCGGCAAAAGTCCCGAGAAACCACCCAGTAATTTCAACCCCAACTCTAGAGTAGAATAAAAAAAGAGAGAAAGAGGCCCAGCCAGGAATGCGTGAATACACTCCTGGCGCGCATCAAAAACCGCATTCGCGATTTATGCCCAAGAGATTTGCCAATGTTTCTCATTTTTTTTGTTCATGAATAGTGTAAAAAACATTTCGCCATTTACCCCTCCGTAGTATTTGCCGTTTTGAAAAAAAAAGTTGAACCCGACATTTCTTTTCATCCTCTTGCGTAAAACCCTCGTCCCCCCCTCCTAAACCAAACAAATCGCTTCCCCCGTTTACATGACGACGCCCGAGTTGGAGGCGATACGGGGCCACAGCTCCGCGGCCTCCTTGCCGACGGGGCCGGTGATGGCGGAGCCCTTCATCTCGCCCTTGGGGTTGACAATGACGCCGGCATTGTCCTCAAAGTAGAGGAAGACGCCGTCGAAGCGCTTCCAGGGCTTGGCCTGGCGGACAATGACGGCGGGGTGGACCTTCTTGCGGAGCTCGGGCTTGCCCTTCTTGACGGTCGCGACGACCATGTCGCCGACGCCGCCGGCGGGGAGACGGTTCAGGCGGGCGCCGATACCCTTGACGGCGATGATGTACAGGTTACGGGCACCCGAGTTGTCGGCGCAGTTCATGACGGCACCGCTAGTGAGCAGAGAGACAAAAAGGGTTAGCTTTTCGAGGAGGCAAGGTGGGATTTCGAAGGGGTTGCCATGTTATTTCGTGGGGGTTCGCGGCTTTAAAACGTACACAGGGAGACCGAGGGTCATCTTGAGCTTGCCACCGGGGGCACCACGGCTGCACGAGTTCTGTCAGTATTTCCGATCCAGTAGCAAATCCTTGTCCTCTTTTGCCGTGCTGCCCTGCCCGCAAAGACTGCTTCGATACGACGTCCGTGCTGCCTCCGTCCAAGACTAACAGCGACGCAAATTCGGTACGAGGGCATAAGACTGGCGTTTGGAAATTCAGTGGCATCAGCAAGCCGCCGCAGTCGTCGTGCAAAAACCATTGTCGAGGCAATGTCCGCGGTAAAGTTGAATTTTTCGTTGCCCTAGCCCATTCCTCGTCGTATCCGGCATCGTCATTTCGCCCGCGGATTTGTCGTTTTGAAAATCTCCCCCTCTTGCACGTCGGTTGCACATCTTTCGCATATAATGTCGAGGCAGGGCGCACCAAGAGGCCAACAGAGAAACTTACGAGAGCTTGGCCATTGTGAAGGGTTGTGTTGTGGCGTTGATTCGGGAATGTGGAAAACTTGCCGTGTGTCTGGGATTGCGGTCGTGATCGAGAGCTTCGCAGGCTTTCGGGGCAAAAAATTCCTGTGGGGTGAGAAACCCTATGGGCAAGCGAGTGTCTGCTCACGTGACGATAAGCTGATTTATCGAACCCTTCGTGGGGCGGGACAGCTCTGGCGCTGGCGGGTCAGAGGAATGGGTCCGTCGCTTTTGCATCAGCGGTCGTCACAGGGCGAATGATGAAGGACACCAAAACTGTCTGCTCACAATGAATGCATGTGAAATATCGAGTCTATTCCCAAATTATCATCTTCCAATTTATAAGTAACTACATTTTCGCCTCCGGGCATGAAGTAAAAAACGCCTTGATAACACAAAATCTTCCTCTCCCATTTCAGCCGCAATGGTGAAAGCCAATACGCAATGTTCAAAGCTACGAATATGCCTGAAATCTCGTCCTGGATGCTGAAGAGCTGACGCCGTTCCCTATGATCTTTATGATTTTCGCGGGCAGACCGCGGAATGAGCAAAAGAATGTGTACAATTTTACCCGCAGTCATACTAATCCGCTGCTGCTCCCATTACTCGTAAAATTGTCCTCGAGGCGCTTTATGAGTTGGCGGCATCGTTATTGCTCTTGGCGCTGGCACTCATGACGGGACGGTTGGTAGTGGGGAGGCTCATCTTGGACTGTTCCTTCAGTTGCACCTTGCCCCAAGTGTAGACGATACCACTGACGAAACCGAGAAAGATGGCAGAGACACTGCCAAAGGTAACAGGGGCATCGAAGAAAACAAGGCCGCTGACAGCAATAGGCAGCTTGTTGAGGGCTCCTACCATGGAGTACGTGGTCGAAGAAGTAACGCGAATGCACCAAGCCGAGCAGTACGAGATGAAGATGGCACAAAGACCCGAGTACACCATGCCGAGCAGAAGGTTGTTGCGAGTCTCAACAGGGAAATTGCGGGCCAGGTTCTCGCTGGACCAGTCCTCGATGAGGAAGGTCAGAATAATGATGATGGGAATGGTCAGGAAGTTGTTATAGAACATGGCTATAGTTGGTTGTCAGAAAGAAAGCGATATGATGACTCGAATCATACTTACTGTCCCAATCGCTAAAGTTCATCTTGCGTATCACCTTGCGCATACCGAGAACAAAGGTGGATGAGCAGAGAACGTTGAGAAACATCCAGGCATAGCCGGCATTCAGAGTGGACATGGCATCGGCAGATGCAGTCGCAGCGGATTGAACATCAGACCAGGCAGCAATGATGGAGCTGAGAACCATCATGCCAAAAGAAAGTAGGATCAATGAGGTGACCTGGCCACCAAACCACAAGACCTCACCGTACGCAATGACAATGATTGTAAGGTTCTTGAAGATGGTGTAGACGGGAACAGAGAGGAACTGGAGAGCCTTGGTGCCAGTAAAGATCATGCCCAGAAGCAGGAAAGAGATGGGCAACCCTACCAAGTATTAGCAACAGTCACAATTCTCAGTGAAGCAGTGATCTGCTTCTTGACTTACATTTCTTGGCCTTTTCAGTATCAAACGGTGCAAGAGTGGTGATGAGGCCAAGCTGCTTGCAGGCCAAGATGGCAGCGACGCCGACACCGTTCTAAAAGCAGCCAGTCAGAGTTTGTTGGGTGGACACACCAAAAGTGCAGTCCATCTTACCTGGATGCCCAAGTACATGAGGGGCATGTTGAACTGGGAGCCAGAGACGACATATTTGTTAACGACTGTCATACTGATGGAAGACAAGCAGTAGGCCAGGACGGAGAGACCAGGGCTTTGGTTGATCTTGTTCAGTGAGTCGGAAACGACAGCCGGGGCTTCACGGGCAGCAAAGGCGGGTGCGGCGGGAATGAAGCGCTCCTTCTCGCCATTGTCGCGGCCTGGATAGTAGTCGTCGCTCTTCTTGTCAGACATGATGGAGATGGCGTGAACGACGGGTGAAGAAAGGGCGGGTTGGTGAGTCCCAAGGAGAGACGCAGATGCGGCGCAGGGCCCTCCTGAGGTGGATGGGTGCGCGTTTAGAAGGCAGCCGGCAACGGCCAAGTACGAGCAGCGGGATCGAACGAGTGGCTACTCCAAGTGGCTGCAATGCCTATCTATGCAGATGGTTGAATGAGCGCAAAAGACCGCAGGGTTGGTTGAGTCGAACTTTTCGCAAGTCGCCCTGTAAAACGATTGCAGACGCGACACGTAACTGTGCCAGCGGTCATGAAAGGGGAGGGTGCAGGAAATTTCAGGTCCCCTCTGATTGGAGCGCTGCGCTGCAGCGCTAACATTCCTAGGTAAGGTACCTACCTTCCTTCAAAGAGCCCCTAATTTTCCCCACCAGCACCCCCGGCGATTCCTCGGCGCCCGCCAATCGCAGCTTTCCTGTGTGAGCTCAAGACTACCAAAACGAAATTGAGAAGATATCACAGATTGATGCGGACTGACTGTTTTGATATCTTACTCTGTAGCTTTGGAGTGACTTTGAATCAGTCTCACCAACACAAAACAATATATCTACAGGAATACGAGCAGGTTTATAAAACAAAACAAGTACATAGCTAAGTTTTCTAGCACACAGCCGCTGTCGATGATTTGCACGAACAAAAAGAAAAAGAAAAAAAAGGGAATTGCCCAATAATGGGTGAGAAGAACGACTTCTCCATCATCAGAAATGTCAAAAAAAAGAACAATCGAAGAATGTATAGGAATAGCCCGATGCGGGGGTCGAACCCGCAGCCTTGAGATGGTGATCTCTCGTAAGAGTCTCACGCTCTACCGATTGAGCTAACCAGGCCAGTTAGTCTGATTATTGACAGCAAGTGTGTTGTTTTACCATATAAAGGCTATTGAGCTGTACACGGAAAAGTGATCATGACTCGCTCATCAACGTGTACTTCAGATTCCACATCAGGATTTTGGTAATACGAAGCAGGGGTTGTGCCCACCGTACCCTTCACCTTTTTAACCGATAAGATCGAATTATGCCCTTCTCAACCTTGACACTATCTTCAAGTTCTGGTGAGATGCGCGTAATGGCGCTCAGACCGAAGCACAGCGACAGAAAGCTAAATTTAGTTAAGCTTTTAATGCTTTCCCTCCGACCGCTGGGGCCAAGACAAAAAAAGAAATTGCGAAGAAAAATCTTGTCTAATAAAGTTTGAAGACCTTGTTTCCATTAATAATTGAAACGACAGTAAATAGGCTGACAAATGGCTTTGACGGAGTGTTGCTATTAGTCGGACCGAGTGGTCGGCGATCGGTCCGGATACCGAAATGAGTCGGTCCGGATAGCAACCGCTCGCCGTCTTGCCGCCTTTGAACTTATTATCATAATCGTGATTGGTGACTGACGTGTCCACACACAGCCCTATTACTTGCTAATTACCGGGTTTCGTAGATTTAAGTAGAAGCAGAGCCTCGTGTTAAAAACGATCGGCCGAAGCCGTCTGCTTGAACGCCTTGGCCGAGCAATGGAGGGGTTGACCAGCGCTGACAGCCTGGTTGGCAGAAGCAGCGTGGCAGGTCCGCACTTTCGCACAGTTATTACACCAGGCCAGCCAAACTAACTATTTCAACTAGTTACTGCCACCATTTGCTTACGTCTTGAATTCGAATTTCTCCTTGCCACAGCGCGGACCCTCTCAATTTTTCAGCTTCCCCGAATCAATGTTCAACAGGTAGCCCATGCTCTAACGAATTGCTCGCTGATACCGATCGCGACCCGCTCCGTCATCAATTTGTACCACCTCCCCTCATCTTTCGTGAGACCCGACCTGCGGCGTTGACCAAGACAACCCCGACCAAGAAGAGACCGCATTTGCCGATGTCGCACTAGCGATTAAGGCTTTCCTGCAAGTGCCCGTGGGCATCCAGCCACCATGAACTACTTTGACGACTATGACGAGCCCCTCGCGGACGACGGGCCGATGAGCCACGAGCCGCCCGCTGCCGTTGCCTCGCCACCAACGCTCGCACAGCCTGGCCAAGCCGCGGGTGCTGCAGCCGCAGCTGCAGGTGTTGCTAGTCAACCTCGCTCATCCGGCAATGCGACGATATACCAAACCACGGGCTCCGATGCCTACACCTCGGCCATCATGTCGCCTGGGGGCTCGGGCCCCGCACTGAACCCGCGCTCTTGCGTAACCTGCCGCCGTCGCAAGGTGCGCTGCGACAAGCAGATGCCATGCTCCAACTGTCGCCGCGCCCAGATTCCCTGCATATTTCCTGCACCGGGCCGCGCCCCGCGTCAGCAGAAGCCAAAGGACCCCAATGCGCCGCCCAAGAGTTCCAGCCAGCGCGAGGTTGAGCTGATTAAGCGCCTGCGCAAGCTTGAGGGCATCGTTGAAGAGTTGAGCGGGCAAATTGAGGTGGAATCTGGCAGCGGCCGCCAGGCGCACTCGGAATCTCCACGCGTTGCCACGAGCGGCGAAGCCTCTTCGCACAGCCAATACTCTTCTAGCCTGGATTTATTTGGCGGTCGGCCGGCTAGCGAGAGTGGTCACGAAACCAATCCCGACGTTCTGCGGAAACGAGACGTTAGTCAGCAATTCGGTCGAATGGTTCTTGGTGATCACAAAGGCACGACCAGATATGTCAGCAGTGGTTTCTGGTCAAAGATGAATGACGAGATTAATGCTATTCGCGCCGAAACACAGAAGCTCACCGACGATGATGACGAGTCCGAATACGACGAGTCACCCATGCAAACGCCAGATACCTTGGGCACACTCAATGACCACCACTCATTTATCTTGGGCTATCGATCCGCCGATGTTGACTTGGGAAAGCTACATCCGCTCCCCTCGCATGCAGCATTCCTTTGGTCAGTTTATCAGGAAAATGTCGAGCCTCTAATCAAAATTCTCCACGTGCCAACCATCGATGTTTTACTGAGAGAAGCAAGAAGAGATGCCACTACATTGTCCCCTGCCAACGAGGCCTTGGTTTTCGTCATATATTTTTCTGCTATAACCGCTCTTGAAGCAGAAGACGTTCAGACAAACTTTGGAGCTGACAAGTTCGCTCTGCTCGCACAATATCGTTTTGCCGTGGAGCAGGCGCTAGCCAAGGCAAATTTTCTAAACACATCTGAAATCACCGTTCTGCAAGCCTTTACGCTGTTCCTGCTTGTTAGTAGGCGCCATGACGATAGCCGCTTTTGCTGGTCTCTGACAAGTCTAATTGTGCGCCTCGCGCAAGGCATGGGCCTGCATAGAGACGGCACGCACTTCAATTTGCCACCCTTTGAAACGGAGATGCGAAGAAGGGTGTGGTGGGCGCTTATAACGCTAGACCTACGATCCGGAGAGGAGCTTGGTACTGACATGGTTATTCCGGACGGAGGTTATGACACACAGCTTCCCTTGAACATCAACGACGCCGACATAAGCATAGACTCCAAACATTTCCCGGAACCCCGTGAAGGCCGATCGGACTGCGCCGTTGCTGTCGTCAGATACGAGATTTGTGCCCTGGCGCGTCGCATTCATTGTGCGTCTTCTGCCATGATGATGAGATCAGAAACGAGTAGCATCGCCGAAAAGGAGCAGATGCTCATCGAGGTGTACCGGCGCATCGAGGACAAGTTTCTTCGGCACGTTGTTGATGAGATGGATCCCTTGTACTGGGTTGTTGCCATGATCACACGCGTCATCATGGCCAAAACGTGCTTGGTGATATACCACCCCCTTCTTTTCCCTGGTGCTGAAGAGCCGCTGTCCAACGAAGTCCGTCAGAAGCTTTATGTTGCTGCGATTGAGATCATCGAATGCAATCATAAGTTGAGAACCGATCCCCGCTGCAAGCAATATCGCTGGCTGTTCAAGACTTACACAACTTGGCACGCCATCTCCTACGTTTTGGTGGAAACTTGCCGCAGACCCTGGACGCCGCTGGTCGAGCGTGCATGGCATGCTGTAACTGGATACGAAGGAGACCCGGTTGAGCTGGCTAAGAAGGCTGATCATGCTGCGGTGTTCATTCCACTGCGCAAACTCTTTGCACGCGCACGACGACACCGTGAAGCTGAGATTACCAGGCTGCGCTCCAATCCGGATGAAGCACGGCGTTTGAACTTCTCGGAGCGCATGGATCCAGGGCCTGCTCGTTTTGGACCTGTGCGTGGTGCAGAGCACATCATGGACCAGGCGAGAGAGCGCTGGAGACTACTCATAAAACCCGAAGGTGCCAGTGCCTCATCTTGGCTTGGCTCGAAAGCCGTAGGTGGCAGCCGCAAGATGCCAGCAGAGGAAAATTTTCAACCAACACCGGCGCCTACTGATGCAGGCATCGTCACTGGTCAGCCGATGGAAGCAGGCCCGTGCCCGTCACCCTTTGATATCAGTTATGCAATGAACTTTGTGGACACACTAATGGCTCAGAACAATGTGCCTATGGCTGACTTTTGGGACATCAGCAACTTGGATCCAGCTGCTGCCAACGTGAATCTAACCACCCAGCAGGCGCTAAAAGATCCAGTCCTTGGAATTCAGACGCCCAAGGATGACAGCGGGCAGCCTCTTCTCTGGGCTGACCCCTTCTCTACTGCAGGCATCAAGCTCGACGACGTCCTGGCTGACGATGCAGAAATGGGGGATGATTTCAATTGGCAGGATTGGAGCCAGAGCATTCGCGGGCTGGAGCTCGGAGCCTCCCAATCGCAACCTTTGAACCCAAATCAGTGCTGGCCATAACACGCTTGGCCCACGTGGTTGAATGACAATTGGATGAGAAAAAACATTGTGTTATTTTGCATACTTCTTTGGCGCGTGGAGTGTAAATGGTTAATAGTTGAGGTCAATGATGATACCCCGGTGGGACTGTGAGGGTGACGCTGTATGATGTGCGTCTCTAGCAAATTTAATGTGCATATTCTTCAACTAATGATGGTGTTTATTTCGAGAGAATTTATAATGATAAAATTTGCACATTCATTCTTGCAGTGCTTCGCCGCTGCCTCCTGTCGCCTGCTGTCATTCGCTGGTGGGGCTCAAGCTTGATGGCATCTGCCTAAAAATTTAAGACTTCAAATAGTGACAAAGATTTCCAGACAGAACAACCAACAGGATAGGCCGAGAATCGCAGCGCACAAGATGGATCCCGGTCGACAAAATATGATTAATAACCCTGGGCCATCGAGGGGACGCGATGGCACGTCACCGAGATACGACTCACGCAATCGCGTATCGAAAACTTCCCGACCTGCACCGTCCCAATCAGCAAGCAGGATAGCCACAAGCTATGTGTCGCACGAGGAGCAGGCACGTCAATTTGTTGCCGACGAAGATAAATTTGTCCTGCGTCAATCGAAAAAAAAGGCCGACATTCGTGTTCGTGAGAACAGAGCAAAGCCCATTGATTATTTGGCGTTCCTCCTTCGCTATATTGACGAGGAGTGCGACGTCTTTGACGACGTAGAAGGCGATGATGATCTAGATGTACCAGAGCCAGCGGAAATTGTCCAGAAACTCGATTTGGAAGGACTGAAGACATTGGAAGCCGATATCAAGAACTATTACGTTCTAGAAACAGAAGCCCCAAATAGGGAATACTGGGAGGCTTTGCGTTCGCTGTGCAAATCGCAAAAGGCAAAACTTGACCCGTCCAAGCACGATAGGCGTGTGGTCAGCAGCGTGGATGACGATATCAACAAGATTCTTGCACCGAAAACCTACGAGCAGCTTGGCGCCCTCGAGAAACAAATAAAGGCGAAGCTCCGATCCGACGAAGACATTGATATGGACTACTGGGAGCAGCTCCTTCAAAGTTTGCTTGTTTGGAAGGCCAAAGCTGTTTTGGCAAGGACAGTAGAGAAGATTACGAAGAAGAAACTTGAGCGAAGGAGCCAGTCATCTGGCAAGAGCAACAAGACGGCAGCGGCTCCAGCACAGACACAAGCACAGCCCAAAAGCACGCCGAACGTGCCAGCTTCAGAACCAAGCGGTAATTCTGATGCCTCGCAGGCCACACAGACACTCTACGATAGGGAGGCCGCCCGGGGAGTTTCAGAAAACGAGGAAGTATTTGCTGCAGAGGAGGATCTGACGGCAGAATCGAAGCCGCAATGGGCCAAAGAGCACCAGGTACGCAAGCCGAGATACTTCAATCGAGTTCAGATGGGCTATGAGTGGAACAAGTATAACCAGACGCATTACGATCACGACAACCCGCCACCCAAGGTTGTGCAGGGCTATAAATTCAACATATTCTACCCAGAGCTCATCGACAAGACCAAGGCACCTACTTTTAAGATTATTCGCGAGCATGGAAGAAGGAGGGGCGAGTCTTTTGCGGCGGCGGGGGAGGAAGATACGTGCTTAATCCGCTTCATAGCCGGACCTCCATACGAGGATATTGCCTTTCGGATTGTGGACCGTGAATGGGATTACAGTGCCAAGAGAGACCGCGGATTTAAGAGTTCTTTTGACAAGGCAAGTTTGATTAAAACGAGTTGGCGGAAGAGATTGCGGCAATCTGTTCCGGGCGGAAGTGAAGTGGCAGTCAGCCGGGAGCAACTACAGCTAACGTGTTTCGAGTTCACAGGGCATCCTACAGCTGCATTTTCAGTTCAAAAAGGTAAGACCTGCATATAACTCCCGGGACAGCGTGTTATTTCCACGGGAAAATATTGGGGCTGACATGTTTGCTCGTAGATATTCTACCGAAAATAAGGACAAGAGGCCAGCGTGCTATCATGGGAGTAATGGAAAATCTGACAGTGGACTGCATCTCTTGATGATACTCTTTTCGACTGACAGGAAGTCGAGATGCTACTGGCATGAGCTTTGGAAACAAGCATGGTCGTGGTCGTATCGGTATGTCGAATCGCATCTTGCACCGAAAGAAGCAAAGATGAAAGAAATGAAGAGTATGAGCAATTCCGCCCCGCCCCGCCGAGACGTGATTATATTGTTCAGGAGGCCCGTCGACCAGCCCATGAACGGGGAAGCCAGGCTGCATGTCGCACAGGAGACTTCTAGAAAGTAGGACAATGGCCATGGCAGGGCGATGTGAGTCGCGGTACCACTCAGCAGTTTGAAGCGTGCGTGTGAACAAGCAGCTCTAGTCATTGTACTGCCAGAGGATATGATTCGCAGACAAGATGCTTGCACCTAGTGTGGTCAGGTTGTGATGTGTACTGTGTGTGGCTCACACGACGGCATGTCCGGACTCTGGATGCAAACGGCTTCTTGTCACGGAGCAACTTGCGCAGTTAGAGAGGCCTTTTTTTGGGGGCCTTGTTTCGAAACAGCAAAAAGAAATTGGGATTGGCAGGCCCACAGCGGGTGTTGGGAAAGCTGTGGCCTCCCGTTGAACACGTCGTTTCTACTATTCTGCTGATATGGTGGTGGTGGTGCTGTGTAAGGTGTGCGGTACCTCCCCGCGTTGCGGCAGTGCGGTGGGTTGGAAGAGCTAAGGCAAGAAGCCGTGATGCTTTGCAGAGCGAGAACAGGAGATGAAAATCTAAATTGGCAATGACTCTCAAGTTTCAAAACCCCTTGGATGACCGATCCGGACAAGGTGCGGAGCACATTGCCCGTCTGACGCTTCAAGTATAGTTGAAAGAAGTTGGGTAGTAGTAGAAATCGGACCATTTCGGCCCATACAAGACTTATTTGGCGAGAGACTGTGCGTGTGTAGTGCGCTGCGATGACACGAAATGCCAATGAGAAGGCCGGCTTCTGAAGCACGAGCTCTTGTCTGGTGCTAGTCTGGGCACTGTTTTTTTATTATTATTCACAGTGACACAAGCTCATTGTCGAGCGACACGAGAGAGTAAGAGTAGGACGGCGCAGGCATGCATGCCACCATCGCCTCTAGCTTCCCTTTTTTTTTTTTAACCACAAGTTCATTTACTTGTTTATTTTGTTTTTAATTCTATTTATTCAATTTTTTTTTAGTGGCGAAACACAAGGGGACAATGGGAACGGTTCGATCAAGGGTTGGCCCGTGATGTGGCGAACGCTCGTTCCAGCTTTCGTCTCCCGCGCTGCCCATTTCTTTTTTTTTTTTTTTTTTTGTGCCCGCAAGAACATGACGCGCGAACCTCCAGACGCCGGCCAGCGCGAATGGGAGGCCAGCGAGACACACATAACACACTGCAACAGGCGCACGCACCAAGTAAAAAGAAGCGCACAGGGTCGCATTCGGCAAGGAAGTGGGCACGCAAGGGAGGGAGGGGGAGGGGGTTATCATCATCAAGACGTCCCCCGCGCACCGGCCTGTCCGCCGTCCATGACAAGAAGCTCGAGCCACGGAGAGAGAGCAGCCGATGGGAAGAAGTCATGGAAGTGTACGTATGAATATGGAGTACGGATAGGTAAATAGAGTGGTAGAGTGTGTGCTTCTCTTCCCCCCTGCCCTTGCCCTTGCCCTTTGCTCTCCCCTCCCCTGCCCTCTCCTCCCCTGCCCTCTCTAGGTACCCATGTAGCAGAGGGTTGGACAAGCCAGATGGGATGCCTTGATACTCCCACACCCAGCAAGGCCCCCCTCCCCTTCCCTGGTTGCCCCCCCTGGGCTTTCTGCGAGCCCACCACACCCACCAGCCCACCAGCCCACCAGCATTGTCTAGATCTTGGCCTGTGTTCCTACCAGGGCCTAGCGACCGTTGTGGGGGACCACACACTCCCCTCCCCATCTTGTTCTGCTCCCATTAATCTGTACAAGAGAGATGGGACTGTTTGAGGCTGCGGTTCACTCTCAACAATAGAAGCGATTAGCCCCAAGTCCCAATTCGAGAGCTGGACGACTTTCCTTGCCGGACGGGCTCGCGCGGGATCCACAGATGAAGACCCCCCTCCTACTACCTACTACCTACTACCTAACCTAACTAACTTGCTGCATCTCGTCCTCGAGCTGCGGCAGTGTACGGGCGGGCGGGCGCCTTTTGCCGACTGCTCATTCTCACTTATAGATATAGCCCGTCTGCTCCCCTCCCACATCTTGTTTCCCGCAACCATAAACGCAACGCAATCTTGTCTTTGCTGGTACATATTATTATTCTTCTTCTTTTTGAACATTCTCCCTGTTTCTTGTCTTTCATCTTGTGAAACTGCCTTGTTCGATCCCCATCGCCTGCCATATCCTTGAGCGACTGCGTGCAGGCAAACTTGGCGACTTGCTGCCGGCTAATACCTACCTACCTCTGCTCTCGCCACACCCGGTTCGTCTCTTTCTAGAAAGCAGACACACACTCCTTTTCTTTCTCCCCGAAGCAGCAGAAGCCTAGCAGTCAGACCACAACGGCGTTATCACGGCAGAACCCCACGACAATGAAAACCCTTGCACGAATGAGTGGCCAGGGCGAAAGTCATATTAAGCTGCCCTCCCCCTCCGCATCTCCCAGCCTCATCCAGAACCCTCTCGACATTATCAAGTCTGATTCCATTACGGATATCCATCTGGCAAAGTGGAAGGCTGAAGATGATTTGATGGTCAAGGCAAACAACATACATACACCCGAATCATCACCCTCGGCCACCTACTTTTGCCACCAACAACAGCCATCTGATACCGACACACGGAGGCGCGAACCCATGTCTCCGCCGGAAAACTACTCAAACATTTCTTCCCCCCGAACCTTTGGCTGGCCACCCTCATCAGAGTCTGGAGAGAGTGAACCTTGGACGTTGCACCACCACGAGCTACTCCCGGACCACTCTGCCTACGCCAACTCACCATCATCACCCGCTAGTGGCTGGGATTGCTCGGTTCCCTATCAGTTCCAAGGCGCTCCTACATCCGCCGGCTACTTTCCAGACTGCACTGTATCCTTTTCCGCATCCACTCCGCCCCCGATGCAGGCCAACTACTCTCCCGTCTTTGAGATGGCATCAAACTACGGTAGCCCGCAGTACCCCTCGAGTCAATTTGGGGATGGCTCGCCTACCCAGCTCCCCATGATGGCTGGCATTCCTGACATGGGCCAAATGCACAATGAGCATACCTCACACCATGATTACTCGGCAGTCATTGCAACGCCACCGAGTGATTACACCTGCAGCTCGGATTTCGGCAAGGCCAAGGGCGATATTAACAGCCTTCCCTACTCGCAGCTGCTTTTTCGAGCGTTTATGAGCTCGAATACAAGAAAGCTGTCACTCCGCCAGATATACCAGTGGTTCGAAGATAACACGAACAAGGCGGTAAATAACAAGGGTTGGCAAAATAGTATCCGTCACAACCTGAGCATGAACAGGGTATGCTTTGTTTTATTGCTTGCAACTTTCGATGTTTATGATTCAGATATTAATACGCGTTCTTTTTTTTCTAGGCTTTTGAAAAGGCACCGCTGAAAGAAGACGGAACAGAGTCGAGGCGAGCGACTGAGTGGGTGCTAGCAGACTGGGCGCTTAAGAAGGGCGTGCAGAGCACAACTCGGTATCGCAAGGGCAACGTTCGGTCAAAATCGAACGGCTCGGAACGTGATTTGTCGAGCAGCCCATATTCTGGCAGCCGCAGGAGTGCCATGGCTTACAGTGCCCGCGGCCGCGACAGGCTCTACAACTATCGAGTTCAGATGCATGGTATGGCGCCAGACTCGAATCTATACGGCCCCCCGATGCCGCCGACGCAATTGGGACCTCCTATGAATGGATATGGCGAGGTTGAAGGATACATGACTCCGACGGGGGGCTTGTCCTATTCGCCCATGGAAGTGCACCAAGGCTACAACGGATACCAGCAAGAAGATGCCACGGGATCCAACAGCTACTCCATGTATCATCTTGGACAAGGAAATATAGGCGAGTATGCGATTGTGGGCGGCCTTGCCGATGGTACCCTGGCAGGGTCCCAAGTAGGTGGCGTTATGCCACCATCAGCCGTCGGGGTCCCGTTCGAGGCTCAGCTGTCGCCTGCACTTGGTGGACAAATACCACACGACCAGCATCAGAGCAACTACGGGCACGCTGACTACGATTCGAGACAAGGGATCAGTATCAACGCTGAGGGCGTACACGAATAGGATGGGGGGGGGAGGGGACGCTGGAGCAAAACATGAGCATGGGGTGTAGTAGGTGGTACTGGGACCAGCCTTTTTGCTGCTGTGCAACCTGTCACACGATGGACACGCGCACCAGCCCACCCACTTATTAGTTCTATTACTTGCTTGTTGAGCGGGCGCTATCAAGAGGGTTGAAATTTGACGAGTTTATGTTTATGTTACAAAAGATGCCAAGAAGTCAAGGATGGATGGATAATGATGATGAGGGGATGAGGGTATTTTTACTGGGCTCGGGACGAAGGATTGAGTTTCTGATTTTTTTGAAGGTTTTATTTTTGGATTTTCTTTTTTTTTTACATTGTACAATACATGGATGCGGTGGCTAGATTTCTTTTGACGAATATACAGTCTTATTTATTTTGAACATTTCTCTCAGCCACATTGGACATGATGAAGCAATTGAAAAGATCTCTACTATCCGTGACTCGGTACATACATGGCCATTCGGCGACATGATGGCGTGGGCGACATGTCGGCCGTAGCAGGAGACGTACGGTAGCGACAACGATGGTGGCTGGCCCTTGCACAATTAAGCGACGATGCAGAGATATAGTGCAAAGTCCCTTGCACAAAGTCATCTCACTTCCCCCCCCCTCTCCCCAATGGCACATCATACTGGTAGACGTAAACACTTTACGGATTACAGGCCCGGGGGAGGGGTGGTGTCAATGTTGCGCCACGACCAAAGCTGGCTGGTACCTTGCGCACCAGCAGCGCAGAGGCCCAGGGGCGGCGGGCCAAGTTGACGGGGACGGGGGGGAATGATAAAAAGCCTCGTAATTGATTTATGCAGGACGACAAAGAAAAGTAACTTTAAGCGACAAATTTAGGTGCACAAAGTTGGGCTTTTGGGATTATTTTGGTTTTTTGGCTCGCTGCATTGGTTAGGTGGCTGAGCCAAAATAATAATCATAATAATAAGAATAATAATAAAGTGCCGCGGACTTTTTATCCTATAATGGTTTGGCACTGCAAGCAAAAGTCGAGTCAACTTTTCGGATCGTTTAGAGGCCTCGTTTAGCGAGAACGATGCGCGGTTGTTGTGCGAAACTTGCGGGAGGGAGGGCACATGGCAACCAAAAAGTTTCAACACCCCAATCACTCTCACTCATCACTCCCCCCTCATCATCACCCCCATGGGTCGAGTCCGGCCACCCGGGTACTACGAGTCAGTGGATGGGATGTGCTGCCGGGTTAAGGTTTGTTGTGTCTTGGAATGTGAGGGCGTAGAAAATGTGGGAGCTGTCAAGCGGGTACGTACTTACAAAAAAAACATGGCCATCTTCTGGTACGGATGTAGAGGTGTGTTCTATGAATGTGTTATGCGAAAGGCAGTGTGTGGTGTGAATGGGTGGCTAGGAAAAAAAAAGTGACCAGGACCACCAAAGGGTTACGAATAAGGGCGGGCGCACTGGCCACGCTGAACCGAGTTGAGCAACTCGACAGAAGGGTCATGGAAACGTTATAGAAGGATCTGATGCATGGATGTAAAGGTATGGGCTCTCAGCCATCCAATCGCCAAGCCCACTTCAGCACGCACACCTCCAAAACGGCCCTAGTCAAGACGTTTTGTTTTTTTGTCCGAAGAGGGGAGGGGAGGGAAGGGGGGCGGGGGGAGTATAAGGACATGCAGGGCTGGGGCCGGCGCTCCCAGAGGGAGGGGTGTGCGTTGGAAAAGGTGAAGTAGAAGAAAAACAAGGAAAAAAAAAAGAAAAGAGAAGACCCTGATCAACAAAAATCTAACCTTATCAACAATCGCTGTCAATGGGCTCTTCAAATCTCAGACCAACATCAAGATTAAACATGCAGGAATCGAATCTCAGAAACAAAGTTGAGACTTTGATAGCCCCCCAGAGGTCTTTGCCAACTTTCCAAGCCAGTGGATTTGTGCAAATGTCTGTGTTGTCGTCAACAAGAAGAGCCAGCCGTGTGCCACGGAGCGCCCTGTGCTTCAAGACACTCTGAACGAGGACGAGAGACACTTTTTTGGATGGAAAGAGCAAACGCCCGCACTACTGGTAAAAAAGGTCAAGCCACCATCTCTCTGGGCGCAAGGACAGGGAAGGAAGGGGGGGGGGAGTTATCAGTGACCAGCTTTATTAGCCCGGCCTTTTCAGTGCCATTGCAACGCCCGCAACCGTTCTGTTTTGACACGACATACACCTCGACACCCTCTTTACCCCCCGCGGGTCTTTGCCGCAGTTGCTTGATTTTTTAAAGCCCATTGTCGAGCTTCCATGGACAGACACCACACCACACACACCTGTCCTCGGCCCCCCCCCCCCTGTGCCCATCTGTCATGTCTCGCTGACATCTGTCTGTCTGTCTCGCTGGCAATCTGGTCTGCTTGTCTCTCGCCCAAAACCGCGGAATCAGAACCGCGAAACTTGACAAGGGGAGGAGAAAGGGGACCTTTTGTTTCTCGGCCGCGAGTGCGCTGTCAAACTCCGAGCGGCCCGGGGCTCGTTCTTTTTTTTTTTGCCCTCTTGAGCCGTTCGTTATCCGTAAGTCTATTTTAACCCCGCCCGTTATAATTCGGCCGAATTGGGCGCAATTGCGTTTTTTACCCATATTTTAAACCGCATTTCCCACGCGAATATCAACGGATCCTTTTTAAACAAAAAACGTGGCCGACTTTACAATAAAACGTGGAGCTGCCCGTCAGGAAGAGAAGAGGGGGAGGGGGGGAGGGGGGGGGTGTGGTCGCTGGCGCCATTTATCAACTGGCAGATCATTATCAAGTGGCTAACTAGTTTAGGATCTGAATAGGAAAGAACAATACCAACGATGCGGGGTCCTCGTGGGTTCTGGTAGAATGGGGAAAGGGCGCTGGGCCGAATCCCGCGCCAACAGCCAGCTTTTTTAAATCTTGGCAGCTAAAAATACGCGGGGGGGCACCAGTAATAGGGTTGTTGAGTGAGAGGGCTTTTTTTCTTCCCCCGGCACCCAGAAGGGGCAAAAAGAAAAAAGGACGCAAATAGAAGGGGGGAGGGTTAAAAAAAAAGAGGTTCTGTCTCTTTTGGGCGTTTGCCTACCCATCGCCCCCAAAAAAAAAACTGCAGAAAAAAAAAACATGGATGGCCACGGAAGAAGAAAAGGTGCCACTGTTTCAGGATGAAAACTGCAGCTCGCCAAGGAGGAAAACAACAGCAGGAAGGAAAGCAGGATTGAAATGTTTGTGACGACTTGCCACGGCTCGGTAATCAGCCTCTGCCCTGGAGCCGGCGTGGGGTTTCCAAGGGTTTGCCCTTCCATCAACGATGGGACTGATGGGAGGGAAGGAAAAGGGGGGGGGGGGTACAAGACAAGACAAGACAGGCTCGGATCGGCCTTTTTTTTATTTTACTCGCATCTGCGGCTACTCCAGGTTGAGCAAAGGAGTCCGCGAGCCTCCCCCAAATGTCTTGACCTTGTTGGCGATGCCCAGTCTGCCAGTATCTAGGGACCTGAGATATCCTCAGATGAATACCACGTTCTGAGCGCGCCCGCCTCGTCCCCATGGGTCAGGTTTACGACAATGATGGGAGCGATCAAAGAAGGGCGGCGGCGTCGGCGGCGGGGGGGGTTTCGCATCTTTGGATCGGGAGAGCCGCAAACAGTGGATGATTAACGCCCGCAAATCGTTCTTCTATACAAAAGGTCTTTTGGTCGTTGCCACTTTTGGCAGAGCAGGTTGGTTGGCTGGCGTAAGCGTGCGCGCGCTGCTGCTGCTGCTGTTGTCAGTCGTCGTCGCCTGACCCCTTCCTTCTTCTTCTGAGTCTGAGACAAAACCGACCCCCATTACGAGGAGGGCTGCGGCCTGAAAGCATCGGCGCCCGTGGACATGACACACATCTCTTTTGAGTTCAGATTGAAAAGATTTCTTCAAGGGGGCTCCGATGGGAAAGTGTGCCACTGGCGGCGCGCGATGAACCCTGGTATGGCGCCATTCTTTTCTGATTTTGTGCACAGATGCCCATCGTGGGACAGATTGCCCATCCCGATGGAGGAGGGGGAAAAAGGGGGCCGGGATGAGCACTGCGGAATATCTCCCGTCTTTGCGGAAAGATTGATTGTCTACTGGAGCATTTGTCCCTACCTATGCAATGGACGAGTTAGTCTTGATGCGCCGTTGACGTGTTCTCTCATCATATGGAAGGCGTATGTATATCTTGAGAATGGCACAAGTTTGGGTGGGGGTTGGTCAGGTGTTCAGATTTGAGCCACAAATCAACCGTGGGCTAGACAATATCAAGACATTCCAGATACACAAACGAACTCTCACCAAACAGTTTACGTCGTCTGAGACAAGTCGTGTCTGCCCGTAGATGCCCCATACCTATTGTCGTGATACAATGGTCTTGGAGAATAGCAGCAACACGCCCTCGGTTCGCAAAATGCAGTAGCATCAACTTGAGTTTTGCAAACATTCTTCTCCACGTAGATGAAAGTACCCTCACCATTACAGCACTCATCTCTCGTACAAGCAGAACAGGGAGCTGCAGTGTCTTTTAGCAAAGTTCTAGACCGGTCGTTTTGCACCGCATCGCGCATTCACCTCTTGTACATGGCATCCGTCTGGAATATAGTAGGGTGTACGGTTCTACAACGCACTGATATTGAAGAAATATTCGCAAAATCTACTCTTTCTGTGCTTTGGTATACTTGCTTTTTCTTGGGGAAAAAAATGGGAGGGCATCAACACGTCACGCGATGCTGTGGTGGTTGGTTGCCAGAGCCACCCCATCTATGCATTCGGTGTTTCTTCTTTCCCTGGTCTGTGTACTCTTGTGTGTGTTTTTTCTCGTGCCGGACAAAGGTCGTCGTGAAACACCAGCTGCTCACATTTTCCCAGTTTCACTAGACGATATAGAAACCACCTGCAGCTCACAGTCGGCCCGTGTAAATGAAAATTTGCTGTGGCAGGGGTGTGTGTATACGTATGATCAAGAGGTTGTGTTCCCACGCAAATGAGACGGTGTAAAAGAATTGTGCATCACATTGGTGACCTGGCCAGTAGATTCTCTCAAGCGTGAGAGGGATGTACTGTAGACTTTTTGCTCTGTTCGACTTGCCACTGGGTTCGCCAGGGAATGGCCCGACTGTCAGCGCAAACTCTGGCCAGAAAGCCAAATGAGTGTAATGTTGCCTAGATATTGACAGTTGGGGGAAGTGAAGCCATGAACTATGCGATGAGATGGTATCGTAAAAAAGGCCAAGATGTTTGTTCAAGGATATGCATTCATCGACATTAGAACCTCCTCTTCTTCTTTGCTGGTCCAGCCGCTGCCTTCTTCTCCAGCTCCCTTTTTAGTTCCTCCCGCTTTCTATCCGCGCGTTCCAACGATGTCTCCTTCTTCTTCTCCTCCCTAGCCTCTGCTGCTGATGCATTGCGAGACGTTGCACGGCCACGCCGCGCGTCATCCCTTGTCACATCTGCCGACGGCGCTGTTCCGGCTCCAGCCCGCTTGCCAATGACGCCCAACCTCTTGGGCGCAGTCGAACCAGCCTCTTCCTCGCCCTTGGTTGTTGCTGCAGAAACAGCGTCATCCTCTATTATCCCTGCATCATGCACCGGCCGTTTTGGTTTTCCACCAATGCGGCCCAGACCGCTCTTTTTTGCAGGCGCAGAGGAGGATGGAGGGGAACGAGGAGGGGACGAGTCAGCAGGTGGTGGTGATGATGCGGCCTCGTCAGGAAGAGAAGCAGTCTCGTCTACGTCACTAGCCGTTTCTGATGCGGTCTCGTTGTCATCTGCCATGGCTTCCTTGGTCTTGGGAGGGGGTGGGCTGACGGCCTTGGGCGGCGGCGATGGAGGTGGTACCGATTTCTTGCCGCCTATTGCGCCGATGCGGCCAACTTTCTTCGGCTCCTGAGATGACGCATGCTCTGCCTTGACGGCTTTTGCAGGCGAGCTCTGCTGTGTATGAGCGTCTTTGCCTCGGCCAGTCTCGGTCTTTGGCATGAGACGTAATGGAGTAGATTGGATCTGAAACTCGTCGTCATTGTCGTCATCATCGCCCATCGTCACATCGTTGACGTCTGGGGGCGAGGAGGGTTCTGCTGAGTCCGGGGCTCCTGTTTGATTATCATCTGTAGAAGCAGTGCGATGCGGTAGACTTGTTTTGCTACTGAAGCTGCGCCACCAGCCGTCCAGGTTGCTGGATGCAAAGTTCATTGACATACCAGGTAGTCCCGAATTGCCGCCAAAGACTCTTTGCACCAAGTCGGTCACGTCGCCAGGCTGATCAGCGTTGTTACGGAGCTCATCATTCATCTTTTGCTCGTTGAATGGCGCGAGACCTCTGATTTTGCCATCCGCAGTCTCTCGCGTCACCTTTTTGCGGCCTGAGAGCGCTGTAAATACATGCTCCAAGCCTGTGCCGGTAGCTTCGAGCTTGTCAGAGAGCTTGGCAATTACCGCATCTTTGTGCGCTAATGTCTGTATCAACATGTCCACTTGGCGGCTCCTGAAGTAGAGATCCTCAACAATGGGGATCGCAAACTCGTTTGTAATGGCAATAGATGATGACTTCTTCAAATGGAATGGCCATTCCAGGGGCTCAAATCCGGCGAGCTGGCAAGTGGCCACCAACTTTAAGCCTTCTTTTCCAGAATCCGCCGATGATCCTGGCGAAAGCGTAAAAGTGGCTTCATCATGCCCATCAGCCGTCTCATCCAGCGCACCCCGGAGCGTCTGGAGAAACTTGCCCATATTCTCAGGCGTATCGCTCGGGTCGATGCTCGTATCTTCTTTCCATGCTCTCATGCAAATAGCTTTCCTCTCCATCGACTCGGTCCATACATGAGCCATGTCTGTAACCTGAATTGAATATTCGGATGCCTTTGTCTCAAAGGCAACCAGGAGCGGTGGTAATTCGCCTTCTCCTGAAAGGCGCAGGGGTCGCCATGTTTTGGCGCCCGCCATAGCGAGCTTCCGTCAAGCGCAATGATGCCAAGCTCCGTAGGCGTTGCGCACTAACAATCTTCTTGCACTCCTAGCTGATGGTTTCGATAAGCCGCAGCCCAGGCTGCGTCAGGCTTTCGTGGTTCCCGGAGCGCAATTGGCGAGCATAGCCTTCGCGTTTGCGACGATGCCGCCGAGGATGCCACCTGCAGCGTGACCAATCGGGATGTGGCCGGAGAAAAGTCCTGGAGCGCCTAACGTAGCGCAATAAAAGGCCGGCTCGATGAAATCAATTCGCCTTCGCTTCTCCACGCCGTCGAATAAGAATGTTGTGCAAAGATGTTGATGATGAGGAGCAGACATCCGCGCACTAGCGACGCCCCCAGCCCCCAACGGTGACGGGGCTCCATGGATCCTGCAGGGTTCTTCGCCGATGATGTCGAGTCTACAGATGAGTGCGGCAATAAAATCGAGCCAAATCGAATTGGTAGCAAGAAACATGCAATTATGATTATATTCAAATGATTGACGAGTCTCTTCAAATCAGTCATCCATATTATCCCTAATTGTTATCCAGTAACGCGTAGAAAAAGACGGCGATTTCGCCTCTGCTCTCTGGAAACGCGTGATAGAGATGCTCATCATAGCCTGCAAAGACCATGCCAGCTTTTTTGTAGAAGCGACAGGCTGCAACATTGTTAGATTGCCCTTCGACGCGAATCGCGCCAAGACCAATTTCTCGCGTCCAGTGCTTGACAGCGTCCAGGAGACGCGCTGCATTGCCGTAGCCGCGAACACTGACATCCAGCCCGATAAATTCGAGCAGAACCATCCGGTTCCAGCTCTTGGAAGCGACGGTGTATCCATATATACAGCCATTTTCGGCCCTGAGGACAATGATGACTTTCGTCAGACCATCAGCCCCCTGCAATTCCTGCTCGTCGAAGCCAAAGTCTTTGACTCTCTCGGGTAGCGGTGAGGTAGTAAAAGGCAGGTCGTTTTCCAGCTGATTGATTGGCTTTGCAACCTCGGCATTGATTGAAAAACTAAAATCGAGTCCGGCAATATCTTTCTGCGTCAGCTCATTGACTCTTTCAAGTTTCAATTCGACCATTATAATGATGTATGGTGTTTCCGAACGGTGTGAGCTGGGGGAAGCTATTACATGTTAGCGTCGCATCCATCTCGGCGAGCTCAATTTGGAAAGCTGCCATCAGCACAGAAACATCGAGCAGCCTGCCAACCCGCCAGCATTTTGTCAAGAAACTGACTTGCAACCCAAGCCACTCTTGGCTTCTTACTTATGATGCTACGATTACCTTCAGATCTGTCCCCTAATTCCGAGTCAGAAATTACCCACACTTTGGCGTGGGACGCCAGGCTACACACCAACAAAGAGTCGCGGGAGTTTGCCACGATCCTGCAACTGCAGCGAGGAGAAATGACCTCGTATATGCATTTCCAGGGTTCAAAGCTTCAGAACTAACGAGTTTTGACCCAAAAGCCAACCCTGGTAGTGCGGCGGTCAGGTTGAGGAGTTGTTGGCATTGCGCTAGGATCATAGAGCAAAATTAGCGACTCTCGGGCAACAACGGCCCCCTTGGCCTAATGGCTAAGGCGCAAGAGTGCGTACCCCGCTTAGATCTTGTCGTTGTACACCAAGCTAACTTTCAACTAGCTTCTATATCTCGGAATCTTGAGATTGCCGGTTCGAGTCCGGCAGGGGGTGTCTACCTTCGTTTTTTTTTGGACATTTTTTATGCCGTGCTTTTCGAATTACATTATCAGATCTTGCATGCCTGTGCTTCGAGGAACCTCTTCGTTTTTCTTTACTATCAAGCAGCACACCCCTGTCGTTTCGTGGCTAGCCTGCGCGTACCTGCTCCCATACAAGTTCAAGTAAAAAATTAATTGGCTGGCTTTTCCACCCTAGCAGATCGATTCCGATCTGCACAACTGCTATGACGCATGCGAAATCGGGGCCCTCAGCAACCAAATCACTCTCGATTCAAAGGGGCCAGAAAGGTCGCGCTCTTCAAAAAACCCTTGCTTAAAGCTCGCCTGACATTACAGAAACCTGCACGATTTTGTGTGCCCATGATTGAGTCGCGGTCATAATTACCATCGCGTACCCTTGAGAATCCGTCTTCACTTACATGCCTGTCTGCTCCTGGGCATCACTGACGCGACGCACGCTGTTCACGCGCCGAGATATCAGGGCCTTCTTAGCAACCTCGCGACCACACGAATCCATCACCAGACAACTCGCCACAATGGCGCCTCGTGCAACGAAGCGCAAGGCCAACGCCGCACCTGCGGCTAAGACGAACGGAATCAAGAAGGCCAAGTCGACGAGCTACGACGACGAGCTTCGGGAACCGCACCATGCGGCTGATGAAGCCGAAAAGCACGGAATTGTCCTCCGCGATTACTACCCACCAGAGATGAGCAACACAAGAGCACGCGCCTATGCTGAAGAGGCGCTCCGCCGCCCGATGGAGAACCTGGTTACCGCCCAACGCGAGACAGCGGAGGCTATGAAAAAGGCTGCACAAGGTGAAGCTGTCGCCCACTGGTTCAAGACTGACTTGCGCTGTGCCGACAACACGTCTTTGGCTTTGGCGGCCCAAAAGGCCAAGGAAATGAATGTTCCGCTTCTCTGCTTCTACTTGGTCAGCCCCCAAGACTTCGAGGCTCATCTCAGATCGCCGGTCCGGGTCGATTTCATTCTTCGTACCCTGAAAGTATTGAAAGAAGATTTGGCAAAACTGGATATTCCACTCTACGTCGAGACTGTGGAAGAGCGCACCAAGGTCCCGGCTCGTGTGCTTGAGCTGCTTGAATCGTGGGGCTGCAACCATTTATGCGCCAACTTGGAGTACGAGGTTGACGAGCTCCGTCGCGAGACCAAGATAATAAGGCTACTGGCTGCAAATAGCAAGTCTTTCGAAGCAGTGCATGACACTTGTGTCGTTCCTCCAGGTCAGCTTCGCAGCGGTACAGGCAACCAGTACGCCGTTTATACGCCGTGGTATCGCGCTTGGATGGCTCACATACATTCCAACCTTGACTTGCTCGAGCTACATGATGCCCCCCCAAAGAATCCTGCATCAGCAAGGAAAAGATTTCAGAAGCTTTTTGAGTGCGAAATACCCGCGGCACCCAAGGGAAAGGCACTGTCGGCGGAAGAACAGAAGCGCTTTCACTCACTTTGGCCATGCGGCGAGCATGAAGCCAAGGCTCGCTTGGACAAGTTCTGCGAGGAGCGCATCGGCGGGTATAGCCAACAAAGAAACTTGCCAAGCCAGAATGGCACAGCTAGCATCTCTGTGCACTTGGCCAGCGGTACAATCAGCGCTCGAACTTGTGTGCGCACCGCAAGAGACAGAAACAAGTCAAAGAAGCTGGACAGCGGACATGAGGGAATCAAAGTCTGGATCAGCGAAATTGCATGGAGGGACTTTTATCGCCACGTATTAGTCAGATGGCCACATATTTGGTGAGTGCACAGCTTTTGCAATTCATGTATTATCTAACGGGGACTTTCACAGCATGAACAAGCCGTTTAAGCCGGACTATGCCGATATAGAATGGTCTTATAACACCGAGCACTTTAACGCTTGGTGTGAGGGCAAAACCGGGTTTCCCATCGTTGATGCTGCTATGCGACAGCTGAACCACATGGGTTACATGCACAATCGACCTCGCATGGTTGTGGCTTCCTTTCTCTGCAAGGATCTACTCATAGACTGGCGCATGGGCGAGAAATACTTTATGGAGCACCTGATAGATGGCGACTTTGCGAGCAACAACGGTGGCTGGGGCTTCAGCGCGAGCGTCGGCGTCGATCCGCAGCCGTACTTTCGCATCTTTAACCCACTCCGCCAGAGCGAGCGCTTCGATCCCGACGGTGACTATATCCGTCAGTGGGTGCCAGAATTGAAAGACCTCGACAACAAGCAAATTCATGATCCGTACAATCGCGGTGCTGGAGACAAGGCGAAAAAGAATGGATATCCAAAGCCGATTGTCGAACACAGTGAGTGTCGGGAGCGAGCGCTGGCTGCGTACAAGGCGGCTGTGGCGTAGGCCGGCAGGTCGACGAAATCTCGCGTAAGAATCTGTGCAAGCCAAGGCATCATCAGCGAATGATGTTGCTGGCCGCTTGAGCAGCTGCTCGATGATGGTGATTCTTGTCCACCAGCAGACTATTGTTCATCTACGAATCGGTCAACATGTTTTAAAAAAGAATCGAAACTGCCATGAGACCTGTTAAATATACGCTGAATCCTAGTTATATACATGTACCGAGAACAAACTGAATCGTTAGGGATATCGCGAAGAGGTCTTGTGGCGGATGGGGGCGTGATGACGCGTAGTTCCTTCATAGGACTTAACACATCGTTTCATCTTCACAGCTGGGGTTTTCCAAGTACAATCAATTAACATAAGGTGTTAACGGAACGCAAACCTAAGAGTAAGCTACACAGCAATAACACAACATTACGGCGACCCGTGTCAAAAGATGATACAGCTCCGTGGCCATAGGTCTTGGAAGGAATTCCACAAGTCCGTGCCGGTGCAGCTAGACATAATAGGCCGCTAGCATCTTCTCAACGCTGGCGGCCGATGAGGGGGGGGCTCGGCATCTTCTCAACGCTGATCTGCGGCCGATGTGCGGCGCCGAACAATACGAGTGCGCCTGGGGCCATAATCGAGCGGTGCAGCTGTTGGTCGCAAACATGTTGGAGCAGGTCACACTGGAGAAGTCTAATTGGATTCGTTTCTTTACAGTCGCCCATTTCAAATCTGTGCGCACGAGCGATGGCGCGCGACGTTGGACAATTGCGGACGTTGATGTGATAGGTAATCTGAAAATGAATCAAGAATCAGTTTGCGCGCATGTCTGACCTGTATCTGTACCGTGACAAGCAGTCTCGACTGCCACGGCTTTTTCAAGGCCAAGAATAATCTGCGGCTTGGAGACTATCAGAGTAGCCTCAGAATTCTCAGCAATGGACAGGCGGCTTCACAAGGAGCCCTGCGAGCCAGCCTGTGCGAGAAGACTTTTCCAGCCGGGAGCACAGCACCAGTCACACATCCAAATCACTTCCAAAGGCCTCGCACGTGTATATGGACAAGTTCGTAATGTTTTTTTTGTGTCTTCGAAATCGAGCCAAGACGCCTCGAATTGGATTGTGCTAAATGCAGGCCAACTCTAGTTCCACAAATGCACCCTTCCCGAAACCAATCCCAAAACTATCGGATCGTTAGCACTGCTTATGCTGAATGCTGGCTTTCGGTTCCGTCACCCGGGTATTGTGCACCTTTCACTCTAATGTTTTTTCTCTTTTCGTCATTGTGTAAAAGCATTTATCGCTGAGCGCTCCAGACATTCTTGACGAGGCCGTCACGTTGAGCCAGGCGGTTCATGGCGTCGTCGGACTCGCCCATGGCGCGGACGAAGCCGCAGAGGGCATAGACGTGGGCCTCGCCAGGGACGGCGCGGCCGTTCTCGTCAACCTTGGCGATGGAGATCTGGACAGAGCCGTGATCCTTGGCCTTGATGATGCGGTTGGTAGCGCTGCACTTGCGGGGGACGTAGCTGTAAATCGGAATCGCAACATTAGTATAGTGTCATTTCTTCGGCAATCGTTTCTGAATATCGAATCGGTGTTGCTTCGAGAATTTCGGTGTTGTCTTACAGATCGACGATCTCGCCACGGTCGTTCTCCATCTTGACGGGTGTTGTGAGGGTGTTCAGGAGTGTAAGGTTTGTCGTGGTGCTCGGGTGGGATAGCCTCACAAATTCCTGGCCTCGAAATTTGCCCTGGCTCTGAATAATTTCGTGGGGCGAGGAGGGCTTTCTGTGCGTCACATGATCTATCATGTGATAGCGTGAGTGTCTCGCGAGCCCACTGAGCCAATCAAAGCGCGCAGTCGCCCTCGAGACTTTTGGCAGCCACGTATCCACTTTGACTTGGATGCTTCTGAAAACCTACGACGAGCAGACCGCGACGCAATCGCCTCCATGAAGCGCTCATTCGGAGGTGGTGCTAGGACTGAGATACGGAAACCATTCTGCTGCGCCTTATTGGTTCGAGATGCGCTCTGCGCACTCGACCGTATGTATCCGGCGCAATGGCTTCTCCCGAAATGTTCTTGTCGTCACCTTTACGTCCAAGGCGTCGAATCGCAACTTCTCCACTCGTGATATCCTCCTCACCAGATCTTCCTCCGCTGCAAGATCTAGGGTCGCGACCGCCAAAACCTCCAATCTTCAGGTCGACTACCCCTACAACACCAATTCACCAGCGTTCACGAGCCGGGCTCACGTCAGCACCAGAACCCAGACCGGAGACCGTGAACCTGTCGCCAACACCCGGAACCTCCGTTCATGAGTCGCACTATAGATCTCCCAAAAAAGTCAAATCGCATCAATCCCTTGCGAGCCATGATATGGCACAAACATGCGCTACTCTTGGGGCCGCACGCCAGACCCTGTTGCTATCATCCTCTCCAGCTGGATCTCAAGCAGTTGTAAGCGAAAGCAAATACTTCCGAAACCCTACTTGCGAGCCTTCTCAAGACAAAGAATCGGCTTCAGCAGCAGGGACTGTGCCACAGGAAACGTCTTTGAATCTACAAAGGGCCCCCGTAAGACGCCTAGATTGGACCCCGCCGAAACAGAGCTCGCTGAGAGTCAGCCAGCCGAACAATGCCAGCCCTCCAGCGTCTGAGCCAGTTTCTGAAGAGAACGGTAGAGACGATACACTTTCCAAGGTCCTCGAAGCTTACAAATGTGACGATACGCCGGCCTCAACTATAGCAACTCGATCCGACGAAGACGGCAGCATATTCCGGAAACGCAAGCTGATCGACGCGGTATCGACGAGATCCGGACAAGGCACAACGGTAGTCCCTGAGCCTGCGATCGTGAAGAAAAAGGCGGCATCAAAGAAGAAACCACGAACCATCACAGGTCTAGCTACTGCCGCATATAAACTTGCTAGTCAGCCTGACTCCGGCTTCGAGGAGGAAGCCCATACCAGACCCTCAATAGCAGAGGCTCAAACGGCAACAATCACGGCGACTAACGCGCCTGCGAAGAAAACGAGGAAGCGTACCAGCAAAGCCCCAAAAAAGTCGCGGAAGAAGGAACCGCCGCCCAAGCCAGTCTTGTTGTCACCCAGCGCGGCGTTGCGCCAAGTTGCAAATCAAGACTTTCTTTTTGGAACGTCAAGTCAGCTGGCTCAAGAACAATCTCCGGGATTCCTGCGAGACTTGGCTAGGGCAATGAAATATTCAAATGAAATTGACTATGCTTCACTTTCGACGCCTATCAACAGCGATGCCATCGAACCGCCGGAAGCAAGGCGTTCGCTCTGGGACGCAGCGGCTCGCGATGAGGCTGGTGACGTGTTTGATCTGGGTATTCAGGAACTTGCTCAGAAGTCGCAAGATTTACCTTCTCTCGAGGCACAGGCTGATCCTTTCGGTTACGTCAAAGAAGCAAGCCCTACCGGAGAGGATTCTTTTCTGAGCCTTTCGGATGCATTGAAGCCGCAAGAGGTGCTTCATGAGGGAAATCAAACTCCAGAGCCACCAACGGAAGAGTCTTGCTCCCAGGATGCAGGACCTGTGCCTGCTGTGCCTACATCACCGGGTTTACTGCCTCGCCCTAAGTTCGAGCTCTATACTGATGCACAGCTGGCTGGCGCGGTCTCTTCATATGGTTTCAAGAATGTACGCCAGAGAGGAGCGCGAATCGCACTACTAGACAAATGCTGGCAAGGCAGAAATCAGAAGGTCGCTGTTTCAGGCGCACGATTTGCCTCGACGCTGGCCGGGCAAAGTACACGGTCACCTGTCAAGTCAGGTCGGGCAAAATCGCCAGTAAAGACGCCTGCTCGGCCTGAATCGTCATTGGTCAGTGCATCGCAGCCTCAGGAACCGCCACCGTCAGCGCAGCAGCCCATCAGTCCACCCAAGCGGCCCCGCGGTAGACCACGAAAATCACCAGCACCTGCGCCATCTTTGAGCGAATCTGCTTCACTTTGCGCCGCAGCCCTGCTGCATCCAGACTCCACGGCATTGGCCCCTAGCACCCCAAAACGTCCCAAAGCTAAAAGTTCTAGATTGGTAGTCGAGATACCAGATTCAGAATCAGATGCTGATGGACTTGACTCCCTCTCCGCATCTCCATCCTCAGTGCAGGATGAAATGCCCTCACCCTCGCAAGGCGTGGACCTGTCTCTGTCTATGGATCAAGATGCTGAGCTGTCCATTGCAGTAACAACATCTGAAAAACCAGCCTCTTTTGAGTACATCTCCAAGTCGGTCACTTCTGCACCAAGGTCCAAGGATGTCAGTCAGCCATCTTGGCATGAAAAGATACTACTATATGATCCAATCATCATCGAGGACCTCACTGCCTGGTTGAATTGCGGACCGCTTACCAAGGCCGGTTACGATGATGAGGTGAGCTCGGGGGAGGTGAAGAAATGGTGCGAGTCGAAAAGCATATGCTGCCTCTGGAAGGTCAACTTGCGAGGGAAGGAAAGAAAACGGTATTGATTTGCCGCTATCATTGTGTTTTTTTAGACAGGTGGTTCATTGCATTTTCAGCGCGGCGCCGGTTTAGGGCTTGTTTTGGAACATTACACCTGTACATGGGCATTGCGATTGGGCCTATGTTTTTGAGTAGCCATTTGATGTAGAACATAATTTAACCATTTTGTTCAGCTTAAAGGTGTTGCCTGGCTACAACCTATTGAAGCGACGAGCGGCACCAGAAAATTGGCGGCCGCGGACCTGCCATGAGCCCGTGCGAAGCCGCTAAAACCAATACATCTAGATGTACCGCCCGGCCTAAGACCGGCGTACCTCGGTAGCATGGCTCATTCCCCGCAAACAAGCATTTGAGCATACTAAGTTACTACGTACACCAGAGCGTACCCAGGGACGGGTATACAGCTAGTATAGCCGCTCCGACGAGGCTTAATTTCTCATGAATTCACATCTACACATCGTCGCAAGACGAATACTGCCAATTAGCACCCCCAGCGTTGCTACCAGAAGACTCATCACCACCACGACTTCCATCACGACATTCTCAACCTCCAACTTATCCATCCCGACCGTCTCTGTTCATCGCGCGCGCCAGTACTCACCACACTCTCATCAGCAACGACGGCGATTCTCCGGTCTCACTACTTCTCCAGACGCTGCAGCTGCAGCCGCACCCAGAAAGCCCTCCAAGATGGCCAAGGACGGCGAACTTGCCGTTCCCCGGCCCAGCGCGTCCGTTGTGCTGCTGTCGCCCTCCAACGAGATCCTGCTGCTGCACCGCGTCAAGACGTCGACGTCGTTTGCGTCGGCGCACGTCTTTCCCGGCGGCAACGTGGATCCGTTTCACGACGGCGACGTGCCGCCCGAGGGCGACCCGGACAAGCACCGTGACGGGCCGGCATACCGTCTGTGCGCCATTCGCGAGACGTTTGAGGAGTCGGGCATCCTGCTGGCCAAAAAGGACGGCAAGTTGGTGCAGCTCCCGGAGAAGGAGAGAGAGGATGCGCGAAAGCAGATTCATGCGCGCAAAATCAAGTTTGGCGACTGGCTCGCGTCAATTGGCGCGACTGCCGACACAGGTTCGTAGTGGCGGACCCTCGCTGGGCTTGCAACAGTCTGTGCAGATCGCGATGCTAACGGACTTTTGCCGCCTAGAATCCCTCATTCCCTACACACGCTGGGTGACGCCCGTCACCGTGCCGAAGCGCTTCACGACGCAAATGTACCTGTACCTGCTCCCGCTGACGCGTCGCGACGTGCCGTCCAAGATGGTGATTCCGACGCCCGACGGCGGCATCGAGCACACGGCGGCGCTGTTTGCGGAGCCGCAGGCGTGGATCAAGCAGGCCAACCGCGGCGAGGTCATGCTGTTCCCGCCGCAGTACTTTATCCTCGACACGGTCGGGCGGCACGTCGGCGGCGGCAAGCCCGGCGCTCTCGAGGAGGAGACGAAGCGCTTCATGCAGCAGCGGCGGCGGCTGCTCCGGTTTGTCAAGCAGGTGCCGACGGCGAAGACGGCGCTGGGCCGCGCGCACCCGTCATCGCAGGTTGCCTGGGCGGACAAGGTCATTAGCCCGCTGCCGCTGTACATGCGCGAGAGCGACGGCCGCGCCGTTCTGAGCCTCGCCTACCCGGGGCCGGAGCTCGAGGGCCGCGCGGGAGGGGACCGCGCCGGCGACTTTGAGCACGTGGTGCTGACCAAGTTTGGCAAAAAGGGCCCGACGGGCGTCGAGGTGCGGTTGCGCGAGGAGGTGCTTGATGAGGATGCGCAGCCAAAGGAGGGCCGTCTCGAGAAATTGTAGAGTGGGAGTTGGCTTCTTCATTTTTTTTTTACTCTTGGACATACATGGTGGTCACTTTTTACAAAGATATACGAGAGCCTCAGGGAGCTCAACTAGATCTAGACCGATAGATGTTCGCTGATGGCGACATAAACGGGAATAGAAACTGCTGCAATTTCAACAGCCTGAGAGTAATCGGCAGATAAAACCATGTCGATCCCTCGGCCATAGTCAAAAGGGCATCGTTATCCGAGCCACCTTTATTTAGCCTCGACGCTCAATCATATGCTGTCAAAGTGGTACGTCATTTCCTATCCCTCTACGCGTATCTAAAATATCTAGTTCTGGCATACAACGACGGCCGGAGCCGCAACTAACACCGAGCGGCTCACGACCAGTCAAATTGCCTTTTGAGGACGAATCACGCACGGTCGTAGTACTTGAGAAGCTAAAATGGGGCATGGAAAGAAATTTATCAAAGAAATGTCGGGACACAAGCGGACATTACGTCTCGAGATGCGGTTCTGGAGAATCTTTATGTTTGAAGCGCTGACTACCAGTATCACGCGGCTGGCGGAGGACAGCGGTGTACCGCCGTGATGCTGCGGAATGGTTCCGGACGGTCTCGGCTTTTCTACAGCATTGCTAGAAGATGGCTCGGCGGCCGGATCGACCGTTCAGACGGGCAGGGCTTGGCAATGGAGAATTCTATGAAACCCGATCTGTTGACACTTTAGGGCGTTACAAGCGCTCTACCAGTGTATGTATATGTATCGTAGATGGCTCCATTGAGCTCCCAACAGAACGACTTTTTTTGAAAAGTTCTCATGTCCGCTTTGGTCGAAATTCGATTGCTAAACATTCTCGCAAAGCAGAAAATACACAAAGATTTGGCAGGTGTTTCACAGACAAACGCCGAAGAGATGATGATATTCTCAGTATACAATATTACTACTGCACGAAATTCTTGAGAGAAGAAAATGAAACAATGTACTGAAATTTACCGAGTCGGGATCTGGACATGACTTGAACAGATTAGCGACAAGGGGAAAAGTTCATGTTACCCGAGGGGTGAAGCTGAGAACGCAATGGTGTTTCGTGAGTAAGGAGCAAGCTTGTTCGATCTGACGGAAACATGATGAGCATTTAATTCGTAGGTTTGTTTTGACTTGCCGCCCGTTTGCTGATCTGATCCACATTGATCTGCAGTAGATGCGTCTTCCCCACGGCATGGCAGACGAACGGGTTGTCTGCATCAGTCCCTTATCTCCCACATTCCGCTCGGGTTGCCAAGATGTCGAGCTGACGAGCTGGCAGCGCAGATTGAAGTTGTAAGGAGCAAACCACATGAGAATGAACAAGTTAAGCGTAGACATCCTTTGAAACTTGTTTGCTTAGTTGTTCTCTTTGGCCTTGTCTCCCCGGCCAAGTGAAATCGCGTCCTAGCTTGCCCCATGATTTTTCACCTAGACGACACCATAATGACTGCAGCAGAGCATTTTTCGGCAGCAATGTCAGAAATCGACATTGATCACGCTTTGATGTGCATTGATCCGGATAATACGCGCATCTAATCAGTCGTTTGACAGCATCTCCTTCTTTGCGGCTGACGTCACACACCCACACGCCATCAATCCGTCGCAACCAGCCACACGCGGAAGAGTGAGGTGACTACATCGTCACAGTTGATGGCAAGGAACAATGTCTTTGTTTACAGCTGCAACGTTTCGTATCAATCACCCGCCTCTACGTTACACCGCGCGAATCGCGGGCCCGCCCACGACGGGTCGCGCCTATTTACGAATACCCAACTTGCCATGAACTAACGGATGGAAACTGTCGAGAATAGGCTCATTTTCACATCCGACCACAATTTAGATTCTTTCCCGTTTGTATGAGAGAAATTCTTGGTAATGTCATTGCCGAATTAGTAGTGCTGCGAATTGCTCTGACAGGTCAGAAAAGCGCCATGCAACGTCGAGTGCCACTGTATTAAGTTGATGGAAAGCTAATTAATCGAGCAATATTGGCTGTTAGCTCATCATTCCGCTCACCACGCAAAAGAAGCTTGAATGGGTAAAAAAAAAAAAATTTATAGCTCTGCGTGCATTTGAGCAAGTTTTATCAGTACACCGCAGCAAGCCCCGCCCCACACGTCCGGCTGCGTCTAGACCCTCCTCCGGATGTATCTTTGTCTCAATTCTTTCTCAGCCCTGCGGCTGCGGCATAATGATCAAGAAATGGAGGGAAACAATGATGTGCATGCGTTGAAACAAGCCAAAAGCGAAAGTGCATCCAACGTGAAAGAAGCAAGGTAAAAAGATATGGGTTTACCCTGCGCAAGTACAATCGGGCTGCAAGCCGGAGGGAAACATGTCGTGCATGGGCTGGTAGCCGGCCCCACCACCTCCGGAAAAGCTAGCTTATATACCTACTTTGATATGCATGCATGTCTTCAAGGATCTAGCGGCAATAGCACAGGAAAATCAGTTGAGACCCCCCCATAATTCTTTCTTCCAAGTCGACTTTCCAGATGGCTGGGAATGGCACAAGTGAAAAAGAAATAAAAAAAAAAGTAAAAACCCTCTCAGAGCTGAAAGTCTGGGCTCCCCCGCTAGTGGACGCCGACTGTGGGCGCGCCGGCGCACACACCCCGGGGGCCCATCTCTGCGCACATGGCGGCAACCGCGCGGGGGGGAAGGAGACGGGGGGAGTTGCCTGCCATGTGCGTGATGGAGGGCAATAATCAGTCCGCTCGACGTGAACGTTTTTTCTCCAAGCAAGTGAAAGCCAAACGAAAAGTGGCAAGCCGAGCCCGTGCAAGCTTGGTGCGCTAGTTTCAAACGGCTTTATATACCAGTTCACTTCTCGCCATTCCATTGCCATCCCAACCACCTCTACTGCCCTCTCGTCTGCTACTTTCCTCCCTCTGCGGCTTTTTTCCTTCTTCGTCTTCTTCTTGTTCTCGACGAAAAGCTTCTCTCAGATTGGAACGCACCCTGCTGCCCAGAACCAACACACACACACACACACACACACACACACACATCATGCTCTCTCAAACTGCTCTTTTCCTGGCCGCCGCCGCCATCCAGCCCGTCACGGCTCATTTCGGCCTGACCCAGCCCCAATGGCGCGCCGACACCCTCGCCGCCGAGAATGAAGCCAAGTACAGCCAATGGACTTACCCATGTACGCCCCCGCGCGCGCGTGCCTCGCTCCCTTAACCCCCCCTTCCCTCCGTTATCTTTTTTGTCCCGCTAACGAAACAAAATAGGCGCCGGCGTCCCGTACGGCGCGGGCAACACGACCGACTGGCCGCTCGACGGCGGCCCTCTCGAGCTCGAGCTGCACCACAAGTGGACCTACGTCTTTGTCAATCTCGGCCTCGGCGGCAACACGACCAATTTCAACCTGACGCTGACGCCCGAGCTGTGGAACACGACCGGCAAGGGCACCTTTTGCGTTGAGAAGCTCGCCGTTCCCTCGGGCATCGCCGAAGGCACCCGCGGCACCATTCAGATTGTCACCTCGGGCAACAGCGGCTCCGCGCTCTACAACTGCGCCGACATTCGCTTCACCAAGGACGCAAAGAACGCCACGTGCACCGGCAGCGGCGTCACCCTCAACAAGGTCCAGGAGAGCGGCAACGCCACCAGCACATCGGGCTCAGGCGCTGCTGCGCCTTCGGCGAGCGCGGGCGGCAAGTCGGCCGCCGGTGCGGCAGCGACGGTCAATGGTGGCATGCTGGCGACGGTGGTTGGTGCGGCGGCTCTCTTTGCGCTGGGCTCGAGCTTGTAAGCGTTGATAATGGCAAAATCGATTGTTAATGTACAGATGGGAGCATAATTTGTCTTTTATAAATGAGAAAAGATGTATTTCAAATGTAAATCTAGCCTCATGAGTGGAATTGTCTGATGCAACGTATATGCACGGAAATTGACTGGCGATCACTGCCCCCATCCAGATACACCCGAAACCAATTGCGCCTTGTAGAAGTTATGTACAACGAGGGGTATCGACCATACAATATGAACATCAACATGGAGCTATATGTACTGCATGGTGTTAGTGGGAAAAAAACTTCTCAACAAGTCGTCATTGGTCCAAAGACATACCTCATTATCCATGTGAAATGTGCGGCGTAAATCATGTAACATGCAAAATGCCCGATCATGTAATCAAAACAGAAAATGCAAACAGAAATAGCAAAAAAAGAGCCCATGCAAACATGCAAACAGGTAGCCGAACAAATGTCAAACATGTCGTAAAAAACGTTAGAAGAGGTCATTAAGCCGTCACAGCGACTGGCTCTAGAGTGAGCTGCTCCAAGACGGAAGCCATTGTGATGCGCTGCGTAGGATTCGGGGTGAGCATCTCCTTGACGATGCGCTCCAAGCGGTCCTCCCTGTCGAGGCTATGCGCGGCATTGTGCACCTCGGTGAGCCAGGTGCGCATTTGCATCATGGCCGACTGGCCATTGCCGTACCTCTGATTCATCTGCGGGTTGTTGACGCCCGCAATCAGCCAGTAAAGCTGCCGGTTGCCGTTTTGCGGTCTGGCGCGGCTCTCCGGGAGGGGAAGCTTGCGCAGCAGGTACAGCATGGTGACACCCATGGCCCAAACATCAGCCGCCGGTCCGCGGAGTTTGCTCCCCATAAACTCGGGCGGGATGTAGTACGGTGTGCCGCCACCGCCGGGCGGGCTCGAGGTAGCGGTTGACATGCCAAAGTCGCACAGGACGGCGCCGCGCTCCATAGAGTACAAGATATTGGCAGGCTTGATGTCGTTGTGGACGAGCTGGCGGCCGTGAATGTAGCTCAAGGCACCGGCTATATCTCGCAAAATGCGGGCGGCGTCCTTTGCGGTCCCGGTAAAGTGGTCGTCTTGCTTGCTTCTCCAACGGTTTTGAACAGTCAGGTCCTTGGCATCAACGTGCTCCATGTAAAGCGAAAGAAAGCGGGCGTCGCCACCGTAGTAGCGTACGATGGAATGATGCTCTAGGTTTTCTTGTGTTTGGTACTCGCGTTGCCACATGTCGGCTTGGCGAATGACATTGCGCTCATGTACATTTGGCTTCTCCGCATTGCTCACCACCGTCTTGAGCACCTTGACGGTCACGATGTTGTCGGGACGCTTAGAGTAACGACCGACAAAGACGGCGGACTGGGCCGTCGAGGCGATGGGCTCCTGCTTGATGAGTTGGTACTCATCAAGCTCGCATATGCCTGTCATGTATATTGTATCACCCTGTTCGGCCTGAAGCAGAGCATTGGTGTTGCCCGATGACAGCTCCTTGCCCGACCTCTTGGCGCCATTGGGTAGCGAGAACACGAGAGGATCCGCAGAAGGGTTCAAAAACATGACCACACCATCTGAGGGACGACCTTCGACTTGCGAGATGCGACGCTTGACGCGCTTGTCACCTTCATCATCATCATCGGGGGTCAAGGCTCTCTTGTTACTAGTCGAGACTAGCGCGGAGCTACCACGGGAAGATGTGCTTTGGCTGTGAGTCAGAGCTGGCTGTTCGTAGAGGACGACAGGACGCTTCTCCAGAATTCTAAAATCCAAAACAGCAGCATCGTGGACCTTGATGCGCCAGGTGCCGGGTTCCAGCGACTTGGTGACGTGAGGGTAGACGATGCGGTAGTCGTTCAAGGATGGGCTGACGGGAGCTACCTGGGAGAGACGAACAAGAGCGATGGGAACGTCGGAGCGGTTGACAAGGATGAGCTTGTCGCTGGCGGGATCGAAATAGAGCTCGCACCAAAGCTCGGGACGGGCAAAGGCATCGACCTCCTCGACATCGGCAGGTATGCGCACAGAAAACTTGATGTCGCGAGCGGTCTGAGTCACGGCCAAGACTCTGTGCGAGGGCTGCTCGGGGGCGGCGACCTCGGCGCGGAGGGCGAGCCAGCGGCAATTATCTCCCTGAGGCGCGACGGGAATGGTGTTGGGCAGCTCGGCGAGAGGACGGACCAAGAGGCGAATGTTTTGGCGGTGGTGATGGTCCTCGAGCAAAAGAACGTCGAGAGGGACATGCTCATCGTCGGAGCCCGGGCTCGGGGTCCCGACGTCGACGTTGCGGACGCGGGCGTCGAGCTCGGACTGTGAAAACGGCTCAGTCCTCTCCTCAGTCGCCTCTTCCCGAGGCGCGGGTTTGGGTTCGGCCATTGCGATGGTTCTGAAGAATTTCTGAAGCGAAAGTGATGCCTGATGCAGGTGCATGGTGTGGCGCCTGAGGCTGGCAGAGACGGATAGGTGGTGGCCAGCTGGGACCAGCCTTTCTACCTGCGTGGTTACGGCGGGCTCACTTGGCTGGCGGAGCTGAGGAGCTGAGGTGAGGGGAACAAGAACCAGGCTGTGTGGCTGTGGTAGCGTGGGCAGTTATGGCGATTGTCTGTTGATGTGTTGGCAGCGTGCAACTCGTAAAACAAGTCCAGAATCAGAATTCACAATAAGACGATGAAATGCAAAGGCCAAGGCCACAATAAATGCAGGAACGACTCAGTGGTCACGGCGAGGACAGCAGCGTCAGATGCGCAACAAGAGACAGTATGGTGGCCTGCTGATGGCCTCTCAGCCTCACGCTGGATCCAGTCACCAGCAATCCAGTGGGCAGCAGTCTGTGGGCGGTTTAGCGGCCGGTGCTAGCGGGGAGGAGTCACTAAAAACTGTTGAAATGCCAATTCACAGTGCAAGATGATGCTGGATCCGTCGAGGTCTTCCAATACCCTGATTCGCTCAAGGGTAGGCGTTTTTAGCTACCGAGCGGCACAGCCCGTGTGAGATGTGCGAGATGCAGAATCGGACACCTCTTTTTTCCTTTCGAGGAGGATGATGTGTTGATGAAATAGTGAGGTTATAAAGTATTTCCAGAACCCCCCTTTCACTTGTTTCCATTTTGTCTCTTCCTGCTACAACAATTTACCCAAGGCCCTTCCATGGAAAGCGTTGGAACCCCTCTTTAGCGGCTAAAGTTGGTCACAATTGTGCTGAAAGATGCCGTACTGTGCCAACTTCCCACACAAAACTGTACACAACTCTATCAGTTGCTCCCGCGAATTAAGCACAAGTCAGCCTTACCCACTCCATATCGACACTGTACCCTCATTCACTGTGCCATTTTCCAACACAACCTCGTGCCCTCGTTCGTTTGTTCACGTCTGCTGCGAGGCACTGTGGCAAAGCATCTCACCTAGTTGCCTCATAATTTTAGTCTCGTTACCTGTTGCCACTTCCCATTCTCCTCATCCCTTGAACCCTCGTGAAATCGGTGTTGCATCGCAAATCGAATAGTGACGTGCATAGCGCAGTGGCACTGATACGTCGTCGTCATGGCATTTGCAGGTGATACGGGCACCACGGATCGCGAGCCGACAGGCGGTCTAGTGACTCAGCCCTGAGCGCCGTTCACGTGATTGCAGCATAGCGACGACCTCTTTCAACTATATCATCAATGTCCGTTCCGCATCGCACAGATACAATCTCATTCCGTCGACTCTTTGTTGTGCAACCGTCTATGATGACGTGCCGCTACGGACTAGTATCTAACGTAAAACATGCATTCCTGTTGACCTGCTTTTGGCCCTCATCTCCTCGACATGGCTGGCACGGCCGCTAGCCGCTGCCAGATGGCAATGCTGCCTGCTCTTGTCTTGTCTCGTGATCTGTGGAAGCTAGGTCGCGACGCCGAAATCACACGAATTTCAAGACACCATGTTTTGCTCACCACTCTCGCATTTTCTTGAAACAGACGACTGTGCAAGAGGTCATGGATGGAAGTGCGCCGAGGTTCACGGTCGCGATATCCTGCCATTACTATGAATAACGGAGCCAGCCGTACGGGAGGGAGCGCACGGAGCGGTGCGCCACAAGTTCATCAGCCACATATCAAGACAACTAGCCACAAGTTACTTGCACGAACCTCTCGATAACCCTGCCAACGAGGCAGGCAGCAGGTCTTTCCCTGGAAGGGTGCGGTCGGTGCCACCGCCGACCCCCCTTGCCTGTCTCGTTGGCTGTCGCGTCGCCCAGCATCCACTCGCATCAGAGCTGAGCCCACTCTGCGTCGCGCCAAGCCGTATCTAGTTTAGCGTCATGCAGATTGGCGCCTATGAATGCGAGCCAGCCCAATTATATTTGTAGGGCTAATGCAAGCCGACCCAAGTGAGCGCAGGCGAAAGAGGACTAGCTCAAGATAAAGTCTCCCAAGAGCGGAGCTCCCACCGCCACTTGTATCCAATCAAAACATTCACCGCTTTCTGCCTCAGGCAACCCTGCGCTCGCTTCCCTGCACGCTCTCAACCTCGTGTCTGGAGGGTAGTCAATGGCCCCCCCACAACCTCTGGCTTTGATTTCGTCAAGGAATCTAAGTCTGTCAAACTGTGTGAGAACTGCCTCCTGATCGAATTCGAGCCCCCGATTTCCACGCATCTTCGCTCAACTGGACTCAACTACATTCGCAATGTTTATCAGTACTACTACTATGCTCTAGATGAGCCCAGTCCACCAATGATACCGGGCTCGCGCGTCTAGACACGTCTCTCACTCTTTCTACTCTTCTCACCCTTCTCACCACACGTCCACGTTTGTGGGCAAGACCATATTGTTCGACCGATAATGGACGAACCAGGCTGGGCATGGCCCGCCTGGAAGTTTAACATGAAGAGGGATGACCTCTTCAGTACCCTCCACGATGAATACAACACCGTTACATTTGCTCTCCAGGACCCCAGGGCCTTCCACCATGATGTTCTCGAGCTCTCCAACCAGGCCGATAACGCTGACGAGTTCCACCAACTGATGGCTGAGCGCAAATGCCAGCGCGCCAATGAAATTAATAGCTGCCTCGAGTCTCTCGCCGTCGAAATTATTGCCAACCCCATGTTGATGGGTACCGATCAGTGGCAACATGCCCTCCAGCTTTTCCGAAATAAATCCTACGATTCCATCGTTCGCTACTTTGCGAGCTACATCCCCGAAGAATACATGGACGAGCAGCATTGCCCATCACCAGTCTCGGATACATCCGTTTCCGAGAGCCATTCTATCTGTACCAATAGCACCAAATTTACCGATGTCGAAGACATGACACAGTCTTTCGACGAAGACGACATCTTCCCCAACGGTCCCGTCATGGCCGTCAAGCCTTGTTCCATGGATACACATGGTCCCCCATCCCCGCCACACTCAGAGGCTGTCACGTTGGATGAGTCTGACGACGCCAGCTATCCCTCGACTGGCCGGTCGTCTCGATCTGCGTCTTTCTCCGCCTCGGAGTCGGAGAGACTACCGGGCTTCCTTCGAGATCTTTCAAAAGAAGATGATACTACATCGCAGTCTGATAGTGGCGAGACTGTACTGACGTCGGCTTGCGACTCTGTCGAGACCATCTCATCTGTTGATCCAGCGGATGATTACCATGACTCCAAATATATGCCCATGACTCCTCAAGACGACGAGGATTGGGACATCAACAACCTGCCTATCCAATACTCGGAAGATGAACTCAATGATACCCTTACCTACGATACCCTGGATTCCGAAACGGCAACACCTAAACCATTACCGGAAGCCACCAATTATCTCGAGTATCCCAGCAAGGTCACTAACCTCAGAACCTTGCCTACAAGGCGGTTACAATCGCCTAAAGCATATAGCAGAAACCGAACCTCAGCAACAGCGTCGCGTGTCATTTACCGGAGGAGCCCTGACGAGGTTTCATCCAAGATACAAAAAGCCTCAGCCGAGGCCGCCAGAAGGCGGCCCAAAGGCAGAATGGGGTTTGACTAGCATGAGGGGATAAGGGTGCTGTATATATGTGATTATACCTGTACATACTTGCATCTTATGACTAATGATTCTCACACGATGCCATCCATTTTACCGTCTATTTACTTGCGTTGCTATGTTTGACGTCTTGCAGTGTTGAAGGAGAAAGTGAGTAAGTTTCTAACCTTGCTAACTAACAATGACTTTTAGATGCACTCGTAATGAAATCGACAATGTTTACACGACCTGGTCAGTTAGCAGTTTGCCTAGCGTTCTTCTTCAGCTTTGTTGCAGAGCTAATTGATCAGCGCGCGATTGGGGACAAACTATGTGGGTGACCGTAATGTCATGCGCCGCGCCTGAAGGGCACCCGATCCGCCGTCACGCGCGAAATGCGAAGCCACACACGCCTGCTAGTTATGGTCTCCCAGCAAATGGCACTTGATTATGCAACCTACTTCTCCCGATCGGAATTGTTCTGAACGCGCCACTTTAATTTTCCACTTGTCCTGCCTTTTGAGCCAAAGTACCGTGCCTACCCTGTCGTTCGCTGCCTTTGTTAGGAATTCTAAGGGGCGGCATCACGGCACCATAATATCATCGTCATGGGATCGACAGAGACGGCGGCGGCTTTCGGCCAGTACAACTAATGTCTTTTGAGCCGACTTGTAGCTTGTTTGGGTTTGCGATTGGCAGAAAAAAAGGGGGAACAGAGACGATGAAACTCGCCTGAGAACGAAAAATAGGCGTTAGTAAACATCAGGGCTCATCACCCATTCGTTGGGCAGAACAAGGCCAAAACCCGGATCTCGACGACCCGAGAAGAATAATCGCCAAGTCGCGCGCCTTTTTGTTTCTGGAATTTCCTTTTTTTAATTCGCCCCCCCTATCCACAAGTCAAATAGGATTAACACTGCTTCTGTAGAACAAGGACGATCCTGAACGCCCGTAGATCAAGTCGTTCCCCCCTCGCTTCCGTCGACACAGCCTCCACCTCCTCCTCCTCCACCTCCTCCTTGGCGATGTCGCATAAACCGTAACCCGAGATTCTTCATGCTTCACCCAGGCTGTACATGTGCTATATGTGAAACAAAGTTTGTTGTTTACCGCGCCAGCAGTTTCTCTTTCGTTTTGCTTGAGAGAAGTTGCACGCTGCTGCTGGAATCTCCCTTGCTATTTTTCATTCTGGGTTTTATTTTATTTTTTGTTTTTAAAGTATTACTTTTGGATAACCGGAAACTCTGGTGGAAACTGTGTTGAAATTAAATGATGGTAATCGCTACAAAAGCATGGCAAGCAAAACGCTGTGCTTCCAGCAGGTTACAGATGCACTCTGACGTTTTTTGCCCCCCACACAGCGTAAAAGATGGCAAAAAAAAAGGGTTGTTTTCGGCGCTCGCTAGCTTCATTTAACTGGCCCCTGTAATATTATCTATCGATGGCAATCCCATCGGTTCGCCCCAAACTTACCCGTATTGAGTAGGCTGCGACCTGGGGTTGTGGGCTTGGCCCCGTCAGAACATCTTGGTGTGTCAGACTTGACACGAACGGGGATGGCCCTTGGCGTTCAAGTCGCAGCAACGGTACTCCGGGTTTCTTGTTCAAAACACTGTTCCCCGAGATGAACTAAAAAAAAGTTGATAATAAATGGATAAATGAAAATTAAGTAAAAAAGAAACTTGTCCAAAATAGTCAATATCTATCAGAACATGTGGATACACCGTGACGTCGGCAGGCCGTGCTCGGCATGAGGCGGCTGTCAACCCTCATCCAGTCGACCGCTTGGACCAGCCTGGGACGACATCTCATCAACGAAATCTCCATCCTCAGATGATCAAGCCAACACACCAAATTATTTCTGCTTCAGTCTATTTTTCCTATAGTGTTCGATACTGTCTTTTTTTCCAGCCAGCTTCTATCGACTAGGCTATGGTCTTGCAGTTGCGGTAGCGGCCAGGTCCTATTTTGGTCCCTTGAAACTGTCCTTGTCGCCAGTGCCGCAGTCCATCGTGAGGCAGTCCTGTCTCTCTTCACTTCCACTTCCAATCTCGTTTCCATACAGAAACTGCCATGTTTGAGACTGCCCAATCATCTTCCATGTCGCGGCAGATAGTATGGGGCGGACGCCCTGGTCCAGTTCCCTCGGTCACGTTCGCCATCCTTGCCGCTGGTCACCTTGCCGGTATCTCTGCATGAAGAAACCGATGACACATCTCCTCGCATCGCATAGAGCCTTCTAACAGGCTCCTTTGCCCCCTCCCTCATTAGCCCCATAGGTTGCCTACATGCTAGGGTATCGGTCTACCTGCCTGCCAGGCAAGGCCGCTTGGTGTGTACCTTGCCACTTGCGGCCTCCATCGCGAAATGAGGTTGTCCTCTTCTCGGGACCTTTGTCTCCGTGCAGTCGCGACTGCTTAGGTGTTGCAGAGACCACCCAAGAGAGCTGGCTAGCTCCTGATCCCTTCCATGTTTGAACCTGTTTCGTGCTCCATGATTTCTGCTGCTGCGGCCCTATGGCCCATGTCCTTGGCTACTGACAGCTGAGAATACCAGGACGAGATGGAAATGGGACTCGGCGATTGAATGATCGAGCTATAAATCCGGCCTTATCCTCCCGATAACCTGCTCGAATCTTCTCCATCACCATCACCACTTTCACATCTTCACAACCAGCAACTCATTTTCTCTTCACACCTTCTCTCCTGCTGGTCAGGTCTTTAATACTGCACTACTTAATATCAAAGACAATCTTTTACTACTCTCTTTTCCCTCTTTCCCACACCAAAAACAAAGACAAACTCACAAAAATGGCTCCCGTCAAGTCTATCCTCGCTGCTTCCATGCTCGTGGCTGCCCGGCTCGTCTCGGGCCACGCCGCCATCACCAACGCTGTTGGTGACGCCGGTGGCAAGGGCATGGCCCTTGGAATCGTCACTTCGACTCCCCGTGACGGAACCAGACGCAACCCCTTCCAGCAGGACGCCACCCGCTTCCGCGGTGCCTCTGCTGATACCTTGGGCGAGACTGTCGGCCAGGGCGCCAACGATCTCGAAAGCGGCATGAGCAAGATCATGGCCGAGACTGGAGGCACTCTCCCCCAGGTCACGCCCGGCGGCAAGGTGACCATGACCCTTCACCAGGTCAACTCGGACGGTGCCGGCCCCTACACGTGCATGATCAACGCCGACGGCACCGGCACCACCTGGGAAAACATTCAGGTCTCGCAAAACGTCGATGGCAACCAGCGCGGCCGCAACCGTCAGGGAAGCGCCACCGACCACCCTCTGGTGGCTGATATCCCTGCGAATCAGCAGTGCACCGGTACCGCCGGTGGCCAGACTGGTGTCTGCCTCGTCCGCTGCCAGAACCCTGCCAACGCCGGTCCCTTTGGCGGTGTTGTCCCCGTCCAAATGGTCGCCGCCGCTACTCCCGCCGCTGGTGGTGTTGCTGCTACTCCCGCCGCTGGCGGTGTTGCTGCTACTCCTGCTGCTGGCGGTGTCGGTGCTGTTCCTGCTGCTGGTACCGGTGCTGTTCCCGCTGCTGGTGCCGGTGCTGTTCCCGCTGCTGGTACCGATGCTGTTCCCGCTGCTGGTGCCGGTGCTGTGCCCGCTGCCGGTGCTGTGCCCGCTGCCGGTGCTGTGCCCGCTGCCGGCGCTAATACTCCTGCTACTGGTGCTGGCGCTGGTGTCAACACTCCTGCTACCGGTGCTGCTCCCGCTACTGGTGCCGGTGCTGCTCCTGCTACTGGTGCTGGTCGCAAGGGTGCCGGCCGCAACGGTGCTGGCCGCAACGGTGCTGGCAACGCCGCCGATGACGATGAGGAGGAGGAGGAAGAAGAGGAGACTGGCAACACTCGCGGCAACGGTCGCAACCGCAACAACAACCGCCGCGCTGTTGCATGGAAAGCCTAAGGCACACAAGCCAACTCCGTTCTATATTGGACTACGAAAACCTACATGGTCCGGCTCTTTTGATCTGTGGACTCATACATGAGAGGATTCGAGCCGGAAAGATGTGCGATACAACCTTCAAGTGATGGTGATTAGTCCACGGCGAAAGGGAAAATGAATATCTGCTGCTATTGCGAGTTTGGTAATGCTTTTAGCCTTTGAGTATTGAGTTTATAGTGTGCTTAGCATTGATAATGAAGAATATACGAGATTGTTTGAAAATGATCTGTTTTGGCTGTTCGTAAACATGGTGAAACTCGATACTTGACTGTGAAACAGGAAATCATTTGGTGGATTCAAGTATCCTGTACCGTCTTCCTGTGCCCATTCAGCTCGAGTAGTAGCAATTATTGGGAGCCCATTCATATGTACTCTTGAATGCTGTATTACCATGATCATGTTACAAGTCAGGCCTGCTTCAGTCAGAGCAGTTGACCAATTGGAATTCAAAAACTCACAGTTGACTTTGCGATGCGTCTTATTCGCGCCTGGAAGGTCAGATATCCACGCCATGTGTTTGACACGCATGAAACCAATGCGGCGGACGTGGTTGACGTGATCGTTGCCCCATTCATGCGCAATCGGCGGAGCATTGCCGATGCTGAAAGTCTTGCATGAATGACGGCTAATGACGCAAACAAGTCGCCGGCTCATGCGTTTCAACCATGAACTAAAAAAGTGAGTCGTGGTCTTGTTGAGGCCCTCGCGGCAGATCTTAGTGGGCGTAGTCACTGCGGCATAATTGGAAGAAGATCTGTCACAACTATGATAGTCTTGTTGTTATGGAAATGATTTCTTTCAGAGAATGTCTGAGTAATACTTTGGAGGTAATTGACCAACAATGTACTCGATGATAAATTCTAGGCGCGCCTGGGATTCTTAGTGTCGGGTCAGGGCAAGAAAGGTATGGAGAAAAGGAAAAGGGGATCTCGCCTGGAAAGAAAAGATTTACATTGATCGAGTCGACAGCAGGATATTTCGAAGCCCTATTGATACTTGATGAGAGCTCGGTCTCTGGCCCAATGTAGAGAAAGCGAGCACCAGCAGCGCAGCACCACCAACGTTGAACGGCCACGAAGACGCTCTCGCGGGTTTGGGGCGCTGTATCGCTTGCTGACAATAAGCTTCGACTTCAGCTCCTACATGTCACAATAAATCTGCCATTCGACTGCGCCAGGCTCTGTCATGTGAGAAACTCGCCAGACTCGGCTACCCTCTGCTTGAGATACGTGCAGCCGATGGGACGAAGCTACCGTGGCGTGGAAGCTACCTAATAAGCCCCGAGAGGCAGCTGAGGATACAGTGACGCGTATTCAGGGCACTTTTGGCCTTTAACAGAGGCAAGGTGGTCAAATACCTAGCTGTAAGACAGGGCGTTGTACCCGCCGAATTGTACAGTGAGACAGAACCTACCTGGTTGCCTGATTGCTGCACGCGGGTGACAAAGACTGTTCGCCGCTTTTGGTGGTGAGCTGGCTTGACAAGCCAGGTGCTGCTGGTTGGTGCCCTGACATGGATCGGTGCGACCCCCGCTTCGAAGCTTCACATCAATGTGCCTGCCAAACATATTTCCATCACGGCAACGGCGTGGTATTTGTTGATCCAAGAATTTGTGCACCATGGCCATCAAGAAAGTTGTACCCCATGGAGACTGGGAATCGCCCATTTCCATTGAATCAGTCGCCTCTGGTGCGCGAAGCCTGACGGCGCCCCGTGTTTGCGTAAGCCACTCGTGTCTGATGCTCCAAAGTGCCAGCCATCTAACATACCGCAGAGCAAGACGGGGAGGGTATTCTTCCTCGAGAGCGATGGAACTGGCAGGAAGGCCATTATGGAAATGACTGGTCACGGTGCCGTCGACATCTTGCCAAAGCATTGCAGCGTGGGCAACACTGTCTACGAGTATGGCGTCCAGGCGCTTCAGATGCTGCCAGATGGCCGTCTTATATTCTCGAATACAGATAATACTGTCAGAATAATCGACCCGGATACGTGTAAAGATACGACTGTCATTCAGAACTCGACAGTTTTGCGATATGGCTCTTTCACGGCGCACAAGACGTCGCCTTGGGTGCTGGCTATCCAGGAGGACCACACCCACAACACCCCATCTGGTGTCGAAAATTACATTGCCGCCATCAATGTCGAAACTGGAAAGGTGAAGCGCGTCATCTCCGGGGCAGACTTTTACTTTCAACCTCGATTCAGTGACAACGGCACACGCCTTGTTTGGCTGGAGTGGAACCATCCCGAGATGCTCTTTGACATGGCCAAGCTGTGCAGCGCTGATTGGGACAGTAGCGATGCCACGGTCAAGAACAAGACGCTCGTAGCGGGAGGAAATAATGAGGGCGTGTGCGAGCCTCACTGGGGCCCCGATGGCGCTCTGTACTTTTCGCAAGAGACTGGTGGCCACCGACAACTCTTTAGGATTGCTCCGGAAGATGGCAAGCCCGTCCACATTGACTTTCTTGGGCTAACGAGATTTGATTTGGGGGAATCGTCTCTTGCTGAATCAAGGTGTGTCTTGTTTTGAGACTTTTGCTACAGAGTGGTTCTGACTAATTGTGCAAGTCGAACATATATGCCACTATCCAGTCGTCATCTGCTTGTGACTGCGGTATCCAATGGCACATGCCGACTCCTATGCATTGACCTCAAGCAGAAATCTTGGAAGCAAGTTGCACGAGATGAAGAAATATCCGCGATTGGCGCAGATTGCGTATCAAGAATTAATGAATCATCTGCCCTGGTTGTCGCTAAGGGGCCGACGACGGCAAACTCCCTCTTTGAAATCGACATAGACGATTCAAAGCAGAACAAACTGCTTCGAACCGCCGGTCTATCCGGCTCCGACTTTGCAGATGGGTTATTGTCCATTCCGGAGCACACAACCATTCAATCGCGTAGCGAGCCTCGGCAAACCCATGGATTTCTATACATGCCACGCAACAACAAGTTTACAGCCAGAGAAGGCCACCTTCCCCCGCTCATCGTCTACGCTCACGGTGGCCCGACTGGTATGGCCAACAGTGGCTTCAATCTGCGTGCTCAATACTTTACCTCGCGCGGATATGCATTTCTCACCGTAAATTATGTGGGCTCGACTGGCTACGGCAGCGCGTATCGACGATATCTCTATGGCCGATGGGGCGTGTCAGACACAAACGACGTTGCCGATTTTGCAGAGCACTTGGTTGAGACGGGTCGCGTCCGCCCCGGGGCTGTCGGCATCACGGGTGGCAGCGCAGGTGGCTACAACACCTTGCAGGCTTTGACTCGGTATCCCAGCACATTTGCCGGCGGCGTGTGCGCATGCGGTATCAGTGATCTCGTACAGTTTGACGAGCACACGCACAAGCTGGAATCGGATTATGCGAGCGCTCTGCTACTTCCCGAGGGAAGTTCAGAGGTAGACAAAAAGTGCATTTACAAGGATCGCAGTGCGCGGTACCATGCGGACAAGATTCAGTCACCTCTGCTACTTATGCATGGCGTTGCGGATACTGTTGTGCCGATCGTGCAGGCGCGCATCATTCATGACATTGTCAAGAAGAAAGGCGGCCAAGTCAGGCTCGTGGAGATACCGGGAGAGGGCCATATGCTGAGCAAGCCAGACAGTGTCAGAACGTACCTCGCCGAGGAAGAGGCTTGGTGGAGAAGGACTCTACTCAAGATCTAGGTGTGGTACTATTTTATCTATTGCTGCTGATCGAGGTTGCAATGCTGCTTCTTTTAAAACAGTACAAATGTTGTACAAGTGACAGATTACTATTGCTAACATAATCATGGCAGCCATTGGTGGACCAAAGTGCATGTCAGATTCGTGAGGCTCCAAGTACGGTGTACGCCGGCTTCCCTGACGTGCAGTCGCGCCATGGGCGGCCAATGAAATGATTGCTCACCTCGGCGAATAGGCCTGTTCCGGACGCGAGGATCCTCTGTTATGGTCTACAGACCAGTGAAAAAGAGTCCTATTTCCAGCAGGAGCTTGCGCGATGTGCGCCCGTGCCTGGAACCCGCCTCACGCCGCTAGAGTTTGTGTAAGAGCTAACACGGGCTGCTTACGGGGAACCGCCCAAATCTGACAAAGTTTTGACAGCTGCACGGCATTGGCTTCCGAAATGTACACACGTGTGATGAATCGAAGCGCAAGGGTTCCGATACATAAGGCGGCAAGTCGCCGAACTCCTAGTGTCGGCGCCCGTCGTCGACTGTTGGGTAATTTTAGCTTGAAGCTGCCAGTATCCCGCAAGAATAGATGTTAGGCGCCCCTAGCCCAAGGCCCAATTGACTTGAATTGACAAGATATTCTGGAATGCGTCTTTTGCCTCTATTTCTTACCCCTGACAAAGTTGTCAAAGACACCAACAGCTCACAACAATGACACAATTGGCACAAGATACTCTGGCTAAAATCCCGGCCCGCGCCGCAGACGTGATTGTGGTTGGCGCTGGTGTAAGTGGTCTCTACGCTGCCTACAAGCTCCAACAATCTGGTATTTCTTGCATTGTCCTCGAAGCATCTGGTCGTGTCGGCGGCCCAACGTCAACCAACAACCATTACAATAGCGAAAAGCACCCGCGCACGCATGCTCTCGCCACAGAGTTTAGCCTACTCGACGAGTCGCGACCACGACAAGGCAAAACGGTCCTAGAGGGATTTGAGCCTTTTGAGCATCATGAGCAGCCTGCTGTGAGTATAAAAAAATAAGAAAAAATTAAACTTCTTGTGCATTCATTTCAACAGTATACTAATGTGACACTTTGATTTTTTAGCTCGATGCTAAAGACGCAGCCTCTCTGTGTCAAGTCCAACAGGGCATTCTAGACACTCTTTCACGGCAATCGAATGTTTGCCACGCAGAAATGACTGTCCAAGAGCTCGTTTCTTTATACGGCGCAACTGGTACCGTGAAAAAGTTGGCCAACATGTGGACGCGCACCGTCTTTGGCTTGTCTTCCCACAACGTCAGCGCATCCCAATTCTTGTCGCACTGTGCCTCGTGCGGCGGGCTGCTCACCCTCCTCGACAACATCAACGGCTGCGGTGACGATTTTGCCATTTCCGAGTCCTCACAGCAAATAGCGGCGGCGCTTGCCCAGCGTCTCAGCCCAGGCACTATCCGATTAGAACAAAAAGTCACCCATGTTGAGCGAGCGAGAGGAACCACCTGCCGCATCTACACCGAGACTGGCGACGTGTTTGTCGGTTCCAAGGTTGCGCTCGCTGGTTCTCTACCGATGTGCGGTGCCCTTCAAATAACCCCCTCAATCGCAATGGCGGCTGAATGGGAGGCCATGCGAGACGAGCAGGGATTCAGCACCTCTGTCGACGTCGTCTTTGACCATCCCTGGTGGCAGCAGCGTGGTTTGTCCGGCTACGCCCAGGGTCTCACCGGGCCTATTTCGCAGGTTCGTCCGACCGAAATTGAAATGGATGGTCTTTTACACTCCCTCTCCTGCCAGCTATCCGGCGAGCAGGCCCGAGGCATGTGGCTGTGGCTCATGTCCGAGGAGGAGCGCGAGACGTTCATCATTCAACATCTCGACACCATTTTTGGCGGTGACATGCCGCGCGCTGTGCAAATTATTGAAAAGGACGAGAATCCCTTGGTCAGCGGCCAAAAGTCCTTGAACATTGCTGCTGCGAAAAAGGCCGGCGTCGATGGAGATGATGTGTGGGCGCGTCCGCAAGGCAATATTCACTTTGCTGGTGCGGACACAAGCATCATGTGGAAGGGACATGTGGAGGGCGCACTGGAGGCTGGAGAAAGAGCAGCGGCCGAGATTCTGGCTGTTTTGGACACTTTGAATGCCGTTGAATTTGCTCCACGCCTGTGAAGCGGCTGTAATTCGACAGTGATTTTGGTTGCAATAGAGCTATTGATAGCTTTGGAGGCACAAGAAGCTACGATATACACCAGGAGCTGCCCGCAAATTCGATTTTGATGCTATTTTGACAAAAGTCGGTGCTGAACATCACCAGTCCCTTCTTCTATCTAAGTGCCATCGCATCCACTGGGATTGGGCTCTCTTTTGACGTCAACTTGTATAAAATTCTCCCACCTCTTAATCTCCGTCATGCTATCAAGATGAAGATGAAGAATGAGAAACTGCGTGCTGCAATGCAGGAGACGAATGAAGGAGTAGCAGCATTGAATGGGACGGTCTTTACGGACATGACGGACAAGGAAAACCCCAAACTTTGTCCAAGTGTATTAATGTTCTCTTTGAGTCTGTATCATGCCTCATTTCCCGCATAATGTTTATGGTTTGAAAGCTACCTGTTTCCAAAATCCGTGCCGCCATACAATATGCCATTGGGACATGACAACTTCATACTGAAAGTCGGGCTGTAATTCAGTATATAGCGTTTCCTGCTGCTTGTCAGTAACTGCATCATTTCTAGCCAACAAGTTAAAAAGAAAGACAAAAAACAAAA